TCCCTCTCTCCCTTTCTCCCTCTCTCCCTCTCTCCCTCCTCCTCCTCCTCCTGCTCCTCCTCCTCCCCTCCATTCTATGCCGCCGCAACAAACTCCCGACCCAAACCCATGTAATTCCAGCAGACTACGCCAAAGAAAAAAAGCAATCGATCAGCACACGTCCTCAATCTCATTTCCCTCTCCGCAAAAAAAAGACAGGGAAGGAAGGCAAAAAAAAAGAAAAAGAAAAAAAAAAGAGGGAGGGGGCGGCAACCACTCACTCTGACGGCCCAGGTCCCGGCCGAAGTAGCTCTCGAGCAGGTGCTCGCCGTCGCTGGTGCCCTCCTGCGGGTCGTAGACGACGGCCTTGGTGGCGACGGCGAGGCCGATCATGGGCGGGATCTCGCCGAGCTCCTTCCATGGTGATGATGATGATGATGACCCGTTGGCCCCGATTTTGGGTGGTTCGTCGGCGGCATGAGTCGCGCCCACGCCGCTAGTAGCAGTGCTGTCCATGAGCATTTGCGCGTGCACGTTCTGCGCTACGTACTGGCCCATGTGCATGGCGGCGCCGCAGCGCTTGATGCCGGACCACCGCACGATGTCGCCGGCGGCGTAGTGGTGCGAGGCGTTGGGGACGGTGTCGGGGAAGCGGAGGCTGTTGTTGTGGTGAGTGGGGGGGTTGAAGTTAGCCAGGAGGGTGGTTCTGGAATCTGGGGGCTTTTTTATTTCCTTTTTTTTTTGCTGTATTCAGAGAAAGGGGGGAGGAGGAACGAAAAAGGTTCAAAGAGGGTGTGGTGCATGCACGTACGAGGCTTGGATCTTGACGTAGCCCTCGTCGTCCAGGATGGCCTTTGGCAGGAAGGACGAGGTCGGGACGCTCTTGGAGATGGCGTTGACGACCTGGCCGGCGATCAGGCTCGAGCCGTCGGACAGGGTCAGTTTGAAGTGGGACGCGCCGCCGTCGACGGGGGCGGTGTCGAGCACCCTGCGGCCCAGGACGGTCTCGACGCCGGCCTCGCGCAGCACGGCGAGGGCGCGGTCCCGGAAGTCGTCGGGCAGCGGCTCCGACGAGAGCAGCTTGTCCCGCGAGTGGATCAGCGTGACCTTTTGCGTCGGGTGGACCAGCTTCAGCTCCGCCGCCATTTCGACGCCCACGGCGCCTGGTGTTGGGTAATCGCGTCAGTTAATTTCCTCATCCTCTTTTTTTTTTTTTTTTTTTTTGGCTCGAGTCAAGATTCACGGTACTTACCTCCGCCGATGACGACGATGCCCTCTTTGGCATCTTTGATCCGCTGGATGTGGGCGCCGACCTCGGCCAGATACGAGGCCTTGTCCAACGACTGCGGCACGACGGGCCAGGCGCGCCGGAGCCCGGACCCGACGATGAGGAAATCGTAGGCTTCTTCGACGGGCGCCTCGTGCGGCGACGACGCCGTGGCCTTGGCGACGACGGCCGTCTTCTTGGCGCAGTCGACGGATACGACGCGGCCGTGCAGGTGGCGCACGCCGGGTGCCTTGAGCGCGGGCACGTCGTCGAATTTTGTCCACGCCTTGGGGGCATACTCGTCCGAGGCGTGGGCGAGGGGGGTTGAGATCAGGTGCACTGGCTTCGGTGTCAGCCAAAGGGAAGGGAGGGGATTGAAAGCGGTGGGGGCGTACGGAATCCATCGCGCTCGTCGACGACGGTGATCTCAACGGGGATCTTCTCGGTGGGAGCTGGCGTGTCTGGGAGGAAACGCGGCGGCTTGCCGTGGCACAGGTCGAGCAGGTTGAGCGAGGCCGAAAGACCGGCGTAGGAGCCACCAACGACCAAGACCTTGAAAGGCTTGCGAGCGGTCCCGTTCGTGCTGGTGCTGGATGGCATTGTTTTGGTCAGTGGAAGGAGCAGGTGATTTTCCCAGACGGCGCAGAGGCACGTACCGACGGCGGCTAGATATTGTCCAAGACGCGGCTCCCAGCAGGGGTGCGGTCGGCGGCTTGCGCAGCAGGGCTTGGTGGTGGAAGGAGCGCGAGTATACCGATATCGGGTTGGAGCGCGAGAGTTGCACGGGGGAGAGTTGCACGGGGGCCGGGCTGCGGCGGGCGATGGGGGGAGGCTCGGCTGGGAGTACCAATAAAGTTATCAGATGGAGCTGTTGCGGCTAATAATCTGATGGAATCGGATCATCGGGTGGGGCCTCTCACCGTGCGTCGGCTGCGCATGAGGAATCCTGAGCGCGAAACGGAAGCTCCGGTGTGGGGGCATCTCGCTTGGAAGCCTTGGGAGGCCGGCCTGCGCGATACGAGGCGGATGGACAGCGCGCGAGCAGGACTCGACTGTCTTATTTATGGTCAGATGCACGCCGCTGTCGGAGTCTTCGCGCCATTGTTTTATGTAAATCGCTGCTCTGCCTGTGTACGTAGTCTGCCCATCCGAACCATCTCCGACGTCTAGGAGCTGCTTCCGGAAAGTGCATCAAACCTCGCCTCTCTATCCCAAACCCTGGCACCGTCCGACCTCCGTCTGAAGTACAGGATCCGGTGCTGCGGAATGAACTCCTCGTCCGTCTGCTCCACTTTCCAGCGATCCAAAGGAATCTCCCGCGTCCCCAGGAACCGATCTACGTAGCCTACCACGTAGTCGGCGCTGTGGAGATTCGCATCCCAGCGCAGTCGGTGGAGGATGTCAGTTGCCGGCCGGAGCTTCTTGCCGACCCTCGATGCGCCGTCGGCCTGGGGTACGGCAGCCGATGACGCTGTCTCGGCCAGCTCGTCCAGCTCGTCGACCTGATCATCCTCTTCGTCCTCCTCCTCATCCTCAAACTCCCAGCTCTCCTCCAGGTCATTGCCCCAATCATTGCGATCCACAACCAACTCTTCAAGCTTCCCTCGTCCGACGTGCTTGACCTCGACCCACGCCGAAGCCGGGTCAAAAAAGCCTTCGTTCCCGCGGATCTGCTCCGAAAACCGTTCCAGCGCACTGTCGAGCTTGCTCTGCGCCAACTTGCGGTCGCCATCGTCCAGCTTCCCGCTCGCTTCGCCATGTTGCCGCTTCTCGAGGCCAACCAGGTAGCATCCGTAATGGTCTCCTTCCTCGTTGCCCGAAGCCCTCGTGAACCGCATCGGCCACATCCGCGCGTGGATTTCGGGAACTTTTCTGTTGAGATCTGCGGAAACGCGCGCCCCGTCAGCAAATCCGTAAGAACGGAATAAAAGAGAGAGAGAGAGAGAGAGAGAGAAAAAGAGAGAGAGCATTAACGCACCAACAAGCATCGAAGGACAACGACTCTCAACCCACCCAACCAGCTGCCTCCCCTTGACCGAGCTCTTCCCCCAGTACTGAACGTCAACGCGGACGTAGCTCTTGTACGCAGCCAAGAACTCGCCGGCCGCATCATCCGGCCCCGCACCAACAACATCCCCCCACGATGAGAGTGATGCCCCCACCACCATCCCCGCCGCGCGCCGCAACTCGTCCGCCACCACCGCCACCGCCGGCGCCGTCGCCGCCCTCGCGACGTTGACCCGAGGCGCGTGGTAGCCCAGCACCACCATCGGCTCTGCGTGATCGCCGCCCGCCGCTCGCCGCCGATACGACGTATTGGAATGCGTCGCCGCGCGCCGCGCGACGATCAGCGGATCCTCGACGACGTCTTTGGCCCAGTCGAAGCGGGCGTAGTGGTGGAAGAAGGTGCAGACGAGGTGGGCGGGGGTGAGTACGTTGATGTCGTCGACGTCGTCATCGTCGTCGTCGTGGTACGAGAGCAGCTTCGCGACGCGGTCGAGCATCAGGGCGATGTGCGTGCCGCTGAGGTAGCCGAAGCGCGCGGCGTAGATGCCGCGGCGCGTCGCCCACGCGACGAGGAAGCGGTACGCGGTGCGGAAGGCGGCGACGTCCGGAGTGGTCTGGAGGAGGTGCGCGAGGTCGCGGATCGCTTTGAGCTTGGAGAGCGTCTGGAGGGGGAGCGAGAAGAGCGGGTCGTTTGCTGGGAGGGAGAGCGGGGCTGGCCAGCTGGAATGGGGGGAAGGGGGAGTCCTGTTAGCTTGGGATGACTTTCCTGGGGATTTGTTTTCTTTTTTTTTTTTTTGAGATGAGACAGACTTACCTGTTTGCGATGTTTGCGGAGGGACAGTACTGAAGATCGAGCTTGATGCCTTGGATGTCGAGCTCGAGCATCGTTCCGGAATGGGCTTCGACCTTTCGGAGGATGCGCACGCCTTGCGTGGCGGCTTTCCGGAGGTTCTTGATCGCCAGGGTGAAGAATATTTTCGAGCTGACGGAGCTGATACAAAGACAGTCAATGTCCGATGCGACGTTCCAGGCGCCCAGGCCGTAGGAGCCAACAGGAACAACTATCAGAGGAATCTTGCTGCCGGCTGCGGAGATTTGCTGAAGCGTGGATCTCAAGAGAGAAAAAACCTCTCGTCGTTTGAGCGTGTCAGCTTCGGTTGGAAACCCCGAGTGATTCTTGACGAAGCTCTGCAGGGATGCAGAGTCGAGTCCAGCAGGAGGGACGACGGCAGAGATGCTTTCAACCTCCACATTCGCTAAAGCAGGTGATGTTGTGACTTTCAAGGTCGCTCGAATCCCCCAATGATCACTTCCGCACCGCTGCTCCTCTAATCCCGGACGCCCAAACATGTTGAAGTTGGCAACTTCCAGGGCTTCCTCCCCCTTGATCAGAATCCTGTCATATCGCTGAGGCCGGTGAGTCAGGCCGTGGCCGACGATTTCAGCAGCTAGTGGGTTTTTCCCTGGATCGAACGTTGCACCTCGCTCTCCCTCGGCAATGTCGTCGTCATCACCATCTACATTCTCAGGGCAATGGTGCGGCCGAGAAACTGCCCAAGCGTCCAGCAGGCCTGATTCCTCGAGAAGCTGTTCCAAACCGGCCAGTGTCCGGACCGTCTCAGCGGAAACAGACTGGGTCTTGATGGCGTCTTCGATTGTACGCGTAGAGGTTGCTACGTTGAAGTCTCCCGCGACAATCCACGGGCAGTCTGCGTATGTTCCGGAGAGATGGTTCATGAGAGAACGGAGTTGGCTCTTCTTGGCAGCCACGGAGCCATCGGTGAGGCCGCAGGTCAGGTGTATGCCAGCAATGACCAAGGGCTGGAACGCGCCGGATTGAACCACCTTACCGACGCTTTTCATTTTGACAATGACAGCACCCTTGTGGCGGCGTTCAAAAGTCACCATCTCCCAGTCGAAGGCCCAGCGTGATAGGACGACGATGTTGCGTAGACTCAACAGGGGCCCGATGTCTCCTTGATCGGGTGGGGCGTGAGACACGTATGGCCACAAGCTACGGACTTCTTCGTCTTGGAGGAGATGGCTTAGAAAGTCGTCCGAGACCTCCTGTAGAACAAGCACATCGGCTCGCGCGGATTCCGAAAGCAGAGTTTGGACCAGGATTCCAAATCTCTCGTAGGCGGGCGGGTAGATGGAGTCTACCAAAACGTTGTAACTGGATATTCTGAAGGAAGCGGGCATCATCTGCGGAGCTTCTACTGTCGTACACGGGATCCAAGAAGCTGTAAGTGAGTCGAAGCGGTATGTTGTCTCATTTGAAACATTGGAAGCTTGGTTCGGTGAGGCTAAAGGTCGCGATATGGAAAGACCTTGGACAGGATACTGAGCGGTGGAGATGGGGATGGTTGCCGAGACCCTCATTACATCGTCGTCTCCGCGAACCAAGATAGCCAATTCCTCCAAAGGCCATTCGATGGCTGGTAATAAACGTGCCTTGGCTCTCAGAGAATCCCGCAACTCATCGTTACTGGCTTGTCCGACGGTCAAATGCGGGGTATACTGAGGAGGGGCACTTTGAGAAAAGAGACTAAACAGTTTGTGGTGGAGTGTGCGGAGGGAGTCGTCCTCCTTGGGGCAGATATAAATGGTATTGGAGTGCTTGTGGGCGAAGTAACCTGTGTCGTCCAGCTTCAACGACGTGGCTCCGCTGGCATGGAGCCCGTCCAAAGCTGAGCGCAAAAGGGAGATGGCGCTTGGCACAGAATCAGGATGCACAAAAGGATAGAGGAGATTGATGTGAGCGGGCCACTTCTGAGAAGCCTTGTCGTAGGCGGCGCGCAAAGTGTTGACATGTTGCACGAGATGTGCAGGCGGGAGGATTGCCAAAGCGGTTTGGTAAGAGGTAAGGTCAGCCATGGTTGAGAAAGCAAGGAAGAAGAAGGGTTCGATGGGTTCCTGGGTCGGCCATGGTGATGCGACTGCAGAAACATATACGAGTCGAGAGCATGGCGCAGCTGTGGCTTTGGGCGCAAGACGGGCCATTCCCAGGTGAGTCAGGGCGGGCTGCCGAAAGGGGAATGGTCGCACTCGACACCGGGACACCGCATTACCCGAAACGGCATTGCAGCCTACAAACAAGCTAGCCTGGCCTCTCATTGGCTGCTTAACCAACACCAAGTCATGCAAATTCATCAACTCACGCGCGCTGCCTGATGAGCCTAGGACGCCTGCCTTAGAGACTTCCTCTTGGCCGGTGCGTCGTTGGTCTGCAGGGGGGAGTGCCACAGGCCGCTGCACTGCGGGACATAACAGGGCATTGTAGGACGTAGATATAGTTCTACTATAAGATGTACATGAGGGCGTGAAGGCTCATCACGGTATTGAGTTTTTGCTAACTCTTCGGCCGCGATGCCCTATTAGGTGCTTCCTCGACATCTGTAGTAGCATATAAGCCTACTAGCTCATTATTGCCACTTTTCTATATATGCATCTTGGGCACCCTTGATGACTGCTCTCTTATGTAAAGTCCGCGTCTCAGCTTCTGCTACCTCCCGAGTCGCCGCTTGTGCAGGAAGTGTCCGGACCGTAGGTTGCACAGTTGAATAGTGGGACCGTCTAACACCAGGTATAGTCGCCACTGGCCCCAACTTGATCAATATTGGCGGGGGCCATGGCGAACTTACCGAGCAGGAGAGACGGGCTGAACGCGCTCTTTTCATTTCGTCAGGCGTCCTGCACATTGACATGCCGACTGGCAGACCATTACGTGTGCTCGCACGAAATCGAAATGGACCCCGGATTTCTCGCAATGAAAAGAACACCCTGCTGATCTCGGATCCCCAACTCCATGCTTGTTTCATCACCAACTCCCGACCTGGGGGCGAAGATGCAAAGTTCGGGTGATGTGCAAGACGTGCATGAAGGCTCTGACCGAAACATTGACGCAATCCGCCTGCAGAGCCAGACGGACGGGCTGTGCAGCGCTCGCAGCTGGCGTTTGATCAGCCCATATCTGACCGACATGAGTGAGCTGGCTGCCGTCTGTTGACAAAGCACTGCTGAGCTGGGGACTCGGAACAATCTCGACCGCCTTGTGATCAACTACACGGTTCTCATCCCGGGCGCAGCAACCATGGAGGTGAAAACAATTATAGATGGAGTGGGGCTTAGCGCTAGCAGCTTTGGTTGGAGGCAGTCCTTGGTGTACCGCCACAGACCCCGCACCAGTAGTCACCACGCTAGGGAGCACAGCATGCACATGCTCACACGTGCAGCCCAAGTGGTTACCCATGTGCAACTCTTGAGCGTGCGCGTCCGTGGATCTGAGCAACGTCAGAAAAGCAATGCGGCGAGTCTTGCAGTGTTGGTCTGACGAGAGTGTCGTCTTACCGCGAAGCTGCTTATTTCCCCGCGAACTTGGCTGTTTCGGAAGCTGTCTTGTCTCGGAGAGATACTTCCAAGCATCTCAGCTAAGCTACCCTACAAAGCTTGCGTGGCCGTGCAATTGAGGCTCCCAGCTCGCGTCATGGGGCTGGCGCACCACTAACTTCCCACTGGTCCTATCTTGGATTCGACAAGTTCGGGTCCCCAAAAATAGCCTGGAGATCTCCGTAGAGTGTTGTTATTCGCCAGATGTTACATCCCTGCTTGAGCCCGATGATACACTGTCTCGAACTGCAATATAAATCCAACTCGTGCCCATTGAATAGGAGGACCATCAACAGCAGCCAGTCTTCCCTTCAACAACCCGAGCCAAGTCATTCACCATCTCTAATCCTAATCCTCCAAAAGAAACCCCCCAGAATGCATTCCAACGCCCCAGTTGCTGCCCTTTTGGGATTCGCAGCTTCACTCGCCGCCGCCGCTCCGGCGAACACTCCGGTTGGGACTCCAGTCAACACTCCCAACTCCCAGTACTACTCGACTCCAGCCCCTAGTGGTGGCGACTATGGCAACAGCGACTACGGCTATGGCTCTGAGTCGGCGACTGGGAAGGTCATCACCGTCAGTTACGACGTCTCGCCCATTCCGACCGAAGTCCACCCCGACGGCGACAAGTTCCGGTTCCCGCTCTCCAACGACTTCCCCAACCCTGACCAGAAGGAGGTCGACGACATCCAGGAGATCGCCGGCGGCACTCTTCCCAACGGCGGCGGTGGCGACCCCCCAAGCGGCGACGCTCTCACGTCTCTCAGGCTCATCGCCTTCAACGAGATCTTCGAAGTGGCCTTCTTCACCGACCTGCTCAAGAACATCACCGAGAACGTGCATGGCTACCGGGTCGAGGATGCCACCAAGCTCAACATCGACATGGACGACCTCATCATCATCCTCGCCACGGTGCAGGCGCAGGAGGAGCTCCACGCGCTCAATGCCAACGGGGCGCTGCAGAAGTTCAACGCAGGCCCGATCCAGCCGTGCGAGTACGTGTTCGGGGTGGACAACCTGAAGGATGCCATCGCCACTGCTGCGACCTTCACCGACGTCGTCCTCGGCACGCTGCAGGATGTTGAAAACGACTTTGGGCTGAGCGGCGACATCGGATTGATCCGCGGGGTTGCATCGGTCATCGGGCAGGAGGGCGAGCAGAACGGCTTCTACCGCCTCTTCCAGGGCAAGCGGCCCTCGGCCGAGCCGTTCCTGACGGCCAGCACGCGCGAGTTTGCCTTCTCGGCGCTGAACCAGAACTTCGTGGTCGAGGGCACCTGCCCCAACATCGACACCATCGACCTCCCCATCTTCGAGCCGCTCAAGCTGATTGGGCAGCCGCAGCCCAAGGACAGCATCGTCACGTTCCAGATCCAGTGCAACGGCACCATCGACGAGGACGGGCTGTCGCTGGTCCTGATCAATGGCCAGAACCTGCCCATCATCGAGAAGCTCCAGAACGTCAAGAAGATGGACCACGACGTCATTCAGTTCGACGCCGCCTTCCCGTTCGATACCAACCTCCTGTTCGGGCTGACCATTGCGGTTGTCACCAACACGGACCAGGGTCTGACTGACGTCGACAAGGTTGCCGATGCAACCGTCTTTGGCCCCGCCCTGATCGAAGTGAACTAAGAAGACCATATCAAGGGACGCTAGCGCCCTGGCCACGGTCCTTGCCGGGTTGACAATGTGGAGAGCGCCAGCCGCAATCGCCGTGGCGTTTTCAGAGATGCTCTTATGACAGTGTGGGACATGCATGGCACTCCTTTTCTGCTTTCTCTTTTTGAGTTTTTGCCTTAGAGTTTGTGCATTTCGCCGCGTAAAGATAGTTATTATGGCTCACCATCCATCATCGAAACTTCACTTCGACTCTTGACCACCTGTGTTCCGAAATAGCCATATTGGCGCAAGTGACATAGGCTGTGATGTGTACTAACCACGGTAGGTGAGGTGATATCCAGGGAGCGGTCCGTCACGCTGGACACGCTGCAGCCGGGAACCATGGGGGTTTTTGTGATCGTTCATGTGGTCTTCTAAGCGCTGACGCGTCGCTAGGGTGCCATGTGAGGGCGGCCACGTCTTTGAGTCGCCGGGTCGGGTCGGGTCCCCGCGCGCCAACCACCAACCCCGCTTCTGCACCTCTGCCCATCCACAGCGGCAGCCATCATGGGGAGCGTCATCTCCGTCGTCCACGAGTCCTACAAGATCATCTCAGCCGCCATCAAGACTCTCCTCGCCCTCAATGCCGATTACCAGGAACTGCTTGCCCGCGCGGCCAAGCCCCCCGGCCTCCCAGCCTCAGCCCCAACACAGCCTTACTGGCTGCAGGATCCGCCCTTTCCAGAACTGGTAGACGCCAGGTCGGAGAAGCTTCCGGAGTCCGCCGATGTCGCCATAATTGGCAGCGGCATCACCGCCGCCGCCGTTGCCCGCGCCCTGCTACTTGAGGCTCAGCGCAAGAATGCTCCGCTGGAAAGAGTTGTTGTCCTGGAAGCACGCCAGCTGACCAGCGGCGCCACGGGCAGAAACGGCGGCCACATCAAGCCTTCGTCATATGCCGATTTTGCCCAATTGAGGAAGAAGTTTGGACCCGACCGTGCTGCTGCCATTGTCCGCTTCCAGCGCCAGCATCTCACCCACATCCCCCACCTCTGTCGCGCTGAGCGGTTTGACATTGCCGAATGCCGCCATGTTGAGACAGTCGACCTCTTCTTGGATACCGCCTCGTTCGAAAGGCGGTCAAAAGAAGTCGACGAGCTTAAGAACGCCGTGCCCGAAGCCGAGCACACCATCCGCGACAGTAAAGAAACCCAAAAGGTAAGCACCTCCCCCATCACAAATCAAAACAAAACAAAAAAAACCCAAAAACTGACCCGACCCCCACCAGGCCTTCCACACCTCCTCCCAAGTCGTCGGCTCCATCGCCTACCCCGCCGCCGCCCTCTGGCCCTACCGCTTCGTCGCCTCCGTCTGGCACTCCCTCCTCACCCAGTTCCCCTCCACCCTCTCCATCGAGACGAGCACCCCGGTCGAGCGCATCGCCTCCGCCGCGTCTGACAACCACCACCACCACCCTTTCCTGTGCCACACGCCCCGCGGCGTCGTCCGCGCCCGCCACGTCGTGCACGCCACCAACGCCTTCGCCAGCCACCTCGTCCCGGGCCTCCGCACCAAGATGACGGGCCTCCGCGCCCACATGTCCGCCCAGCGGCCCGGCACTGCTTTCGTATCAGACCCCGCCGGCGCGCGCTCGTGGGGCATCATGTACGGCGCCGGGTTCGACTACGTGACGCAGCGGCCCGCGGCGGCGGCGGCGACGACGACGACGACGACGACGAAGGCGGCGGGTCCTGGAACGTCGCCCTCCGATGATCTGGGTCAGCCGTCAGACGGAGGGGCAGAAGGAGGAGAAGCGCGAGCGGGAGGGGAGGAAGGCGGCGGCGGCGGCGACATCCTCCTCGGCGGCGGCTTCCTGCGCTCCCTCAAGCAGGGCCTCGACCAGACGGCCGTCTGGGACGACTCGCGCCTCGACGCCCTCACCGCCACGCACCTCAACGGCGTGCTGCCCGCCGTCTTCGGGCCGCGGCACTGGGGCCCCGACGCGCCCGGGGGCCGCCTCAAGAGCATGTGGTCCGGGACCATCTGCTTCACGGCCGACGCCGTGCCGTTTGTCGGCAGGGTGGATCCGCGCTTGACGGGGCGGAGTGTCGGTGTCGGGAAGGCGGATGCTGCTGAGCGGCGGGAGGGGGTGGTGGAGGCGGGGGTGGAGCCGGGGGAGTGGATCGCGGCGGGGTATCATGGCGATGGCATGATTTACGCGTGGCTGTGTGGCACCGCTGTCGGGTTGATGCTCGCGGGGTCAGAGGACGATGAGGGACTGCCCGACAGGCCGGGCTTGCCGGGAGGGAAGGTGGACGCGTGGCTGCCGAGGGAGCTGAGGATCAGTTATGATCGTGTCAAGGGGTTGAGTCTGGCTGATCTGGCGGATGAGATGGAGTAGGGGGCAGACCCTTTGCGCACGGGAGGATGATCTGCCGGCGCTGCATGTCTGTATCCTGTGCTTCAACGCATGATCGAGATCGTGGATGCGTGACAGCATCCGCTTGGAGAAGAAAGTAATCCTCTACTAGAGCACATTGCGCAGAAGAACGCCACGGCCAAAAAATAGAGTCGTACGTAAAAGGCCAAAGCAGCATCATCAACAGCCAACCGCCCCGGCCACCGCTAACCTCTCCTCCATCATGTCCGTCACATACGCTCTCCGTACGTAGAAGTTTATCAAAGCTGCTGAAGACTCGGTACCCCATATGGTCATCAGAAGGCCTATGCTGAGTAGGAAGGGGCCACCAACAACTCAGACAACTGTACGTCGACGAATGATTTTGATTCGATGAGGAGCTTGACATTGAAACAGAGTTGTTGAAATTTGTGCCCGCGGTGCTTTCTTTCACAGCGTGGTGTGGTCGAAGCGATTGCCCGGATGCAGACGTCGATTCGGACACCTTTCCTGCGTCTGCCGCTATAGAGAACATCTCGATACAAATGTAACATCTAACACGTTTCTTCATATACAGACAGTTGAAGTAAATAGCTGGACGCGAAAAAGAGGTCTCAGCTTGTTCAAATAAAGATAAACCCAGTATGTGCATTATCTACGTATACAAAACATGTACAGACTTAACTCTCTACCAGCTAGCTATCAGCTGAAACTCTAGAGCCCCCAAACACTTTGACGCGTCCGCAAGCTGATGGCGGGTGTTGCAAAGAGAACTCCGTTAAGCGCTGGTTGGATGTCGCTGCCGGGCGTGGGGATCCTTCGGGGGAAAAAATGGCCCGGTATTACTGGCCGCGTATGATGTTTAACATGACCAGAAAGTTGCTTTTTTTATCCTCTCTCTCACATGTTTCTTAATTTCAAACCAACCACAACCACCGCCAAGCTTTTGTTTTTGTTGTTCGTGGCTGCGATTCGCTGCGGGATTATTCCAACATGGAATCGTCTGAGGTCAGACGGACACACACACATACACACACACTCTCTCTCTCCGCCCCAAATTTCTCTCCTCACATCATCTCCAAACCTGATCTCATCCGCGTGTACTCTCAGAAGAGATTTTCCTTTGCAATTTAGCCCAGAGTTGATTCTGACCCTCTGCTGCCTTGCTGAGCACGAATGACGACGACTTGTACGCGCACGCGACCTTTTTTCCTCCTTCTCTTTTTCTCCATTTGCAGTGTGTCAGGGCACAAAGGAAGTAGGCAAGAGTCGACCTCTCTGCCAGAGAATCCGCTCACCTTCCTCACGGCTGGCTGGCATTTGACGTTCCTCTTTCGCTTCTATAAGCACACATCGCCCCCTTCCTCGCCGTGCTTGCCATGGCTGGGGAGAGAACGCTTTCACGACGATGGTATACAGATACTCTGATTTAGATTATTTTTAAGCCAAACACTATCAATCGGTAGCAAGAGTTGGCGTGGCTGGCCGTGCTTCATCTGTTCATCACGCTTTTCCTTCTCAAAACCTTTTTCCTCCACCAATGAGAACCAGAAAAGATAAAAGCAAAACTTTGGGGTATCAGGGAATCTGAGGGCAAGAGGCTAAGATATCTATACTTTACGGGCGTGATGGGGAAAGGGAGAGAATGAGAAAGAGAAAGAAAAAGAAAAAAGAAAAGAGAAAGAAGAAGAATGAAAAACAAATCAGCAAAATGCGGCAGTAGCAGCAGGATCCACCCACCCACCCACACTGCCTGCCAATACCAAACCACTTCTCGGGATGCAACTTCAGCCAGACAAGACCAGGCCGGCCACCAAAAAAGCCATTCAATCATCAATCCACCAACCAACCAACCAACCAACCCCCCATCTTTCTCCCCTCAACAATCCGCCAAAATCTCCCCAAGAAATCCCACCAACCAACCAAAACCCCTCCATCCCTAATACCAACCCGTCTCAAAATACTCGTCCTCCTCCTCATCGCCGTCGGTGGTGTCCTCCTCCTCCTCCTCGTCGTCGTCATCGACGTCAGAGCTCCACAAAGCCGCTGACTCCACCGCCGACGCCTTGGCGTTGCCGCTGACCCTCCTCCTCATCGGTCCTCTCGCCGGCACCGGCGCGCCCGAGACATGGTTCCAGACGAAGTAAGAAGGCGCGTCTGCGTCGGCATTGTCGGCAGCGCGGGGAGCAGGGGCACGTTGCTGGATGACGGGCGGGAAAGCTGGCTCGGCGTCGTTCGTGTGTCGGTTGAAGGCTTGGTCGATGCGCTGCAGGTGGGTGTCGACGTCGTCGGTGTTGTTGTTGTTGTTGTAGTCGTGGAACGGCGGCGGTGCTTGCGGTTGCTGCGTGTGCTCGTAGGTAGGCTGTGGGGCGGTGGTGTACTGGCCGTGGTGGGTGTAGTAGGGAGCGGAGTACTGCAGCTGGTCGTAGGCGTGGTCGAACGCCGCTTGTTGTTGCTGCTGCGGCGGGAAAGGCTGGCGACCAAACGACGATGCTGGGGGTTGTTGTGCCTCCTGCTGCTGCTGGAATTGGTACGTCTGATCCGAACCGCCGTAGGCTCCTCCCCTGGCTTTGAGACTCGCCACCTGTTGTAACTGCTGTTGAACCACTTCCCTGTGATTCTGGTATACCTCCTGTAGCTCGCGAGATTTGTCGACACAAAGTTGATTCCATAGAGCGCGCCTGGCTACCGGGGAGCTCACCCTGCCCTTCTCGTACGCCCTCTGAAGTTGCCTCAACCTGACGTCCTTCATGTACTCGAGCGGCTGCAGACGCTGCTCCCTCCTCTTCAGCAGGCGGTCGTCATCAGCTACCTGTTCTGCAAACCGCCTGCACCCCTTCAAGTCATGGTACTGCTTATAGCGCCGGATGGCCTCTTCGTTGTAGCACTCAACCAGGGTGTTTCCGTCGCGCGTGGCGCGCGTGTCCCTCAAGACGTGCACCTCTGATGGCCAGTCGGCGAATGCTTCCTGGGCAATGACCTCGTTCTCGAGCTCGATCGCTTCCATGCGCCTGTCGTAGTTCATTGAACGGTCCGTCCAATACTTCCAGGCCGGGCTTCGCTTCTTTTCTAGAGCGTCCAGCATCTCCATCTGCCATCCGCGTAGCAAGGGACCGGTGTGAGTGGAACTGCCTCCGAACTCCCAGCCAAAAGCCGGTGGCATGGCGGTGGGAGTGTCGGAAGGGGAGTCGACGTCAGGCCTGACCTTTATAGTCTCCGACGAACTGTTGCGGTAGTGACCGAGATTTTGGAAGCGCATGGTGGAGCTCCCATCAGGGATCGAAGTGGCATGGCTGTGCTGAGGATGGACTGACGGCTTGTTTAGCGAAGGCAGTTGATGCAAGGATTGTTGGCGTCTCGTGTTTTGAACGTCGGGGGCAAACTGGTACCCGTTTCTAGTGCCGCGCTGAGGGAGGTAGCTCTGAGTGTCGTATTGCGTATGCTGCTTCTGAAGAGGGGGCGTAGAATCCGGCAGATCGATGTGTCCGTGCTGCATGGTGCTCCTCATGAGCTCCGGAATTGGGGTATCTGAAGTACGACCACCAGTTAGAAATGGATCCAATCCATCCTTACCCATATCTTTCGCGTGCTCCTCTTGAGTCGGAGCGTTCTCGGTTTTGGTCCCTCTACGACGCTGCTCCTCCTCTTCTGACAGCACGACTGGCTCGCCGTCCGCCGGGCTCCACACCTCAAGCTGAACCTCGCCTTTGCAAAAGTACTCGCAGAAGGTATTCCAGTAGTTCAGGTCGACACCTTTACCCGTCAGCAGCGGGTACGCGCCGCCGCGTTGGAAACGCACGCACGTAAGACGCTGCCTTTCGTGGACGAGAACCGAGTTGATATCACCCGACATGCTAGTGGAAGTTTGTTCCACCCGGCCTTTGACTACGTCTACCTTGAGGCAGCAAGAGCGTTGGGGCGAGAAAGGCGCGTTTTCTTGGTCCTCAGCGAACCGCAGTACACTGTCGCTGGCACAGTGCCTCGTGTCCGCGTGCGCCCGGGCAGTCGTATTGTACTCGGCGTACGCCCGGGCATCCTTCAAGTGCACCCGGCCACTCTCATGCGTTGCCAGATTTTGGCGTACCTGGACGGTTTTGGGGGCCAACGGTGCGCGACCGGCGGCTGATCTGCCCTGGGGTTTGTTGCTCAGCTCTTCATTCGACGACACTTGGGTGCGAACGGGTCCGGAAACTTCCAAGAACCTTGATGTATGTGCCGAAGGCCAAGCCATAATCTGCCATGAGTGCTGGGCAGAATCTTCGCCCAGCAAGGGCGCCTCAACATCCAGATCCTGAACTGAACGTCTCCTTTTCGCCACGTGGACCCTCGTTCCGGTCTTTTGATCCTCAAAACTTTTTGAACCCTTGAAATTATATCCCACAAAGCGCTGCTCTTTTTCTCGAACGAACAAGACGGTCCAGACGGTGGGTTTTGCGGTAGAAGTCTCATGGAAGTTGGGGCCGCGATCGATAATGTTGAACAGGGCCAACCGCGCGTCTTCAGACTCGGGCAAAACTTCGATCTCAAACATTTTCAACGCGGCAACATCTTGATTTTCGGTGATTGTGAACAGCTTCACCGGCTTCTCCCTGAGCTCCGCAGGCACGTACGGTTCGACACAGGGAAGCGTCCTCGCGGTGATGGACTCGATCGGAATCTCTCGAGGCTGCAACAGGCACAAGCCTTCCCAGTTCTGGCGGCCGAAGCGGAACCACTGGTCGAAGATGTCTTCAAGATTCGGAACAACATTGCACTGCGTGGCGGGCGGGCAAGGCGATTGTGGCGGCGCAGGATACTGTTGCAGTGAGCTCTGCGTTGTGTTGTCGTCGTTAGTGGTAGCGCCAATGTGCTTCAACAGCATGTCGGACAGAACATTGTTTTGTACATTGTTGCGGTCATCCCCGCATGTTTCGCCCTCGGCGTCGATATCCCCTTTGTCCTTGTAGATGTGGAACTCACTGCTCGCGGCCCTTTGCGGGCTGGGCGCCACAGGAGTGAAATCATATCCAAGAGCTTGCGATTCTGCACTGACAGCTGAAGAGGAACCGCCCATATGAGAAGCTGTTTTGACCTCTTGGGTCGGTGCGGCGGGGAAAGTGAAGCCCAAAAGGTCCGGGTGATACTTGCGCTTGGTTGACTGAGTAGGCCCGACGTGGGCGGGGTCCTTCGAGGATGAGTCAACGTTGACCTGCGTCTTGAAGTTGGCCGACAGGTGAGGCAAGCTGTTTTTGGCTATGGGCTTGGCTGCGGACGTGGTTGCTTCGCGGAATCGGGGTGTAGGCTCATCCTTCCGGATGTGCTGGCCAACAATGTCAATATCGGCAGTTGGTGCCCACTCCGTCGATGCGGTGGTCGATGACAGCGATCGCGGGTGCTCTGAAAAGGCAGCAGCTACTGAAACAGTAGGTGACGAAACAATGTCAGCGCTCGGGACCGGTGGTGGTGCAAGGAATGGCTTGTTGACTTTGCCGTAGCCGAGGACGCCGTGCAAGATCATGGAGCGGCCGGCTACAGTCGGTCTATGATCTTTGATGCGCTTCCGTTCGATGGTGCGCAGCCGCTTCCAGTGTTGCTCATCGTGCATGGTGTCGTAGCTTCGTGTTGTAGCGCGTTAAAAGAGCGAAGACGGTGGATGCGCTGAAGAGCGGTAAGGTTTGCAGGCAAAAGAGGAAGAGGAGTGTCGCAAGAAAGGGTTGAAGTAAAGCGAAAAAAGTAGTATTATATAAAGGGCGTCTGTCAAAGTGCGCAGCCGAAGCAAAAGCCTGGTCCGTCGGCTTCACCTCACGTGCAAGGTCTTCAGATTCTCCGGGTTGCCCGCCGGGAAGGCAGTCACGAGGCAAGTAGCGTAGTATAGTGAGTGAAAAAGAACGAGCGGCAAGGTGCTTGAGGCTCTCATGCGCCCGTCGTTGGGCCCTGCCTCTTTGCGTCGTGTTTCCAGAAGGTCTGACCCTGGTCAGCTGTCCTCCGGCCGTTGGCCCAAGATGGTTTTACGTCGAAATCAATACGTGACTGCCTCAGTGCTAACACCACTTGCAAACACTTCCACTCTCACGACGGTGATAATCTCCGCAAACAGGTCTTGGCAAACGGGGAGTCACGCGGCATCGACTAGTACGGCGGTTGAGGTCATGATGTTGGACGTCAGCATTACTATTCATCACAGAGTATGGCGACCCTGACCGGCTGTACTTTCCGACAACATCTCCATGCACAATCATTACAACTCGGACTTGTCGCAGCCCCCGCTGCTGGCGTCGCCAACGGAGAACTTGTAGATGGCCTCCAACACGTAGGGCGGATCCTCGGGGCCGAAGATCTGCTTGCTGTCGCGCTGCCACTCTGGTTGGTTGATCCCGTCGATCCAGTCCTCCACTTCCATGACGACGCACCCGTACTGCTCGACAACGCGCGGGCGATCCGGGTCATCGAATAAGCCTTGGGTCTTCTTGAGTGTCAAGGTCCCTGCAGGAAAGTCAGTATCAGGCACCGACGCTACCTACACCATTGTTTGACTCTTACCGTTCTGGCCGCCGCACGAGTAAACCTGGAAAGCATCCTGGTCGGTGAAAACGTCTACCTTGATACCCGAGAAATCACTCGAGAGACTGGCCACGGGGCCCTTGGTCCGCCAGTCATAGGGGCCGTCCTGTGCACGGTTGACAATGTAGCACGTGTCATAACCGCTGCAGCCGGTGCCGCAATTGCCAACGATCTCGGGGTCATTGAAGCTCGCGCCAATTTGCTTGGGAGCGCTCCAGAAGTCGTTGACGGAACCCTTCTGGTTAGGCAGGATGGTGCCGTTGGGGATCAAGATGCCATCGGTGCCAATGCGCTGGCCGGAATAAGGGAGCGACAGGGTATGGTTGAGGGCGGTCGCCGTCTCGTTGTTTGCGAAGCCATCCAAATTCCAGTACGTCTGGAGTCGCGTCAGACAAAAAAAAAAATTGTCGGCACATGTCACAAAACTCACATGAGAACTCAGCATAATCGGCGTCTTCTTGGTCAGCGCCGTGGCGTACATCTTCAGGTGCCAAGCATAGGGAGTCAGAGTGTAGGTGATGTAGCTCTTGACGGCTCCAGGGAAACCTTGGTCTCCATCGGGATCGAGAAGAGAGAAGGTGATGGAGTTTTCGGTGTGGGCCTCGACGGTAAAGTTGCGCTGAGCACTGTTAGAGGATGCAGGCGGGCAAGGAGGCGAGGAAGCGAACGCACCCAGTCCCAGCCATCAGATCCGCCGTGCAGCGTGTCCAGACCGCCATTCTCGTTGGCGTCAACGTGGTAGGTTACGCCGTCGATCTCGAAGGTGCTGTTCTTGATGCGGTTTGCGTAGCGTCCTTGGGGTTGGTCAGCCACAGCCGCCATGCGCTTCCTCCCGCAAGGCTTGAAACATACCGGGCACGCCACCAAGATGCGGGTGCAGCTTATCGATGCCATAGTAGCTCGCATTGTCAAAGCCCAGCACGATGTCGCGCTCGACGCCATTGGTGTCGTTGATGAAGAGGTTGGAGATGGAGGCGCCGTAGGCAATGAAGTTGGCGCGGATGCCCTCAGCCGAGATCTCGTACTTGCCGTCGGCGTCCTGTGCGTGCGCGGCGGGGAGCAGCAGCGAGGCCGCGGCGGCGACGAAGGCGCGGGAGGCTACCATGTTGATGATGCGCGCTGATGAGATTAGGGCTCCAATGGCACCGGGGACGGACAGGGCGGAGGCGGGAGAGAGCACATTCCTGGGGAGCGGGCAGCGTGGGCCTTATAGGCAGAAGCTACCTGGGCGCACGCACGCGCATGACCGGCGAGTTGGTAAGACTCGAGCGCATTTCTGGGCCATTTCCGGGGACAAGGGAGGCCTGCTGCGGGGGGAACTGAATGAAGGCAGGAAGGATCATCAGGCACGGCCAGTGCGCTGGGATCAAGCTTTGGTGCAACCCTTGTCGGTGAGGCCAAAGACCGGTGGGCGCATGCGGCGCGAAGGATCCGGCGGGCGGAGGCTGTGGCAGATGAGGAGACGCGGCGCGGCACAGTCGATGTCATAATTCACTTGTTTGCTGTTTGTCTCCTGGGGGCCACTCTCCCACTGCGGGGGAAGCGGCGGGGGATGCGCCGCCAATTTCCGGCCACCCCAGATCCGCCGCCAGCGCGGTCATCATCAACCGGGAACGCTCGTGGCTCCTTTCTTTTTTTTTTCTTGATGGTCATTACTATTTCTTGTTTCGCATACAGACGAGATCGGTACGAGGCTAGTAGTAGAAGAGACGGCGGTGTTTGTTCCTCATACCTTGCCCCACGCTTGCCCCCAGAGCCGCACCTGCACTCACACACGGCGCGGCTTCCCCGCATCCCCAGGCCCTGTCATGCATGCAGGCAAACAACTCCGACCGGAACAGCTACTACCCCGAATCCTGCTGACGCAATGAATACCTATGGACCGACGCGTCGTGCTCTGGTTGCCTCGCTGCGTGCAACGTCACGCTGTGCATCCTGTGGCGCTGATTAACCGTTTGTCAAGTCGAGCACTTCGATCTCGCTCTGCCGCCACGCCCGCCGCCGCCTGCCATCCCTGCCTTCCGCAATTCTCCTGCTTTCCGTCATTTTCCTGCCTCCCGCGTCATGGCCCGACCCATCGCCAGTCATGTCCACCATGTCTACACTCAACGCGTCAACCAGCTTCCAGCTACCTTGGAGGCTCTCGCGCAATTTGATCGCTTGCTTTCTGCTTGGCTTTTCGCTCATCTGGCTTGGAATCACGTCCACGCCCACGTCCGGGCCCGAGTCTTGTCTAGCTGGGTCGCCGGGGTGGGGCGCTGAGCTCCGAGATACCCTTGCTCGTGCAGAATCCGTGCCGCCCTGCACCGAGACAAGCCCTGCCACGGTCGTTTCCTTGCGAAGTTGGCGTGGTGAGCGCCGTAGCCCCAAAGACATGTCAAGCGATACACCTTTCGATGTTCCTCTTGAAGACGACTGTTTTGTTTCATGCAAGGTGTCGTGCAGCGTTCCGACTGTTTTCAGCCGCCTGCTCCCGTTCCCGGTTGTGGCTTGAAGCGCCTTCTCGTCTGGACTTGTCGTTCTGTCGTGACTTGACCGTCGTGACGCCTCACTACTGAGCTCAGGAAGCTGCGACGGCATTCGGACTGAATTATTGCCATTTGACTGAATCCTTGTTTCGCAAACACGGGGAGATGAGCCACTGAGGTCTAGTGCTTCCACTTCATCAAGCCCGGAAATACCGTCCGTCACACCCCGGTCAGTCACTGCTGAAATAGGATCTCGACGAGCTCTTGAGGGAGAGACGGTCGTTGACACCCTGAAGGATTCCTCAAGTGTCGTTTGTCGCTTTGAAGGTGACACATCGTGTACCTCTTTCTGCTGCTGTCGCCGTTTTGACGGCGTGCTGGGGCCGCTGGCTTGTGAGCTCCCAGTTCCTGTTGCCTGTACAGCCTTCCGAGCTTTGGAAGATCTCCCTCGACTCAGCTCTCCTTCGCGGACCCGTTGAGAGGCAGTCGATTTGGAGACATCTCCCGCGACTGATAATGTCTGTGAAGTTTTGGGAATTGCTGTAGGTTCGCTTGGCTGCGTGTCTACGCAATGACTAGATGAGGTTCCAATCGTTTGCAGAGTACGAACCCGCTTAGTCACATTCGTGGACATGTAATGTGCATCCGCAGGTTGGCGCTGGGGCTCCGTTTCCTTGGTGAGCATGATTGGAGACGACGACAAAATCTCAATATGAACGGGTTCTTTCGCTGCCCGCGGAGGTGAACTAGGTGCTTTCGAAGGCTTCCGCGTTCGAGTCGATGAGGCCAGCGGCAAGTCACTGGGGATTTCTTCCACCTTCTCACAGTTCCTTGAAAGGTCCAGTCTCTCAATGGTGGGAGACCGACGCTTCGCCGGTGGGCGTGTAACACCGGGTTTGGAAATTTTAGCAAATCGATCCAAAGCTCCTCTCTGCATCCCACCGGTAGTGACTGGCTTAGTGGCGCGGGGTTTTGTGACCTTCGCTGGTCTTGGTGCAGTCTTCTTGCGCTGAGTCTCTTCCCAATCCTGCACTTTCAGTGGTGCGCCAACCTTGACAATGCTTTCAGGAATCCAAATCTTTTCCAGTTTAGTTGGGTCGTACAGATACGGTCCACGCTTCTTGGGCGCTTCGCCGTCCTCGTCCCCGGCAATTGCAAGATCTTCCTCTTCTTCGTCGTCGTCTTCGTCGGGCTCATCGTCCGGCTCTTCAGCATCCAAGTCAATATGTACAATACCAATCGGTGAAAATGCAACACGAAGCTCAGGCGTGTTGTCAGTAGAAGGATGCTGGCGCCTGCCATGGATGCTTGCCACCAGCGCTGCTTCCTCGGTTGCCACGACCTCAGGGTCTTCGGAAAGACCACCTTCAGTAGCAGCTTGTCCTCGCAGGCGCAAGTTTCGAATAAGGAGCGCCGGAGCAAGGTTGCGGATGAATTTCTTCGCTCCCGAAACCTTCACCCATTCAAAGGCGTCGCCAGTAAATGTCCGCAGCTCCGGGAAGTTCAGCTCTTGGTCCCAGCGGAGGTTTCTCTTCAGCCGTTCCAGAGCTTGGCCCGAGGAGACGGCAGGCTTTGTATAGTATGCAAGAATATCCGCGCGGGGGAACTCGTCCGGAATGGCAAGCGCCTTGTGTTTGCATCTGAAGAATTTGCTCTCGTTGGTGCGCAACTCATGGATGAGCGACTCGCGCCAGGCTTGCAAAGCAGAAGTGTCTTTCTTCGCAATGGCACACAGCCGACGGCCGAAACCAGCTCGAGCCGCCTCACACGCAAGCTTCGGGCCGCAGTTTGGAATCCCTTCAGGCAGGTAATCGCCTCCGCTCATGAGTGCGACAAGTATCATGCCCTCCCGGTCAAGCCCTGCAGGGCCAGCCTTCGTTTTGTCCGCATCATACAGATTGACATGAGTCGGCACCTTGCTCGACTTCTGTTCGGGCGACCAGTTCCGCAGGGTAACCCGGCTGCCGAACATGAGTGTGTCCACGTCCTCGCTCAACACAGCATCCACAAGCCCTTCTCGCTGTAGAAGCGCGCATTCGGCTTCGGCCTCGCCCGGGGCGATATGGAAGGGAAAGCCAAATTGTTTCAAGAGCTGCTTGGCGAGGAACTCGGGGATCGAGGCGACGTTGGGTCCGGTGCGCTTGTTGCGCTTGAACGGGGGCTTATTCGGGCCATCGAAAACGAAGAGAGGGTGGATAGAGTGCGTGAGGAGGCGCAACAGCCGGTAGTAGAAGGTGCGGAGCGCAGGGTTGGTGCCGCCTATGCCAAAGTCAGAGGGGGCCTGGAAGCAACCGTCGCGACGCACCTTTGCTGGACTGAATCTGGAACAGCCAGATAGAGGTGTCAATGGCAATGCGCAGGGGCCGTCCGGTCTCTTCGAACTTCTCGAGCGCAAGCTTGTGCAGGGCTATGCGCTCGCCGGGGCCGATCTCTTTGTAGATGCTGCAAAGCGGTTAGCGGTGGCGGGCAGGGCGGTGGAAGAGCGTGGCGGCTGACCCGTGAATGCCCATTGCTGTCGCATGGTGCAGCAATAGCGAGCAGAAGCAAAAGAATCAAGGCCAGCAAGATGGGCGGTGGCGAGGCAACAGCAGCAGTGGATTGCGGACTTGGGAGCGGAGGTGCGTGGCCCGTGCACGCCGGCCGGTTGCTGTAAACAAAGCAGCAGAGCAGATCAAAACACGCGAGAGCTCGCTCCCCACCCTGCTTCCCCGAGACACCACCACCACCGCTCCCACCAGGCTGCGCTGCCTCTCCCACCACGCAGCTCTGCCCGACGCTCTTCTCTTCAATTCTTCACCACGCTGCGGAGAAGGCACGTGGTACAATTATCCGGCCCTGCAGCTGTGCGTGAGCTTTGTTTCCTTTCCACCTGCTCTTCCTTGGCACAGAGCTTGTCCATTCTTCGTTCGCTGCAGACTTCCAACGGACTTGGCTGACAGCTGTTACTTCACACTATCAGAACGACGGAGCTCGCCAATCATGTCTTCTTCTCCGGATCCATTGACCTTCGTGACGTCGAGCTCGCCTTCCAAGAGCGCAGCCACCCGCCGTTCGGCCAAACGGGCAGCCCAGCCTTTGGCAAAGCTGTCCTCCAACGTCAAACGATCCGACCCTTTTCTCGAGCTTCCGGATATCGCAAATCTCTCGCCCTCCAAGTCCATCACCATGACCACCCCCAAAGCTGCCGGCTCGTCGCCCTGGCACATCAAGGTGACCGTCGAGGCCCAGCCGCAGGATGGCTTCTCGCAGGACGAGAATAGTCTGACCTCGCCCACCGGCGCTCGCCAAGCTCGCATTGCTACCACTACCACTACCGTTCCGTTGAACGATGTAGATGGCTCGTCGCCGGTCAAAAGACGGGGAAGGCCGAGGAAAGCGGACACGCCGCCCGCGGCACACAGGGTGGATGCTGAGGTCTCTCCGATAAAGAAGCGGGGAAGACCGAGGAAGTCGGACGCAGCCATCGCCAGCCAAACGGCTACCGTTCCGCTCAATGACGCCCGTGGCTCGTCGCCAGTCAGGAGGAAAGGCAGAGCGACAAAGGCTGAACCCACTCCAGTCCCTGGCAGAGCTAGGAACGGTACACCCGTGAGGAAGACTAGAAAATCGGTCACTAGGAGTCCCGATCAGAGCGAGACCGACTCGTCGCATAGCGATGCTTCATACTACCCCACCAAGCGCGGTGGCGCCCGTGGGGGAAGGAGCATGTCCAAGGATGTCCACGTCGCCGAGCCCATTCGCGCTACTGCCATGTATGGACCGAGGTCGCCCTATCAGTTGGATGGTGCGATGGACACCGGCTCCTCCGTGGGGCAAAAACGGCGATCGACGGCAGCTGGCTCTCAGCTCGAGGCTCAACCCGATGCGATTGAGGAGGAAGAAGCTGAAGACCTTGAACAGACACCAAAGGCAAGTTCGTCGAAAAAGGCTACCACCGATGAGGAAATGTGGCGATCCATGATTAGCCACCATGAATACGAAAGCGAGCAAACGGCCGAGGAAGAGGACGACTCGTCCGACAATGATCTCGACATTGTTATGCCTGACCACACCGTCGGCGAGACCACGATGCTTCACAGTGAAGAATTTAGCATGGTCTCCTTGTACTCTTTGCCCAGTATGCAGGCTGCGCGCAATGGCCTGTCGCCTAAAGATGCCCAACCAAATATTCCTAAGATTCCCTCTCTTCGAACAGATCCGATCCCGCAGGTCCGCAGAGAACGCCTCAGCAGACACGCCGTTACGTCCTCTGTCCCCGAATTCAATGACTCGGTCGCTTCCGTTTCGTACATGCCATCCTCGCCGCCGGAGCGATTTATCACGAGCACTCCTGCTGAAAACCAGAGTCTAAAGTCTCCGTCAGGGCCACCGGCTATTCAACAGGCGGAGATCTCACCGTCAAAGGCAGAGGCCCCTAAGCTGGTAAATGTTGTCAAGGCCGCTATTGCACTTCAAGGCGTTGTTAACGGTAATAATCGGGGTACACAGAATAGGAGACCGTCGGACGATATCAGAGAAGAAGCACAGCGTGCCAGACTCGACGACATGTTCAATCAGTTCCAAGCTGGAACAAGGAGAGAGCTGCAGGCCGGCTTGCGTCTTGGTGAACAACTCGCCGAGCGTGCCCGCTCGCGAAATACATCCTGCGAGACCGCTTCTGATGAACCAGAGCGGAATGCGAATGCTGAGCGGCTAGCAACGCCGGCCAGTACTGCCGCTTCAGATGGCGATGTCTTCGATGGTCCAAGCACCAACAGAAGCCCGAACCATGACTCGAGCAACCACCGCCTCCCCACACCGGACGAAAACGATTACGCCCTCCCATCTCCGCCGCCACCTCCATCTCAACTCCTGACTCAGCAACCGGATCCCGCTGTTGCCCCCGCTCCAGCTCAGCTCTTCAGCCCAGCTCGGAGCCAGGCAAGCCCGGATGCAGGGGACATGCAAGATGATGGTGCGAGAACCCCGCCATCTATCGGGAAAGAGAAAGGAGAAAAATCTACAAGCCATCAAGGCAGCGGACCACACCAAAAAACCCGCGAAGGTAATGGAAACCGTCGACAACGGCGCCGCCAGGGGGCTGCCCAGATGGCAGATGAACCCAGCCCAAGCCAGGTGATCGAGATTAGTTCCGATGGTAGTGAAAGTACCGACACCACTACGGAATCATCCGAGAATCCCTGGGATGGCGATATCTGGGAGGAAGAGGGGGGCGGCGCTCCCGAATCGCGATTCGCGAGGCGCGCGAGACGCGTTGCCGCGAAACGCTCTGGAGAGAAGACAGGCGATGTCGCTGGCCCATCCAACCCCCGCAGCGGCAATGCGAGCAGATCTTCTCAACCCCAGTCTTCGTCACCACCTTCAGATAGTACCCAAGCACCGGACGCTTCAAGTGCTGCCTCCAGGACCCGAAATACTGCAGGCCGCCGGTCTGCTCGGGCGCAGAGATCGAGCAGGCAGGAGTCTATTGAACCTACGACAACTTCGGAAGCTGCGGTTGAAGTCGAGAGCACAGAGGACACTGGTCTATTCTGGCAGCGTTCATCCGAATCACCAGCACCAAGGCCCACCCAACCCGAAAGCAAGAAGCTGGATCTATCTATGTTAATGGCTATAGACGACAGTCCGGCCAAGGAAGTCAAGGAACCAGTGCTGGCCACACCACCCAAACTTGAGCCTTTGAGATTACCCTACAACATTGGCACCGCCGCTCAAAACTCTCCGGTTCGAGGAAGCCCGCTGAAGCAGCAGGTCATATTCTCTTCACCATCTGCAGTCAACAGCAGCCCGTATCAGAGGATTGAGCACACCATTGCCAGCTCAGTACTGAACGATGGCGATACCATGATGATTGACGAGGAAGACATGACGTTGGAGACTAGGCAATGGGCGCAGGCACTCGGCAATCGCGCTTTCAACGGCCGACAACGCGTTATTCCTCCCAGCCCTGCTGTCTTTGCAGAAGAAGATCGGATGGTTCAGCGTCAAATAGAGAATGAGCTCACACCACGCAGTGCCCGCATCAAAAACCTCAATTTGTCGGGCGACGGAAAACGTCTGTTTGCGAACAATGACTCCGCCGTACAGTCTGAGACCTCGGTCCAGGAAGAGCAGTCATATCTCGTGCAGAAGCAATCCGAGCAGTCGGCTAAGAGATCTTCGCGTCTCAGTAGTCATTCTGCTCAGCGCTCATCCCATGCAGGCCAGAACACCGTGGCCGAAGACACCCACATGGAGAGGGAGCAGCCGGCCGAGCCTTCGATTCTTGGAAACCGCTCCCATATGACGGCCCTCAATCTCAACAGAGAGCGCAAGCCGTTGTTCGAGCAGAGGACGATTCTAGAACAGAAGCAGCGTGCGCCTCTCTTCGACCAAAAGCCGTTGTTCCAGTCTGCCGATATCGTTCCTGCTTCTGCCCCTAAGACAGCACCCCAAGAAGTGGCTCAGTCTGCAGGTCAACCCTCAACAGGCTTGTTCGGACGCCTATGGGGAGCTATCGCTACAACCAGCGAGCCCGAAGTTCCGCAGTTGCCCCCGCAGTTGCCTCTTCACCCTCTCGCACAACGCTACAAGCACCTTCCGCGGGTCGCACCGTGGACCAAGTCTCATTGGGACAGCCTTGACCGGATCTACCAGCGTTACAAGCGACACCCAGACGAGTTTTCTCCTCACGACCCCCTTCACAAGGCTCTCCTCGCGCAGAGACTCCGGTGGCAGCCCGACAGCTCGGAGACCAAGCCCGCCTCGGATTATGCGGGAGTGGAAATGCAGCGGTGGAACTACACGGTCAGAATCACGCCCGAGCTCCTCGTCTGCTGCACCATCTTCATGCAGCTCCTGACGCTCAGGGACGCGGCCGAGTACCGTCGCGTCACCGGCCAAGACATTGTGCACGGCAACTTCATGCAGAAGGACAAGGCCGGCGATCCGATCACGCTGAGGGACGTGATTGCGCGCATGTTCGCTGCCGTGGGCGGGGAGAGGATCCGCGCGGATGAGAAGAGGGGTGTCCGTATCAGGAGGGATTTGGATCAGTTCAAGTTGAGGTATCCGTGGGCGCCTGGTTGGTGGGACGATATGGGGAAGTATGTGCATGATTGAAGCGGGATGGACTCGGAGGGAAGGGATGGATGGTTATGATGTTCATGATGGCTGTTTTCTTCCCTCGTTTTCCTTTGTTTATTTTTGCTTGATGTGGTCAAGATGGTGGCGTACGTTCGAGATACCAATATCTGCGTGTTAGAGCCTTGTTATGCTTGGGTCTTAGGAGTAGGGCTTGATTATTTTCTGTCGAATTCATCTTTACCCTTATCCTCGGCGAAGCGCTTCTCGCTCCGATTGGTCACATAAGAGCTTGGCGAGATTCTCGCCCTTCTATTGGTTCAATCCGTTTTAAAGGTTAGGTGACTTAGGGTTTACGCGTCGACGCGTTCGCGTGCCTTCCTAACTCTTCGCTAGCTCTACAACACTTCTACGTAATCGACTAACGGCGAGCATTACCCTAGCAGCGAACAACGAATGTCTCTAGCGGCGAGCGGCGAGCACCTCCAGCGGCGGCGGCGAGCACCAGCGGTGAGCAACAAGCATCTCCAGCAGCAAACGGCAGGCGAACACCTCCAGCGGCGAGCGGCAAGCACCTTCGGCGGCGGCGGCGAGCACCTCCAGCTACGAACGGCGAGCACCTCCAACTACGCTTCGCTTCGCTGAGGAGGGTTCGCATGGATGACATCCTAATCATGCAACGAGATAAGGTGCTATGTACGTTGCGCATAGATGTAACAAGTGCGTTTATTTCGGTCTCATTCCGAGTTGCTCGAGCAAAAAGACAAGCTACTGTCCCTGTATTTACTAAAGAGCTACAGTAACTCAGCCGCAGATCTGCGCGGTCCCAGCAACCTGATTGGCCAATCTCACTCTATCGCTTCGGTACCTGCCAAGTCCACAGAGGCAAAGCCAAGGCACGATTCCCTCGTATTTTACCCGACCTCTCAGCTTTATTGGGCGCGGGATTCGCCTCGGGGTAACAGCGCTTAGGCTTGTTCGGGCCGTTTTACGATGCGGAGGGCATCGTGCACCACATCATCGTCAGAAAACAACCAATCTAAAGCCGGCTCCCGGTAAATCAGGGGCCATCTTAGGCCCCAAAACGGCTTGAGGCCCGCGCATTTATTAGACGTCTTCCCCGATGAGACGACGTTTCGGCGAATCCATAGCCGCGTGGCGTGGCGGGGAGCGGTGAACTGGGAACATGAGTGCACGCCACTTCTGCCGTCAACGTCTTTCTTTCGCATCACTGCAGCTTGAGACCATCTCTCGTCATCTTTGGCCTACGACGGAGATTCTGGCACGGCTCAGCGGTTGCGGTACCAGGTAGTACTGTACCTACTGGTGACCCGTCAACGACCTCCACCTTTGCGACTGTCCGGATTTGCTGGTCCCCCCGGATTGTTCGGCCCTGCAACGATGCTTGATATCATCGGTGCCGGTGAGAATGTCACGAGCTTCTCATGGGAGGCCCAGCCGCAGACTCGCGGCACGTTCGGCATTCTCTCGACGTGCTTCGTCACGCTGGCGCTGTGCACGTGGAAAATCGTGCATCTGAACCTGCCTGGCATCTGCCCGGACGACGATCTCGCCTGGTCGGACTGGTGGTCAGTGGACAGGACGGTGCGGCATAAACTTGTGCACATTTGCGGTGGCCATCAACTCGTGCGCCAGATCGGCTGGTTGGTCATCGGCCTGTTTGCACCCGAGTTGGTACTTGCTCCCTTCCTTGGTTCTCGTTGGACTGGACTGATGCGCCGGACAGATCGCGTTCGCCGCGTTCAAGCAATACTGGGATGCGAAACATCTGCAAAAGTATATGGAAGAAAATTACCTGGAACAAAACAAAGGACCCAGCTGGTGGCCGGCTATCCTGAGGCCAAGGGTATATTCCCCACAACAGTACCCGTGGTTGTTGCGTGGCGGTAGTTGACATGTTAGTTACAGGCCAGCCCGGTCGATGCCGAGTCCAACGACGAAGACAAACCTGTCTGGACCATGACCCACAGCTTTTACGCCGTCATGGGAGGCTTTACTTACACGCTCCGAGAAGGTTCAAGGGTGTATCTACCTGACGACCGCAATCGCGAACAGCTCACACTAAGGCATGAAGCCATCCGTTTCGTTGCGAAGTACGAGCCATCCATCATCCCAAAACTAACCGTCAATGCAATCCGAGACAAGAGCAAGGCGAGTGCTTTCGTGAAAGTCATAACCCTCTTTCAAGGTGAGGCGACTTCGACATCCTGTCACAGTATATCGGACTGACAAGCGGAACTCTTCGAAGCTATCTGGTTCAGCCTTCAGTGTATCGTGAGAATGCAGCAGGGTTTGTCCATATCTCTCCTCGAACTCACCACCTTCGCGCACTGCATTTGCGGCCTGCTGGTAGGAGCAGTCTGGCTGCAGAAGCCACTCGGTGTGCAAGAGCCGACTCCGCTGGAGATGCCAAAGTCAATCCGGCAACAGCACTGGCTCATGGCCATGCTATACACCCTCAGCAGCTTCGACCACAGAGAATCCGACGACGACCGGTACCGCAAGACGGCTAGATCGCACCACAAACCAATCGAGCGCACCAACGTGTACAACACGGATGCGTACAACAACGACAACAACGACCACGCGACCGCCAGCCAACTGGACCTATCCTCGCCAGCCGCGGCCGAAAAGTCGACGTCCCCTCGACCAGCAAGCAGCGCCAGCCAACCTCCACCCTCCTCTTCCTCCAAACGCCACAGCCGTCTCCTCCCAAAACTCAACCCCGCCCGCGCCGCCGCCTCGGCCATCCTCCACGCCCAAAAGGTCTCCTCGCCCCCCAACAACAACCATGCCGTCGACACCGACCCCAACACCGACCCCGCCGCCACCGCCGCCCTCCGCCGCTACACGATGCGCACCCGCCTGGCGCAAAAGGGCTGGACGCACTACATCCTCGCGCCGGCGGCGGCCAACACAGACGTGCTGTCGGACCCGCTCTCGCGCAACGGGCCGGCGCTGCAGCGGCGCGTGCGACGCGACCTGCGCGACGCGCTCGCGGACCGCGTGCCCAACTTCCCGCGGCGCAGCCACCTGCGGCGCGGGGTGACGCTGCGCACGCACCTCGCGGTGACGCTGACGGGCTGCGCGTACGGGGCGCTGCACCTGCTCGCGTGGGACGCGCCGTTCGCGACGCGCGCCGAGGCGGTGCTGTGGCGGCTCGCGGCGCTGAGCCTCGCCGCGAGCGGGCTGCTCGTGCCCGTCGCGCGCGTCGAGGGGTGGATGAGCGACGCGGTGAGGCCGTTTTTGCTGGATCGCGACGGCGAGGGCGACGAGGAGGAGGCGAGGCGGTTGGCGGAGCTGGGCGTCGTCGGGTTCGTGAGGAGCTATGAGAGGCCGCATGCGGATCCGGTGGCGCCGAGGCCGGGGGTGTTGGGGGTGGTGGAGGAAGGGTTGGCGGAGGCCGGGGTGGGATCACTGGGGGGGAGATCGGGCGAGGAGGAGAAGGGGGAGGTGGTGGGTCACGATGCGAGGTCGGTGGTGTCGTCGTACGACGGGTGGAGGCATTTCCGCGACCTGGTGTTCAAGGCCGGGTTGGGTTGGGCGGTGGAGGTGCTGAGGGTGTGCAGGTTGGTGGTGCTGGTGGTGGTCGGAGCCGTGTACATCGGGCTGCGCGTCTTCATCTTTGTGGAGTGCTTGATCAACGTGGGCAATCTGCCGTCGTCGGCGTACAAGGTTGTGCAGTGGTCGCAGTACGTGCCGCACATCAGCTAGAGAGCAATGAATGGAAGAACAAAGGCCGGGGCGTTGTTCGGCACAGGGCGAGTTTTCTGCCCGAAGCGGCTAGCGCCAGCGTGGTGGATGACGTGTGGTCACCCCCCGGTCTCCATCACTTCTTTCTGCCTGCCAGGCACCCAGGGTCTCACCCAGCAAACAAAACATTGACTTCGACTTCGCATACTGTAGAGCTATACTCCACGTCCAGCCCGATGGCTCCCACGACACGGAGCAAGAGCAGGAAGGCCGCGGTGGCCGGCTTTCCGGACCCCACGCAACCTACCAACACCTCGCGCATGCATGAGCTGCGCCCGCTCGAGATGCGGAACCCGGCTCAGTTTGACCCCGTTCCGCCAAAGTACACGATTGACCTGTCGCGCCCGCCCAGGGAGCGCTACAACGAAGTCGTGGCCGACTTCAAGCCTCAGCTTACCAAGCTGACCGGCCTCTTCGACGAGGTCCTCATCATGACCGGCCTCCCCGTCAAAGCAACGACGCGCTTCGCCCGCCTGTTCCTGCGCCGCGTGCGCAGCAAGGAAGAGACCGAGGAGCTGCGGGGGATCAGCAAAGCCAGCGGCGTGCCCATGCACCTGCTCGTCTCCTTCAACAGCCTCCTCGACCTCTTCATGGGCTGCACCAGCGGCGGCGCCCGCGTCCGCACCGGCGACAGCTCCACCACCATGCACCACTTCCGCACCTTGGACTGGGAGATGGACGTGCTGCGCCGCGTCGTCGTGCAGCTCGAGTTCGTCGACCGGCCGCACGGCGCCGTCGTCGCCCGCTCCGTCACCTACGTCGGCTACGTCGGCGTGCTGACGGGCGTGCGGCGCGGGCTCAGCGCCTCCCTCAACTTCCGCCCCTACCACAACGACGACCTGTCCGGCTCCGCCAACGTGAAGTTCTACTCGAACCTGCTGCTGATGCTGCTCGGCTTCCGGCCCTCGATATCCTCCCGGCTGCGAGAGCTCGTGATTCCTCGTGTGGGTCCGCGGCGGCGCAGAGATCCCGATCGAAAGGGGCTCTGGGACTTGGCCACCGTCAAGGAACGCTTCCCCGCGCTGCCCACGACCGCTGCCTATTTGATTTTCAGCGATGGCTATGAGACCGCCGTGCTCGAGAAGGATCGCGTCACCGCCACTGTGCGCTCGTCCAGCTCCTTCATCGCCATCACGAACTGTGACGTAGACGCCACAGACAGTTCCGACAAAGCCGCCAAGAAGCCGAGGGCGAAGCTTGATCTCCTCAAGGACCTGATCGAAGAGGCCGAGGACAGGCGAGTGCGCTTGGAGACGTGCTGGAACTCGGCCAAGGAACGGTGCAGGAGAAGAGGCATCCGTGAATGTTCTGTTCCTCCCGAAGACGTCGTGAAGTGGGTGCAGAGGTATCCGACGACTAACGAGACCACACATTACGCGGTCGTCATGGATCCAAAGGCGGGCGAGGTCGTGTGGGCGAAACGATGGCTGGAAGGCGAAGCCACGCAGTCCGGGCTTGATTCGTGGGATCAGGGTTGGACATGCATATAGGCGTTGGAAATGACTGACTACTTTTTAATTTATAATCCTCATAGATCCCCCAATTAATGTTGGTCACCATCCATCCACTCGACCTTTTCCTTCAGATTCCCGCGACATGCAATCCACGAGGTCCCCGTCAGTCACACCCTCAAGTACAGCCACACCGCCACAGAGCCACAGAGCCAAAGAGCCACAGAGCCACAGAACTACTCAGCGGCCTCAACCTCCTCGCTGTAGGAGCCTTCAAAGTACAGTGAGCCACTATTCATGTTGCTGCGTGGAAGCTCGGGGGAATCTCACCATAACTGCCGTAGTCTCCATAGTCTCCGTACGAGCCGTAGCCGCCTGGCGTAGTCGTGGTGGTGGCGGTGGCAGTGGAAGTCTCGGTGGCTGTGGCCGTAGCGGTGGTCGTCGTCGTAGTCTCGTCTTGGGGGGCAGGCATGGCCATGGCGCCGGCGGCGGCAAAAGCCAGAACGGAGACGATGATGTTCATGACGCCCATGTTTGACGGCTGCGAAACGATCGTGTGTGTGGGGCTGCTCTTTCCCAAATGATGGCTTGTGCTGAGGTTTAGCAAGGCCGGATCAGAGAGCGGATGGTCAAGAGTTTAAATATTCATGAGAGCCAGGCGGGCATGTCTTTCCGCACCTGACTTTGCAGGGAGTTTGGGCTTGGGGTAACCCCTCATCGGGCCGCTTTGATGGTACGCTGTGCAAGTGGGTGCATACACGAGCACCATCAGGGCATTGGATCCAAGCTCGCCATCGACAGCGAAGTGTCGGCTGATTTCCTAGTGGACCAAATCCGTACATATGCGCTTCATCTAGTCCTTTGATTGGCGCATTGCTGATTCACCTGTAGTGGTTAAATGCAAGGAGAGCTTGCTCTGCGGTGGTGTAAATGATGTGCTCTTGCTGGGATGAGGATCCGGCATCTGATCCTTGCACGAACCTCGAGGCAGGTATCTCACTTCAAATTGCACACTGTATCGTTGGAAAGGCAGAGTGGAAAGATACAGTTGTTCTGGGAATGTCCGGAATGATCATGAATCCCACTCATAAAGCTCCATACTTCGTAGCGTTTGCCCTCACCTCAAATATGATGTCTGTGAGACCGCTAAAGACTTCTCAGAGACACAATGATCTTCTCCCTTGCAAAGCAGGGGGGCCTTGCAAGACATCATCACAGTGTGGGACCGCACCTTTTCAGACGCAGCTTCCTCATTCGGTTGGTTGCCGATCACTGAACGTCATTTTTGACGATCGCGAACCGCACCTCGTGCCGCTGGAAGACAAGTATCATAGAGAAAGCAAGAATCGTTCTGATTCGGAATCATTTTGGTATTTCGTGGGCCTCCGCAAACATGTTCTCGGTCTGTTTTCTTGAATTTTGAACACAACACGCGCCAAGAAGTGATTTGGAAGGAGAACTGTGTCGAATGCGCGCTCGAGTGCATAATCTTTTCGGCGGAAACCGTGCCTTCGAGATCGCCACTTGATTCACGACGCATTTGGATAAATTTCTATTCATAGCGTTCCTACCCACCTTCCATAAATTATATCGCTATCACGCGTAGTGCGCCTTTAACTATGCTGCGTTTATACGAGGGGTGTGTGCACCATCTGTGACCGAACGGGGTAATACAGACGACCTTCCTGGTAGCCGGAGCGGGGTAGCCGACAGGGATCCCAGGCATAGGACCTGAGACCATCCACATCGAGGGTCGGCTGATGTCTTGCCTGGTGCATGCCAACCGAATTCCCTGGGGAATTGGGCCTTCTCATCGTTTTTTTCATGTGCAAACTTTGCCCACGCTTTTTCCTTGACCGAAACCCCAAGCCATGCTCGAGGACAGACGCAAGATGAGCTCCAGCTTCGAACCACAGGACCGTGAAAGACTACTTTCAGATGACGAAAGTTGGCCATACGAGAGAGCAACGCCTGCGAATGCAAGATCTTGGATCGCGACGGCGGTGCTTGTCGTCGCGACGGCGTGCATTGCCGGATTCGTAGGAGCTTGGATCGGAAGCAACAATTGGAGACGGGAGCCAACTGAGATCTCCTGTACGAAGCAGTTGAATCAGTACTGTGGGTTGCACTCTTATGGCGTTAGTAAGATACACTGACCGGTCCTCAAAGCTCCGCTCTGGGATCAGATAGAAGTTTCATATGGAATCACTCAATTCAATGGATCTTTGCTGAAAGAGAACATCTTCCGGCAGGATGCCAGCCCTGAAGTAGACGCTGCTTGGGAATCTCTGGGTATCAACTGTGCGTATACGTCTCCCTTTTCGTACTGTCCTTACCTGCACTAACTTCACCTCGAAGATCGAAGTGTTGCAATTCCTGCCGACAAGGCAGAGAAGGCCGGAATCGCTGAAGGTCAAGTAAAGATCTCCGAAAAGTATGGCGGAGGATACCCGGCGAATGTGGAAGGGCTCCACCACCTTCATTGCCTGGTAAGTGCAATTGGTTTTCGGTAAATCGAGGTGCTTTTCGTGATTGGCGACTAACAAGTGAATGCCCGTCGCAGAATCTGCTTCGGCAATCTTTGTACTACAACTACGACTACTACCACAACACGGGCAAAGGAGCCTTCTCAAACGCAGACCACATAGTCCGCAAGCACGTCTGTAAGTCAAGAAAAGCCAAACGAGCCACCCCCAGCCCAAGTGCTGATTTCTCCTTTCCGCTCGACAGCGCACTGTCTCGACATCATCCGCCAACAGCTCGTGTGCGCGGTCGACACGGGCGTCCTGGGCCAGGTCTGGTTCCAGCCGGCGAACGCGCCGCTCGAGGCCTTCGTCGACTTCAACACCCGCCACAAGTGCCGCAACTTCGACGCCGTCCGCGCCTGGGCCGCCGCGCACCAGATCCCGCCCGAGGTGCCCGACGATTTCCTCCAGCCACCGGCGCCCGGTGACGCCGTCTACACGTCTGTCCCGTAGCCCGGATCATGCGGCTCCTGTTAGAGTAGCGTTTTGGGCCGTGGATAGATTGACTTGTAGTATTTTTTCCCAAACGTTAAAACCAAAAATCAAAAAAGAGGGAGGGGGTTTTCTGCTGCGGATGGTTGAAAACTATCGGTAGATGTGATTCTCTTGTGGAGAGACATTTAGACACAGACTTCAATTATATATCTATTGTGAGAGACCGGCAGGATTCTTAATGCAGCATTTTCTCCTGACGAATGTAACTTTTGTCGATGAGTTTTGACTGAGAAGAAATTTCAATGACTGACGTGACGTAATCGCTGCTAAACTTGCTGGGATCACAAGAAGCGTAGGGGTGTGTGCGGGGTAAACATGGTGTACATATGGCACGCTAGCTTTAGTGTCCGCTATATGCAGCTAAAAGCCACTATCGCGGCCCCTCCAAAGTTAGCGTGCAAGCTCGACTTTGTACATACAAGGTCGGTTCGTTCGTTAATGGAACGTGGCGTAAAGGGGAGCTGAGTCATATGAAGCGCTCGCCATGGTGGTCACGAATACCTCTAGGTTGACATGTAGCAACACCAAGTGGTCTTTTGCTTTCGCATGGGTGGCGCTGGTCAAGGTGGCAGCACATCAGGATCTAAGGACGAAGAAGCTCCATCATGCAACACGTTGTCACTGAATAATGGTGATTGTTGATGGTTCAAGCTACAACCCGAGGAAAGACTACTACCGCCAATTCAACAAGGGATCCGATCCACAATGCACAAGACGTCCCAAAGCTCAGAGCATCCACTCCAGAGGGATATGGGTGTGCATCGTGATGGTGTACTTCGTACCCTTGAACATCAAGGTCTGACCTGCCTTCCACTCCAGTAAGAGGACCATGCGGTCCAGAGCGCCAGGCAGGTTGCCAAACGTCACAATCCAGCCCAATCGCTCGACCCTCACAACGCCCGAGTGGAGTGACTTCGTCGACGGCCGATAGAGCTTTCCGGGTTGACGCAACCAGGTTACCAGTGAGAAAGCCGCATCGGCATGGGCGGGATACGACTCAGTGGGGATGAAGACCCAGGCCTCTTCAGAGTACTTCATCACCATGGGGTGCTTGCGCCACGCCCTGTCCGGGTACTCCCACGGAGCCTCGGTTTCAAGCGTGATGGGCGGCTGGACTGGCTGATGGACACTCTCTTTAAGTTCTTCTCCAAAGCTGTTGCTCGTCGGCGGTTCGGCTTCTTTACCGGCATGGTCTACAAGGCGACTTGGGGCCATCTCGGAGCCAGAAACTTCGGAGGTGTTCCTTTCTCTACTGTTCGATGCGCGCCTGGCCATGCTGCGCAGGAGCTCGCATCGGAGCGACTCCTGGCGAGCGAAGTAGGCCGCTGTGAACTGATCGACGGTCATGGTGGAAGTCGCGAGGAAGTAGACGTGTCAAGGTATTTACTCAGGTTGGTGCATCATCATCAGTAGCAATGTTGTGGCTCCACCAGCAATCCTCGCAACAATCGCTGTGTAGGTGTTCGGCGTATGCTTCCAGATATTGTGCGCCGACGTATGATGTCCGCTCGATCGCGTCCAGGAGCGCGTAAAATTCCGGGAGAGAGCGGCGGAGAGGTTTCGCGATCGGCAGGGTCGGCTCGTTGTTGTTGACAGGTGGTGGGTCGCGATAGAGATGCGGTGCAGAGGAATAGTCGGTTGACGCTGGATCCAAAGATGCTTGGCTGGCAACCGGTTGCGAAGAGGATGGCGGCGTCGGCAGCTGTGAGTTCGCGCGTGTGTCTGTCGAAGTGTTCGTGTCAACTTGGGAAGCGGCCGGCTTGGAAGGCGCGCTCTGGGACCCGGGTCGCTCTTTCCTCTCTTCGGGCAGCATCGTGTACAAAGCCTCCAACATGTTCGACCACAGCGAGTACGATCTCTCGGACAGACAGTCTGCCTTTGCAATGAGCTGCAGGGCCGCTGTACAGTCGACTTCGTTCTCAAACGGAAACCACCGATTTAGCCTGCTGTTCTTGCCGCCTGCCACCTGCTCAGGATCCTGCAGCGTAGGAGTCTCGATGCCCAGCTGGAAGTTCACCTCCCACGTCAGTTCTTGATTCAACTCGCGCTCGGCTGTCGGAACCGTGCCATCCGTCCACGACAGGCGCTCGGCAATAAGGAAGAGCTTCCGTCTATGAGGAGAAGGGCGAACTCTGTCTTTGCGGCAGCCGGGGCACACGAAGCGGTGCTCGGGGGACGCCGGGTCCCCGCGATGGTGGAGAAGGTGCCATGAACTGTATGGCATCAGACCGAGGGGGTATGGCACACTGTGGAAGTTCTCGCCCACGCCCGAGTCCGGGTGATTGCGATGTTTGACGCGAGGTGTGCAGGATTTGTGCACGTATGCATCCGCACACGCGACTGGACTTGGGGCGCGGCGCGTCCTTTTCCGCGGCGGTGGGGGCGGCGACGAGGCATTGGGGCTCGATGCAGCATCACCCGGGGATTTTTCAATAGTCGGGTCAGCTTCGCGCTTCCTGCGAGCCATGTGTGCAATGGATGCCGCCGGGGAGGGTCTGGATGCGCGATGTGCAAGGTGCAGGACAGTGGTTATGCTACGTGGGCCATCGACGCGGGGGACTGACGCGCTGCAGCTGCGGCCGCCTGTTGGCACCAGCTCCCCGGCCCTCGAAAAAGTGCCCGCATCACCCATCCGTCCACTCGATCAAACCACGACTCTCCTGCATTATCTGCCGCTCCAGCCCGCACTATGAAGCCCCCCAGCGCCTCCCTGTTTGCTTGCGCTCCGTGTCGCTCCGCCCTGCTGCGCTCCCGCGCCTCCGCTGCGCGCCAGCCCCGCACCCTCCTCGTCCCGCGCCGCCACTATGTCAGGCCATCGACAGCTCCGAAGCCGCTGCTGGACCTGAAGCACATCCGCCAGAACCCCGGCCTATACGAGCAGAACTGCATCGACCGTAACTACCGGGGTCAGAGCAAGCATTCGTGGGAGATTATCGATTTGTTCGACCAGTGGAAGGAATGCCAGCTCGACGCCCGCCAGCTGCGCGAGCGCGGCAACCTGCTGCGCCGCAAGCTTTCCAATGCCGCCTCCCTCAGCGGCGACACCACGCCTGACCCCGACATGGACCAAGATGTCTTGAAGGCCGAGGGCAAGGAGATCAAGGACAAGCTCACTGGCATCGAAGAGAAGGAGAAGGAGCTCGTCGAGCGCATGGAGAGCCTGGCCCTTGAGCTGCCGAACCTGAGCAGCACCAACACCCCTGTCGGCGACCAGCCCGAAGTTGTTGGCTACATCAACGAGCACCCTGATCGCCAAACCGAAGACGCCACCGACAGGGTATGGAAATCGCATGTTGTCATCGGCTCCGAACTGGGGCTGCTGGACTTTGCTGGTGCCGGCACAACATCTGGATGGGGCTGGTACTATCTCATAAACGAAGGAGCACTGCTGGAACAAGCTCTCGTCCAGTATGCCTTGACAGTTGCTAGGAAGAGAGGCTGGAAACCCGTCTCGCCACCCTCGATCGTCTATTCACACATCGCCTCGGCTTGCGGCTTCCAGCCGCGTGACCAGAATGGCGAGCAGCAAATCTATGCTCTAGAGCAAGCCGAGAAGGACAAGGCCAAGCCTTCTCTTGTGCTTGCAGGTACTGCCGAGATCCCTCTGGCTGGCCTCATGGCTAGTCAAACAATTGAAGATGCAGACTTACCCCTGAAGATGGTTGGTGTCGGTAGGAGCTATCGTGCCGAAGCTGGAGGGAGGGGAGTCGACACCAAAGGGCTATATCGGGTGCATGAATTCACCAAGGTTGAGATGTTCGCCTGGACGCTGCCCGACACGCACGAGGGCGAAGGATTCTTCACAGAGCGCGGCATCGCGCACTCCGAAACCGTGTTCGACGAGATGCTGTCGATCCAGACTGAGATCCTTGAGTCGCTTGGACTGCACTGCCGCATCCTTGAGATGCCTTCAACCGACCTTGGAGCCAGCGCGTCTAGGAAGCGTGACATTGAGGCATTCTTCCCGTCCCGCCGCGAGCGTGACGAGGGGTGGGGTGAGGTCACGTCGACCTCCATCTGCACCGACTATCAGACGCGGCGGCTCCAGACCAAGGTCCGACTCGAGAAGGCCGGCCGCAAGCTGGACTTCCCTCATACGCTCAACGGAACGGCAATGGCAGTGCCGAGAGTGCTAGCCGCCATCCTTGAGAACAATTGGGACGAGAAGACGATGACTGTGACGGTGCCGGAGGTGCTTCGGCCATTTATGGGCGGCATCAAGACCATTGAGAAGAAGCGGATGTCCTGAAACACGCGTGAACGGTCAGAGCCTGCCACGGAAGACCGAATAACCGGGGCAAGATGACGATCGGTCAGAGGAATCGGGCCACGGCGTTTTCCAGAAGGTGGCCTCGCACGGCTGTACCCGCCCAGCGGTGGGGAAACGCAAGCGAGTGGATTGCTGTCTCAGTTTAGGATGTGCAACACCACGACTCGGATTTCCACGTGGTGGGCTGCTTTGTTGTCTCAGCACAGCTGTACGGTATCATCGTCATCCAGGGTCGGTATGCCTGGTGATGCAACGGTTGGAGGCCTCACAGCCTTATTACAAGGCTGGCGGTAGGAGCGCGAACAGGATGCAAATCAGGTCACAGGACCGCCATAGGCGGTGAGGAGTCTATGTTCACGTCGCGTCTCTCTTCAGTCACTCACTAACCCGCTGCACACGGGAACTCGGACCAAATGTGCTTACCAAGACAACGTGCACACTTTGGTGTCTGCCATGTTAGTAATCGTGCGTGTGCTCCCGTCGATACAAGCTTGTAAGTTCTCTCGCCACACTTGAACGAACAATTTGCGCGGCGGCGGCGGTTGGTGTTGACGGGTGGGGGCAGGGTGGGGACGCCGTGGAGTGGAAAGGTTAGCGAGGCGGACGCTTGGGGATTCGCATCGTGAAGTTCCCAGAGCGGCAATAGGAGTTCCGGGTGCGGCGATCAAGCAGCATGGCGGTGGTCCGACAGGCGTTGTGTTGGCATGCAGGCGGCGGGCGGCAGCGAGTGGGCGAGAAGCGCATGTGCGGTGCAGAAGGGGTGGCAGAAAGTGCCATCCACACCGCTGCAAGCAGCGTGGACGAGGAAGAGGCGAGGGTGCGAGGTTTGGCTGGGGCGGGCGGGCGATTGGCCGACGGCGCGACGCACGGAGGAGCTGCCGCAGACGGACGGCCAGAGCGGCCAGAGCGCGAGCTTGGTGTGCCACGTCTCAAAGCTTGGCGCTGAAGCCGGCTGGCAGTGGATTGTTGTTTCGAGCCGGCCGCAGCCCGCATGCAGCTGCTGGCCGAAACACGCCGCATAGAAAAGGAGCCGGCACTGCTGCGCGCCCGCCCCGACGAGCTCAGGCTGGCATTTTCCTTGCGTCGCTTGCGTCGCGTCCTGCCCCGATCCTATCGATAAAGCCGCGCGCGGCGATTGACACGCCCGGGTCACGCGGGGTTCCTGGCGCGCGCAGCCGCTTGTATTCCGTCAACACCACGCTTCCCAGCCTCCCCAGCGAGTCCAGCAATCCACGCCTGGCGCCCCATATCCTGCCGCGAGCGCCCGCCCATGCTGTAGGTGCGCCTCGCAAAATTCACCGCCATGGTCTCGTACCCCGACACAGGCCCGGCCGACCGCCAGACCCTGGCAATCCGCCCGGCCTCGCGCGCCCCGTCCGTCGCCTCGACTTCCCGCGCGCCACTCATCTCCTCGCACCGTCGCCATTCGCGCCAGATCCGCTCCCACGCCGGCGGCACCTCCTACCAGCCCCAGAACGAGTTCCCCATCTTCACCCACACCGGAGATGTCGACATCATCATCACCTCCAATCCGCATTCGCGCCGGGGCTCCACCAGTTCCATCAGTCCCTACGGCGGCGCCACCGCCCCGAGGAGAGAAGAGCGTTTCTTTCTGCACCGCTTGATTCTGTCGCAGTGCAGCGGTTTCTTCGATGAGGAAACCACCCCGGAGGCGAACGGCGGCCAGCAGCTGGAAAGGACAATACCAAGCGGCAGCGCGCTGGCACGGGTTCCGCCTGGCGCTCCCGCGGTTGACGAGACCGGCCGGAGGAAAAGATGGCGCTTCGAGCTGGACTGGGGAGAAAACGGCGACGAGATGCCGGTGCTAGTGCAAAAGGTGCGTCTGCGCATGCAACTGCATCAGCCCACACCATCAGTCCTCATCAACTAACCATTCAGCAGGAAGCACCGCCCGTGTCCTTCACTGGCGAGCACGCTCCCTTGCCACCCCCGGTCCACAACAAGCCCCAAGCTCCGAGCACTGGTTTCTTCCGGAGCATGGCGCACTTCTCTTCGCTAAACGTCGCTCCCCCTCCAGCACACACCTACGATCCCGAAGATGACATCTTCCGCGACTACGCAAACCTGTTTCGTATATTTTACAACTACCCTCCGGCGCTGGACTCAGTCAACATTGCACAGGCCTACGTCGAGTGCAAAACGCTTCTTCAGCTCGCTGACATGTACGACGCTCTCGAGGTCATTGGCCCGCGCGTCGACCATCATCTACTACGTTTCCAGGGCCGGCTCTTCAAGCAAATTGCAAAATACCCGCCATCCTACCTGAAACTGGGCTTTCTTGCCCGGAGTCGGGTCATCTACTCAGAGGCTCTTGTTCACGTGGTTGGCCAGTGGCCCGTTGGCGCAAATCAGCTCCGCGGCCAAATACCCCAAGCTGTGCTTGAGGTCATCGAAGACAAGGCGGATGAGATGGAAGAGCTCAAGACCAAAATCGAGACGAAACTGTTCAAACTCACTCTCACCACGACGCGGGGCGAGAGAGTATCCCCAAGCAACGGCTTCATTGATTGGATGGCTCTCTCGCTGTTCCGCCAATGGCTCGCGGAAAACACCTCGCGACCCCCTGCCCCGATTCTAAAGACAGCCAATCGCGCGCTTCCCAACAGTCGGACTGGCTCACGCAATGGTCCGGCCGCGAGCTCGACCGCTCTTGCCACCACATCGTCCGCGGTCGGACAGCCCCCCGCCGAACCGCCTCCATTCAATACCGGCCGTGTCTTCCGGCTCATCGGCACTGGCGGTGATGCCTACCTCAGCCGCGATGAACTCAAACGCTTCCTGAAGCTGAACGCAGAATTCTACACGCGCGAAAACATGCGCAAGTTTGAACGGCGGATGGAAGAAATTAAGAACTTGGCGGCGGACGTGGTCAAGCCGCTGATGCGTAACTACCTGGAACTCGACATGCGGGATCTGGGACATGGGCTGCCGTACTTGACGTGCACCAAGGTGGAAGAGCAGGATTTTGTGTGGGACGAGTGAGCAAACACCAACATTCTTCTTTCACCCCACCAAACAACGGCCGGATGATCCGACCATCAGCGGACACGACAACGGGGTCCGTTGGGGGGACAGGGTTTTGTTTCCTTTCTTCCGATATGAAATCGACGAGTGGAGTTTGCTGATATCTGGGGTGGCTGCTCCGCGCTCTTCCTTGCAGTCTGGCGTTTTTGTCGAAAGCCATTGATCATGTTCTGCGGCTCTTTTGATGCGGCATCTTTTCCGGACAGGTCGAAGGCGGTATCTGGGACGACTTTAATCTTCGGCGGGCTACTTTAGCATCTCACAGCGGCTGCATTTCAGCACCGGGCGGGATCACGGGACTCTGGTGTTCGACGGGTATGGTTGCGCGTCAGTTCTTACACTTGTTTGTCTTCTCGCGCTACCCTCGCACTTTTCTCTTCACTTTGTGTATTTTGTTCAGGTCTTATACCCCCTATAGTTTGCTCTAGCACCCATCACTCGCACTTTTGCGGCATATTACCACTTCACGATATTTTACGAGTCTGCTTGGCGGAGGCTTTTCTGTTTCTTAGCTTACAGGGTCGCTTTCTCTACGTCTTCTTTACGACGAAAATGACGGTCGGAGGGGCTTTTACCTTTATTTCGGTGGATATGATTGCGTTCTCGCTCGGTGGGAGGATTGATGGTGGTTATCGAATAGAAAAAGGCTGGCGGATGTGCCATGACATTTTGCAAAGGTATCGTACATGCCATCCGTTGCCACTTGAATTCCATGGCGATTTATATTTGGCCAAGGACCTCGCCGTCGAGCAGCCCAGCTGTACGAGGTGTCGCAGATTGATGCCGGTGCAGGGTCCACTTAGGACTCGTACGGGGGCAGACGGCGGGCTCATTCCCGGATTGGGAAAAGAGCCGCCGTTGCCGCGTAGGTCACTAGATTGCTGTGGGCCACAAACGGCCCAGAATATCAGCCGCTCTACCAAGGCACGTCACCGGCTGTGCAATGCGCGGCGTGCCGTACTTCCATCATCAATCCCAGACGCCGGCCACGCACGGCGAGTCAGTGGGGAACGCAAATCGGATCGTGATCACCATTCACTGCGGGAGAGCCACGGAGATCATGGCACCAGCAAGGGCAGATTGCATAGCTGGACCTAGTACTGATAGTATGATCAGATAGATCTGTCGCAGTACCTGATAGCTGGGCCCGGCGGGCCGCGTTTTGAGCTACGTCAGACTTGTTTGTCGACAGAGCGACCCCATGCAGGTTTCTCAACTAAACCTAAGACAACTAGGCCATCCTTGCCGCACCTGTAGGCTGCGCAAGCGTTTGGGTTTCCCGAGTAGGATGCTAGTGCCCGCTCCATGGCATGGCGCCTGACTCTGCGCATATGTAAGCTCAGTGGCTCCGGCCCTGGGCCAGGAGTCTTTTGGACGCCTCCCTCTCCAACATCTTTTATCTAACGCTACCTTTGTCCCACATGTGAGTGGTAGAGGTTGTTGTCATTCGCTTCAAGTCTCTCGCTTAAGTCCCTCTCTTTGACACTCGTTATATTCTATTTTTGGCAACAGCTGCAATGGCGGGCAGCTTGCTGCCGCTTGAAGTGTTTACGATGCTGGGGCTGGGTGTTCTTATGATAATGGTACGAATTGCAACGAGGATAAAATCGGTAGGCCTCAAAGGCCTTCAGCTTGACGACCACGTCATGCTCGCTGCCGCGGTAGGTTCTTCATGTCTCCCCCGAGACCAGTTGCTGCTCGTGAACACTGACCCGGCGACAAACAGGTCGTCTACGGGCTAGAGACCGGCTCCGCATACATCGCCATGGACTGGTGGGACGACCTGGCAAACAACGGCATGTCGCCCGAGCAGAGAGAGCGCCTCGACCCCAGCTCGCACGAATACTACCTCCGCGTGGGCGGCTCCATGACGCAGCTCGTGAGCTGGAGTCTATACGTCCTCTTCCTGTGGATGCTGAAGATGTCGATCTGCCTCTTCTACTCCCGCTTGACGTACGTGCTCCGTCCCATCTCAGTGCCCACCAACCAACCAACCAAGCACTCCCTCCCTCCCTCGACACTAACACAAAAAAAAAAAACCACAGCGCCGGCCTCCCCGAATTCGAACTCCGCGTCAAGCTCGGCTACGGCCTCATCCTCGCGACCTGGCTCGCGACGCAGCTCTGCATCCTGCTGGGCTGCCAGCCCTCGTTCCGCGGCAACTGGCAGATCGCGCCCGCGCCGCCCAACCTCTGCCAGCCCGCCATCTCCAAGCTGAACCTGTACGTCACCGTGGCGCTCAACGTCGCGTCGGACGCGTACCTCATGTCCATTCCCGTGCCGATGCTGTGGCGCGCGCACCGCGTCGCGCCGTGGCGCCGGCTGTGCCTGTTGCTCGTCTTTTGCGCCGGCGTCATCGTCATGGCGTGCGGCGTCATGCGGTGTTATATTGTGCTGAAGGTGAGTGATTATGACGATGATGTTCGAGAAGAAAAGGGAAGGGAAGAGGAGACCCGGAGAAAGAAGCAAGAGGAGAACCCCCCTCCCCCTCTCTCTTCTACACGCCCCTTGCCGGACGGGAGCTACACACACACAAACAAACAACCGAAGCAATCTCAGCAACCAACTAACCAACAACCCCCCCTCCAGAACCCCACCGCCGGCGCCCTCAAAGCCGGCACCTGGGCCTGCCGCGAATCCTTCCTCGCCGTCCTCACCGCCAACGCGCCCGTCGTCTACCCGGCCATCCGCCTCGGCGTCGCCCGCGTCGCGTCGACCGTCTTCAGCGCCGCGTCCAACAACTCCTCCTCCGGCTTCTTCCCGTGGCGGTCGACGCTGCTGTCGAGGAGGGAGAGGATGAGGAGGAGCAGGAGCTGTGCGAGGAAGAATGCTTGTGGTGGGGGTGGTTGTGGCGGCGGTAGTGATGGCGGTAGTGATGGGTTGGTGCCGACGACGGTGGATAGCGCCACGGTGGTGGGTGGGGGCGGCAGCGAGGTCGTGTTGGGGACGTGGTCGAGTTGTGAGGCGACGGGGGGAGCGGGGGGAGGGGGGTGGAAGGCGGTGGGTGGTGGTAGGGGTGTTGGTGGTGGTGGTGGTGGTGGACGTGAGAGGGATGTGGAGACGGGGATTGTATGGGGGAAGAGCTAGCGGTGATCAGCGGGGGCAGTTCAGCTTATGGAGCTGACTTTGGCTTTGCTTGGTGGTGTGGAGGAGGCCGGAATTCCCTTGAGCGTGGTAGAGGCGGATGGGAGAGGGGGAGACATGAGTTTGCACGGTGTTTTCAAGAACGGGACGGAGGTATGGCTGTAATGACTGTGGATGTTAGGTCGGCGTTTCGGGTCATGGAGACTGTCTTTTATTCGGAAGCGTGGGAAAAGAAATGTTGGGTTGACTGAAGGTGTCTTCGCGGGATGCAAAGCTATTTCTAGAGGGTCAATAAGCCTTTGATGGTATGGTACCAAGTTAGACCCTGAGAAATCTACTCGAATATTTGTACATGCGATGATTTGAAACCTTTGACGTCAGCGCCGGATCAGGAGTATAATCTACTCAAGTGTAGGAATTGATCAGATTGCCCGCTCCTCTGACACCCAGCAACAAACGATGCCAAAGTTCCATGTCTCGCAAACAATACCATGCTTCCTCAAGCTGCTTGGGTGGTCGAAGGCTTTGTCTGGATGTATTCACTCATTGAATGTATACGTCTACATCCTCATACTCGCTTCGACTACCGCATCCGAGAAGTAAATCGAGAACAGCCAACTCTTTGCAGAATGCCAGGATTACAGCTTTCTCCTTGCTCGCACCAGAGTTGGGAAATAATCGCCTGAGAGCCGAGATGTTGTTGTGACGCACATCGCACCCTCGATTGATTCGGCTGATTTGTTGAAATGCATATCTATGCTCCGATTAAACCACCAATGACAGCCCATCTTGACCCAGCCCCCCTTCGGTACGCCGACACAACGCCATTCAACCCACACGCCCCATACTCTAAACGCAACAACAAGACATGCACGAAAAAGCTCAGTTCTGCGCCTCAGTTCATGCCCATCCATCCGCGGGACCTCTATCCAGACCTCATAAAGAAACCGGAAAAGTGAGAACCTACCCCTAGATGGAGCCACACATGCCATCGACATCAACATGATACCTAACTGCTCGCTGATCCATTCAACCAATCTTACGGAGAAATAGAAAAAAAAATCAGCCTCTACGCCTATTCCTCACCTCGGTCTTGGCGACCTCAATCGTCCTCCTACCATCGTCATACAAGCCCCTCGCAACCACCGTCTCATCCGCGCCGCCGTTGGCGCTGGCGTTGGCGGCGATGGCGGACGCGACAGCCTGCACCTCCTCGTCCGTCTCGACGTCGATGCCCTCGACGAAGACGCGATCCTCGTCCCGCTTGGCCTTCTTCTCGTGCTCCTTCTCGGGCCGCATGGTGCCGAGCGGCGGCTGGAAGCGCTTGCGCACCGTCTCGATCATCTTGTTGAACCAGAAGAAGTTGAGCGAGTTGAGCGTGAGGTTGGCGGCCAGGTACGTCGCCGCCAGCCAGACGGGCACCTCGGTGCCCTCGGCGAAGCGCATCGTCTCGGCCGTCGGCCGCGCCTGCTCTTCCACGGTCGCGCTGTCGGCGCCCGCGCCCAGGCCCGCGAGCCCCGGGCCCGAGACCAGGCCCCCGGCTTGGACGGCGCGGTAGATGTCGGCGAAGACGTGGTAGGACTGATAGGTGCCCCAGCAGAGGCGGGCGGCGAAGAAGGTGCCGAGCAGGCAGAAGCCGTTGTACAGCTGGAGCTTGGAGCCTGTCATGTTGAGCTTGTCACAGAACCAGTGGATGTTGAGGAAGGGCGAGGAGAGCTCGTAGAGGATGAAAGTGGGGGCGTAGAAGTTGACGAAGGGGCGCTGTGCGGACAGAAACGTTAGTCACCGCTGCAGATGCTCTACAGGTGCCGGGGAAGCGCGGGGATTGACGCACGAAGCCGAAGCTGTAGACGGACAAGGCGCTGACGGCGTGGGCCAGCAGGCCGAGGCCGAAGACCTTCACGTAGCGCAGGCTGATCCACAGATCCCACACGAAGTAGCCGCAGGAGAAGGCCACGATCAGGCCGCTTGCGCCCGTGTATCCCCACACCCTCCCCTCCCAATCCATCTCGGCGCGCTCATTGTCGACGTAGCTAACCCACAGGGCCAGCGCATTTATCAGGGTCGACTGCACCAGCGAGACGACGTGGACGTCCCAGTTGATGCGGGTGCGCTTGTTGAACTGCGGGTATATGTTCGGGAACAGGCGCGTCGACAGCCAAGGCGAGATGACGGTGTTGGTGATGTGGTACAGCAGCACGGCGAAGAGCAGCTCGTGGATGTGCAGCGGCAGAGTCTTGAAGGACATGTAGTCGGCGAAGGGCTTGACGGCGTGCTGCAGAGCAGCGGGGGCCGCGAACGGGAACGGATCGAGCATGTCGGTGGTTGGTAGAAGCAGGCGTGGTTGGCTGAGGATGGCGGGCCCGAGGGACGGGGGGAATTGAGAGGGAAAAGACTAGAGGAGGCGGACGGCGGGCATCATCCGGGATAGTCTGGTGACTTGTGCGACGCAGGACTCGGTGGGCGAGTGCGCTTGTACGGAGGACAGCTCTCGGCCGTGTTAGTGATGGGTGCGCGGAGGCGAGGCAACAGAGACCCTGGCCCCACATCCCTGCACGGCACAGATTGTTGGGAGGCCGCGGTCGGAAATCGGCCTGGTGACATAACCCACTCCAATAAGTAGGCGCGGCCGCGTGGTGCCACCAGTCCAAGCAAACCAGAACACCTCCTCGACCCCTGTGACCCAGCACCACCGCGCGCCGCCGCAGTGAGCCCGCCACCTGAGTAGCTGTTGATGGAGCGTGCTGTCTCTCAGCGCACGCGTGCCCTTCACCGTCCGCGCTAGTCTCGGCCCGCCGCATGTCGCCGTATCCAACGTTATTATTATTACGGAGTAGCACAATGCATGATACAGCGCCAAGGACGCCCTCGACACCGCCCGGAGCCCCAACACTGGCACGCGGAAACCCTGTGTCTCGATAGTGATTTTAGTCCTACAGGCGGGCAGGATTCCTGGCAAGTCCTGTGCGAAGCCCACCCCAGTCGTCTGGCACGGTGGGTACCTGTGAATCGTCCACGTAGACCGTCTGTTGCAAATGCTTTCTCTTCTATCATCCGGAGCGACCCTTCTACGACTTCAAAGGTCGCGCCACGCATCCATGGTCCCAGCCTTTGCATACACGCTCCGCGCCTCCACAGCTACCGTACAATGCACCTTGGCCCGACAGCTCTACTCAAGCAGACGCTGCGTGGCACTGGTGGCGGTGAGTAGGTCGGAAGAGAGAACTGCCCATGTGACGCGTCCTTTATTATCGTGAGAGATTAGTGATACAGTTGAAAGCGGACAACAACGGCTATGTCAGCCCCGGATTAGCTTCTTACTAGAGAAAAGCGAAGCTGTGAGAAGGTCGGCCTTGGACCACCGCGAGTAGAGAGGAACGCCAGCATGGTCGGTTTAAGAGCGAGTCGGGAGAACATCCGTCTCCAAGGTCCATAGGCTTTTCATCTCGATCGCTCAGCTCAGGTAAATATTCTCGCGCATCCTGTTGAGGTTGTCCAGGAAGCCGATACCTCGCTCAGGCACCCTGGAACGACTTTCTTCCGCCTTGGGCGGCGGGTTAGGTCTTGGCTGACGTTGATACTGTGGGTTCAACTGCCTGTGCCTGTCTTCGGCGAGCTTGACCAGTCCATCAATGAAGCGCGTGCGAGCTTTCTCTTCGGCCGTGTCTTTCCACACTTGCGACAGATCGCGCAGAGCCTGTATCCGCGCCTGGGCCGCCTCGTAGCCTTCGTCAGTGCCCGTGACCAGCTCCGCAACCTCGTTGCGTAGCTTCTCTGCAAACTCGCGGCCCTTCTCCTCGCGGCTGTGGCTGTCGGAGCCGGGTTCCGGGGCGGAGACGGAGATGAGTGACGAGGCGAGCGAAACCTCCGAAGGTGGTAGTGTCCACTGCATGGCTTCGCCGAAGACCTTGATGACGCTCTCAAGGCGGGAGCGCACATGGGTTAGGGTGCGGAGGCGGGTGATGTACTCGGGCAGCTCTGGGGCCTCCTGCTGGCCGTCCGCCTCGGCAGCGGCAGACTTCACATCGTCTCCCGCTGTGGCCGCGCTGGCTCTCCGCTCCACGGCGTCGGCCTTGGCTCCGTCGGCGGGCTGCTCGCTGGCGACCCTGACGCCTCCCGGAACGAACCTCTCGACGTCTTGGCGGAGACCATCTGTCAGGGCTGTGGATAGGCCTATAGTCTCTCCCCGCAGTACCTCGACCTCATACGCTAGTCTTCCGCCGCTGCGCAGGATGTCGTCGGTCATTTGCGTGAGCACGGTAGACAGTCGGCTAGTCTGGGCATTGAGCTGGGAGAGAAGGGTTTGAGTTTGTGCGGACACATCGGGGAGCGGGAGAGCGGTAGCATTTGAGGATTTGGTTTGCGTTGAGCTAACGGCCAATGCGGGCAAAACGGAGTTGAGGTGGTCGACGGGATCGAAATGTGGCTGGATGAAGGGCAGCAGCGCGGGATCGGAGAGGTGTGAGGATTTGGGCTGCGCGGGGGCAGAGGCATCGGCGTAGGAGACAGCCATGGCGAAGGGGCGTTTAGGCGGGCGGAAAGTGAGAGAAGGATGGGCGGGGGAGATTTGTTGCGGTGCGTGGGTGCCTGGCTACTGGGGCGGCGATCGGCGGTGACCCAAGCTTCCCCAAGCTCCCGCGATAGGTCCTTAGCGCCAGATGGGGAAGCTACTGCCTACCACAGTTGCCTGGCTGGAGGCGTCTTTACGCTTCGGCTGCCCCGAAGCGCTGCAGTTGGGCGTGTCCGAGACGGCATTATCTTCTGCAGCTTTGCCTCGTTCTTTCGACCTCCGCCCGCCTTCCATCTGCATCCAACTATTTCGACGCTGCACTGCAATTGAATCGCTTGCTCACAGCTAACAAACGCCCCGTCCAGGAGCTTTCGCCCCGGCGACCAACAAAACCGGCCAAGGTGCTCTCTTCCACCTGTCCGCCTTCAACGATTTTGAATCTGCCCTCGCCTCACGCCAACTCCACCGTCTTCACCACAGCCTGATGCACTGTTAACGCCCCACGGTCTCGTCTCCCCGCTTCTTGGTCACACCAAGGCAACCGGCCTGACTCGCTGCCCGGTACGTACGAGCCTGCTGTGCTGGAGACGTCGACACTGCGCTTTCGCCGACCGCCTTGAGCTTACTGGCCAGCAGAGCACAGCCGAGCGCTCGCCCATCATGGGCAGGAAAGAGTTCCGTGCTCACCTTGAGCAAGTCACCGCCGCTCCGGACAGATATGGCGTCCTGGATGTCTGCTGCAAAGATTCCGAGATCGAGGTCCTTGTTCAGTCCCAGCATGGCCCCCTCACCGTCACCGCCGTCGTAGATGAAATCTGTGACTACCCTCACTCCCACAACTTCATATCGCTTTACGTCCAGGACTCCGCCCCCAACGACGTTTCTTCCGCCATATCCATTCTTTCTGAAAAGCAAACTGGGCCCAAGTCTATCTTCTCCTTGCTCAAGGACATCTCTCAACGCTTGTCCGCCGACACTGACGGCGACACGGACATGTTTGATTCGCAACTCGACGGCTTTGACGAGGATGAAGGGCTTGGAGATGAATCTGAGTCAAGCGATGCTTCTGATGACGACTTCTTTGGCGTGGGCCACCGCCCCGCGCCGGTTGTGGAATCCTCGGCAACTGCAACACATGACAAAATCATCCCACCCGAGCTGCGCAACTCGATCCGACGCGATCTGGCACTTGTGAAGCATGCCGGTTTCCGAGTCAGTGCCTGGGGTCCTCTCGTCCAGGGCCACCCTGCATACCTGACCTCCGCTTGTCGCGTCGCCAAGCTAGGTATTTCTCATGAAGCCATGCAGGCCTGGCAGTTGTGCCCTTCCGAGTACCTCGTGCTTCTTATACACTATCCAACGGGATACAAGCATATTGGCGACGTTGACGGGAAAAGTGCTTCGAAGGATATGCTGGACTTCCGCTTTGGTGTAAGCTCGTCCTATAAGCCTTCCCCAGACGAAGTCATCCAGGCATTCACTACACTACCCACAGAGGCTCATAAAGGAGCCTCCAAACCCAAGAAGGGTGGCTTGCGCAAGCTATTCATAGCCGGGCCTCTGGGAGATCTGTTCCGTCAGAAATTTCTGCCTCTTCTCAGGTGTAGAATCAAGGAGGGCATGTCTTGGGATGGTGCAATGGCCTTTTGGCACGACCACCATACTACCGGCGAGAAAGAGAAGCTGGCACAGGATCCGAAATATTACACGGAAGAGAAACCCAACGCAACTTACGCTTCCATTGTTACGGCAGATCACATAACCAGCCACCAGGCTTTGCACGTGTCTGGAGATCGACTCTCACTCCCTTTGGTGGCAATGCAGTTCTTCGTTCGCCAAGTCGTTCGCTGTACAGAGTTCTGCCTTGTATGCCATCGAAGGATGCCCCCTGACATTGAAGCGATCAAGCCGTATGTCTGCGACAGTCAGCTGTGCCTTTACCAATACTTGCAGCTTGGTTTCGGCCCCAGCATTGAGCATGAGATCATCTCTCAGCCGAAAGTTGTTGACCTACTGATAAGTCTCTGTTGGGCATCCGCAAGGACTGGTCGGCTCAAGCAAAAGCATCTGCCGAGAGGTCTCGGGTTAAGAATACCCCCCGTTGCTACTCTAAAGTTGGCCGCGAGGACCAATCCTTCCTCATCAGTTTACCCAAAGACCATCGAAGACTCAACAGCCTTGGCGCGTCTGGAAACAGCCTTGAGGATCGAGGGAAAAGAACCGTGGCGCCTGCCTAGCGAGATGGCTCACGCCGCACGTGTAAACCTGGAGACTTGCCAACTACTGTTCGAAAAGGAGGTCACTCGAAAAGATCTCAACCTAATTCCAGGAGACTGGATCCAATTCAAAGTAAAGGATGTCGTCGAGCCTCTCCATTGCAAGATTGAGCAGATGATGCTTCCCACCATTCAGCTCTCTAAGCCCGTTTTGTTGGACTGCATGAGAGGGTCTGACTATGTCTTGCCGGGCCTCTCAAGGCCTGGATTTCAGGATGTAAGCTTTGTCGCATACGACCAGGACCTTGATTCCTTCCACGCAGTCAACACTCAAGAAGTAATGGTTGTGCTTCTTGATCTTCTCCCAACCGTCGAGGCAATGAAAGACTACTTGCTAATGGGAGGAGCGCAAGCTGATCTGGCAAAGTGGACGAGGATACCAGCTGCTTCGTTGGGACTCTTACGGTGGATCATCGCCTCTAACCGTGCATGCATCATGCAAGTTAGTGATGACGCGCACGATCAAGTTTGGGGAATGCCACAATGGACTCAGTTTCGGATAGCCATGGGCGCACCGGATAAGGAACGTCGCTTCATCAACTCTGTCAAAACAGTAGGATCCGCCACCAATCCTGACGTTCCAACCATCTTCGCCTGGCACGGCAGCGCCTTGTACAACTGGCACTCGATCATACGCGAAGGTCTTAATTTCGAGCAGACCATGCACGGAAGAGCCTATGGCCATGGAGTGTACTTGTCCAAGGATTTGGGGACCAGTTTGGGCTACTCGCGCGCAGTTTCCAACTACCAAAATCCGAATGATGCCACCTGGAGTTCCAGCAAGCTACTGATCTACGATGCTGTCTCGCTGAACGAGATTGTCAATTCTCCCAGTAAATTCGTCTCCTCAATCCCGCATTTTGTCGTTAATCAAATAGACTGGATCCAGACGAGGTACCTGTTTGTCCAGACTTCAGCTTCCAGGGTGCCCCATGCAGACCAGACGCCAGTGACGCCGCAGGAACAACCGTTGCCTCTGGACTGTATTCGTCAGGATCAGGTACACTTTCCAGTCAATACCGCGCGCAAGAAGATTGAGATCCCAGCGTCTTCCACAAGGTCCCGCGCAAAGGGGGCGAAGATTTCGTCTATTAAAAGGGCAATATCGAAGGGATTCAAGAAATTGAGAACGGGCGGAGCTATTGAGGATCCGATTGACCTCGATGATGATGCTCAAAGCGTCGCGACAGATCAAGACGACCGTGAGTTATTGCAAATGGAGGTGGAGCAGACGAATTCGGTCACTTTGCAAAAGCGCGTCGTCCCAGCAAACAGAGATCCTCAGGCGGCTTTCGTTCCTGGTCAGCTTGACTTCAGTACATTGGAGATCTTGCCTTCGCCTGAGGGCAGTGCTGCATCAATAATGGCTTCGAAGCGCCTCCATGCAGATTTCGGCGCTATGGTCAAAAGTCAAAGCTCCCAACCTCTCGATGAGCTTGGCTGGTACATTGATCCGGAACACATGGAAAACCTCTACCAGTGGATAGTTGAGCTTCATTCATTCGAAGCTCATCTTCCTCTTGCTCAAGACATGAGAAAGAAGAATGTCGAAAGTGTCGTTCTAGAGCTCACGTTCGGAAAAGATTACCCCTTTACCCCTCCCTTCGTTCGCGTTATCCGCCCCCGTTTTCTGCCTTTTATGATGGGCGGCGGTGGCCACGTCACTGCTGGTGGTGCGCTTTGCATGGAGCTTCTCACCAATGATGGGTGGGCTGCGGTCAACTCTATCGAGTCGGTCCTGATGCAGGTCCGCCTGGCGATTTCATCACTTGAACCTCGTCCGGCAAGGCTAGACCGGCACGCCTGGAACACTGACTACAAAGTTGGTGAGGCTATCGATGCCTACATCCGCGCGTGTCACACCCACGGCTGGACGGTGCCTCCCGGTTTCAAGGAAATGGTGTGGGCCGGCCGAAAGGGTGGGAGAAACTTCAGTGGATATGAGTGATGCTCACTCTTTTACTCGTCTTTTCGATAGGAGAACTGCACCCTGAATGGGCTTGTCTCCTTGCCTGAACGGTGAAAATAAGCTCCTCACCAAAATACGCACATTGAGGCGCTTCCAGCGGTATTGCAATCGACTAAACTACAGTTGTCACAGTCTCCAAAAAGCCGAATAAAGATCCAATCTTTAACTAGCAGGTCGATTTTCTTGACAACCTCCGCTCCTTCACCCCAACAATTGCTTCTTGCTACTTGATTTCGTGGCATGTCCCGGAGTTGCTCCTCGCTCCCTATCCAGAGTTCGGTCAAAATCCACCGTCAGTTGCCGAACAGGGTTACCAATCTTGAGGGCTTTTAGAGCAACGCATGGGATTCTCACCACTTTCCACTACATCAAGGGGTCTTCATCTCGGTCTGGTTGAAGGAACTTCGGAGAGCCGACATTCCCCACGTTTTTTTCTACTTCCATTTCCTACTTTCCTTTTTTCTCTTTGTTTTTCTTCTTCTGTAAGAAATCCTGGGGAGAAGGAAGGCGAAACTGAAGCACATTTGCTTTCGAATGGTCTCTTAGACTGACCGTATACGGACAAGGCGTATCATGGGGTGGAGTACATCTTGCCATGGTGAAAAGGAACACTGGGAGTACGCATCTCAAGGCATTTCTTTCATGAGACTTTCTCTTCAGTCAAAAAAGCCTTTTTTTTTCTTTTTCCTCTCCCGGACGGGGTTTGCTGCATGGTATGGCAATGGCACAGTATGGTCTCGCTCTAGGTCCTTCGCTCACATAAGTAGCAAAATTTTTTTTTGAAAATGGGTACAATCACGCCGTGGCATTTGAACGTGAATTGTCGGATTGGTGATCACAGCCGGGTGGAGGAAGTGAAGCTGATAGCTGGATGATCTATTAAATACTGCTACGAAACGGTGTTTATATAGGCGCTTGAAGAAAGGGTGCTGAAGATGATGATACGTTGCTGAATGAGACCCTTGTGGGTCCATGATGAAATTCTTCCTCAACGAGGGTCATCTTCGTGATGATGTAGTCCAACATGAATGAAATCATGTGCCTCGTACGTTTGACCGAATCATCGATATGTTGGAGCAAAAATAGATTCAACAGACACTAAGAAACAGCTTGACATCACATGGGCATAGAATGAGAAGTGATTGTGGTGGAGGAGGTATTTTCTTTTTCGTCGTATCCTGCTTTGGACTTTTCTCTCTCGCGTCTCCCTCTCCATTTCAGATCTCCACCAGTTTTCCATGCTTTTTGCACTTCCCTCATCGGCGAAGTTGCATGTATAATATGTTTGCAATCCCAATTTTCTCACATTGCCCCTCCCTCTCCACCACGTGGGGTGATGCGTGTCCCATAACATCCCGCCCTGACGACGTCGCGCTACAAGATTGATGAGCGTAGTCGGTTGGGGAGTGTGACCTAGCGCCTATCATACGCGCCCCTTCCACCACCACCACCTCCTCCTCTGCCTCCCCTCCTACCACCGCCACGACCTCCTCCACCTCCGCCTCCGCCTCCGCCGTATCCGTCGTGGGGCCTGTAGTTGTCATCCTGCCTTCCTCCACCGCCACCGCCACCGCCACCGCCGCCAGGCCTGTAGTTATCATCTCTCCTGCCACCGTATCCTCCTCCTCCTCCTCTGCCACCACCACCACCGCCACCGCCACCGTATCCGCCACCACCACCACCGCTGTTCTGCGGCGGACCGCCATATCCCCCGTAGCCGGCAGGCATGGGGGGGAACGCGCCGCCGAACTGCGGCGGGGGCGGGGGCTGCCATCCGTTCATCTGGGCGGCGAGGTGCGGCGGGGGCGGGACGCCGCCGGGGCCGGGCGGACCGCCGCCGGGGCCGCCGGGGGGGCCGCCGCGCTGCATGAAGGCCTGGGGGTCGAAGTTGGGGTTGAGGAAGCCGGCGATGGGGTTGTTGGGGTTCATGTTGGGGGGTTGGTTGTTGTTGTGGCTGTTGTTGTTGTTGTTGTAGCCACCGCCGTTGTTGTTGTAGCCGCCGCCGCCGCCACCACCACCGCCGCCGCGGTGGTTGTTGTGGCGAGGGGGCCCGCCTTGCCACCGGTTCTCGTTGTGCGAGTGGAAGCCGCGGTCGCGACCACCACCACCGCCGCCGCCGCCGTGGCGAGCGCGGTTGCGGACACCGTGGATTTCATCCTGGGTGAGGGCGGGAGGGGCGAATTGCACGCCGCGGAGGAGCTGGGACTTGTGGACGTTCTTTGACTTGGGCATTTCGTAGTGGACGCTGATAGGATCGTTAGTTGGGACCGCGGTGGCGGGACTGGAAAAGACTCTTGACTTACCTGATTGACTGGTCCTCCTCCAAGTCTGGCATACCTTTGCTGTCCAGAGGGAAGACGAGAGAGCTTTGTGGCAGATAATCGTCGTTCTTTGTGACTGTGCCTGCAAGCCCTTCGCTAATCTGAGGATTCAGTACGTGCTGAGGTTCGCCCTGCTTCTTCGAGTACCATTGCTGAGCAACCTCTTCGTAGAGAGGGTGACGGGTGGAGAATAGAAGCACTTCTTTGCCAAACTCATTGCGAGCCGCCTCGTCCGGGGTGAGTAGCGGGTACTTGGTAGCCATGGCATCCAGTAACCTCTTCTCGTCAATGAACGGAAGGATGGCAACACCTTGCCAGGCCATCTTCTTGCCATTGAGATCAACCCGGAAATCTTCGGGGTAAAAGTCAATGATTTCGCTATCCGCCTCTTCCATGAGCGGCCTGAACACCGGTGGAATAGCGTGGTTGGACGCAGCAGGCAAGACACCCATGAGCTGTTCGTAGGGACGGAAGGGCTGTCCCTTCTCAAACTTGAGCTCCATCTTGTCGAGATCGACGAAGTCTTGAGCAAAAGGAGCGTAGTGGTGAGGATAGTACCATGTCCAAGAAGCGCAGCCCTGCAGGTAGTACAACAGCACCCAAGCGAGACCCTCAGCATAGTCCCGCGCAACCTGATGGCGGAATTCCAGATCCTTGGGATCGACGTGGAATTTCTGTTCATAGTACCGGTCCATGTAGCCATCCTCCCACATTTTTACGGTGTCCTCCGGAGGTTCGTCGGGCTTGACCGCAGGTGAAGCGACATCCGGCGTGTTACGGCCAGGAGTGCTAGAATCATCTTCTAGAAGTTCCGCCTTTCTTTTGCCAAGGGCAGATGGCGGAGTCGCGGTAGCATCACCACCAGGAGTGTCCGGAACAGGAGCTTCCTCCGCGTTGCCGTTCTGGCCAGCAGCAACAGAGACAGTCTCAGGCTTCTTACCAAGCAGCCCCTCTTTCAGGGCAGCAGCTGCGCTCTTGTTTGCGACGTTGGCTTGGCCTTGGAAAATGGCCTTCCTGTTGACGAAATTCTCATGGGTCAGACTCCTCGCTTCCTTTGACTGAAGTTCTCCGGGACTGAACATGGGAAGATTGGCGAAGTTTTCAGCAGTCTCGCCCTTCTTGCCCTTTCGAGCAGTAGGGGAGTTGTTCTGCTGATTGCCATCTCCTCCCTGCGCGAATCTTGCACCGCCATTCCTCCTCTCTTCTTGCAATTTCCTGCGCTTCTGGGCAGCTTCCCTTCTATCCTCGGTCTCTTTGCGGCGCTTGAAGATGCCGTCCTCCAACTTCGCCAGACCTTGCAAGATTATCTGAGCGCGGCCCATGTCAACATGGCCATCCTTCGTGACGTATCCACCCATTTCAGGCAAGTTCTCGCGCCAAATGTTGATCAAAGTGTCGATACCTCCCTCTCTAATCTCAAGACTTGGGAGATGTGGCAAGAAATCGTTTCCGACGAAGAAGCACATGAAGACCCAGTCGTCTAGGGTGCGCTCCAGATCAAAGGTAAAGCCTTGGTTGTCAACCTTGAGCTCGGCTGCGAGGTACTCACGGAGGATGGACACATGGAGCCAAATGAACGGTTTCTTGGTAACCTTGTTCTGCTTGACGTCATGGTCGTCCTCCTTCTTCTTGATCTCGCCACGGCATTGGTCTGCGTAATGGCCTACCTGTCCGCAGCGTCTACATGTCCTAGGTTTGGCGTCGTTGGCGAACACATCCTCACGTAGGACACGGAAGTGGGGCTCATGCGTCACAAGACCCAACATGATCAAATCGGCATCGAGACCGTAGATAACGTGGCGGGTGTTGGGGTCATGGTATGGAGACCGGCGCTGAGAGCGCACAAACTCCATGATCTTATGCTCACCCTCTCCAGGAACAGTCGCATCGGAGATGATGACCTTGAGCTTCTCCCAAGCAGGGTCGGTGTTGAGCTTGTAGGCGCACCAGTAACGAAGACTCTGGGCCAGAATATCCATGAAGGGAGTCCCTGGGGTAATGGAGTTGCTGTCCCAAGTCTTCTTGACGATCTTGGCCTCGGCGCTATCGTCATTTTCGCTCTCGCCCTTCTTTTGGTTCTGTGAAGCGAGCATCTTCGCAAACTCGGCGGCATCCGCATCCTTTTGCTTGGCATCCTGGACGGCGCGGAAACGGCGGGAGCGCTGTTGGTTCATCTTTGCGCGCGGGGCGACACCGTCTGCCACCTTGTTAGCACGGGTGTGTCGTATGGGATGGAGAGGGAAGCTGGAAGAAAAGCAGCCGTACCTCCCTCAGCTTTGCGTCATCCGTGGGATAATGAAGCTGTCCTTAGGGAGGCACCGGAGACATTCAGACCGTCTGGGCATTCGTCACATACCAACAGCAATCATTAGCAGCTTGCGCGGGCGCACCATGTTGACGACGCGGTCGGTGTATTTGAAGATCTCGATCATCATCTGCTCCTCGTTCTCCGGCGGGTCCTTGTCCTCTGGATGCGAACACGGATGGACGATGCCGTTCATATCGAGATAAAGGTTGTCCATCTCCTCCCCATTGGGATTGGGCTTTGTGGCGTCAACGGGTTCAACGGTGCCATCGGGATATTCGACAGGCTCGGCCTCGACGACGGGCGAGATGATCTTGGGGTACTTTTGCGAAAGCCATCGGAAGAGCGCGGGAACACCCATGGTGACGGCGGGGCTCGAGCGACGAGCACGAAGCTGGCGTGGCGGCGGGTGTGGGTTGCGACGTGAGCCGTGGCCGAAGGCTTCAGCGCGGAGGCGAAACTAGGTCGAGAGAAAGGACGCGTCGTGGGCGACGCCCGTGGAGTGGACTTAGGCGGAAACGGCGCGCTGGTAGTGCATTCCGCGTGGGGGGCGAACTGCACAAAGAGCGGGTGTCGGTGGTGACGGAGGTCGCGTCGGTGGATTGTCTTTAAGGTTGCGCCAAAAGTGCAAGCGGCAGATGCCGACCGACGGGGCTCAATTCCGCAGGGCTGTCGCTTCCCCGGAACTCTGGACAGCTTGCGGCATCACCAGCTTCGCCTGTCACCGCTCGACTAGTGCTGCCCCTCGACCTCGCACTCCCCCATTCGTGCCATGGCCCTGCAGTAACCCGACCAGCGATCCTTCTCCACGCCCACGCCTCCGTCGCCGCCCAGAATGTTGCGCATGCTCGAGGCGCAGGCGCCTGCCAAACAGACGGCCACCGACACCATCAATACCCTCTGCAGCCGTCTCGCCAGCGCCACTCTCCTTGAGGATCGCCGCGCTGCCATCCTTGGCCTGCGCAGCTTTGCGAAGGAGTATCCCGCTTCCGTTGCCTCGGGCTCCCTGCGCGGCCTGATCGCTGCTCTCACAAAAGATGCGGAGGATCTGGATACCATAAAGGTCGTGCTGGAGACATTGTTGATGCTCTTCAACCCGGACGAGAATAGCGTACGTAGCAATCATTCATCCGCGAGCCTGGTCTGTATTGATGACTGTGTGCGCGATAGCCCGAAGCCTCTGAAGACATCTCGTTGTGGCTGGCCGACGAATTCACTCAAGTAAGCTCGTTGCTCAACGCCGATTAACTCGTACTGAGCTTATGCTAGCGGCAAGATAACATCACCCTACTTCTTGACCTCCTCGAGGCCACCGACTTTTACTCGCGCCGCTACGCCCTGAAGCTTCTCAAAGCTATCTCGGAGCTGCGCCCTGAAAGAACTCAAGAGTGCATCTTATCCGCTCCCCTTGGTATACCTAGGCTCGTTGCCGCATTGGATGACCCCCGTGATGCCGTGCGCGATGGTACGACTTGCAGGATGCCGTAGACCGCCGCGATCTCGAAGGCTGACATGGCTTGCAGTTGCGCTGGATCTCCTCATCGACCTTACTCAGTCCTCGACCGAGCTGCAGAAGATTGTCGCATTCCAGAATGCCTTCGAGAAGATCTTCAATCTTGTTGAAGGTGATGGATCCATAAGACAAGGAAGCATTGTGACCCAGGACTGCCTCACACTAACGGCGAACCTCATTCAATACAACCCATCCAATCAACTGGCCTTCAGGGAATCTGGTTGCGTGCCGAAACTGGCTGCACTTCTGACCAATGGCGTCGAGGTCCCCCGGCCCACGAACCCCGAGGAGGAGGTATGGGAAAGTCCGCACAAAGAAAAGAACCTGTTCGGCCTGCTGGCAGTTCTCCGCATGTTCCTGGTGAAGGGCAGCATGGGCACGGCCGCCAATCAGGACGCGTTCCACAAACACGGCATTTTACAGCAGGCCCTTGAACTTTCCTTTGACCACACAGTGTCCGTTCCTGTCAGGTCACAAGCTCTGTACGTTTGCGCAGATGCCATCAGGGGAAACGCGAGGCTACAAGAGATCTTTGCTCAGACTCAAGTCGCAATCTCAGATTACGAGCACAGCAATCAACCCAACGGGGAGAGGATACAAAACGGTATCTCGCAAGTGCACGTCATCGAGGCTCTGTTGCATCTCATCCTTGGCGCTTCGTCTGTGCAGATGTTTGATGCTCGTTTTGCTGCGTGCGAATGTCTTAAGGCATACTTCTATAACCATGACCAGACGGGCAGGCATTTCCTTAACCATGCTGTAAACGTACACCTTGCCGGGGAGGAGGACACTGCCAATGTCGTCACTACATTGGTCCGCGGTCCGCAGAGCTTCCAGACTGTAGATTCCTATCGCCTCTGGTTTGCAGCCGTTGTAACATTCCACCTTCTTTTCGAGAACCCGGATGCCAAAAGCCTTCTGATGGGCGTCGTCGAGGGCGATGCAGAGAGTGGAGAAGAAGTCGTCACATGCATTCAGGAAATGAGCAGCAACCTCATCAGCGGTCTTCAAAATGGCGAGGACGAAAGAGTGATTATCGGCTATCTAATGGTCCTCTGTGGATGGCTCTTCGAAGACTCCGATGCAGTCAACGATTTCCTCGGAGAGGGAGCTAGCATCCAGACCCTTGTCACGACTGCGGCAAGAACGACCACGGACAAGCCGGTGATTAGAGGTCTCTGTGCTGTTCTGCTTGGCATAATCTACGAATTCTCTACCAAAGACTCACCCATTCCTCGACGCGAGCTGCAGCCTGTTCTGCTCAACAGCTTGGGACGGGAAAAGTATCTGGATGCTATAACGCAACTCCGAACACATCCCTTTGTACGCGAATTTGAAGTCATGCCTCAGGGTGGCGCCGCTGCGTTTGGTGGAAACTTACCCGATGTCTTCTTCGACAGCACGTTCGTAGACTTTCTCAAGGATAACTTCAGCAGACTCTCGCGTGCCATCGACAGAGATCCGGGGATCGAGATTCAGCAAAACCCACAAGGCGTGGATCGAGACTTGGTCGATACTATCCGCGGGCAACTTGACGAGAAAAGCAAAGCATTGGAGAGTGCAGAATCGAAAATGCTGTTCGTGGAAAGACAACTCAACGAGGAGCAAGCGAATCACAAGAAAGACCTGGACACAGCCACCACCGAGATCAACCGCATAAAGCATGTCAACGAGGCGTTGCAGCGCAATCACGAAGCCGACGTGGCACAACGGGAGGCTGCACACTCAGCTGCACTGCAAAGATTGGAGGAACACCAGCGCCAGCAGATGGGAAGCCTCAATGCTCAGCTGCAACAGAAGCAAAGGGAAGCGGCCGGACAGGCAGCCAGCGCCAAACAACAGCATGACCGGGAAGTCGCACAGCTAAGGCGCGAGAGAGCAGAGCTCGAGGAAAGGAGCAAGAAGACTGAGTCTAGCCTGCAAGCAAGATGCGCTCAAGCCGAAGCCGCGCTTGAGGAAGCAAAGAAGAAATGGGCTGAGTTGCAGACGAACTTCGACAAGACGCAGGCCGAGCTCACAGCCGCGCAAAAAGCGAGCTCAAGCTTCGAGGAAAGGAGCAAGAAGGCTGAGTCTAGCCTGGAATCTACTACCAAGCAGCTGAAGGAAGTCGAATTGAATCTCAGCCGTACTGGTGCCGACCTGTCGGCTGCGCAAGGCACTGTTGCAAGCCTGGAAGAGACAGTACGCCGGAAGACGGTGCAGGTCGAAGAGCTCACGCGCAAGGTGGAGCAGCTCGAGAAGGCTGTCGAAACAAGCAAGACAGAGCTCAGGGATGTGAAGGCCCAGTCGCAGAAGCATGAGAATGCAGCAAGGTCGACCGACTTCGCATTGAGAGAAGCTCAGGACCAACTTAAGGAGGCCCAGGAGAAAGTCAAGGAGGCCCAGGAGAAGGTCAAGAACGTGCAAGACGAGCTCGCGGAGAAGGAGGAGGCCCGAGCGTCTGCACAAGGCGAGCTCGACGATATGCTCATGGTTCTATCAGACCTAGAGGAGAAACGGGCGAAGGACAAGGTAGGAGGCACTTCCGATGTATACATTTGGATGGGTGGCGCTAACCTGCACAGAAACGCCTCAAGGAACTGGGTGAGGAAGTGTCGGACGGAGAGGACGAAGATGACGAGGACGAGGACGAGGATGAGGACGAGGAGGGTGAGGAAGAATAGGGCAAGGGCGAGGGCGATGGGTGAGCAGCTGCGAATGCAAAAAGTCATGGATGCCGTGTGATGATGCTTGCTGTGACAAGTTTGTGCCTGATGATGCCTGACTCCGTGGATCGGCGTTGGTCTGACTCACCCTCACCGCCCGGAAGTGTCGTCGCGACCGGAAATTTGAAAGTCGAGCGCAACCCCGCCATCAACACCAACGCCTGCCCCGCAACGCCTCTTGCGTCCTCGAAGCCCCCGCTCCGCTCGGCACGCAGAAGGCCGCCACATCGCCATGTCCATCTCTTTTCCCAAGGAGGAGGAGCGTATCCTCGCCCTCTGGAGAGAGATCGATGCCTTCCGCCGCCAGGTCGAGCTTTCCAAGGGCAAGCAGCCCTACACCTTCTACGATGGCCCGCCCTTCGCTACCGGCCTGCCGCATTACGGCCATTTGCTCGCATCCACCATCAAGGACATCATCCCGCGCTACTGGTCCATGAAGGGCCGCTATGTCGAGCGTCGCTTCGGCTGGGACACCCACGGCGTGCCCATTGAGCACGAGATCGACAAGAAGCTGGGCATGAGCGGCAAGGATGCCGTTGAGAAGCTGGGTCTGGCTCAGTACAACGAGGAGTGTCGCGCTATTGTCATGCGCTTCGCCGCCGAATGGCGTCAGACTATCGACCGTCTGGGTCGCTGGATCGACTTCGACAATGACTACAAGGTGCGTGCCGACGCGCCGTTCTCAAGTGCCAATCGCTGACATTCTGTGCAGACAATGAACCCCCAGTTCATGGAGTCCGAGTGGTGGGTCTTCAAGCAGCTGTTCGACAAGAACACCGTCTACCGCGGCTTCAAGGTCATGCCCTACTCGACCGCCCTCAACACCCCGCTTAGCAACTTCGAGGCTCAGCAAAACTACAAGGATGTCCAGGATCCCGCTGTCGTCATCTCATTTCCTCTCCTCGACGACCCCAACACCGCCTTCCTTGCCTGGACCACCACGCCCTGGACCCTGCCCTCGCACACCGGCCTCGCCGCCAACCCCGCCTTCGAGTACGTCAAGATCCTTGACGAGGCATCGGGCAAGCACTACATCCTCCTCGAATCGCTGCTGAAGACACTCTACAAGGATCCCAAGAAGGCGAAGTTCAAGATCGTGGAGAAGATTCAGGGCAAGTCGATGGAGGGCTGGAAGTACGAGCCGCCGTTTGACTACTTCAAGGCCGAGTTCAAGGACTTTGGTTTCAAGCTCTGCCTTGCGGACTACGTTACGGCTGATAGCGGTACCGGTATCGTCCACAATGCACCGGCCTTTGGTGAGGACGATTATGCTGTCTCGCTCAAGGAGGGCATCATCACCGAGGCCCGTCCGCCGCCGAACCCCGTGGACGAGACTGGCCTTTTCACCGCTGAAGTTCGCGACTTCGCTGGCCAGCACGTGAAGGAGGCGGACAGGGCTATCATTAAGCACCTGAAGGCAGCTGGACGTGTCGTTGTCGACAGCCAGGTTACTCACAGTTATCCTTTCTGTTGGCGCTCCGATACCCCGCTTATCTACCGCGCCGTCCCGTCGTGGTTCGTTAGGATCCCGGAAATCATTCCGGACATGCTAAAGGGCATCGAGGAGTCTCACTGGGTCCCCTCCTTCGTCAAGGAGAAGCGCTTTGCTAGCTGGATCGCCAACGCTCGCGACTGGGCTGTCTCCCGTAATCGTTACTGGGGCACACCCATTCCGCTCTGGTGCAGTGACGATTTCAAGGAGGTTGTCTGCATCGGCAGTATCGAGGAGCTGAAGGAGCTGAGCGGCTACGAGGGCGAGATCACTGACCTGCACCGCCACCACATCGACCACATCACGATCCCAAGTAAGCAGGGCAAGGGCGTGCTGAGGAGGATACCCGAGGTGTTCGACTGTTGGTTTGAGTCGGGAAGCATGCCTTACGCTTCTCAGCACTACCCCTTCGAGAACAAGGAACATTTCAACGCTTCTTTCCCTGGTGATTTCATCGCTGAGGGCTTGGACCAGACCCGTGGTTGGTTCTACACCATGACGGTTCTCGGTGTCCATCTCTTCGGCAAGCTTCCATTCAAGAATTGCGTTGTCAACGGCATTGTCCTTGCGGAAGATGGCAAAAAGATGTCGAAGAGGTTGAAGAACTACCCCGACCCTTCAAAGATCATGGACGAGTATGGCTCTGATGCCCTTCGTCTCTACCTGATCAACTCCCCTGTCGTGCGTGCCGAGCCCCTGAGATTCAAGGAGGCAGGCGTGAGAGAGATTGTTTCGAAGGTGCTCCTTCCGCTGTGGAACAGCTACAACTTCTTCGAGCAGCAGGTCGCTCTCCTGAAGAAGGTGGCAAATGTTGACTTCAAGTTCGACCCCAAGATCCAGGAGTCGAACACCAATGTCATGGACCGTTGGATTTTGGCCAGTTGCCAGAGTCTGCTCAAGTTCGTCAACCAAGAGATGAATGGCTACAGGCTGTACACTGTCGTCCCGAGGCTGTTGGGCCTCATCGAGAACACAACCAACTGGTACATCAAGCTCAACCGTCGCCGCCTAAAGGGCGAGTATGGTATGGATGACACCATCCATGCTCTGAACACCCTGTTCGATGTTGTCTTCACCCTTGTCCGCGGTCTCGCACCCTTCACACCTTTCCTCACCGACAACATCTACCAACGCCTTCTTCCTCTTATTCCCGATAACCTGCGCGCCGAGGACCCGCGCAGCGTCCACTTCCTTGCTTTCCCCGAGGTTCGCGAGGAGCTCTTCGATGAGGCTGTGGAGCGTCGGGTTGGCCGCATGCAGGCAGTCATTGATCTGGGCCGTGTTTCGCGTGAGCGCCGCAACATTGGGCTGAAGACTCCGCTGAAGACGATCATCATCATCCACCCAGACCAGCAGTACCTTGACGACGTCAAGAGCCTCGAGGGCTACATCTGCGAGGAGATGAACGTGCGCGACCTCATCCTCTCGTCTGATGAGGACAAGTACAATGTCCAGTACTCGGTTTCGGCCGACTGGGCTGTTCTTGGCAAGAAGCTCAAGAAGGATGCTGTCAAGGTCAAGAAGGCTCTGCCTTCATTGAGCAGTGACGATGTCAAGGGCTATCTCAAGGCGGGTAGCATCACTGTCGACGGCATCCAGCTTGGCCCCGAGGACCTCGTTGTCAAGCGCGGTCTCAAGGAGGAGGGTGCGTCGAAGGCGCAGGAGGTCAACACGGACAACGATGTTTTGATCATCGTCGACTGCGAGACGTACCCCGAGCTCCAGCAGGAGGGTATCGCGCGTGAGATCATCAACCGTGTCCAGCGTCTGCGCAAGAAGGCCGGCCTTGTCCCCACCGACGACGTTGGCATGCAGTTCCGCATCCTTGGCGATCCGGATAAGGTCGGCCTTGAGGGCGTGTTCGAGAGTCACGCTAGCATGATGGAGAAGGCGTTGAGGAGACCACTGGACAAGCACGTTGTTACGGAGGTGGAGGGCAAGGGCCCGGAGGCGGTGAAGAACGACGAGCTCATCTTGGAGGAGGAGCAGGAAGTCCAGAAGGCAACGTTCATGCTTAGATTGGTGAAGTTGTAGAGCGATTTGCCTAGATGAGGATGGACCAAAAAAAAAGTACCACGTGAACAAAGAAATCAAAAGATGAGGGAAGATGTAGATAGATCTTTCTGGAACGAGAATTGAATTTATGCCTTATGCCGTACGCGTCTACGATGTTCTCTGAGAGTCTGCTTTAAAAAATATTGCATATACTGGATGTACTTCACTCCAGGGCATGGGTCTGCGGAGGAAGCTTCAAAGAATATTGGATTGATCTGTTTCTTGGTTCACCCTTTGGTTATGATTTCTTAACAGCAGCCTGCGAATGCGGATCGAGTTAGACAAGCAGTGGCTGTGTTCAGGCGAGAGGGAAGTTATACCAGATAACAGTCCTTTAATCTCAAGAATTCCTTGGCGCACATGTCTTTGTGAACGTTGTTGTAGTCGGCCAGGATACATTTTCCGTACGCGGCGCTCTGGAGCGAGTCGTCAGGTGGGTGCTGCATCCCAGGGATTTTCGGGCAGGGTCATACCTCGACGGAGCACTTGGCGGCGGCCGATGCAACCTTCTCAATGGGACGCGTCCGGCCTGGCATTTTTGCGGAGGATGCGAGTGAATGGCGGAGATGGTTCAGTGTTGCGGGGCGATGTCATGACTGCCGCCTCAAACGCGGCAAACACGCCAAGAGCCGGGGCTGGGCGCGTGTCGGGCTGCTCCACTGCTCCACTGCTGGCACGCGTCTCGGCCTTTGCGCTGCGCAACACCACAACACCTACTGTTTCCCCGCACGCGCCAATTCTTCCACGATCTTTTTTTGCTTCCCTATGCTAATGATTGGTACCTTGATTCGAGCGCATTGGAGTACTGATGAATGCCATCTCATGAGCCACGACTACCCTCCCGCCACCGCCCTAATACCGCGCGCGCCGCTCGCATGCAGAGCATTGCGACGACGAAGCCGAACCAACTGCGACACCCTACGAAAGGATAACCGACCCTCACCCAGCCTCACACCCTAACGAAAACCGAATGCCCTCCTCCCGGCAACAACATCCCCACCATGGCTTCCCCCAGCAACCCGTCCAGCCTGGCCCTGCCTACAACGAAGACACTTTCCTCCCGCTCACCAACCAAGATGTCGAGGTCCTATACACCATCGTCACCACGGCCCAGCGCCTGCATCGCTCCTCCGCCACAGCGTTGCCGCCATACCGCGCCCTCTTCACCGCCTACGACCATGTCCTGGCCGACCGCCGCATCGACCCGAACCAGGACCGCGTGTACTTCCGCTTCCTGCTGCGCATGCGCGGCGTCGACGCCAGCACCGTCGCCGCCAGCGACGCCGACGATGGAACGCGCACGCTGTATGGCCGGTTCGAGATGCTGTTGGCGGAGATGGGCATACAGCTGGAGGTGGATGAGGGAGGCCCATCGGGCCTCGTGGTGGAAGACGAGGCCGTCGTCGACGACGACGACTACGACGACTTGTATGGAGGAGCCGAGGACGGCGCAGCCGCCGCTGTCGGAACGCCCACCCTCCCGCCGCTGTCTCGGCGCGCGAGCTTCGATGATACGACCTTTCATCGGAGTAGGCGGTGGGACGACGATGCGGATGATGAGGAGGAGGACGATGCGGCGCCGAGGAGCAGACGGTCTAGAAGCAGGGCGTCGGATGTCGTGTCGTCGCTCTCTAGGCCGAGGCGCCCCAGTAGCAGGGTGTCTGATACCGCGGCCTTCTCGCGGCGTCGACGTTCGAGCGATCGAACCGGCCCTGGTGCTGGTGCCGTCGGTGCCGCTGGTGCGGCGCGATCAGCCATGCATTCGGGATTTCCGCACCGAGGGAGGAAGCTGAGCTCGAGGAACCTCGCGCAAGCGGTGGAGCATGCGCGACGGATCAGTCGACAGGGACGTGAAAGGACTCGATCGCAGTCGAGCCAAGGGAGCCTTCGGATTACGAGGACGGAGGAAATCCAAAGGCCTGTGCGCGAGCCCGGGTTCTACGACGTGGACGACTTGAGCACGGTGCCGTCCCGACGCTCGTCCATTTCTGGTCCAGTTCCGGATGGACAGCACTTTGTCCCGCCCGAGATGCTCTATAGACCGTCGCCGACGCAGATGCTGGCGGACGCGGACACGTTCCTGTACGCGAGGACGCTGTTTGCTGCGCGGCGAGCGTTGCACACGTGGCGTGACCAGGCCATGGCCCTGCGCGAGCGGGGCGCGCAGATGGAAGAAGAGGCCGATCTCTTCAACAAGAAAAAACGCGCCGAAGCTGCATTCGAGTCTTTGAGCGTCACCGTAAAGGCACGGCGAGTCGAACGCGAAACGGAGCGGTTCTACGAGCACAACTATTTGCGGGTCGTACATACCTTCGAACTGAACCTCAAATGGCGAACATTGTCCCATTGGTACAAGAATACGGAGAGAGCCATTCGGTTGACTAATCGAGCTCGTGCGCTCCTGCTCAGGAAGAAGCTGTGGAACGCTTGGTACGAACAGACCGTGATCGAGCAGGAGAAAGTACGTCGATTCAAGCTCAAGAAGTACTTCAAAACATGGCGGGACAGGTACGACACTATCAAGGTAAATGAAGAGATGGCCGAGACCGAGCACGCGACGCATGTCATTCAGAACACTTTGATGGCTTGTTTCCGGGAGTTTGCAGCGCGGAAGGCTTCTAAGATGTATGATGACAGACTTCTGCGAAGGGTGTGGGCGATTCTGGCCGATAAAGTGTCATTCGTCACAGAAAGGCAAGCTGCCGTTGACCTGATGGTCCAGCGGGACATCAAGAGCAGGGTGTTCCATCTCATCGCGAACAAGATGCTCAACCTTCAATCCATGGATCCCATCGCGCAGGATTTCCGAGAGCAGAATCTCCTTGCTCGAGCTTTCGGCAGCGTCAAAAGGCAAGCGCAGCTTCAGCCGCTGGAGAGACAATTGACGCAGTGGGTCATGCAGTCTCGCGTACGGAAGGCTTTTGCCGTTTGGCATGTGCGTGCCGACCAATCTGTAATAGCTACGAGGCTCGACCGGAGACGTATCCTGGGCAACGCTTTTACTGCGTGGAACGACAACACGCGCTGCTCTGCGCTGAGAGCACGTGTTGATAGTCGTGTCCTACTTGAATCGCTTCGCAAGTGGCTACTCGAGGCTCGAGCCTCTCTATTCATCCGAGTCCGGAAGGCCAGAAAAAGAGAGCGCGTTTTCCGACAATGGACGGAGATGGTTGAAGATCAAGCGTCGCGCCTCACACGTGCGGAGCGCATGTTGATTGCCTCTCAAGACGCCCGACTGAAGCGGAAAACTTTAGGCCATCTTCGCGATGTTCTTGAGGACCGAAGGCAGCACGAAGCTCAGGCCTTGGCACACTATGAGCCTTCTCTCATAAAGAAGATATGGCCGAAGTTGGTGGAGCGGCACGAGCATCTCCAGCAACTCGACCGGTGGGGATCGGATGCGCAGTTCTACACCGTTTCCACCCATGTCTTGAGGAGATGGAAAGAGAACACACACCAAGCCCAGAAGATACGGAGACGTGAGGCTTATGCCACTATCAGACGTCGTACCAAGCTGTCCATGGCAAGACGTGCATTCGAGAAATGGCGTGGCAAGACCTTGGCTATCGAGTTTATGGAGCGCCAGGCACAAGAACTGCAGGAAAATGCCATCCTGCGGACCGCGACACGACAGCTGAATCATTGGCATGAGAGGACGGTATCCGTCACTCTGAGCGTGGTGACTGCGGAGAACTTCCGTGATCGGGCGGCTGGCACGCGTACTATGAACACCTGGCGTTCCAGGCTCCAGGAAATCTCCAGACATGAGGAGAAGGCCACGACGTTCATGAGAGTGCACGTTGAAGTCGAGGCGAGCGCGTGTCTGAAGAAACTCAACTGGCGCCTTTTCCAGGTACAGCGGCAAAGCCAATCGGGCTATGCGTTGGCCGAGCGGAACCTCGAGAAACACATGAAGCAAATGCTGCGGACTTGGATAGAGCGGATGCATCACAACAGAGACCTTCGAGCCCAGGCCGCGCCCATCTTTGAGGACAGAGAGGACCAGGCGGTCACGCTCGACCGGCGGAGCGAGGAGATGTTGGATCTCACCGGCGAGAGGGAGGCGGATCCCGATGCCGTCATCGCTCGGAACCAGCGTTGGACTCCATTTGACGTCGGCGATCTCAGGCTCAGCCTCAACTTTGACTCCAACCGTCCAGAACTCGAACCAAGACTACCAAACCGCACGTCGTCTCCCGAGAAGCGGAACCCGCTCGCCAGGACCATCAGGAACTCCGACACTGCCTTCGCATCTACCCCCTTACCCGCGTATCTGCGCTCGCCCTCCAAACGCAGCACCGTCAAGGCAAGGCTAGCAGCTCTCTCGCTCAGCACGACCAACGAGAACCGACCCCCTCACCCACTATCCCAAGCTGCCGCCGCCGCTACCACCCCCGCGCCCGCCCGCGGCGTCCCATCTTTCACCTCCTCCGCCGCCGCGTACCCCTCCACCACCGCGCCATCCTATTCCAACTCAACCTTCGCACTCAACACCCACACCGGCAGCACGACGCCCATGGTGGCCCCGGCCGGCTTCGGCACCTTCGGCCCCTTCGGCGGCAGCAGAGCTGGCCCCCCAGGAACCGCGCCGCCAGCCATGAGGAGGACATCGAAGGCGGCGGCGGCGGCGGCGGCATCCGACGTCAACGACGACGACGGTGACGACGACGATGCCAACACCGACGACAACGCCGACGCCACCACCGTCCCCCCGCCAACGACCAACGACGGAGCCGGCAACAACAACAACAACAACAACAACAACAACAACAACAACAACAACAGCGGCACAAAGCACAACTTCGGCGCCAGCACCATGATCGCAGCCACGCCGGCGCCAGCTACGGCTACGGCTACGGCCACGAACCCGATGACCACCGCCAGCAGCAGACCGACGGCCATCACGCCTTTTGCGAGGAAGTTGACGGCGCAGGGGTACCATGCCGGCACGACCCCGGCGACGGGGAGAGACGAGGGCGTGAGGGGTCGGGGCAGGGCGGGCGGCAGGGCGGCGGAAAGAGGTGGTGCCGCCGGTGCCGGTGCCGCGTATGGTGGCGTGGTGGGGTTGGGGCTGGCGTCGTCGGGGTTCGGGCTCGGCGGGTTCGGCGGGTTCGAGGACATCGAGGAGGATGATCGGAGTCCTCGGGTGGTGGGGGAGGAGGAGGAGCGGCAAAGTAGGGAGAGTTCGCCGTGAGGAGGGCGGGTGGGTGGGTGGGGTACTCGTCTGATTGGTTGGGAGGGGTGGAGGCGGAGGGGGGGTTTTTTTTTTGGGCTGCTATTTTGCTTGTTGAGTCTACCGTCGTGGTCTGAGTGGTTTGATTGGATATTGGCCGTTTGCTGGATTAGCTCGTGGAGATACCCCATAGTCTTTTCTCTTCTTTTTTTGAGACTGCTCGCACACGGTTTACCGTTTTCGGTTCGGTCGGCGTTTGTTCGGCGGCATCGACTGATGTTTGTTTGCGGCGGCGGTTCATGGCCGCGTTCGTTGAGTTATCATTTCTTCTGAATGCTTACTGCGATGAGGGCGTGTCATTGCTGCGTATCAGGCGTTTAAAAACACACTTAGCTGTTTATGATGATCTACAATATTTTGTCTGAACTGCGTTGACCGGCTATGGCACTGCTTAAAACGGCACAGCAGGTTGATGCGAACTGAAACGAGCCGGGTAAAGTATAGAACCACTAGTCTCGACAGGGTGAAGCTTCGACGGAGTATCTACAGTAATGCGCACGGTGCTCCATGCGCCTCATTGGGGGAAAGGTGCTAAATCACACGACATGGGGTTCGGGAGCGAGGAGGATCCGGATTCGGGTTAGAACATACATGGTTTGCAGAGCATGTGAGGACAAGAGAGCGTGGGGCAATGTCCCGTATGTATTTAATAGTTCACCAACTGGTGGTACATGCATGTCCCTTTCATCGACGTCGACTTCTACAACTACCAGCCATCGCGCCAACCATGGTGGACTGCAACAGATCCCCCGAAGATGATGCGTGTGAGAAGCCAGTCAGCTCTGTCCAAAAGACTGTCATACCCGTCTGTATCTTCGTCGGGTAAGTAAGCGCAAACACTCAAACACAGAAGCACCCCTGATGGTTGGCAGAATCCTCTTGATCGCCATCATTGTCTTTCTGTATTCCATTCGCCGTCGTGCTCGTCTGGAACGCCAATGGGAGCAACAAGCGCGAGCAAAGTACGAAAATGCTTTCAACAACCATGAACCGCATGGAAAGACAGACACCAACGTTCCTGGGACCAGACAAACGGACGATAAGGGCGCGCATAAATCATGATTCGGGTCGACAAGTGTATGTAGGGGAGAGAAGCAACTCGCATCAGCTTATGTATCTGCACCCAAGTATGGACATGCAACAGAAGCCTGCTGAGCAAAGGAGTTTTGTATGAGCTTTCAACTTTCAGTCCATCGATCTTCATACAAAGGCTCACGTTTGCATTGCGCTTCTGTAACTTTTTTTTCTTCCGCAATTTCGGCATGTCTCATATATGTACCCGTTTTCTAGATTTGCTACATCGATAACAGCTCCGACTGGAAACAGATGCCATTTGTAGAGACGGTTGCTGGAAATATCCGCCAGTTCCTTTCCTGATGCTCGTACCCCTTTGCTGCCGGCTGAAGATTCGGCGCGCGGTAAGTAGCATACCCGATGCCTCGTTGTCTACTAACCAGCGCAGGCTTTGACTCAAAAGGCCTTCTCTTGGCAGCTTACGCTGATCAGTTATTTTTGGCACCACCACGCCCGTGCGCCGGCGAAAAAGGCGAATCAAAGTTACCAGTGAGCGAGTTCAAGGGTTGTTTCAGCATGTCAATAATGCTGAGTGGTATCCAATTGCAGTCAACACCCAACAGCTTACAGGCTGGATTCAAGGCAATGTAGCGACACGACATGAAACGGCCCCCATGCCAAGTCAGCCTGGGTCATGGAGTTGTCCGATTAAGCGCCAGCTTGATACGTCATGCTGAATCCTTCGAGTTTTTTCAACCAGTACAGTCGGCTGAGGATTTGGTGGCCAGAAAACTAGCTCTAAATTGGCTGAACCCATGGCGGGTAGATCAAATCAGCGGTACATATGTCACCATGACCCTCTCGAGAAGCCTTCTTTCCATGTCCGTCTCGTTTGTGCCCTTTATGTAAACTCAGTCATATTTACCTTATCTTTTGCGATACCACTGGGTATCATTCCCCTCCGTTCCTGGTGTAGATGGCTCAGGAAGCCTCTCGCAAGCCATGTCGGGAATGCCACACAAATCGTTCAACATGCTGGTTCGGAGAGCTTCCGGGGCTCTTTACAAACCTCTATCACGGCCACAAACCACATCCTCGGCAGAGAAGTCTCTGCCGGCACATCGCAATTCTTTCATCAAAAGGATTGGCCCTTACTCTTTGGGCATCCTCGTTGTTGCTTTCATCCTCATGGCAATAGCTCTCGCTTTCCTGTGTCACCTTTGGGTAGGTGACCGTAATTCGATCTCATGGAGATGGGTAATACTCAACGATTATGTTGGGTCGGCGGTCGCACTTGCGGCTTTGGCTATCCAGGTCTCTGTGTCCTCTTCGGGGGCTGTCGCAGTATCGATGCTCTCGTCACTAGCCATGGAGAGATGGGGCGTACCGCTCAGCCAGTCTCTGGCCATCTCCACCATGCGATACAACAACTCAGGGCCCCTCCTCTCGCTATGGAGTTTCGTACGGCAAGCCAGAAAGACTCATGGGTGGAAAGCTGTCACCTTTTGCCTGCTGATGGCGGTGATTACATTGGCAGCCAACTTCAGCTCCACCATCCTGCTCTTTGACGTCCATCCCGGCCAGATTCATGGCGTTCCCGAGATGGTCGACGTCCCGCTTGGCTGGACAGAGGGCACAAGCAAGGAGCCCGCAACCTGGTATCAGAACTTCATGCTCCAAACGCCATCCGCATATCAGACGTTTGCCGAGTGGTCCGACCCCCCCGAGCCGGCGGAGAACATGTCGGACACGGGACCGTTGGTACGCGCTTTACTTCCCTTCGCCTCGGAACAGACGAGGACAAGCATACAGAATTATGAAGGCCCTGCAAAAGTGTTTGATGCCAGGGTTGCCTGCGTACGTCCAAACTTCGTCGACTCGACCTTCGTCGTCAATTCCGACTTGGTCAACTTTACCGGACAGGTTGGCATCAGCGCTCGTCCTCCGGGGCTAGACAGCCAGCGAGGAAACGGGGATGGCGCTTCTCTCAACGGCTTCCCCTTGATACCCTTCGAATGCAGCGTCGGCTACGGCACGCAGATATGCCCGCTGGAGCGCGGCAGCGTAGACCTCGGCTTGAGGTCCTGGCTCTGGGAGTATTTCAACTCGACGCAGAACGTCACCGCCAGTGCCTTCCTGTTTTTCGAGAGCCAATACATGCTGGACGCCTACAACGACACTTCCAACGGCACCTACCGGCCACTCTTCAACTACAACACCACAAATCAAGGACAAGGGTGGAACTCCACCGGCGACGGGCCCTGGCTCAATCTGCAGCCCACCAACTGGACGCTGAAACCGCCTTGCGAAGCCACCAACTCATGCAGCCCGTCCTGCGAAGTGTTCAAGACCTGCGGCCGGCCCGGCCTGAACGCCTCCCTCTGCTTCGACGCCTTGTAAACCACCACCCCCTTCCCCAGCTCACCCCACACACAGCTAACCCGCCTCCGTCCAGATGGCCCGACATGGACCTCCCCGTCCAATTCAACGCCACCCAAAGCCGCACAGAGCCCAAGGTAACAATCGACCCAACCACCAACCAGCTCGACCTCACCCCCGTCCGCCACCAACTCGGCGCCACGGGGCCCCGCCTCCGCCTCTCCCCCACGGCCCGCAACATCCTGACCCTCTCCATCTCCTCGGTCCGCGCCGCGCTCGACGCCCTCCGCCCGGCCGACCTCTCCCCTTCGCTCTCCGCCAAGCTCCTCGACGGCTCCTCCCTCTGGTTCACCCTCAACCCGGACTACAACGGCGGCGGCGCCACCTCCTGGACCTTCTGCCGCGACCTCCGGCGCGCGCAATGCGCCTACGGCGGCGTCTACGACGCCAACACGTCGACGACGCTCGCCAGCGTCACGCAGGGCCTCCTCGCGCGCTCCATCCTCGACGACGACGCGGGCCACGACCCCGCCGCCGCCCTCTCCGCCGCCCTCACCGTGCTCGCCCGCATGCAGTTCTACGACGCGGCCGCGACTTTTGACTTTCCGCGCAGCGCGGCCGCGACGGCGTTCGTGACAAAGGCTTTCCCGCACGCGGCGCGCGGCCTGGCCGTCGTGGCGGGCGTGTGCGTCGCGCACGTCGCGCTCGTGGGCGCGCTGGCGCTGGCGTTCGCCCGGGGCACGGCGTGGTCGCTGCTGGACGCGGCGTGGGCGGCGGCGGCGCAGATGCAGACGGAGGGCGTGGGGGAGATACTGAGGACGGCGACGGCGATGAGGGATGGGGATGTGGAGGGGATGGTGGTCGGGGAGGCCGGCGGCGGGAGGGAGGGGGGGGGAGGCGGTTGTGCGGGTGAGGCATAATTTGGAGACGGGGAGGATCGAGGCGATGGAGTGATGGGGTGGGGGGATGGTTGTCGATGGGGTTTGTTGTTTCTTATAGTCTGCTGCCGACGGGTTTTGAGGCTGCTGATGATGTTTCGAGGAATTACGAGTTTTTCGAGTGGAAATCTTGCGGGATACGTGTTTTTGACATGTGCGCAGATGCGCACAGTTGGGATTGCAGCGTAGCTCACGCCAACACCGCCGGGATATCCTAGTGCAGACAACCCGTGGGTCTGGTGATGGGTTGAACACGTATCTGTGAACACAATCAAGCAATCAGGGGTCGATGAAATTAGGGACAGGATAGAAGAAACTTGGGTTGAAGATCATCTTTCTAAGAGTCCGAGCTTCTATAGACCATCTTGCTCTATGATCCGCCGGTGACTGAACCGATCTGTGTAATTGGCGGACGTAGCTGGTGTCAACTCGGTATCTCCAACGTTCCGCTGTGTAAGCTCCAACAGAGCAGCATTATTTGCGCTGCCACTGTAACTGAAGGGCAAAAGATTATCCGCCAGTTCGATCATGGCAAAGTGTAGCCGCCGTCAATGATGAGATTTGCCCCAGTCTTCACAAAGATCAGCTTCAAAAGAGCGGCCCTATGGACAGTGAGACTTACCATATAAGTGCTTGCGTTGCTAGCCAAGAAGACGTAGGCGCCTTTCAGCTCTTGCGCGTCCGCCATCCGATGGCCAGGGATCATGTCGAGCCACTTGTCCCTCATCTCGGGCGGGTGCAACAACAGGACTGTTTCCACATCAGCACATGAAAATCCAGAGGCGACGAGACAAAGACAGACTCACTCTCGGTATCAATAAACCCCGGACTCACGCAGTTGACCCTCGCAAAATCGACCCACTCGACGGCCAAGCTCTTGGCCAGGTGCACGACGGCGGCCTTGCTCGCATTGTACGCCGCCTGCTTCTGCGGGATGTTCACCAGCGTGGCGCTCACGCTCGCCGTGAAGATGACGTTGCCCGCCCAATTCCCGTCCTCCTTGCCGCTCTCCTTCGCGCGCTTGAAGACGTTCGCCGCCGCCTGCGCCGTGTACATGGCGCCGTCCAGATTGACGCCCATGACGCGCCGCCACTTCTCCTCGGCCACGTCCTCGGCGGGCGCCATGTCGGCGATGCCCGCGTTCGCGACCACCACGTCCAGCCGGCCAAAGTCGGCGGCGACGCGCTCCAGCGTCGCCGTGATGTCGGCCTTGTCCTCGACGCGCGACTTGTACGCGCGGACGGCGGTGTTGCCGGCGCCGCTCTTGGCGGCGAGGTCGGCCGCGATGGCGGCGGCGTCGGCGTCCGGGGTCGAGGCGTAGATGATGGCGACGGCGTGCGCGCCGGCCTCGACGAGGGCTTGCGAGACGGCGAGCCCGATGCCGCGCACGCCGCCCGTCACGGCGGCGACTTTGCCGGCGAGGGAGAAGTGCGAGAGCACGGGGGCGGAGGCGTTGGGGTGCGAGGGCATGACCATTTTGGCGGCTTTTTTTTCTTCTTTCTTTTTTCCTTTTTTTTTCACGGAGACCTTTTCTGGTGGAGAGGCGGTGGGATAGGGCGGGCGGAGGTTGGATATACGCTGCGGAGAGGAATTGAAGCGATTGAAGGCGTTGAAGCGGCTGGAGTAAACAGGCAATACACGGGTGTGAAGGAGCTTCGAGCCGCTAGAGAAGAAAAGAAAACACGAGAGTGAGGTGTCAACAGTAGGCCCACCGGGCGACGGTCGACCTGGCCGACATGGAGTGGGGCGCGGTGACGACAGGGTCGGAGGTGTTGAGCGTCAGGCCGCTACCCCGCCTTCCTGAGGCATGGGTAACGGTCGACGATCCCCCGCCTGCGTGTCCCTCTTGCTACACTGCCGGCTGCAATGCTTCCTCCGCCATTCCATTGCTGGCGCTGCTTGCCCCACCATGACCCGGGCGTGGCAGTCCGACACAAGAGCCACGCAATAATATATCCCACCGTTGCAGAACCGCACCGAGACGGTCATTGAAGACAATTCGACACCAATCACCAGACAAGATGGCAACAGCAGTAGACACAAGCAACATGACGGTATGTCCAACATCACAACCACTCCACGCACGTCTTCCGCCCGCAATGCAAAACAATACAAAAAAAACACACACAAAAAAAAGAAGACTCCCTCCTCCCTTCCCCCCTCCCTCCTCCAACCGCCAACTAACCAACCCCCCCCTCCCTCCGCACCAAGAACCCATCCTTCGTCCTCCAATCCCTCCACCACGTCCAAATCGAAGACCGGCCCATCCCCGCCCTCCGCTCGCCCACCCACGACGTCCTCCTGCACATCGCGCAGACGGGCATCTGCGGCAGCGACATCCACTACTGGCAACGCGGGCGCATCGGGTCCTTCGTCCTCGACTCGCCCATCGTCCTCGGCCACGAGTCGTCCGGCACCGTCGTGCGCGCCGGGAGCGGCGTCTCCCCCCACCACCTGCGACCGGGCGACCGCGTGGCCGTCGAGCCGGGCGAGCCGTGCCGGCGGTGCGCGCACTGCCGCGCGGGCGAGTACAACCTGTGCGCGGCCACGATATTCGCGGCGACGCCGCCGCACGACGGCACGCTGCAAAAGTTCTTCGCCGTCGCGGCCGACTACTGCTACCGCGTCCCCGCGCACGTCGACATGGAGGAGGCGGCGCTGGTGGAGCCGGTGGCGGTGGCGGTGCAGGTGTGCAAGACGGCGGGGGTGCCGCTGGGGGGCCGCTCCGTGCTCGTGTTTGGGTGCGGGCCCATCGGCGTCTTGTGCCAGGCTGTGGCGCGGGCGTACGGCGCGAGCGTCGTGTGTGGCGTTGATGTGGACGAGTCGCGGCTGGAGCTGGCGCGGGCGTTTGCGGGGAGCGAGACGGTGATGAATCCGAGTGTGGGGGATGAGGGCGGGGAGGGCGGCGCGAGGGAGCCGGTGGAGAGGGCTGAGGTGGCGGCGGGGTTGTTGAAGGAGAGGCTGGGGCTGGGAGAGGGCGCGGATGTCGTGTTGGAGTGCACCGGGGCGGAGCCGTGTATACAGGCGGGCGTGTTTGCTGCGAGGAGCGGGGGCGTCTACGTCCAGGCGGGGATGGGCAAGGAGGTGAGTTGGCCCATGTCGGATTGTCGAGACGACTCGTGCTGACATGATATGCGCAGAATGTGACGTTCCCCATCACTACGGCCTGCATCCGTGGCCTGACCATCAAGGGCTCCATCAGGTATACCGCTGGGTGCTACCCTGCGGCCATTGACCTCGTTGCCTCTGGCAAGGTGCCTGTGAAGAAGCTGGTGACACACCGCTTCAAGTTTGAGGAGGCCGAGAAGGCGTTCGAGTTGGTAAAGGCGGCAAAAGAAGGAGTGTTCAAAGTGGTCATTGCCGGCGTGGACCAGCCGCTGCTTGGATAGATCCGTAACGACTTGACTCGATTTGAAACCCCATTGCCGCAAATAGGATGTGCATATTGCCTCGATCATGCCTCGTTGTCTCCGATCAAAGTGATGCATCGAGATATCGTCCGCTCCAGCCCCACCCGACGGTGACGAACGCACCCTCAAACAGTCAAAAGCAGTTCGCAAACCTGCTTCACGCACTCCAACCCCCCAGCCCGACATCTCCCGATCATATCCAACCGTCCATCGACGAAATCAGCTGGTGCGACGACCAACCCCCCCCCTCATCATGCCACCAGCAAGTGACCCGACCCGAGATTCGGCCGCCTCGCCTCGCCTCGTCCCGTCCCGGCATCGGCGCAGCCACCGACCTAGGTATTTACCAGTCGTCGCGGGAGGGAAGGGCAGCAGAGACCTGCATACGTCCGCGGATGGGGGTCAAAGGGGCGAGAGGCGCCCATCCCATCCCATCCCCTGTCAGCCTCAACCATCATCATCATCATCATCAAAAAAAAAGGAAAAGACCAAGAACAATCCAATCGTTACGATGAATCCCCCATGTTCATCGACCCCCACACATACGCCTTCACAGCCTCCCCCCCGCATAATCAGCCGTCGGCCACACCCCGGCATTTCTTCTCCGCATTTCTCCCCCCCGGACGGACGACAGTCGCCCCAGGATAATTGCCGTTTCGGGTAAGGGTGCGCTGCCGTCGGCGGGAGGGGCACGGCCATTTGGTTTGTGAGAGTGCGACGGATTGATTCCCCCCCGGGTGTGCTCTCACCCCGCGGCGCCACCGTACCTACGTCAGTCACTGAAGGCCGAAATGAGATGGCCCGACGCCCAACGGTTGGAAAGGTGGATACTCCACCCTCTCCCCATGGGGAAACTCGGCGCCGACTGGTTAGTACAGTGTACATCGCGAGATCTTCTGGGGGAGGGCCCGGGGCCCCATGCGGGGGTGGATGAGGTAGCGTGATGGCATGATCCGCGCGACGGGTTGGCGGCCCCCCCTCCCCTTCCTCAAGGCAAACCTGGTTGATGGCGTTGTTTTTTTGTTGTTTTTGGATTGTTTTTGGAAGCTTGGAAGCTCTTGGAAAGGGATGGGCCTGGGAATGAAAAAGATAGAGAGAGTGTGCGTGACACGGGATACGTCCTCGGAAAGAGCCAACCTGTTTTTTTCTTTTTTCTTTCGGGCTCGGTTTCGTTGCTCACCCCCCTCTCTCCCAAATGACGAGCTGGCTAGCCAGAGGTGCCGAAAGCTTGACGCGGCTCATGAGCGCGGCTGGTCCTTGGTGCTTATCCGAGGAGTTGGTATATAGTGCAACAGGCATCCCCTCCGTTCAGTGATCTTGTCTCGCACATGCATCAGCATTGATTGTTTCCGATCGAGTTTTCACCGACCTGCCATGGGCTGCTGCTTATCCCAACAATCCCCGCTCGTTGTTGCTTCCTAGGACCAACTGACTTCTGCAAGAGAGCCCATTCCTCCTCCACCGTCATTGTGCCACAGCGTCCATCATGAGGGACGAAGACATCGTCGGCGCCACCCTGGCAGAAGTCCTGCCCAAGACATCGAAGTACTGGTTCCAACAATCGCACCTCCTCCGCTTGAACCTGATCCTCCTCGTCCCGCTGCTCTCCTCCGCGGTAGCCGGCTACGACGGCTCCCTCATGAACGGCCTCCAGTCCCTCTCGCAATGGAAGACCTACTTCGACTCCCCCGCCGGCGCGCTCCTCGGCACCGTAAACGCCGCGCAGTCCATCGGCTCCATCCTCGTCCTGCCCGTCGTCGGCGTCTGCAGCGACGCCTTCGGGCGCAAGCCGGTGCTGATGGCGGGCCTGGCCGGCGTCATCGTCGCGACGGCCATCCAGGCGACGTCGACGACGCTGGCGCAGTTCATCGTCAGCCGGCTGGTGGTCGGCATGGCGGGCATGCTGGTCGTGCAGCCGGCGCCGCTGCTCATCGCCGAGCTGGCCTACCCCACGCACCGCGGCAAGTACACCAGCGCCTACTGGACCATGTACTACCTGGGCGCCATCCTCGCCAGCTGGACCACCTTCGGCACCGAGGCCCTCGCGGGCAGCTGGTCCTGGCGCATCCCGACCGTCCTGCAGGCCGGCTACCCGCTCGTCCAGCTCGCCTTCATCCGCTGGCTCCCCGAGTCGCCGAGGTGGCTGATCGCCAAGGGACGCGCCCCCGAGGCCGAGCGCATCCTCGCCGCCTACCACGCCGGCGGCGACGCCTCCAGCCCCCTCGTGCGGCGCGAAGTCGCCGAGATCACCGCGACGATCCGCCTCGAGCAGTCCACCGCCGGCTCGACCACCTGGTCCACGCTCGTCGCCACGCCGGGCAACCGCAAGCGCCTCTTCATCTCCGTCTGCCTGGGGGCGTTCGCGCAGTGGAACGGCATCGGCGTCGTGTCCTACTACCTGACGCTCGTGCTCGACACCATCGGCATCACCGACCCCTTCGACCAGACCCTCATCAACGGGCTCCTCCAGATCTTCAACTTCGCCGCCGCCCTCTCCGCCGCCATCCTCGTCGACCGGCTGGGCCGGCGCCCGCTCTTCCTCTGGTCCGGCGCCGGCATGCTGGCCTCGTACGTCGTCTGGACCGCGTGCTCGGCCGTCAACGACGAGACGGGCAGCCGCGCCGCCGGCATCGTCGTCGTCGTGTGCCTGTTCACCTTCTACTTCCACTACGACATCGCCTACACGCCGCTGCTCATGGCCTACCCGACCGAGCTGTGGCCGTACAGCCTGCGCAGCAAGGGCATCAGCTGCGAGCTCATGTCCGTCTACGTCTCGCTCGTCATCGCCGCCTTTGTGAACCCGCTGGGCATGGAGAACATCGGGTGGCGCTATTACATCGTCTTTTGTTGTTTCCTGGCCGTCTTCTTGGCCGTCACCTATGCCTTCTTCCCCGAGACCAAGGGCCGGAGTCTGGAGGAGGTGGCTGAACTGTTCGATGGGCCCGGTGCGTTGCCGGACGTGCAGAAGATTGCAAAGAAGGACTCGCACGTGGCGAAGGCTTCTGGGGCGCATACAGAACACATAGAGGTGGTTTGACCTGCTCTACAGTCGGACAGTGGGTGTGGCGTGCAGCTGGGACATTTTCATTTGTGTGGATATGTTGTTTGCCGGCCTTCGGTTCGCGTTGGAAGAGTTTTAATTATTCCAGTTGTCAGCAATGATATGATCAAGCTTCTCATGTCCATTGGAAGTCATCAGCCGTTTCAGTCGAGGGTCCGCCAACGGTGGGGTCGGCAAAATCTCCCAGCAGGTCGGTCCAGGCCCCATCCTGCATGACGAGGTCCATCTCGTTCGTATTGCTGGGCCACATCATCGGGTAGATGGAGTTGATCTGGGTCTGTGGAGATTCACGTGTGGGTGATCCAGGGAATACGGCGGGGGGAGCCTCAGCATCGGAGCCTGGGCTCTGCATGAAATGACCGCACAGACGGATGGTGACATCGTAGCATTCCTGGGCACTGGGATTGGTTGCTTTCATGGCGCGGCAGACCCGAAGAGCCGTCTGTAGCTGTTGGACCCAGTCCAGAGCGTTCGGCGATGTGGGCTCGTTTCGAAGGCACACACAAGGAATGAGTGAGGCTTGGAACAAAAAGTACCTGAGCGTCTGTCAGATTATGTGCCAGTGGCATATCGAAGAAAAGGCCGACCTACAGAGTGTACCAAGCCCCAACGCGGGTGTGGGTGTTTTCTGCCCAGAATTTCTCAATGGTCGAGATGGTTGAGCTCGCAGCGGCTAGGCAGCGGTTGTATGCTGTTGCCTCTTCAGACGAAGACTCTTTGTCTTGGGGCTTTGATTGAGCGAGCAAAGCCCTTCGAATGACATATGGCCTGTACATGATGATGCGAAAATTGTACATCCGCCACCACAAAATTCTGTGCGAAAGGCGGAACTTCTTCGGGAGCTCGACATGCTCAAGCCACCACGAGGGCAAGGATGATATCCAGCCTCCAATGTGAAGGTCATCGAGACGGAGCAGTTCTGCAGCCGAAGGAGCGGGTGCTAGTATCACACGGGAGAAGATGTGATTGGTGGCCAAGTGAAACTTGGACTGAAAGATGACCGAGGTATAGTGGGTGACGTTGTCCGACTCGGGCGGTAGATCTCGAGACATGTTGGTCAGATACTATCGGCCTACCATTAGAACCATGAGCCGTGAGATCAGGGGCTGTCGGACTCACTCTGTCATTGATATTGAGCGGAAGCGCAACGTCGACGCCAATTTGCGGCCAGGTCAACGGGCGGCCAAAGGTAATGTGAGCACCAATACTGAAGACAAACAAACACCACCACACTCTCCTCCGGCTTTCCATCTCGATGGGTGGGATGTTCCAGCCTCGGAACTCCTTGTGCAGCCCCAGTCCCATGGCCATGTGCAGAGCCAGGCCGAGGTAGTTGTATCCACTGTTTGGCTTCCCCATCTTCTGCAGGTAGTTGTGCATCAGGCAGAGGCACTGGACAAGCGTCAGGTTCCCTGTTTCCAGGCTGTGGATGGACACGTTGGATTTGGCAGCATTGAACAGGGTCTTGTGCACCGGGATGGGAACATGGGCAGACGTGTAAGCACCGATGGTGGCGATCATGTAAGCCAGGGCGTTCCAGCTGGATCCATTGGGGCGTGGAATGACCTGAGCGTACTGAGCTCTGAAGGTCGCCTCATGGACCAGAGGGTAGCTCAGGTGGAATAGGGCAAAATACGAATCAATCATTGCGTCCAGGTCAATTTCCCTGATATTGAGCTTCGTCCAAAGAGGAGTGGGGACCCAGGCCTCGGAGGGAGAAGGAACATGCGGGGCAATGGCTGATGGCGTCAAGTGTTTCTTGTGGCCAGCTCGAGGGCTTCTGCGATGTTCAGCGCCAGGCAGGAGGAGGCGCAGCATGGCAGCGCCAGAGGTGTTTCCGAGATAGCCTGACTCCCCGTCCTCGACGGTCAAGGAGGCCATGCCGTCGACGACGGGCTCGTCATCTCCATCGTTGTGTGTTTGTGTCTCGTCGTCCTCGACGAGTGTTTCCGGGGTCTGCTCGTCCCAGCTGAAGTCTGCCGAGGAAATGGGAGGCGCCTCGAGCGTGGCGCCTGGCTCTGCTCCCACGGCAGACGCCTCGGCGCCACCATGCTGGACGAAGGTTTCGGGTTGGTCTGGCGGGCCAGTCGGGACATCGGGGGCCGAAGAGGCGGACACGGTGGGGAGCGCGGAGGGCTTGAGCAGCGGCTGGTGGGCAGCAGGCGGGCGAGGATGGGCGTCGGGGGCATTGGCAAAGGTGTCTCGGGGGGGCAGGCTTCTCAATTGCTGCTCTGCAAGCTGGGCGCGTCTCTCGGCTTCCCTTGCGCGGAGCTCGGTGAGGCGCAGGCGCTCCTCGACCTCGGTGAGATACCTGCGGACAAGGTCAGTGTGGCTAGTGGGGATGCAAGGGCAGGCTGGGCACCTTCTAGTCAAGGGCGTCTTGCTGTGCTTCTCGTACAGGCAGTGGCGCCTGTTCTTGGTGCAGGGCCCACATTGGGGGAGGGTCTTGTCGCAGCGGGCCTTTCGCCGCTTGCACTCGTTACAGGCCTGCTCGCCAGGCGAGCTGTCGAGGCGCAGAATGGACGACTGCCCATTGTCTTGTTGCATCTCTCGCGGCCGATGGCATTCTTCCGACGTGGTGTGGTGAGCAGCGCGAGGGCTGTCGCGGCCTGGGCCTGGGCCCCGCATCGACATCAGCGTGCGTCGCCATCTTATCTCCACGTGAGGGCGCGTCGATTTCCCGGCGCGGCTTTAAACCGGACTGCTCCCGCTCGCTTCTCTTCTTCTTTCAACTCGCTTCCCTTAGCTTCAATTTCTTTCAACTCGCTTCCTTCACCTTAAATCTCTTTTTTTCTGCTTTCAAACTTGACGGTCTGAAGGTAGAACAGACAAGGACCGTCACAGTGCTGCTAGCATTCACAAGTCAAGAGAAATGGTTTGCATTGCCATCTAAACTGCACTATCCTGGCTGAGAAGGGAGAGATCAAGCACTGCAGGAACTCATGCAAACTGCGTCTCCGTGACACCTTCACCCATGGCTGCCGTGCTGGTGACGCCACCAGAAACCATCTTCAGCATCTCGTCAATGTAGTTCGCCCCACTCCACTTTTGATGCAGCACCACCTCGCACCCCGTCTCAATCTCAGGCTCTTGGATCATCTCCCCATACGCACGCATGCCGCGCCTCGCAAACTCCCTGGCGAACCCGTCCGTCATGAGCGCCGTCGAGTGCAGCCCGGCAAGCGTGATGAACTGCCAGCAGTACCCGAGCCGCCCGAGACGCGAGATGTACGTCTCCTGCTCCTCGGGCGACATGGCCCGCTTCCAGTTGAACGACGGCGAGAGGTTGTACGCGAGCTTCTGCCCCGGCCAGACGGCGTGCACCCCGTCCGCGAACTGCTTGGCCTGCTTGTAGTCTGGCGTCTTCGATTCCATCCATACCAGATCTGTCCACCGTCGTCAGTGCTGGGGGAGATTTGGGGGACGGACTCGGGTGCGTGGGCTCCCACCTGCGTAGGGAGCGAATGCGTTTGCTCGGACAATGGCACACTCGCATCCACCTCTGTATCGATAGTACCCTTCCAACGTCCGAGGAGCGTCCCAGCTGAAGTAAATCTCTTGGCCAAGCATCGACCTCGCCAAAATGCGCCGGGCGTGGACGGACTTGCCCTGAGCCGACTTGAGATATTCATCAACCATGGCGTCTTTGTCGGGACCATGGCCGCTCCGGATGGCGTCGACGACAGCATCGTTGAAAGTCTTCAACTTGGCCTCCTGAAGCCATTGCGCCTCCATGGCCGCAGCTTCGATGCTGCTGCGACCTGTCACTGTGGCCATGGTGAGGACATCAGCCAAGGGTTCCAGATCTGGGTTGGTAGAGCCCAGGATGAAGTCATGGTCCCTGGCGTCGATGGTCGAGTTGATAAGTGTAGCTGCCTCGGAGTCTGTCCGAGCGACGAGGACAAGGTCAGTTCCCATCATGTCGGCCTGGGCGCGGCAGGCCACGAGCCGGTTGATGTGTTCGCGGATGGGAACCATTACCTTTCCTCCCATGTGGCCGCATTTCTTCGTGCCCGGCGCTTGGTCTTCGACATGGATCCCAGCAGCGCCATTCTCGATGAACAGCTTGGTGAGCTTCATGGTAGCTGTGATGCCGCCATGTCCGGTGTCTGCATCTGCCACAATTGGTCGAAGAAAGTCGATGTTGGCCAGCTTCCCACGCTCGTCTGGAGTACTTGTCAGGCGCTCCTCGCGTTGCTTGCGATCGTGGAAAAGCTGAGCCTTGAAAAGATGGTCTACCTTCTTGGGAACCGTGTCCTGACGAAATGAGCAAGACGAGATGGGGAAACACTGCTACTTCACTCACCATTGGGTAATCGGCCAGATCGGGAGATGGTTCGTTGGTTGAGGAAGCAGTAGCTGACGACTGCCATCCCGACACATAGATTGTGTCAAGATACTTGGCCATCTGTGTGACTTGGACCGGGTCCATGCACCCAAAAGTGAAGCTGACGTCTTTTTCCTATGGGGATAGTCCTTAGCTGTGCGAACGGGCCCTTGGAAATGCGGGATTTACCTTCCACCGTTTCTCGAGCATCTCCCAAAGCTTTCTGCTCATGGCATTGCTGGCGTACTCGATCTTCAGGTTGCCTCTCTTCGCACAGATCTGACTGGCTGTGTATGGTCGTTTCGTGCCCGACCAACGAGCACCTCTCCACCACTCCTCGGTAGCCTTCACCTCGGAGTTGAATGCAGTGTCTTCGAGGTACATGTCGATGATGGTCTTCCTCTCTTGATGTGATGTCTGCCGGACGAAAGGAGTCTCAAGTACCTCGGTGGACTTGATCCCTTTGGTAGGCTTGATCCCGTTCGTAGCCTCGTTGTAACCCATGATACGAGTGGAAAGAGTGCTGGAGTAACGATGCCGACAAAGTTTCTAGACAATGATGTGTACTCAGAAAGGAGTATCTTCCTCCTTTTAACACGCCTCTGTCCGGCCAAGCCACGCAATTTTCCACCACTTGTCGGCTCGTCAAAGTCTGTCTTGCCGTTGATCGTCAACAGTGACGCGGCAAGATAAGTCTGTCTCACGCCATGGTTTCAGTCCATATCGAGATCGGAGCTGCCGACGTCGGCATTGGAAACATCACTTCCTCGAACAGGAAAGACACGTCGTCAGACGCGAACAGTGGAGAAGGTGTTGTGGCGGGCCTACATGAAGCTGAGTTTAATGACGCGCGTCGATGAATTCAGAGTTCGCATGATCTTGGATGGAAAGAGCAGGTTGTATCCCGGTCAGCGTATAGACGATGGTCTGACGGTTGGCCGAATTTAGGGCATAGATCTACGAGGCAGATTTTCCGATTCTTTATAGGCTCAGAGCAATCGGAACCGTCGTACCCCACTCGGCTGCACGGAAAGTGGGACCAAGATGTATGGAATATGCATTTACCCTGTGACTTCGCCACAGCTATCAAAGTTCATCCATTGGACAGCTTCTTCTCACAACGGCATGCAAGTACGACGATCCCTACAAGGGAGTCAGAAATTTCTACTCTGATATGATAGGTCGGGACCGGAAAACCGTGCCCGCTTTGATGGTATTATAGGCCAAATTTGCGGCTCTGGGTGCGAAAAAGCAACTACATTCTAGCATTATGCCGCGGAGATTCTCTTGCGTAACTAACTTGCCCCATAAAAACACCTTTGTGATTCGAAAATACGAACTGAGAGCGCGAAGCGCATTGAAACTTCTGCAGATCGGACTACAACTGACTATACACCACCCACTATCCCTGCAGCTGTCTCTTCATGAACTCGTACACGGTGAACGTCACAGCCTGGCCTGGCGCTACTCTGATGACCCGAGGCGTGATCCCTTTGTAGAAGGCATGCACTCCTTCGTTCCGCAGCATATCCACCACAATGACAAGACCCTTCCGTAGTCCGCTCTCACCCGGGGCTTTGACCGAGTTCTGCATGCGGGTCTTGATAGTGTCGATAGGTGCATTGCACATGGGACCCACGGCGCCCGAAATCAGTCCAATCGCGGCAGTCTGGTAGCTCGGAGGGTCCATTCCCTGGGGTTGAGACTGCATGAGTTTGGCTTTCAGCATCGTGTAGACGGTGAAATTGGCCGCTTGGTTGGTCCCCTGCCGGATTGCGGTGAGAGCCACGCCCTGGTACAGAGCGCCAACTCCCTCCCTCCACGCAACCGAACCAGCTGCATGAAGGGCATTCCGGTACTCGGGCATGCCAACAGACCCTCCGATAGCGGGGGCAAGCCTCTGGCCTTGCAGTCTGATCTTGACCACCTCCATGGGGTTGACGACAAGGACAGCTTCCGTGACTCCCGCCGCAAGACCGGCCGAAAAAATGGTTGCTCCATTGAGCTGGTCGCCGGAGATGGTTTGGAACGAAGACTTGTATGCCTCAAACGAGGCAAAGCGCACTGCCATCTTGGGCCCCATCCCAACCACGACCGCGTCGAAGCCTCTGTACAGCCCCAGAAGGCCTTCGGTGCGAGCCACGCGAGAGAAGGTCCCGATGAAGCCGTGTCGGGTTGTCTCCAGACGAGTCAGTGTGCGAGCAAAGGGAGGATTGAAAGATTCCAACTCACCGGCGAGAGGACCTCCTTGTTCGACAGCTGCATCTTCACCTTGACAGTATCCAGAGGATGGCAGATACACGCCTCCATGATACCTGCCGCACCGCCGGCTGGAGGTTGTTAGCACACCGACAATTGCGATCGGCAGGAGGTTGAACTGACCAATCAGGTTTGTCGTTGCCGGCAGTCGAGCCAACACTGCTCCCGATTTTTGTTCCTGCATACTGTTTCTGTTCGATTGACGGCAAAGTTTGTTTCTTCTGGTCAAAGCGAGTATGAGACGAGTTCCTGTTGCCTTTACCTTTCCGCCTCGGGACCTTCTTCTACACTCCTCATCTATTACTGTGTCTCACCTCCCCGCAAGCCATCAAAGTTGGAAGCTCCTCCGCTCCGGGGCAGCAATCACACACGGATACACGTAGCCCTTGGAAGAGGTGGGGCCGATATCTTACTTCCGCTCCACCCTCGCCCGTGAGCCCAATGCCTTGAGAAGGGGCAAGACAAGCCACGTCAGTGCATTCGTTATCGACGCGGCTACAGCCGGGAATAATTGCTTCTTCGTGTCGGCACAAGCTCAACACCCTGGCTGTGTAGCTCTGCAAGAATGGATGGCAGTCTCTGATTGCGTTATCGTGCTGCGAAGTGCGCCTTGTCGCGTCCCAGGTATTTGGGAATGTGAGTGGGTGAGAAGAGTGGGCCGCTACATCGGTACGCGTACCCTTCCGTGGAAGGCAAGCATGAGAATACTTTGTTCTGGGAAGGCGAGGCATGTGTTGTTGGGGGGCCTAGCATCTGAGGCGGAGATAATGTTGCGGTAGATTCCGCTCAAGCTTTACCATGATGTTCGGTTAAGCTCTCTTGGAAGAGGAGTTCCTCGTGTAAGCCTCGGAGGTGGACGGGCTTAGCATCTGCCCCTGGTGGATCCTGGCGCTGGGGACGGCTGCACGCCTGTTCCCGGGCAGTCGGGTATCTGGACTGGGATCTGGGATCTTCGTCCCGGCTCCCGTCATCGCCGATCACCCAGGTTCGCCCACAATTACGCGTCTGCCATGGTTTCGTAAGCTATCTACCCATGGTGCATCCAACACCCACCATACCATCCCAAAAAGTCTGTTTGCTGTGGGTTGTCTGTCACAAACCACTGGCCAAGAACCACTGGTGGACAGGTATGATGTAGTTATCAGGTTATATTGCTTGCTCTGGCGCTCTCCAAAGGTTGTCGATCCGATAACTGAGATTCTCGGGCCTTGTTCAGCTCATATTTTTTATTTGACGCAACTAAGCGGCTTGCTCTTTGACTTGGACCGCAAATTAAACAGTGGCAGCACTGAACAACCTTCCGACGACAATGGCACCCACAAGCGGCCAGACTTTGGCAATAGTAAGGACTTCCAACGTACCAGAGTGATACTGGCTGACCATAGAGGAAACATAGTCCATGAGCTCCTCATGGAAAGGCTTTGTCAGATCATGGATTTTCGTCCCGTTCGGATTGGTTGTCATGCTATATTTCGTCCTGGCACTTGACACTCTCATTGGTCTTGGCACCGTGTCATTCCCCGCCAGTGTAGCATGCCTTCTGATTCTGTTCTTCGGACTGCTGCTGGCCGATCTCGTGCTGAGCAAGAAGAACATGGAAACACTATTGAAAGTCATAGACGTCCCAATCGGATTCGCCCTCCGTACGATGAACCTTTACTTCACACCCAGCTTCATCCTTTTGCCGCTCAGCAACATGATCAGCGGTGCAGAGATTGGCGTTCTGATCGGCGTCTTCATTGTGGGATACGTCGTTCAGTTTGCCGTAACGGCCTACACCTCACGGGCTATCCAGCTCTTGCTCCGACAGTGGCAAAAGCGCAGCAACTCCGCTTCAGAAAAGCCAGAGGCAGACGAGGCGCAAAGGTATGCGGCCAACAAAGCTCTCATCCCATCCGCACCAACACATCGAACTGACACAAGCAGTGGCAGTCCGTCCGACCACCCAGCAACGCCAGACGACAGTTCCAAAGACGAACCATCCCACGAAGCCACCGGCGGTGCGCAATGCTCACCCACCTCCTCGTCCACCAGCCCACCAACATCCCCCGACCCGCCAGCAGCCAGCCGCACCCCCTCCCGCAAACTCGCCACCACCCTCCTCAACCACCCAGACGCCTGCATCTACCTCTCCCTCCTCCTCTTCGTCGGCCTCCCAGTCTACTACACCACCACCTACACCATGCCCCTCTTCCTCCCCCTCAACGTCCTCACCTTCCTCCTCGCCAACGCCATCCCCCCCAAAATCCGGCGCCTCGCCCACCCCGTCCTCACCACCTCCCTCCTCACCGTCCTCCTCATCTGGGCCTTCGCCGCCACCAAATCCCTCCCCGACCCCCTCCGCACCTCCCTCTCCCTCTACCGCACCCAAACCAGCTACCTCGCCTACTTCCGCGGCACCCAGAACCTCCCCCTCCCCGGCGCCGGCGACATCCTCGCCTCCCTCCTCGACGCCAGCATCGTCTCCCTCGCCCTGCCCATGTACCAGCACCGCCGCGCGCTGTGGCGCTTCTTCTTCGCGATTTTCACTCCATGCGCGGCGCTGGCGCTGCCGTCCCTCCTCGCGTACCCGCCGCTGTGCGCCGCGTGGGGCGTGTCCGGCGCGCGCAGCCTCGCCATGGCGCCGCGCAGCGTCACGCTCGCGCTGGCGCAGCTGTCGGCGCGGAACCTCGGCGGGGAGAGCAGCGCGGTGTCGCCGATTGCGGTGGTGAGCGGGATTTCGGGCCCCATCTTCGGGCCGACGATTTTGAGGGTGTTGGGCGTGCCGGAGGGTGAGTGGGTTTGTTTTCTTTTTTTTTTTGTGGGTGAAGGGGACGGGGCTGGTTGTCCCCTCCTTGCTTTTTGTTTCCCCCGCCCCCTCTGCCCTCCCAGTTTGAGACGACGAAAAGGATTATAGGCTGATGGTGTTGAGCTCTCACAGATGATTATGTGACGTGGGGCGTCGTGCTTGGGGCGAATTCGTCGGCGATCGCGACGGCCATGTTGTTGGAGAAGGATCGGCGGGCGGCGGCGTTGAGCTCGCTGTCCATGAGCATTTTCGGGATCCTGTTCATCGTGCTGACTGCGATTCCGGATGTCGTGAGCTTTGTCAGGGGCTCGGTGGGGTTGTGAGTATGCCCATGTGTGTGTGCGCGCGATAACGGAGAGGTGAGTGGGAGGGCAAGCGGGGCGGAAAAGCACGTCAGTGATGTGGCTTTCTGCGGGGGGTTTCTACCTTCCGCTCAGAGTGGGGTGTAGGGAGATTGTTGCCCTTGTGCGGCGGGTGGAAGTTCGATTGTGCGGTCAGCGAGGATCCGGGGATTGTAACATGTGCAAGCATTCGTAGACCATACATGACTTACTCATAGCGGCTGCGCAGTGTTCATTTCTATTGCTGCCAAGTGAGCGCTTGCTGGAACCCCCTCATTTTACTTTCCGTACGATGGTTGGAGACTGATTACGGAGAATTGGGGTTTTGCCTGCCAGTTCGACGGACTTGCGCTGACGAGTATCAGGAGAGTGCTGTCGTTGGTGCTGGGAGACACGATATGTGCATGATGTGTGTGGATGAGGTGTAGCGGCCCGGCGGTGAGAGAGCGGCATTAATCAGTGGCGATTAGGGAGGATGGAGGAGAAAGGTTCTGGTGTTGGAGGGATGGAACACCCATCAGCATGTCCATTACTTGATGGGTAGCTTGGCGTCAAGGATACCGTAAAGACTCTTATATTGAATGTTCCCATATGTACATGCGTAAGTGCAACATTATTTACAATATCGTTGCCATATTTGCAAAGAGTGATGGGTTGTGCAACCACACCCGTGTCACTGTCTCTCCGCCTCTTCAGCTTCTTTCCGAGAATGAACCTCGCCCGTACTTCTATCTAGAGAAACGCTCATGGTAACCTGAACTGTAATCATCGAAATCAGTGGTAGCCCATTGGTCGATCGGTGACCGGCCCGACGGATTGTGCTCCGCAGAGCCATCAAGTGCCACGTTCAGGTAGCTGGTCATCAGGTCCGGCGCATCATTGGTTTCCTCGAGCTGCGTTGAGCGAGGAGTTGTCAGCAGGGATGCAGAATGTTCCCCGTTCGGCACGTCAACGTGCTGGCCTTGGGGGAGAGCATGAACACTGAAGGCCGCCGGCGTCGAACCATCTTGAGATTGCTGCAACGAACGGGGCTGGTAGCCGTGATTCGTCGTCGCGTCTATCATGGTGAACGACGGATCAATGTAGCTGGATGCGGCAGGAGGGAGCACGCCAGGATTGTGTGGGGCGGTACTGAATCCAGCTGACGATGAGGCTGTTGCTGGTACCATTTCTGCTGGTGCATCTTCCTCGTGCTGGCGTGGCACCGTCGGCGGTTGACCAGTGTCCTGACCACGGAAGTGGGCGTAGGATTGCTCCAAGCAATCATGAACGACACGCTCAATGAAGTCATGGATCGGCTCCAGATAGAAAAGCTGATCGACAAGTGCGGTGAGACCCTGCTCTAAGCGGGGCGGCAGATCATTCCGCAGGAAGTTCTCGTAGCGCCTGTAGAAGCTCGAGCCCAGTAGTTGGTCACGGTCCACCCACCCTGAAGGGCTCGTCAGTCTACGCAAAGACGAGGGAAATGAATAGAAGGGGTATGAATGGAAACTTACATGGCGAGGGAATCGTGTGCTCCTGGTCTGAGGGGAATAGGATGCGCCAAATGGTCCGCCATTTCTCCTCAATAGAATGGCCTCGCATGCGCCCCTTGACCTTGAGCTCGCTAGCTTGGGAAGCGTTGAAAACATCCTTGTGTGGTTGTTCTTGAACCTGCACGCACATCTCCTCCCCAGCAACGCGAAGGTGGGCGGCCACCTCGTCTTGCTTTTTGAACAACTTGAAGCAGCGCGGGCATTGGATGGAACCGTCGTGGACTCGATCCAAGTGCTCTCTGAAGGCGAGCTTGTTAGCAAGAGCCGTAGGTATCATTCAATTTCATGACTTACTTCAGCTTCGCGATCTCCCTGAATCCAGTGTGAAAGCATGCATCAGCCTTCGGCGTTCCATACGGGTTCCGTTTGAAATACGGACACGCTATCCTCAGATGTCTGTGTCCATTGTGGGGACTTGGAGACCTGCGAGGTTTAGGGGCGCGGCGGCGTTTATCTTCATTGTCACTATCGTTCCCGTCATCGTCGTCGGCCGGCGAACCAGCACTCCGGCACTTCCTCTTCCGATTGTTGCCCATGTCCGTGCGGCTTGCTTGACCACTGGCAGGCATACAGGGCTTCTTGCCATTGGCACGGCTGGAAGATGCGCCTGGGTCTGTTGAAGCAGGGGTCTCCTTGGGCCCTGCTGCGAGAAAATGCCTGTCGCACTCTTGTGATGCTTCTTGTTTAGGGAAATCCTTTTGCATCAAAGGCAGGGAAGTAAGTGGGTCAGGAAATTCAGTCTTGACAACGCCAGTACAGCCAAACAGTGGCGCCGTGGGAAGTGAGATGCCCAGGTTCCTGTTGTTTGCGACATATAGCATGAGACGTTGGAAGAGATGGCGCTTGACGGGACGCAAAAGTTCTTCCAGGAAGTCCCTCTGCAGAGGATCCGGAGATTCGCGTGAGTCATCTGAAGGGGACTCGCTCTCGTGCTCCGATGAATTGTCCTCACTGTCTTCCTCATCATTCTCCGGTGGCGGAGTGGATGGCTGATCGCTGGAAGCTGCAGATGAACTTGGCTCGGATGACTCCCGAATGGTGTTGTTGCTGGCCACCTCATCGTTGTGCTCATACGGAGACCCGCCAGCATTCCCGTTATCTGCGGCAGCCCCATGCGAAGAGTTCTCGCGGGACATTTCGACAACAGAACTGGGAGCCGAATGAGGAACAGACAAGGGCTTCTTTGAATTGGGTGATTGATGCATGGGAAAGGAAGCAGGGTCAATTCGAGGGACTGAAGAGGGAGGAGGCATGGGTGAATCAGGAGGGACGGCTCCCGGACTACCCAGCGGTGAGTCCATAATATGGACATCGGAAGGAGTGATGCCTGTGTCAGAGCAATGGGAAAATCGATACTGACTGCGGCTCAGGAATACGTGTTAGTGGCACGGCTCAGCTGGTCCAGGCGACCCATGCCTGAAGGGGTAAGTGACTTACAGATGGTGCATGATAGGCTCCGAATGAGCTATTTCTGGACCTGGCAACGTCATGTCCATTGTGGCTGTGGCCTGCAGGATAGCGGCGTCCGAATACGTCTTCATTGCGTGGCCTTGTTCATCCAGCGTCTTGAGTAGAGGGCTGGAATGCTGACTGTGAATGCCTGGGAAGCTGGCATCTGAAGCGTAGGGATGAGCAGCGTGGTTGAGGTGGTGGTGCATACTCAAAGCATCTACTCGTCGAGCGAGCGATGCGCAAGACGAGTTACTACCGCTGCCGCTACTACGGGTGGCGGTGGTGGAACTACTCCCGCCGCTGCCGAGACTGGTGGCAGAATAGTCGGAAGAGATTGAGCCATGTCTTAGCGGGTGGGCGCCTGGTGCTCGCAGAGGGCCTTGAAGTGGTAGGGAGGAATGAGCGCCAGCGGGACTCCTCGCCCGAGCCTGAGAGATGGCAGCTCGACGATATCCAGTGCGGTTGTGGAGGCTGAGGGCATCTTCGCCGGGTTTGATGCCAGCGGCGTCGGACTGAACGAAGCGGTTGACTATCTTGAACTTTCTGATTCCCTTGTCAAGCTTTCCTCGGCTCGGCCTCTCGGCCATCTCGTTCGGAGCTGACATGTTGGCCAAGGCGTGAGGCATGCGACCGACGATAGGGCTAGGAACAAAGGAAGAAGGAAGGCGTGGTCCGTGGCGCTTGTCGTGGGCTCAACAAGGCTGAAGCCTGCTGGGGAGGCAGGAGCACCGGCATGGCGGGGAGGCGCAGGATAAGTAGTGGTGTTGGTCGCTGGGAGAAGGGAGGGGAATGACGCTGGCCAGCGACTCTCGCAGCAGGCGGACGGGCGTCAGGGGGAAGTGCGCCGCCGCAAGGCGATGGCACAAGAGGTGGCGGAGCCAGGCAGGCTGATGGGGGCGGAGGCTTTGGTGATTTTCCCGCGTAGGAGCCTGCAGAGCTACCCGCATTTGATCACCGCGCCGTCGAATCAGAGGGCCGCAAGCCCGCCCTCAGCTGGCCTCAGGACCGGAACGCAGCCTGGCGGCAGAAGGCAACCAGGACGGGCGAGAGGGCGATACGAGCATGACGAAAGCGTGCCCCAGGTGTCGTGGCTGGGCAGCGAGCGGCCAGACTGGCGGTCAGGCTGGCGGGCTGGCGATGCGGCATGCTGTGGGTTGGCAGATCTGCCTTGGCCGGCGGATGGGCCAGATTGGCGACGCATCCCACGCATGTGCGCGGTAGCCGTCTTGCGCGCCGGAAAACCCGCAGCCTGCGCCACACGCGGCGCCGCGCAGACGAGTTTTAGAACTGGGTGTTTGTAAGTCTGAAACCTGGGTCTTCAGAAAGGAGACAAATGCGGCACTCACCGCCGTCTGCCTGCGCGACTGAGCAACAAGGAGCCACTTATCTCGCCCGGCCGCGCAGATGGCCAGACGGTCGGGAGCCGTGCGGGTGGTCGCCCTTTCGCCGCCGTTGAACAAGCAGTGATGCCGCAGCCCTCCAGGTTTTTCCCTCCAGGTTTTCCCGCCGCGCACTGGGCCCAGAACCCACATTGCGCGACTGAGCATTAAGGTGGAAGGGCGGTTAGGCAGAGCCCGCTAGAGAACCAAGGCGTTTCGCCCTCTTCGTCCCTTGGAGCGCAGTTGCGACCTACCGGCGATGGCAAGTATATATTCGCATTTACACTCTTCACCATGTCTCCCATCTGTTCATCACCGGCTCAGTTAACCTTGTTGTCTCTTCTGTCTCGACTCGACGGCAAGTTCGACAGCGAAGACCTACCTCCCAAGCATCGCCATGTCTTCTTCCTCTCACCACACCACCAACCCGGCTGGCAACACGCTTCCGGGGCCCAACGCCTATTACTGCTGCAAATGCCTGTACGGGCCGATGCTGTATGAGCTGCATCCGGCTTGCATCGAGTGCGGCGCGCCGGCGTGCGGATATTGCTCGCCTATCAGCATCGGCCTCAACCACCCCGGCCACGCTCTCCAAGACCAGCTCGGCCAGCCTGACCCACGAGACCCTTACGGCTCTTCAATGCTCGGGTATGTTCCCGGCCCAATGCCTTGGTGTCGCGCACCGCTAACCCACGCCAGCTTCAGCAACACGTCGGCGTCACTGATGGACCGCTTTTTCCAAGATCGACCGAACGGTACCGAGCGCTTGTAGTCCGGGGGCGTGTCGCGCAGCCTGGCTGGCTTTCAGGACGAAACGGGAGATGTACCAGTGACGAGCGCAGGGCGGGGATGTGATGATTTGATGGAGCACGGCACGATGAAGATACCACGGGACAGAGAAGACGAGTGTTAAGAAATGTACGATAGCAGGATATCCACGAGTGTACAGGTTAGCCATTGTTTTAATAGACGATTACCCAATCTGGCTGGCAAGCGGGCGTGGTGTTGTGTTTATAAGCTTCCGTCTCCTCGGACACCATGTACACGGGCGCGAGGTGACGTCCGGGCGGGAGATGGGCGGGCGAGGTCAAAGCGGTGGACTCGGGCTAACGTCCAGGCTAAAGACGATGCCGCCGCCACGATCGGGTCGCGGCCAGGGATGTGCAGGGATGCCGTCGCGTGGGCTGCAATCCGTGCATGGCGACCGAGGTGCTGGGAAACGTCGGAGACAATCGTCATGCACCACCGGGAAATAAGTGGCAGATGCTGGGAGATGGTGGCCGGGAGTGAAGATGGGCGAAGGTGGTCTTGGGAGATGTTGCGGGCGGGGAAGAAAGATGCTAGCGCTTGGTGGCTTTTGGCTGGACCAGCCCAACCCTGTCGCAGACCAACTTCTTGCGCGCTGCATCAGCCATTCGTCGCCCGGCGCTATGACGCATGCTGTCGCATCGCTCTTTGGATTCCAGCTTCGCGACTCGACCGCCCGCTGCCAGCGTGCGCCATCAGACGTCATGCACGCCGCTGCCGTTGGCAACATGCCAGCTTCTTCTCTCTCGCATCCACCTTGCATAGAGCTGCATTTCTCTTTCTGAATTTTCATCCATCGCCATCATGCTTCCAAACGTGGAAATGACCGGCCAGAGGCAGAGCGTGCCTGCCCGCCACGGCATCGCCACCTTCGTGCCCAAGGGCCACACCCTCAAGGTCATAAACACTTATGGCACTCAGACTATCAGCACTTGGGTCTTTGCCCTCCACAAGCCTCCAAACCCAGAGTCCGAAGCCGAAGAGAAAGCCGAGGAAGAGGCTTTCAACCAAGCGCAGCAAGAGGCCGAGAAGGAGGCCATCGCCCACCACCAACAGCAGCAGCAGCAGCAAGCCGCAGCCGATATACACCCTGAAGACAGCGCATCGCAAGTCCTCGCTGAAATTCAAGAAGAAAATGTCGGAATTCAAGAGGCCAAGGACGAGCCCCAGCCCGAGCAGGCGACGGCCGGCCCCGAGTCCCCGACTTCACCCACAGCCAAGCCTACCGTTCAGACTGTAGACGGCAAGAAAGTCCGCTCTTGGACATCCTACGTCCCTTCGGTTCCATCTGTAGCTGTCTTGAGATACCGAAACAAAACCGCTGCTGCGCAAGCGAGCAAGGACGCTGCCAAGGTCGGCGAGGAGCAGGTTGAGGGGAGCTCCAAGGACAACGCCGAAGCCAAATTGGAAGAACAGAAGGAAGACGACACAGACGGTAAAAAGACGGACAAGGTGGAAGGGCCGGCTGCCGAAAGCGGAGACCCGACCGCCCAGCCAGACGACGAGGGGCGCAAGGTCGCAGGAACAGTCACTCCATCCGAGACCGAGGACGACTACGCCGATGCGAAGTCGGTTCAGTCGTCGCGGAGCTGGGGCTCCTACCTTCCCTCGATCCGCCGAGGGAAGGGTGCCTCTGCAAAGGACTCCAAACTCGGCACTGACGACAAACAAGAGAAAGCGAACCAACGCACCTGGTCATCGTATCTGCCCTCGGGCGCCTCCTTCACATCCTACCTCCCCAGCAATAGCAAAGACGCCCTCTCGGCCTTTGCCTCCTCCCACCACCGCGACCCGGCCAAGTCCTACGCCGAGCAGCTCTACGAGTTCTCCAAGACCCCCGTCGGAGCCGCCAGCCTATCAGGTAAGGCCACATCCCCCATCCTCTTCCTCCCCCTCTTCCGCCTTCTCCTCCTCCTCTTCAAGCCCACCCCGCTCACCCAAACACTCCCTCCTCCAGCCGCCACCGGCTCCGGCACCGCCGGCTCCCTCTACGCCGCCTACTCAGCCTACACCAAACTCCAAGCCTCCCAACGCACCACCGGCCCCATGGAATACCTCTCCCTCCCCCACACCATCTCCTCCCTCCAAAAGCTCTCCCCCTCCCCCGGCGACACGCTCCTCTCCAACCTCCACGAGCCGCTCCTCACCCTCCTCGACGACACCACCCCCCCTGCTCCTCCCACCACCTCCTCATCCCCATCCTCATCGTCCTCGATCCCCCTCCGCCACAGCACCATCCTCCCCGCCTGCGACCCCACGACGTACCGCCACCTCGCGGGCCCGGGCGCCGGCGGCGAGGAGCACGGCTCCTGCGCCGAGAACCTCGTCCTCGCCCTGCAGGAGTTCAACAAGGTGACGGGGCTGAAAGGAGCGCGCACCGTCGGCGCGGACGTGACGATCAACAGCGCGCCGGTGCCGTTGGGGCTGTTTGTCAATGCGAGGGTGGGGGGGAGGGCTGGACCTGGGACAGCAGATCAGCAGCGACGAGAAGAAGGTGGAGGACGTGGGGAGGAGGGAGGGCAAGGTGGTGGTGGAGGTGGAAACGACGACGTCGTTGTCGTCGAGGCGCCGAGGAGGTTCGATGGCGGGAAGTGGGGCAGGGGCGGCGAGAAGGGCGGGTGGGTCAAGTTCAGGGCGGAGAGGGACGTCGTCGTGGTGATGAGCGCGTGTCCGATGGACGAGGGACCGATGAATGGGGGGAGGTGCATGGCGGCGAATTTTGTGGTCGAGGAGCCGGTCGGCGAGGAGGAGGACGAGGACAAGGACAAGGATAAGGTCAAGGACAAGGGAGAGGGGGAGGGGATCTGCAAGGTGGCGGGAGAGGGTCAGGAAAAGGCAAAGGCAAAGGCAAAGGTGCAGACTTCGAGCGAGAAGATCAATGCGAAGAAGGTGGAGGCGAAGAAGAAGGGGCCGGTGAGGGACGAGCCGAAGAAGGTGGCGCCGGCGAAGAAGGAGGAGGAGGTGAAGGAGCCTTCTGTGGCTGCTGCCGCGACCCCGGAGGTGAAGGGTAAGAGGAGGGACAGTGCTCATGCGATGACTGAGAGTGCGCAGCCGAAGGTGAAGAAACCGCCGGTCATACAACGGGCGAAGAGTGCGGTTGAGGGAAGAGTGAACAGTCCGGCTCCGGACAGGGTCAGGGTCAACAGTCCGGCCCCAGACAGAGTCAAGAGTCCGGTCCCCAACAGAGTGAAAGGTCCGGTTGGGGATAGGGCGAAGAGTCCAGTGTCCGGGATGCAGTCGCCGCGGACGGGCGCCTCAACGCCGTCCTCGGACGCTGTCCGGAACATGCCCAAGCCTGGGAAGAAGAAGCCGAAGAAGTTGGAGCGACGCAGCTCGTCCATGGTTCCGGTCTGATTGAATGTGGTTGCTGAGTTGTAGGGATTGAAAAATGATGGGGGATGTTGAGGCCAGATTGCTTCTACTGTAGGATAGTCGGCGTGGTTGTCTTTTGAGCATTGTTGACTTTGCCTTGTTTCTGTTTCTTTTTCTTTTTCTCTAATGACTAATTTTCTCGTTCCTGGCAGCCCGGATGATAATGCCAGCAGGTAGGAGAATACCCATGTCTGCGTCTTTCTGATTGGTGGAGAATAGCCTTGGCGTCGTCGTGCTGCATTGACTCCCGGCTGTCCGTCAGCCTCCCGCTCGTGTCCTACCCGCATCGGGAGTGCTCGATCGGGTTGTTTATCGCTGATTCTCCTTTTGGACGTCGAATATACCAGCAAACCAAACACGTGCCGCGTCGATGCCGCTGGGGTTCGGTAGACATTCGCCCGGCTCTTTCTCCGCCTTTTCGCTTGGTGCTCGTATTGGGCTACCCCGCAACCTCCGCAGATCATCGCCTCGTCCGACCTCATCCCACAATCCACCGGAGTACATACTTGGATTCTTCGGGTCTCGGCCGATATCATCATGAGAGTATATAGGGGCCGGGAGCCCCCTCCGAGACCATTGGGTCTTTTTGAGCTCAGAACTACCGCTCACCGGCCTCCAACATGGTTCTCAACGGTGGCGTAATGCCGCTCGCTGCCCGGGCGCTGAGCCTGGCGGCGGCAGCGGACAAGGTCAGCAACGTGTCGGTTCCTGCAAACCTCTCGACCAGGGTGTTGCTGGCCGATGCCTACGGCTACTCGATGGAGCCGGTGTGGGTGGAGGACTACCTCAAGTCGGACCTGGCCACGAACCTGATGAGCCACATCGCCAACGTGACGGGCAAGCCGGCGCCCTTCCGCATCGGCGGCAACACAGCCGACCAGACGTACCTACATCCAGACCTCAACGTCAGTTCCATCTCGATCCCCACGCCCGCGACGGCGCAGTACTTCAACATCAGCCCGGCGTGGTACGACACGTGGGCCAACTACTTCCCGGAGGGAACGGACCTCATCTACACGCTCAACCTGCACGTCAACGCGTCGGCGTGGGCCAACGCGCTCGCCGAGGCCGAGGCGGTGCACAAGGCGCTCGGCGACAAGCTGACGCTGTTCGAGCTGGGCAACGAGATCGACCACTTCATCAGCAAAGGCTGGCGGGCCCAGGGCTGGGACGTGGCACAGTACACGGAGCAGTGGCGCAACATCACGGACCAAATCCTCGCGACGGCCTGGTACCAGGCGGACCCGTCGCCGCCCAAGTTCCAGGCCGCCGTCTTCGCCGACCCGCCCTGGGTGCCGGACCAGCAGGACGAGCTCGACGACTTCGACATCGTCAACCTCACCAGCTCCACGGCCAACGCCGCGGGCGCCCTTGTCGACCCGGCCCTCATCAGCTCGTACGCGGTGCACCTCTACCCGCAGAGCACGTGCGACACGGAGCGCTGGTACCGCATGCGCCTCGACCTGCTGTCCAACCACACGACGCTCTGGCTCAACGTGTCGCAATACGGGCCGCAGGTGGCGGCGGCGGACGCGGCGGGCGCGCCGCTCGTCCTGGGCGAGACCAACTCGGTCTCGTGCTCGGGCCGCAGCGGCATCAGCGACACCTTCGGCGCCGCCCTGTGGACCGTCGACTACGTCCTGCTCGCCGCCAGCGCCGGCATCGCCAAGACCTACTTCCACCTCGGCGCCCAGAGCGAGTACTCGGCCTTCGTCCCCGTCCCCTACGACTACAAGGGCGAGTCCCTCCAGCCCGGCATCCGGCCCCCCTTTTACGCCCACTTCTTCCTCGCCCACGTCCTCGCCCGGCCCAACAACAACAACAACAGTACCGCCTCGTCGACGCTGAGCATCGCCGCCCTCCCGCAAGCCAACGCCTCCGACCTCAGCGGCTACGCCGTCTTCTCCGACGGTGCCGCCGCCGCCGCCGCCGCCGCCGAAGCACAGCAGCTGCAAAAGCTCGTCTTCCTCGACATGGGCGTGTGGAACGGCACGCGGGGGCTCTCCAACCCCAGCACGCTCTCCGCCACCGACGGCACGCACTTCAGCAACGGCACGCGCCCGACGCGGCAGCTCAACGCAGCCACGACTTGGGCCGAGGGCGCCGCCGTCAGCGTCGTCCGCCTGAGCGCGCCGGGGACCAACGCGAAGAGCGAGGTCGGCGTCGGTGGGGCGACGTTCGATCCGGCCACGGGCGCGTTGGTCGGCGAGGTGCGGGCGGAGACGGTGACGGTGGGGGTGGGCGGGGTGGTGAGCGTTGAGATGGTGCGGGCGGAGGCGGTGCTGTTGGAGCTGGTGGATGGTTAGCTGGTGTGGGTGGATGTATTGTGTGGGTGAGTGACCTGTGGTTGGGGAGGGGTTTGGGTTTGGGTTTTCTTGCATGTGTGTAGTGTAGTTAATTGCGGGGCGGGTGTAGCTAGCTTGGAATGTATGATTTGGATGCTTGAACGCTTTGGTTGGATGTGTCCGGTGAGGAGAGCGGAGAGCAGATGGCTGGCCTGAAAACCATGGGGGAGGGGGGGCGGTGTCGTTGAGGGCTAGGTGGGTACAGCCTTGTGCCACGTTGCGACGCCGGTGAACCGAGGGGGGAGCGCAGAGCCGCACGGGGCTGCTGCCTAGATATTTCTAGGCTCGCTTCTCGCTTCTAGGCTGAGACCTTCCCTCGCCGCTCGCCCTACTTACGTCATTCTTGATGAGGCTGTCGTTCAGCCTTGTTGCCCGAACCCTGGCGCGCCGATCATGGGACCGCAAACCCACGCCGTCCGTCGCTTCCGGGAAACCGTTGGCTTTGTCCCTTCCATTCTCCCGGTGTGCATGCCATGTGGCGCAGTGCTACTAGGGGGTGCAAACTCTCGCCAGTACACAGTACCCATTTCAGTTCCGAGCTGACAAAGCAGACGTTAAGTATGTGGCACCCACGTGGACGAAAGAGATACATTCGAGTTTGGAATCTGCAAAGACGCATGCGAAGGAACAAAGGCAGCGGAAAGAGAAGTATCCACCCTAACGTTCTACAAGAATACTTTGACAATATCGTTTGGTCCGTTCCCTCTGCAACTCCAGCCCTCCATCTGTCCCGTCTATCGCAGTACTGCAAGGAGCGCTGCGATGGAAATCATGCCGCCCAAATCAATAGCGCACCTCTGGGAATGCATCGCAGTCGATCAATGTTCCGCTGGCTTGTTGCTGGAAACTGTCAGTTTGTTTTCATGGCGGGTTCGGTGATTCCTCGAGATAGCTCACACTTCATTGAGAATCCGAGGTATTCATCCCAGCAAATCTCTACTGGGAAGCTCCGCCGAGTTCTTCCTCAGGAAGTCGCGCATGGACGTTGTGGGTAGAGACATTTCCGCTACTTTATCGGTAAGTATCTGCGCCACAGTTTTACCCTTTTTTTTTTTTTGCGTTTTTCGGCGTTTAGGAAAACTCTTACATGATCATAGTTTCGCGACGACCGCCGTGAAACTTGTTTTCCCTGGAACCGCAAAAGACGTGGCCATCAGGGGCGCTTTCGGTGTCGAGGGACTCCCAAGTGCAATTGGCGCACGGCTGGTGCCAGTTGCAGCCGATGCACTGAGCGTACAGCTGTTCTTCCATGGGTCCAAAGCCGCATTCACAGCAGTAGAACCGCTTCCCTCCGTGCGAAACGACGCCGGAAGACAAGTCCGAGTCCATGGCGTGGGCGTTCATGGCTGATATTGGTGCGTGAAGTGGTGAGAAAGACACAACGATGTTGCCAGAGGTGTGTTGTCCAAAGACCTGGGAGTATGGACTGATAATTCCGGCATCATTGCGCTTTTGTAGTCGTCGTTTGCCCATGTAGGCGCTCTCGTAGGCGTTTTTGGGCTGACTTCACGCGCATCCGCGAAGTGGCAAGTCGGCTGTGTGTCTCAACCCATCTTCCAACTCTCAAATGAGAAGTAGAGCTATCACGGAAAAGTCTACCTAAGGCACTACTTCTTCAGCGAGCTAGGCATACTAGGATGGCTGTGCTGCTACCGCGCGAACGGTGCAACTTCGTAACTGCGCAATCGGGCACTTGAGCAAAGGCAGGCTTGCGGCCAAGGCAGTCTGCTCGTACCGGGCGAACATACATGCAATCTGACATTGCTAGACTGTTTCAGGCCGTCCCATCTGTCGGTATTTAGGCAGCACCTTTGCCTTTGATTCGGTATAATTGGATGACGACCCCACGGACCGTTCCGATTTTTTGCCTTTAAAGGTTAGCGCTGCCGCCCCACACATGGTAGATCAGTCCCTAGGGACGCATAAGGAGCAGATGATGTTTCCTTCACATCCTTTGCTGCTGACCAACTGTTCAATGCCCAAAGCCGATACGAAGAGCGCACGCAGGTTCATGGAGCCCAACGAGTCCTTGTGAGTTGTGAGTCCCAACACACGCAACTGCGTACTGAAAGGCATGGCCAAGGCTTACTTCGTATGACGTTCCATCAGCCGGTACTGTATTCAGATGACAAGACTTATCAGGCCGTCACTCGCTGTGGCTGCAAGGCTATCCTCTCTCACACACTCTGATCCAACGCATCAACCACGGGTCCACGTCTTCTCACAACACGGTATTCAGCTCTGGTCAACGGACATTCGTATCTAACGACAATGACGAATTAAGTCAGACCCTACTCCATTTTAGACTCTGAAGCAAGGCACTCATATTTTTAATTCACAGAAGACATGTCACGGAACATGTACGGTTACCGTCAGCCTCCACGGAAGCACCCGAGAGGCCACTCCCATGACCCGTCGTGCGGAACACCGGAAGAAAGATTCTCCCAGAGCTTCTTCGACTGCCGTGAGATGTCCAGTCACAATCATCGCGGCCACAGCCCGTACTTTGTCCAAATCAGCCAACAGCTGGCCTAAGGTGGGTTCGATAATCATTTCTACAGCGCATATAACCGTGCCACTCCATTTTCCTCTCATCGAATCAGAAGATATCGCCGTGGATTCAGTGCCTATTTCGGGCTTTCGATACTCGATATAAGGGGTAGTCGCTGCGCAAATAGCACCTTGATTGCTTATCCCAGACCGAGCCTCGCTAATGAATAGTCAGGTGGTACGAAACCCTTTTGTCCATGATTTTCTAACCTGTCATCTACGTCGGACCAATATTCACTCGTTCGGTGTGGCCAAAGTGATGACTCTGTCTCTGACGTTGCTGGGCAGGAAACCCATGCAGATGGTATGGGACAAGTCGGCGAAACTGAGTAGGCTCGTTCTCACCAAATCACGCCTGTTGGTTGTTTCAGAAGTCTGGAAGCCAATCACGGTCTGAATCAGAAAACAAGGCAAGTTTGGCACGTTTGGCACCATATATTTCCGATAGTAATTGGTCAAGTGCCCTCCCCATTCACGACTCGAATCAGTCGCCACCGCTCTTGCCACTTGCACGAAGCTGAAGCTTTCCAGATGGCTGGGAGGGAAAACCCCTGCAACGTCGACAAAACCTGCGAGTGGCAGATGAGTAATCCATGCTCAGCTATCGCGGCGCTATCCACATTTGCGTTCAGGGAATTTTACCAGTTACGGCGCGATGATTTGTTGCCTTGGTGGGGCTGACGGAATGAAAAACGTGTCACAAGAGTTGGTTTGTTCGCTACATCTGGGCCATTGAGCACACGCTTAGCCATCGGAGTGGTTGGCCACGCACGAAAACCAGAAACGCTCCGCCACAATGGCTCAGCAGGGCTGGGGTATGACACGGAAGGCGTTTCCGATAAGCTCGAGCATGCGCTTGGCCCGCGGAACCAGGGCCGGCTGAGTACCAATGAAACGAGCCAAAACTAAGCGGCTTGATCCATTCCGAGGCTAGGGTTATGGAGAGCGATGGTTAACATGAACCAGTTTTCTTCTAAGGAGGGTCTTTACATGTCTGCAAGGCTAGAAACCACGATCTTGTCCGGAGCATGAGGAATCCTAATCGCTTATGTATGTACTTGTCATACTTGATTTCGCACAGCCACACAAGCCCCCTTTGCGACCACGTGGCAACACTGCTGCCTATTTCCACGGATGTTACTTCACTGTTCGTAATTCCGCCGCTGCGTGTTTCTAGCCTTCGTTCTTCCAGCCTCGAACCCGGTGTCGTGCCGAAGCTGTCAGAAGTCGTGACCGGTTAAGAAGCGCACCTGCCGCCTCCAGAAGTGAAAACTCAGGCAGTAACGCAAAGACAGCGACGTGTCGTTTCGTTTCGAAGGAAGGACCACGATCCTCATCCATCCATCAGCGTCGTCGAACAACTCGAATACGGTCAACAACGAAGGTGTTTCTGGTACTTGTCTGCACCCCAGGGACCCTTAGACCCGTTTTTTGAGCCGCATCTGAACGATTTATGGCCTGCTCCTCTCCCCATGTTCTGCGTTTGTCCCAGTTGCTGACTCTCGCCATAAAGAACGCGGATTCACCCGATACCAACATCTCGAGAAGCCAGGGAGCGTCCCTGAGCCGTTCGCACCACTTTCGTCCCCCGGCCGTCGACTTCCCATGAATAACAGGTTGGGGTTTCGACCACAGACAAAACTCATTTCGGTGACCAAGGGAAAGGAGCTCTTTTGAGCAGCTCTAGATCTAGACTCGGCAGGGTATTCATACGTCGCGTTTCCTACCGAGACTATACAAACATATACGCCTGATCTTGTTTGTCAAAACAAGTATTCCTATACCTGCCCTACGGCAACTCTCTGTTGTCTTCCTATCTCCGGATTCCTTGATTCATGGATGCTGTATTGTCTCATGTCATCGTCATAGTGCTGTCCGTAGGACTCGGAAACAGAAAACAGAGGTCAGAATATGCCCACCTCGCGTTGGCATGCATGAGACGACAGGGAAGCTGAACATCGACATAGGAAGCCATTCCACGACGCGCCCTCGATCCAACGCCGGGATACTTGTGACGGCAACATGGAGGACATGAGCCCGGCCAAGAAACGGAAACTGGACACGCAAGGGGACGGAGATGATGATGAGGGGGGGATACAAAACGACACGAGGAGACTTGCGTGCCCGTTCTTCAAACGAAAGCCAACGAATACCCGACCATCTTGCGTCTACCCTGGATTCAAGAATATAGCCAGACTCAAGGAGCATCTCTATCGTCAGCACATGTTACCTCCGAATTTGTGTGCGCGGTGCCAAGAGACGTTCGAGTCAGAAGCACAACTCCGGGACCACACACGCATTCTCGTGCCGTGCCCACTCAGCCCAGACAAACATGGCGAAGGCATCACGCTGGAGCAGGAGAAAGCCCTCAAAAGCAAGAAGCGGACGACCAAGTCCGGCATCAACACGGACGAAGAGAAATGGAAGGATGTATACACAATCTTGTTTCCAAACGAAACTCCACCTTCTGCCTGTAAGTAAACCCGTCGCAAGACAAACATTTTTTAATCAAGCCGTAGTCTGTGATACAGTCTCAGGTAGCCCGCGATACGAACAGAGCCTGAAACAAGAGCTACCTGATCTCGTCAAGGCCGAAATAGAGGAGGTTGAAGACCTCGCGAATCACGGCAGATTGATTCACGATATAGTTTGGAATTGTCTCGAGACAATCTTCTCGAGATGGCACCAGAATACCGATGAGGTGCATCCTGTTGTGACACCTACCACCATTGAGACATCGCCATCTGTTGAAGAGGAGCCAGCTGATGGTGCAGACGACGCGCCTACAACACCGAAGGCGGTCGATGCTCCTGCGCTTGGCCCAGCCTCACCGCAGTCTGCTATGTTCACGGTCGAGAGAAGCGGGGTTGGTACCGTTGGCAGCACCGCGTCTCAGCCGGGCGCACGAGCAACAGAAGATGCCGGTCATTCATGAGGGACCTATGTCTTGAGTAATACGGAATTTCGTTGGCAGGAAGCCGTTGTGAGTTCACATTCATTTGCAATGATACACCCTCGTTCTTTCCTTGTAACTGCGTTATCGCTCTCTCTCTCTCTCTCTCTCTCGGTTACCCTTTTCTCATACAGCGGACCAAGTCTTTTGGCAGCGTTGGGGTCTGATTTTCCGCAAATTGTATTCTTTCAATGTTCCTGAATTCTTACTCTGGCTCCTCAGGACACCTTTAGACTGGCAGAGTATAGATACAATTATTTCGTATACTACACGCGTAGCACTGAATATGAGGCTGGCTGTAGAATATTTCGGAATAGAGGCGCCGCATTCTTTGTACGACACGAAACAAGTTTATAACCGGGAGGAAGAAAACAAAGGTGAGGGGGTATATGATAAGGCTGGCGCAACTAAAACTAGGTCCCGATAGTATCAGGCTGTAGCGCTCGTCGCGAACCGGCACATTCGCCTAGTCGAAAAGGCAACGGACTAGGCAGCAGAGCTAAGACGTTTTTCTGCCTTGCCCACGTGCATCCCTTGCGTAATTCGACTATATATTCGGTAGCTTCCCTTCTTCGCCACCCGACCTTTCCGAGATTCTCTCAGCTTTGGTACGGTCGCGTTGAGCAAACCCTTGTTATAGCGTGGTCGCCAAGCCGCTTGACTAGGTAGCCAGCGTACCACGTGGCACGGTCTAAAATTCTACTCCACACTCTTAAATATTAAGCTGGGAGTTCAGAAGAGCACCCGATTCCTAACACAACTATATTCCATGTCGGAGTTCAGTCTTCCGCAGGAAACAGGGAAGGCCCTGGAGAGGGGGAAGCTTAGCACTTCTTCCCCCTCCACAGTCTTCCCGGCTAACTCTTCAGGCTGGCACTACGGTTCTTCTCGCAGCCGTATTGTACCGAAAGAGAAGGATACTGTGCGCAAATTTGCGTGTCCATACCACAAACGGTATCCTGGCCAGCATCTCCCTTCCACGTCGTGTGTATCTCCTGGCTTCCCCAACATCTTCCGGGTGAAGTAAGTCAAGAATCCATCTCCGTCGTAGCACCACTAACCATGGAGCCGAGCAGGGAACATCTCTACCGGAAGCACAAGGCTTCAAATACGAGATGCTCGAGATGCCAGGAGATCTTTGGCTCAGAAGAGGCTCTCGAGCATCATCAAAGAGCTCGCGATGTTTGCGCAATCCAACAAGCACCAGAGCCATCGGGATTCACCAAGGAGCAGGAGAAACAGCTTCGAAGTCGAAAAGGATCGAAACGTAGGACCGAGGAGCAGAAGTGGATGGATGTATATCGCATTCTCTTCCCCCAAGACAACAACGAGCCCAACCCCTGTAAGCCCGTCAATTTTTGCTATCATGTGACACGCCACGCAGGGCACAGTGCTGACTTTCCGAAGACGTTGATGGACAGCAGCCTTCAGACTTCCACCGCTTCAAAGAGTACAGTCGCGGGGTGTTCCCTGAGGTCTTGTCACGCAAACTTGCATCTTCCGAATGTTCGCTGGACTTAGTTATGGAATGCCAAGAGGAGGTGTTTCAGCTGTTTCAGGAGGACAACGATGCCGACTTTGAGGCACCCACACCTGACAGCACTACTGTAGCCGAGAGCGGAGCGAGGTCAAAGCCTCCATTCTATCATTCCGCTGATAACAACTTCATGCCAATGGGCCTCGACCAACAGACAAAGGTCCCCGGAATCGAAACTGCCTACCCAACATGGATCAGCAACGGCGGCATGAACCCAACTGTAAGTTACAACATAGCAATGTGAACCAGTCTCTATGATTTTCTAACAAATTTCAGAGCATGAACAACACCGGATGGAACAACGCCGGATGGAACAATCCAGCCGTGGTGCAACCTTCGTCCTTTACGGGCGGTGCAAATTTCGATTTCATGGGAAACTATCCGCCCTTGGGTGAATTGGGCCTCAGTTCTGATTTCTACGACTTCTCGAATGGGGCAAATATCGATTCCGGTTGCAATCACTATGACCAGCGGCCGCAGCAGGCTGAACCCCACACGAAACCTACAGGAAAAGAGCATCTCTCTACTCGTCATACAGAGGATTGGAATCCTTCTCAATCCAAACCCCCCCACGCTAACAAGTTGCTACGAGAGAGAAAATAAATTCTTTTGTCACTGGGAATAAGTACAGCGCCGCACTGGTTTCCAGTGCTGGCTAATGGCCTTATATTGTCTGACATCTTTCAACCGGTCTTTCTCGTCAACGTAGATATTGGCAGCTTTCCCAAGATGCTGTTACATGAGAGGAGGGAAAAGAACAGGCAGGTGACGAATGGTCGCGTCCAAAACGGCTGTGGCCAATCGCAACAGTCGGATTAACCATGGACGTTGTTGTCGTACCTACAGATCTTCTGCGATTATTACTGTAGTAGACTGACCGGTCATCATCGTCTCTAGACTCTGCCTCGTGTCATCCATGCAGACTGTCCCACCGTGGCTGGCTAGGCTCACGGTGGAGACTGCGCAAGTGTGAAATGCTGCTTGACAGGAATTTTGAACTGTGACACGCATCTGCAGGAGCTGGAATCACAATGTGCGTGTGCGAAACTCCGCTCGACCGCTAGCCTCACCGATAAAGGACTCCAACTACTCGTTGGGTTTCGAAACAACCTTCTCTTTTTCAGAGATATTAAACCTACCATCCAGTACTCAACTTCAGTGCGGCGTCGTAATTTTGCCAGTTTACACTTTATTTATTAGTGTCGGACAACACCATCAAGAATACGTTGTAGATGACAATCTTCATCACCCATCAAGGGTCTCATTCAGCAACGTGTTATCATGAACAACACCCTTGTTGAATCCCTTTATTCCATTCGCCTATATAACAAATAGACATCTAGTTTTTCCTCTCTTTATTGTAATCTGACACGTGTCGTAAGAGTATCTTTGCTTGTAAAGGCTACACTGTATACAATGCACTTTCAATCGGGTTTGTTTCCTGGTGGCAACTGAATGAAATGTACCGTAGGAGTAGACTCGAAGAACATATAGAGCCTAAGCATCTTCACCATCGCTATTCGTTAACGGGCATCAAGGTGTACGAATGGCAATGGCGCTGATGGCACTTTGAGACCGTCAAATGATCAAGTGTGTCCAATGTGCCAAAGAGGATGTATTTTTCCAATGGCCGGGAATCTTCTGGATGCAGCGACTCAGTCAGTTGGCAGACAGCAGGGTCAGCCCAAGGCAGCGATGAGTTGCCGTTCCGCGCCCATGTGCGGGGATGCGATTCATCTGCTATTCCAAAATCCGGGGAAGACGGCGGTGATCGCTTTGGGCGCGTGCTACCTCTTCGGCGTCTTTTCGGCGGGGGTGGACTGGCTACACCTTAAGCTCAGGAGCCCTGCGCCTCCTTGATGTGTCGATCTTGGGCGAGACCCTGATGAGTGATGATGAACGTTCGGCGGCAGTGTGCGGCAGTGTGCGGCAGCCACGGGTCATGCAGGGTTCGGCACTTGCAACCGTTATCATGATGGAATTCTTCAGCAGATAGGAATGTCGGAGGTGCACGCATTCGTAAGACGGCGAATGACTAGAAGTCCGACGTCGAGAGTGTGGGGTCTTGGTTTGAAAAGTCCGCAGTAGGAACCTTGCGCTTTGTAGATCCCAGCTGCATTCATATTTCATAGAAGCATAGCGGCATGGCTTATCAGAAGCAGCCGGCAGTTACGAGTTTGTTGGAGTCTGTGCTTGTGGGACGGCGGTTATTTTTGAGCCGAGGAACTTATCCCTACCCTTCACGGAGACAAGGTATACTTGTTCAATAAGGTTTCTCTGTGACGATGGCATAGCAGGGGCTTAATCTGTGAATCTTGCAGCAGTAACTCCTGTTGGGCGCAGACGGTCATTAACGGTCGGATGTCCGCGGCTGATCTGCACATGGGCCCCGCATGAGCGTATCGTCTCGGAGAAATAGTCACGACTCGCTGATATGAGACAGGCCCATGTCATTCGTGCTCTAGATCAGATAGAATGAGTCATTGAACACGTCTCCGCATGCATCGCGTACATCGCAATTAAGACCCGGCATATACACAGCAGACGATCTTCACCCGTGCCGAGGTTCGGATTTCATGGTGCCCAGTGAAACTGCGGTCTATCGGGCTGCGCTGGGGAGTACAAACTAGTCAGGCAGCCCAGAGCCAAGGCGGCAGTTGGTGCATCCCCAAGACACGTGTACGCGGCTTTCAAGACAACCCTCTTCAGAACGGCACTGAAGCCGACGGATTTTCGACCACGCGTTTGTCCGATGGTGCTATCGATCCAGCAGAGCACGCAAGGGGTTGACCTACCATCACTGCATGGAACCCAACGCGTGACTCAAGACGTATATCAGACGCCTACACAGACAGTCTACACGTTCCACAGTTCAACCGTGCATGGACAAAGGGGTGTTGATCTAGGCCAATAAGGATTTGTGAGAGATGAGACTTTGGATGTAGCTGGCGTGATGTTTTCCATCAAAGCGACATGACGAAGTGCCCGTATGGTGAATGGCTTGGGCTCCAAGCTTTACCAAATACGGCGCAACCGTCATTTTACATAAGCGCCGTGAAGATATTGGAATCAGTCGAGGTGTTGAGGATTTAGCTACTCGGACTGCGGTTGAACTGTGGAGAGAGGGTTCAGCAAGCGCACTGTGTAAGCATGGCGGGCACCGTAGCATTTTCCCATTCTGTAATGGTCCGTTCTTGCTACTCTGATTTTCTAAAGCCGAGTCATTGTCTGCAAACGTTCGGACCGCAATCATGACACTGCAAGACGAGACAAAGGGTCTGATCAACAGATATTTTTCTTCTCTACTAGGTACTCGCCCCCGCCGTAAAACCTTCGCCCAGTCAACTAAGCTCGCCAACAATGCTGGGCAATGTTAGGAGACGGTGCGTGTCAACAACCGTTGCCAAGGGGGATCATATGAGTACAATGTCGCTTACGCTCATAGCTCAGAGCCGCGGGCGGGCGCTAACCGCATACCGAAGGTGGCCGGGGGCAATTGCAAATACTTCTGAAGCAGCCAGCACGGGCGCGTCGACTTCGTCACCAACATACCCACTTTGATCTCGCATCTGGCGCTCTGGAATTCCAGATGTATTATTGATTGAGCTGCCTCGGCATCGGGCCAGATCTCTGAGGCGTTGCGGGGTGGCCGTCAATCAACGCAGCTCCCAAACTGAAACAGTGCGGCTTGGTTTCAGGCCGCATCACCTGATATGTATACTGTTACGGGATGCGGGATCTAAGGCATCGCGGCATCTTCCATCGCAACACGCATACCCCGCCGGCTCGAGCATGACCCGGCTCTTCCATCTATTGCCGGGTCTGTTTTCACACCGCTCCCATCTTTCAGTGCTCAATGCAACAGAGACTCGTTTGTGATGCTCGGGTATCCCATCCCCACATCCGAATCCCGACGAAGCCCATGGAGGGCTATACAACATGAATCGTGCATAATGTAGCCGCATGCCCGGTGGAACCCTGAGTTCCGAGCCGCAACACGAGCACCGCTCCAACAGTATTGCCGTACCCGACCCGTACTCAGGCAACCGATGAGCATTTAGTTGGAAAGAGGCGTGACCCCATCCAACAACACGAGCCTGCCAAGGTCAACAAAGTAGGGGGAAAAAAAGGTCCGCTCAGGTGGATGTCGAGCCATGGCCTGAAACCGCGACGGGTGTTTCCACACATATTCGCTGCCCTGCCATGGATGAGGATGTCGTGGAAAGGCTTCCAGCAAGCATGAGAGCAAGGGTAGCACGCTACCGCCCCCGGCCAGTCACATACATAGTGCGGCAGCGGCAGCGGCAGGCGGCGGCGGCAGTTAGCTGGTTGTTTATTCTTGGCGTAGTTCAGCGTCGTGGCACGTCTCACGTGGTGCAACATAGCCAGCTCGAATATGCATCCAGAAGCCGCTGCGCTGCGGGAACCATGGCTCCATGCTCGATTCGTCAGCCGTGTCTGCGCCTCATGCCGGCCCCTGGTCGCACAGCTGCTGGTTAACAAGGGCATTCAGAACATGGCAGACATGTACTCAGCTGCGGCACGGGAAGCCCGTGGAGAAGGAAAAGTGGCTTCGATGCTGTTGGCATGACAGCTAGCCACAATCTCGCGTAATCCCTGTGCATGCTCCCACACGGTTCCCGGGGGAAAAAGATGAAGAAAAGCAAAACAAAAGAGATTGGCGCAGCGTTTGGCGGTCGGTATGGCTACTCGGCCTGGCCACCAGTCGTTTGCCAGCGTATCCATGCCAGGTTTCTATTGGCTTTTTTTTTGTATGTTCCTTGCTCTTCTCGATACTGCCTGATGGCGACTGCAGCCCAATCGTCATAGTTTGGAGGCAGAGTCACGCGAAACACGGTGAGAAGTTCACCTGGTCACTGTGCGCGTAGTCCCGCTGGCAGCGATGGGATGCGCATAGTGCATTCTTTGCATTGACCAAGCAATCAATCGGTAGATCAGTTGGCGGCAAAGCGGGGCGTATGCAGATGTCGGGTTCGATCGATCCTTCTCTTCCTTTTTCCATGCGAAGCCAGGTATGTGGGAACAAAAGCAAGAAAAGGAAAACGGCAAGGTGCATTACCACGCAGCTGAGCAGATGATTGGCCAATGCCGCAAATCCCGGGACATTTTAGCCGGAGGGACGATGATGCCGAGGCAGTGGGGGCGTGCGGACACGGGATGCAACTGCCATGGAAGGATGGATTCCTCAGGCAGCGTCTCCTTCCTTCCTTCCTTCCTTTTTTTCTTCGGTTCGTTTCTTTTTCCCCTGTCTGGGGCTGAGGATGCCTGTCATCCCGGTTTTGGCGTCCGTGCGGGTGCCTGGCTAGCTGACATCTGGCGATGGCACAATGGGGGGGTGGCCTTGCGGTGGCTGAGTCGGCCACACCAGCCGCTCTCGAGTTTCACCAACAGCCGCAGAGCCTCCAAATCTCCCCTGCATGGCACGGCGGGTTGGTAGATTGCGGATTTGGCTGCACGCCCGCCCGCACAGTCGCTGCGCGCGCTCAGCTCGAGACAAAAGCAGCAGCCGCCCAGCCTCCAGCAAAACGTCGAAGCAACATGCGCGCCGGCTGGTACGTCGTCCGATATCGTCCCTCGTTAAGCTCGTACTTTCGCAGGGTTCTCGGGCCAACGAGCTACGAGAAAGATTTTTTTTTAAAAAAAAAAAGGGATCGACGGAGCGAGCGAACTCTGGCGCTCTGACCGGCGTCGTTAGCCGGCAACACGCCGTTTTCAATCGGCTTGCCTCCAGCATTCCTTCGCGCCGGGCACTTGCGGCCTGTCGTCACCGCCAGCGGAATCCTTGCTGTTCGCCCTGCGAAGGCTGTCCTGGGTAACCCGTGCGGTTGGGCGGTGAGAAGGAATTCGTCTGTCGCCCGCACGCGTCGAGATGCGTGCTGAGCATCCGTGTCTTTCTCCATGTGCATTCGCTGCTTGCGCTCGTGGCGAACAGGGTCGCGGCACTAGGTGGTTCTCGGTGTCGGTGGCGGGCGGCGGTGGACGAGAGCACGAATGCGCAAGATGGCGCGCGTTGCTATGTCATCGCGGCGACCTTGGCGAAGGAGCTTTTTCCGCCGTTGCTTGGCGGGACAGCAAGTGTCGGAAATTGCCAGCCGCTTCTTTTTTCCTTCCTCTCTTTTCTCTCCGGTCTTCTCGAAACGGGCTGGAAGGAAGAACAAGTGTCGGCCGAAGCGTGCGCACGCTCCCGCTTGACTTGGACCCTGTGTGGACTGATGAGGCTCTGTGCGGGTAGTAGCACCACGACTACTGGGCTTTAAGGTTCTGAGCGGTGGGCTGTTGCTAAGAGACGGGTAGCGTACCTGCCAGTAGCGCCGCCGTTCGATGCGCCGTGGTAACCGATAGCGCACGTAGATGGTCGTCTGCCGTGCGCCGTTGCCCAAGCCCACCGCCAGCAGCACCGCCAGCGAACAGGCGGTGACGGACGAGCATCAACTGATGTCCGCATCGTCGAGGCGACCGAGTCGCATTTGCACCCTCGCCCAAGAAGTCCCGACTGCAAATCCTCAATCGCAGGGATCGGCCAGGTGAAGCAGCCCACTAGCCCGCCAAGGCCTTCGAGATTTCCTTCTGGAAGGATGCCCATCGGGATGTTTTGTTTCGTTTCGCGGGTCGGTCGATCCTTGCAGATCGCCCGTCTCGCCCATCGGATAATCCATCTTGTGCATTCATCCTGGGCTGAATGCCGTTTCACGCGTCCGCCAGCTTCGTTCTGCTGTCATGGCTGGCCAGTCCTCGAGCTTCGCCGGGTAGGTATCAACGCTGCTGCGACACACACTAGCACAACATGGTGTCGCAGCGCACCCGCATTTGCCGTGGGGCGCCGCATCCCGCCCGCCCTGAAACGGCCACGCAGATCCTCCAGAAAGCAGGCAGCCAAGGCACTCAGTCGCACCGCTGCAACAACACAATGACGACCGCCCGCATGCCCATCCCGTACCTCTCATGCGAGCCGGGTCGCAGGCCGGGCCATTGACCGTTGGACGCGTCACGCCGTCTCTGTGTATGCAGTCGCGCTTGCTGAGCTGTCAAACCACCTACTGTCGCGGATTCCTGGCCTGCCTAATTTCCCTTCTCTCCGGCGTGGGTGTTTCCTCCATATTGAGGCCCCCCCCCCACACTCGCCCACGCCACCAGAACCGGAAAAACCAACCTTCACCTTCACGAGCTCCTTCCTCCTGCAGTTGCCCGTCTTACCTTTAACCCGCTCCTGCCTCTCGACATAGCTTTTTCCCTTCAGATCCACAGCTGCGCTGCCTCACAAACCCACCACCACCGAGCCTCATCCAAGCCGCACCCACCCAGTTCACCCGCCCGCCCGCCCGTCCGTCCGTCCGTCCCTCCCTCCCTCAAAGCAAGGGCGGACACGCAAGCCAATCCACCTCACCCCACCCCCCACCCCCCAAACCACCAACCCCACCGGGACTACAAAAAAAAAACCCCTCTTCCAGCACCAAACCACAACCACAACCATGCTCGCCCTCGCCAACCCGCGCCCGGCCCTCGCCACCACCGCCACCACCACTGCCACCAGCGCCACCAGCACCAGCACCACCCGCCGCCTCCCCCGCCGCCTCCTCTCCGGCCGCACCCACGGCCCAGACGCCGGCCGCACGCCCCGCCACCTCGTCCGCGCGACGACGAGTCCTCTTTCGTCGAGCCGCCGCGTCCGTCGTGACGACGATGGCGAAAGCGACGATGCCGACTCGTTCGACAATGCGTTCCTCGACGATGACGGCGACGGCGATGCGATTCCGCTGGTGCCGATGGGGAAGACGAAGGAGGAGAAGAGGCGGTCGGGGAGTGCGGCTGCGGCTGCCGGTGCACCAGCGGGGGGGAAGAGGGGGGGTGGCGAAGGGGGAGATGGGAATGGGGATGGGGATGGGAACAATGATGTTGGTGTTGGTGTTGGTGGTCGGGAGAAGAGGAGGCGGAGGGTGTATCGGTACGTCAGCCACGGGATTGGCGGGGCGGGAAACTTCCGTGAGTCTTGATTTTTTCCTGTTTTCTTTTTCTCTTCTTCTTCTTCTTCTTCTTCTTCTTCTTCGCTTGTGTCCCTGTGTGGTGTGTGTGCGCTTGTGGCGCTCTTTGCGATACACACAGTACCCCTTGTGGCGCTTTCCGCCGTCGTGGTCGTCGGGCATGGCAACATGTGTATGTGTGTGTGTGTGCGTGTTGCCCGGGCTCGCGCGCTCCATCAGCAAAGGCTCATCTCGTGGGATGTGACCGCTTTGGGATTTAGCGGCTGGTTGTGGCAGTGACGTGGTTGAGTATGGGTGGGGGCCATGGGGTCGCCGAAGCTCTGGTGGGTCTCGACGCAGGTACCGAGCGTGTGGTGTGGAGAGGGATGTGCAGGCCGCAATTTACCAGACCCCGATCGGCCAATAATGGGTCAGAGCTATTCCCGGATGTGGGCTGCCTGCGCTGCTTAAGCGAAACCGAAAATGGAGAATGACGATGGGGAAAGCAAAGTGTCTCTGCTCGCTCGTTCCGAGAGATTGGAACTGGGGAGATGGTGGAGAACAGAAAAAAAGAAAAAGGGATCCCGGCAGATTGGGCGAGGCGGTGCGCTGAGGGAGTGAGGCGACGCCCTAGCTACACTGACGAACAGCGGAGCGGAAAAGCGGCGGAGAAGCACAAAGGGAAAAGCAAGCTGAGAGCAGGGAGCGGACGTCCACACCACACGCACACGCACACACACACACACAAGCCACCGCAATGCCCATTCCCATCCCCATCAATGCCTCCCCTCTCCTTCCCCATCATCACAACGTCATACCTGTTGTCAATGCTGCGACCGGAAAAAAAACCCATGTCTGTCTGACTGCGGCGCTAATACGAATGCTGTGACGTGCAGGTAGGGTCCTGACCAGCCTCCGCTCCGACATGACCACGGCGGACCCGAGCTTGGTGCGCAACAACGACACGGATCCAGAGAGCGGCGCTGGATCCGGCTGCGGCACCGCCGCTCGCAGCAGCACCATCTGCTCCTGCTCGCGCTGCTTCAGCGACGGCAAGAGGTTGCCGGGCAGCAGCAGCCGCAGCGGTAGTGGCAGCAGCCAGCCAGCCAGCCAGGTGATCGCCGCCGCCGCCAACCGCATTCCTAGCGCCGCAAGGTGGTGGCAGCCTCCGCGGCGGCTGGAGCGCCACAGCACGTGCGTAATCTGAGAAGGCGCCCACCAATCGCCGGCGCCGTGCCGGGTCCTTGGGACCTTGGACGTTTTTGGCTGCTTTCAGCTGAACAGGTGCCTGCTGCGGTTCGTTCGTGGCTCACGGACGCGCGTATCTTCTCTCGCCCGCGCTCGGCTTGATCCGGTTGTGATAAGCCAGAAAAAAAATAAAAATAAAAAATAAAAAGTTTCCTTGCCCACCCCGAGACGACGGGAACGAACACTGCCACACGCACTACTGACCCGTACTGCTGTGGGGAACGTGGGCTTTACCAAAAGCAAAAGGATAAAAAAGTCAGAGACGACCATTGGCGGCCATTGAGATATCAGCCTTATGACGCAGCATTGCTGCCTGGTTGCTCGGAGGTCGGAAATCATGAGGCTGCATCTAGTCTCTTTTGCTTTTGCTTTTGCTGCTGCCATCAGCTTCTCCATTTTCCCTTTTCTGTCGTGGGGGTTTTTTTTCTTTGCATGGCGGCGGTGAGCTGTGATGCGACTCCTTCTGCATCACGCGCCACCGCCCTTGACACGGCGGGGCTGTTTCTCTCTCCTTCTATCTTCTTTTTTGGGTGTGGCTTGGCCGGCCGACCGGGGCGGGGGTTTGCTTGGAAAATCGATTTTCACAAGGGACAGCAAGTCATGGTGAGACAAAACGTGCGCTACACGTGGTCAGGGTCAAGCGAGAAATGGGCACGCAAGCAGTAAGGAACGGCAGGTCAATCAGGAGTGCGGATAGATTCGGAGAGAAAATGCATGATTTGATTTGCTTGTCTGAGATTTCGTGTAACCCAGTGAGGAAAAGAAACAAAGTCTAATTGTCCCGTCTAACCAACCCTCATCTGCCCTTGTCCTTTTTCGCTGGGACGCCCTAGCCGCATGCAGTAGTAACGAGAATGAAATTTTGGTGACGAGTGAGATGCATTGAGAGAAAGAGAGAGAGCCCGATTTTAACGCCAAGAGAAGGTTTTATGTAAACAGTCATACAAAGGAAATACAGACACAAGGAGATGCGTCGCGGTGGTTGCCCTCCAAGTCGGTATCATGCAAGAGAAACGAGAGTAGGAAAGACAAAGACACAAGATGAAAAGCCAGGTGGCGGCGAATGCGTGGCACAGAGTGCCCGCGGAGGAGTACGAGGCCCTTTTTTTTTTTTTCCTTTCCTCTGCGTGTTGGGACACCTTGGTGGAAAGCCAAGATGACGTTCCCGATCCAAGTCCGAAGCCGCGGGCAGAAGCAACATCGGTCCTATTCGATGTTGGAGTAGATGGCGAGGCGATGCTGCGAGTCGTCGGCGGAAGCAGACGGGGTCCGGCAGTCGTGTGTGCCGGACCCAAGGACGTCCGGCTTTGGGCGAACGATATATGTCCGGTGCAGTAGAGATGCCTGACGGGCGTGGTTGATCACGCCAGTCGAGCCCCACGAACCACGAGGCAGTGTCTATGGTTCGATGGGAGGCCTGATGGAAGAAGCTCTGGCCTAGCGAGTCAATGCCTATAGACAGTCCGTTAGCAATTTGCGCTTGGGCGATGTGCACAGGGAGCGCACGGAGCATGACTGACCTCTTGTCGAAAAGAAAAAAAAGGGACCACAAGGGCGGCTTGCCGAGAGTCTCCACAGTTGGAAACCGTAGGGCTATACGAGGTGGGTGCGAGGGGCGGTGATGATGCCCCCGGCAGAGAGAGAGATGATTCAGGACACGGACAGGCGCGGAGGCATGCAGGTGAAGGAGGTCTGAATCGAAGGCAAGCGAGGCCGGCGGGCGGCGAGGCAGAAGCGCTTGGTCTCGTGGACCTCACGCGGCGACCGGAGCGACTCAGCTGCTGAGGGGTGCTGCTGCTGGCGATCCCCCAGGGAAATTGCTGAGTCGAGCAGCCAGCGCGACATGGTGCGGACGTGCGACTCGCTTACGACAGACAGCCTCTTGCGGCGCCTTTGCTCTGTTGGGAAGTCAGCGAATGGGCAGAGGCGGTGCGGCTGTGGCTTTGACGTACCTGGCACGGGGCTGGCGAGCGTGGCCGGGGTAAGCAGCTCGACGGCGTCGACATCGAAGTCGACGTCGTCGTCGTCGTCGTCGTCGTCGTCGGTGGCAGCAAAGCGGGAGCAGGGCTCGTCGACGGCGACGGGCTCGCTCTCGGGGGACTCGTCCTCGTCCATGAACCTCTCCATGTCGGCGGCCATGTCGGCGGCGTCGTCGTCAAAGGCAGGCTGGGGCAGCACGAGGCCGGAGACGAAGAATTGCGAGTAGCCTGCCAGCAGCAGGAGGTGGGCTTGGTAGTAGGCCATTGCGAAGTTGGGAGCACGTCAAGTGCTGGGGTGGTGGTTGTGGTGGAGGCGACTGGTGATGGCGGGAGGAAGCAGCTTCGGGCGGCGGGGGCAGTGTGTATTATAGATAGCGTGGTGGTGTCGACGGGCGATGACGGCGGGCATAGCTTCTCAGCGGCTTGGCCTCGCGTCAGCCGCCAGCTGCGGGTAGCCATGGATGCTGTTCTTGCCCGACAGCGAGCAAGGCGGCTCGGGCAGGGAAGCACGGGGATTAGTGGCAGCCTTGGCCCAGTGTGTCAGCTCTGCGTGTGCTGTCAGGTGCCGGGGGGCCCATGTGTAGCTCGAGCGCACGAGGCACGCCCGAGCGCCAGGGCCAGGACCGCGCGGGCCTGTCACACTGCCACGGTGCCAGCCTCAGCCGGCTCTCGCACTGGCGACGACCAAGTGCAGTAGCCTCGTCACATAATAGCGGCCGCCCGTACGAAGGCCGTTGCGTGCTCCAACGGCAACGGGCACTAGGGGCGGCGCTGCAGTGCAATGGCCTGCGAAGCTTATTGGCATTCTGCGCAGTGTGAATCTCCATCGGGGCGGAAGCTTTGCAAAGGGATCACGCAGGAGAAAGGGGAACTGCGAATCACCCAAGGGGCTCTGCGGCCTCTGCTGCAGGCGCCGCGACGCGGCGAGCTGGCTGTCTCAAGCCATGCCAGGCTGGCGGGACGCGCTGGCAGAGGGAGTCGACTGAGCAGCAATCTTGCTCATGTTTCAGCGGCACCGTGACTGCAGCCCGGACCCGGTCGGCTCAGCGCTGGCCGGCAGTCACTCACAAGCTGGCTGGCAGGCGGGAGGGCCCAGGCGCGAGAAGCTCCGTCGTCCTGGAGGTTCCGCGCGCGCGGTAGGCCGCTGCTGATAATAACGAGCAGCGCATCAGCACATCCCCAAGTTTCACCTCCATCAGACGACGCGCGCACGCCCTCGCTCCGCTCCGCGCCGTGCTACTGGCTCACCGCCGCCTGTCTTGGCCCGCCGCCCGGTACGCGACGGTACGCTCCTCGCCCCCGCCATAATGACGCCCACGTGACACCGCGCCTCGACAGAGCAGCAGAGCAAGCAGCCAGGGTCCTGCTCTGATCCGAGGAATCCAGACCACTGCGTTCGGCAGCCGCAATCGCTCGCGCCGCGCCCCGTAGCTCCCGCACCCCGCCATACTTGCAGCCATACTTCCAGCCATACTTCCAGCCACCCGCCCGCTGACCGGTCGACGCTCCGAGTCCGTCGCGCGATACATGATGCACCGCCGGCAGGATGCACATGCAGTCATCACGCGCCTGCTCTGGAATGGGCCTGACGACGTGCTGCGCCGCGGGGGTCCCTCTTGCCGTCCTCTTGCCCTCGTCTGCCCCGCAGCGCCCGCGCCGTCTCCGCACAATCCCCCAGCCCATGGCCGCTTCCGGCGCAGCGTCGTGCCCGAGGATTGCGGATGGCCGTTGAGCTAGATCCAGCTCCACCCCGTTTGCCGAGCCATGTCACGCTCTCCTCACTGAACCCATCCTTCGTCCCCGGTCTTGCCCCAACAGGCAGTGCCGTCGTGTGTTTGCCTGTCTGCAATGTGCCCGCATTCCTGTCTTCTGGCGTTCCTGTATAAATTCTCCTGTCCAGCCCGCCACTGCCAGCCATGTCGATCCCCGCGCCTCCGATCCAGTAGATCCATTCTCAGCCATCATGGCTTTGCTGTGCGCCTTGTCCGTGTGTGCCTTCCACCTCGCCGCAGTCCTTGCTGTCGATCCAGCCGTTGCCCTGGACTACGCCACCTATCAGGGCACTCCGTACGGGGATGCCACCACCGAGTGGCTGGGCATCCGCTACGCAGCCCCTCCTACTGGTCGTCTCCGCTTCGCCGCCCCCCAGGATCCGCTGCCTGCCGTCGGTGTAACCATCGCCAATCAGGTATCTATCCACGAGCATGCGCCGTCACCAGCCATTGGCTGCACACCAAGACTGACCCAGCTCCAACTCTTAGCACGGCCCCCTCTGCATCGCGACCGGCGCCTCGCCATCCGTCACGACAACCTCAGAGGACTGCCTATTCCTGGACGTCTACGCCCCGAGCGGTGCCACCCGGGACTCCCAACTACCCGTCTACTTCTATATTCAGGGCGGCGGCTTCAACGGAAACTCTAATGCAAACTATAACGGCAAAGGGCTGATACAGGCCTCTGGCGGCGAAATCATCGTCGTGACTTTCAACTACCGGGTTGGCCCCTACGGCTTCCTTGCTGGAGACGAAGTGGCCAAGGGCGGCAGCCTCAACAACGGCCTGAAAGATCAGATCAAAGCGTTGGAATGGGTCCAGAAGTATATTAGTCAGGTATGCTCCCTTTGCTCAATAATCCAATACGCTGCAACCCACATCTCTAACACACTTCGTCGATAGTTTGGCGGAGATCCGCATCACGGTAAGGCCTCCCGCCTCCCGCATTTACATCGCAACCGATGAACCCCTGCAGCATGTGAATAGCTAACAGAGTTTCGGTAGTCGTGCTTGGCGGCAGCAGTGCCGGAGCAGCCGCAATCACTCTCCTGCTGACCGCTTACGGCGGCCGCGACGATGGCCTGTTTCAGGCCACCGCCGCCGAGAGCCAGTCGTTCGGTACCGTCCTGACGTATAACGAAAGCCAATTCATGTACGACAACCTGGTCATCCGGACCGGCTGCGCCAGCTCGATCGACACCCTTGCCTGCCTGCGCAGTCTTCCCGTCGCCGCACTGCAAGCCGAGAACTTCAACACGCCGCTGCCGGGCGCCCAGAACGCGCCGCTCTACATGTACAGCACCACCATCGACTATGACTTGGTGCCCGACTACACGTACCGCCTCTTCGCCCAAGGCAAATTCATCCACATGCCAACCCTCTGGGGTGACGTGACCAACGAAGGCACCACCTTCACCCCCCAGAACACGTCCACCATCGGCGACTCGGACACATTTCTAAAGGACCAATTCCCCGCCCTGTCTCTCGGCCAGCTCGGCCACATCAACGACCTGTACCCCGTTGACGGCACGCCGACCTTCCCCGGCGCCGGGCCCTACTGGCGCCAGGTCAGCAACGCGTACGGCGACATGCGCTACACGTGCCCGGGCTTCTACGTCGCCTCGCAGTACACCCGCGTCGGCTGCCCGTCCTGGAACTACCTCTGGAACGTGCAGGATCCCACCCAGGTGGCGCAGGGGCTCGGCGTCCCGCACACGGTCGAGCTGAACGCCATCTGGGGCCCGGAGAACGTCAACGGCGCCGCCCCCGCGAGCTACTACCCGGGCGGCGTCAATTCTGAGATGGTGCCCGTCGTCCAGGCGTATTGGACCAGCTTCATCAAGTGCTACGATCCCAACCCGTACAGGCTGCCCGGAACCCCCAAGTGGGAGGAGTGGCAGTACAACCTTGACACGGGCTTCAATCGCTTCGTGTTTGAGACGAATCATACACGCATGGAGAATGTAGATGCCGCGCAGAAGGGCAAGTGTGGATATTTGACGAGCATCGGTGTGGCCATCAAGCAGTAGATTTTGGGAGAGAGGTAAAACAGCGATTTGGTAATATCTTGTATACAGCATGCAATGGTCTGTTAGTCTTCGTCTTTAATCGTCTAGATCGTCCGTCTCCATCACAGTCATTTAAGAATACAGGTATGCATTTACCGCGAAGCGACGTGCAGTTTGTATCTTGGAATCTGTAGTGAATACATCAAGTTCAGCATGCAAAACCATGGTTCGCATGTGCATGCCACAAATGCCATCCAGACTATGAAAGCAAAGTTGTCATGACATACTACATCTTACGGGGATCTTTGCCGTGGCGCACTTGCAGTAGCTTCTCTGAGTATTTCGCGCAGCTCCTGTGTAGCAAAATCAATGGCTCGCAGGGGAAATGCCCACCCCTGCTTTCAACCAATTCTCCCGACTAGCTCACCAGAACAATCCAAGTACTCCAGAAAGCCAAATTGTACGACACTAGATGGCGGTTTGGATTTTGATTGGCCTATATTACGTATTCCTTCCAGAATTGTAAAATCGAATTGCAGACTGGACGTCGAAGACGGATCAGTACTGTGAATGAATGTACGGTTTGAATTGCGATATTGTTGCAGATTGTCTATTTGGTGAAACTGCTGGGAATCCTGGTTTCAACGACGACCCTCATTCAAATACTAAAGATTGCCAGCTGATTCTCTCAACTGATTGATTCTTTTCATGTACCAGACCTAATTGAATGGTGGCGTCAAGCGTGTTACACACAACCGTCACTTTCACCAGCGGCAATGACGGCTCCTTATATCGCGGTCTTGACGGGGCCGGTAACGCGCGATGAAGATCGTGGCTTCGCCTCGTTAGTCTGTTTGCTAAGTTTGTTTTCTCTTTCCGCCCTTTCTTCCGCCTTTCTCCACAGCACGTTCTTATCTGCCGCCCTCTATTCACCTGGCGGGCAGAGTCTTTGGAAGACTTCCCCGCCCGTGTGCTCGCCTTCGCCCTTGCCAACTTTAACCCAACCTCTGCCCATCGATCCTCTCACCACCACCGCTGCTTTGAATCCGTTTAAACTGGCTTTGGATGTTCGAGCAAACTTTCCTTAGATCACGTCTGCAATTTCACTCGGGATCGCTAAAAATCCACCAAGACGGCTTGACCTGGACCCCTCTACCAAGAGGATTTGACCTTGGAAGTGCATTTCTTAGCGCCCCACGCTTGGTAGTCCCTCGAGAAGCTCCAACCCAGGTCCTTTTGCTGTATGGAGGTTGACCTTCGTAGGTCGCTCTACTTTCCCACTTAAATAGTATTCGATCTTCAATCCTCTCAATGGCACATCTAAGCCTCCAATATTTTCTCCTACTGGAAATTCATTTGCCCCAATGGCTCGGAAGCTACACCTTTCGTTCTTCCTCCTTCTTCAATTCCTTTTCTTCAATCAAGCCTTTGCTTATAACCAAGGTTGCCAAAGCAACTGCGAACAGGGGAGCTCCGAGAAATCCGCAAGCAATGTGCAGCAACGCCTCGTCGGTTACTACCCAGCTGCAGGCCACGATGCAGGCTGTTTGGGCATGGACTTTGACAGCATTCCTGCGGAGCGTTTTACACATCTGAATTTCGCCTTCGGCCGGATCAATAGCCAAAGTTTCGAGATCGAGCCGGCGGAAGGCCTTAACACCGATGCCTTCTCCAATCTTACCAGCCTCAAGAACAAGAGCACTAAGCTGAAAGCAATGATTTCCTTGACCGACTCGCGCTTCGGTCCTAATAACAGATCTGTCTTTTCGAACATGATCTCGTCACGCGCGAATAGGCAGAAGTTCATCGAGCGACTTACCCCTTTCATGGGCCGCTACTGTTTCGACGGCGTTGACTTTGACTGGGAGTATCCCGGCGAGGCCAGGGGCAGTGACGATGATGGTGTCAACTACACACAACTGCTCAAGGAGCTACGGGACACCATGAAAGGTTATGTGGTCTCGTTCACTGCCCCCACTCCGCTCGTGTATCTGCGCCATTTTGACCTGAGAAACATGATGCAATACGTCGACTTCGTCAACTTCATGGCTTACGATATACACGGCGTCTGGGATCGCGATCCAGACTCCGCTGTCGGAAACCACATTTACGCCCACACCAACCTCACTGAGATTAAAGACGCTCTCGACATTCTGTGGCGAGCCGACGTCCCTCGAGGAAAGGTTAACCTTGGCCTTGCATTCTACGGTAATTCATACACGCTAGAAAACAGCTCGGTAAGGGCTTTAACTTCTGTCAACTCCGACTCAGTTGAAACTAATCTACCAACAGTGCTCGCGGCCGGGATGTCCTTTTAAGGATGGAGGGACCCCAGGCCCGTGCTCGGGCGCCTCCGGCGTACTCATCTACAAAGAGATCGTGGATATCATCAACACCAACAACATAAAACCAGTCCACGATACCAAGGCCGCCGTCAAATACATCACCTGGAACGCCGACCAGTGGTATAGTGATAACCCCGATAGATCATCCCGTCAATACACTGACACATGTATCATGTAGGGTCGCCTACGACGATCCCGAAACACTCCAGCAAAAGATACGTTTCGGAAACGAGCAGGGTCTTGGAGGCCTCTTCATCTGGGCTATTAACCAAGATGTGAAAGACCGTTCGGCGCTTCGCGGGGTCCTCGCTAAGAGTGCTTAGTGAGACTGCTGATGCAACGATAGTAAGGTTGATGAAGTTACCACCATGCCGCCCCTGCCCTCCCGACGCCTGCCGCGAGCGCGCCCGCAGCCTCCCTGTTGCTCTTAGGAACGTGTGGGTAACTAGCCCAGTCAGCGGACTATAAAAATACTAGTCAAACGACGCGGTTTCAACGAAACCAATCATCACTTTCATGCCTGGCGGAATATCTTCTTGGTAGCAAGCTATGTCGTGAAATTTGAATTCTCCTCCTCCTCCCCCCTGCGCCGGCCCTACCCTACCTCTCCCCCTCTCCCTCTCTCTTTCCGTTTGACTGGACAAGGCCTCACGCCAGGTAAAGCAGAAAAGCACAAAAACCAGTCCCGTTTGCCCGCGAGATCCTGAAACCACCAGGAGCCAGCGTTTGAAAAACATCGGCCGGATCGTGCCTCCTGGCCGCGGCATGCATCCCAGCCGTAGCCTACCAGCGGGAGTTGCGTCTCGTGTGCGTAGCCGAGGTACACCCAATCGCTGCCCCCTACAGCGTCGTGCGCGACCCGTGCGATATCGTCAACCAGCCTCCCGGCTCGCGCCTTCGAACAGCGTGTCGTTCTTTTGAGCAGGGGGGGTTTGCGCGTTGCCGCCTTTCTCTGCAGAGTGCTGTGAGTGAATGCGCGGGATGGACATGAACTGGCTGGCCGACGACAAGTCGTCCTTGTTGCCTGCCCTTCAGGCTCTCGGTCGTGAGCATGTAGAGCGCCATCGCGTCTTGAAGGATGCAAGGCTGACCTGGTACGGTGTCGGTCGTTCCGTTTGAAATACTTGTGGTCTTGAACCACAGTCGATGCGAAAGGTCGAAAGGGACGCCGTTGGGGTCTTCCGCCAGTTTGTGACTTGATGGGCTTCAGGAGCGCTTTGTGAAGAGAGAGTATGTTGTAGATCACGGTCCGTTGTGGTCATGCCAATGAAGATTGATTCCGCAGAGTGGAATTCCAATTAAGATATGCGCGTTTGAAGACCTGTTGTAACTGAAGTATATAGTAATACATTTTGCATTTTTTTCCAACAATCGACAGAAACTGGCCTTTCAGAGACCGGCATCATTTCGGTCTTATAGTGTAGTGGCTAGCACTCAGGATTCTGATCAATCAGAACATTCCTGCAACCCCGGTTCGATCCCGGGTAAGACCTTTTCTTTTTGACCTTCGCCTATTGAAGTATGTTTTAGAGACTTTCGGACCAGAGGGCGATTTCTCAAACATGAGATTTACACGAGGCGAAACTGGGGTGCATGTATACAACATGCCCCGACGCGTCAGACACAACATATATACAGCAAATATGTGCTATCTCACTGTTTTGATCTTGAACTGTAGGCCTCAGGCCACAAAAACTTTTCTGTCAGGCGTTCACAAGGCCAAGCGAACAGAAAGTCGGGCCGAATTGTCGGCAACCACGAACGTTCCCTTGATCTGAGCCTGTGCATTCGGCATTCGACGTCTCGCAGAGAAGAAAGGGGTGACCTTGGAAGCAGGAGAAACTCGAAACAAAGAGACAAAGAGCCAAACGTGCACGCGGGAATTGTACGCTGCGAGACTGCATGTCGCTCAAGATTCTGAAACCCCGGCCTTGGTTCTTCGACCTGGTCTTTCACTTCTGTTGATTACCATGGGTGCGTTCTGAGACAACTGTTCTGTCTCCTCGTAGTGCAGCTGTGCATTGAGGGGCGAGGTCTTGCGCGCTCTGTAGAAAAGGACAGTTGATTGGGATGACCTGGCTGAGGCCCACGCGGCGAGATTGACGACGACCAAGGTGAAGCCCTTGTGAATCACTGACACTTGAAAGATACGCAAACATTGCTACAACATAAGTGGCTTCCTGTCAAGTGTCCGGAGGCAGCCGTAGTATACCATGCGTATTAGTATGACAGCAGCTTAGCAAGCAGACAGAATGAAGTCAAAGGACCCAAAGTGGCCGCAGTTGCTCATTTGCTACAAATATGCGACTCTGAGTAAGAACGATTATCCTTTGGCCATTTCAGCAGTGGAACCATTACGTTACCTCTCCCGTAAATCACGCGCCCCGTTGCAGTTGCATTTACAATCCACAATTAAACTCGGCCCTCGTCCCGCAGAACCCCTGCTCGTCAGCCGCAAACACCAAGACCAACCCCTCCATCACTCAACGCTCAAACGTGTTATCAGACTCACAAAAAAAAAAAACCTCCGCATACCTCCCATCCGTTGCCGGCTTCGCCCCCGCCTATCGACTGTACACGTGGATCAGCATCGCCCTCTCATACCTGCTGGCCAGTGGGCACCATCCCGTCCACCCTCCTCCCGACATCCTCGCCGTCAACCGCCCCGCCCCGCCCCACCATTCCCAACGCGTCCTTCCCGACCAGAGACAGACCAGCCCCACCCCCGCAACGACCCCTTCAGCCGCACCAAGACCGAGACCCGGAGAAGGTCGGGTTCCGCTGCCTGCGGGGGCCTAGCTCGTGAACCTTCGCTCTCCGATGGGCTCGGCGACGGGGAGAGGATTGTGTGTGTCGCGGGGGCGGGGGCGCATGGGTTGAGTGGTGAGTTTGATGAAGCGATGGGGGGGAGGAGGCCGCGGCGGGGGAGGAGAGGAGGATTCCGGGCCCCGGCGTGGGCGAGTGAGTGGTGTGGGGTTGTGGAGGACTGGGTGAGGTGGTTGTGTGTGTGTGTGTGTGTGTGTGTGTGTGTGTGAGGTGGTGTGCGGAGCCAAGCGATTTGTTTCTGTGGGATGCTCGGACGCCGCATGATGACTTGAGTTTGACAGCGGGGGCGAAGACGGGGTTTGGGGAGTATATGTGCTATATGCCGGTGGCGGAGGCGACGTAGGAGGAATTGAGGAGGAGGAGGGTGGCGTTTGCAGAGAGTGAAGTTTCTGCTTTACTTGCCAGCCAACCCACTACTGCACTTTTCCTTTGCTCTCTTAGAGGCTGGTCGTTTGCGTAGCCGAGGGGGATTCTCCTTTGGTTGGCAGCGGGAGTTCCTGAGAAGTTTAATCATTGATGGTTGAGCGCAGGGCGCGCCGGTACTATTAACTGGCCCAACGCCAAGCACGTCGGCTGCAAATTCGCGGACCGTGACGGCACGAATGACCCGCACAACAAGTTCAAGCCTGTCAATGAGCTGGCTTTGGATGAGCGCACCCTCAGGCTCACTGGGGTTCGGTTCATTCTGGAGACAGTTGAGGCTCCGGTCACTGTCGCAGTCGACGTGCTGCAAACTCAGGGCGCTCAGTTGGCAGTGGTAGTGGGAGCGTGAGAAGAGTGATGCGGTGGTGTTATGTTTCCAGATCAGCTCTTTTGACCGCTCGTTGAAGTCAGTTTGGAAAATATTCGGAAATTGTAGCTCAATCGATTAGTCTTCTGGCCTAATTCTGCAATACAAGTAAGAGTTGCTCCAGAAAGAAAAAAAAAAGGCAATTTCCGATATGCAAGTAAACCAGAACGCAACAGCTATTGAAATAGAATGATAATGACGATAAGCAAACGGGGATATCATGGTAAAGAGGAGTAAAAGTGAAAAGGCGGATTCCCGTCATAGCCATAATGCCTCTTCCTCAGGCTGCGGCAGACATAGAAAGTTGCAAGATTGTAATTCCAATGTTGATGAAGAGACCTGACAGCAAGTGCCAGACGCAGTAACGCTTCGATAGACCATAGATACGGCCTGGTCAAAACGTAGGCGTACATGGAATAGGTGCCGGTAAGGTTTTCTGTGGCCAGGTCCGATGGCTTGCCAGAACTCGCGTCCATTCCGATACTGGTCATCGTATGAAAGCAAGCGAGGGATGGTAAATCTGACGCACTCAGGCCTTGAGCGTCTTTGTCGGCGAGCGTTACGAGAGCAGCGGATTCAGAGGAGCCGATAACTGGAAACAAAGAGGTACTTGGCGCATTCTGGGTGAGGAGGCAAGGGCTTAGAGGGAATCCACAGGTCTTGGGAGAACTCCTCGGCAGTCGATATCCCATAACAAAAACAACTGAGAGGGTTTGGGCCAGAGCCAGAGCCCACGCTGAGAAAATGGGTTCATCGCCGTTCAAGATTAACGGGAGGCGTCGGAGGAGACTGAAGAAGGCCTTCGAGGCTGGATGCCCGAGGGGTTGCGTACGTCGTCCCTGGCGTCGCACATCTGGTCCAGGTCACGGGAAGGGGAGCGTTGGTCGCGGATACGAGAGCTGTACTGGCTGCCCTGAAGGTCGAGTTGGGGGTTGCCTGGGCCAGCGGATTCGTGGCGGAACTTGCAGTGGTTGAGGAACACAGCGAAGCCGGATCCGAGCGACATTCTGGCGGTTGTGGATGGTTCTTGGAGTGTTTTGCGGAATGCTCGGGGTCAGCGGCGGAGAGTTCAGTGGTAAGGCAGTGGAGGTTGCGAGGGCGGCTGTTTAAACAAGAGAGGACGGAGGGATTCATCACAGCGGACCTTCTGCTTGTGGCACCAGTTGCAGGCGCGAGAGAGGCGCTTACGTTGAGGGGGGCGGAATTGGCGCGCCTCCCATTGGCTGCGCCGTGGACCCCTTGTCTCCCAGGCCCACGCGTGAGCTCTCGTGAGTCAAGGCAGCAGTGACGTCTCCCGTCGCGTACCGCGCATGCCGCGCTGTCCTCTTATCCAATGCCGCCCAGCAAGTGGAGGTGATCGCCTATGGCCTCAGAACACGTGCACGGCCAGCGGCTGCACTCTCTGCGGGGTAGGGGCCCAACAAATTCATCAGCTGAAAGCGCCACAGCATTACTACTGCTCTCTATTCGCTGAGTATGTCGGCGGCAACAGATCCTTTCAATACGGCGCCCGGCAGATGGACGTGACGATCGAAAGGTCGAGCCATGGAAGACTCCCGGACGTTGATGCACTAGCGTCGGCCACTACTTCCAGGCACGCCTCTAGCGGTTGCTACCAGTTTTCCCTTCCAATCCCAACGATCCTTTGGACTTCTTTCACTGAAAAGAAACCACGACAGTCTCATTCTTTTTCACCGGTGTAGGCAGTCACTTGATCTTGTCATTCACTCTCGTTCCTACTCGCTGCCGTGGCATTGCTATGCGCTCTCTTCCAATGGTGCAGCAGCCAACCATGGACTTTGTTGGGTTTTTGTTTGCCAGAATTGTTCATGGTTTGACCGATGGAGCCAAGAAAATCAGTCCGCTTTCTTTGTCTCACCGTCCAGCACATGCGCTCACAGAGTCATAAATTTCCGGTTATTCCCCTCCATAAGGACTGAGATGACATGTGCAACAGTGCACCAACGAGACAGAATAAGTTACTTTAGATGACGATTCACAGTAGCCACATCCTCGCCAGTAGGTAACATGCGTTACAGTCCAGCATCAAGACAAAAGCTGGCCATTTCCAGTCCTTGCTGCTTTCTTGTATGTACGTCGATCTTTCCCTTTATGCCCTTTCTGATTCACGCCCTGGTGGATTCTTGCTTCCCGAGTGTGGTGTCATCAGAAAAGCCCTGAAATTGTTGAGAGCTGTAGGTGAGACTTTGCGGAGCTTAACGCCTCCTGGATTTACCGAAGGATCGCGAGGTCCCGGATACACTTTACCTCCGTTGCGTTGTCAAAAGTAGAGTAGGTCAAAGAAAGTGGAAAGAAGGGAGGATAGACCTCGCTCTTCACACAGTCAGCGTTATAGCTCGCAGGAGATAAGTGAAGCTGACGACATGTGGAGGACGTCGATTGATTACATAATGTGCGTCTGAGATGCTCGAGATGGCCGCTGTTGCTTGGCCACAACTTGATTTAGGGATCCCGGAAATGTTCTCGGCAATGTCTTCTCTAACTATCGATTTGACTGACGGACAGCATTTTAGAATCTGGGGAGAATAAATCCGAGCTGCAATCAATAGCAGAAAACTCTCATCCTCCGGTCTTGGCCAGTGTCGATGAACTGACCTGACGGCTTGCACAATGTACATGATTCCATGTCCACACTCGGCTCTTATCCTCGAAGGTCTTAATTTTTCCTCAGGCGGGACTGAAGATGCATTTATCCCTGATGATGTCGAAGTCGCTCACTCGACCCCGTAGCAGCAGCTCCAAGAGCGTGTATATATCCCGTGTAGGCCTCATCCCTAAGTGGCCAGTAAGACTAAGGAGAAGCAACACAGCCACTGTCGGCGACAGAAACAACATGACGAGATACTCGCAAAAGTAGGCGACACGGACTTCTCCAGCTTGACCGAAACTTGCGAACCCGAGCGAGTTTACGCGACAAGCCCGATCAGCGACGCGGTGAGAGCGATGCACAAGGCTCTTTACAAAGTCGAGCAAAGAGGACCATCACGAAAAAAAAAAAAAGCACAATACATCGAACACGGTTTTGACAAAGGAGCACGACAGGACGAGCGAAGCAAAAAGGGAAAGAAGCCGAGAGTGAAGAAGTCCAAAGAAGCGGGCGAGACAGGAATCCGCACAGGCCGCACCATATCGATCCCATTTGGGGCCAAGCCGCGGACGATCCCGCCAGTGTGGCAACGTCTCGAAGGATGCGTCGAAGGAGCATGTGAGTTTTCCCGAAGCCGACGATGATGTCGATGATTGCACAAAGCGACGGATCATGCGAGCGGGAAGCGAGCGAAGCGCGCGGGCAACGGGCGGACGGACCGCTTCGGGCCACCGTTGTGTTTCCTGTTCCATCACGGTCCCCACTCACGACGCGTTCTTTGCGTATGTAACGTTGTTCCCTCTTTTCTTTTCTTTTCTTCTTCCTGTCGATCCAGATCTCGCTTTGCGAGTGTCAAAGCCTAAGCGAATGGCGATGGCTGCGCGAAATAAGAAGTTGATCTGATCACCACGTCCGCCCCCTTGCCTCCTCCCTTTTTCCTGTTCGTGTATCACTAAACACCGAGCGGCCGAGGTACGAGGAGATCGAGATATCGAAGATGTAGGTAATAGGGGAGGGGGAGAGAGTCTGCGCAAACCTTGCGCCGGCGATTAGCGTGAAGTCGCTGATCATTTTACGCGTGAAACACCCCCGTTCGGCAAAGATTCGAGCGGAAAAGTGGATGATGATTGTCGCATGAGACCCAGAGGACAGGCGTGTCGTTCGGTCGTTCGTTCGTTGAGCGTCACCGGCGCAGTGTTTTGTGGGTGGTGTGTCGTAAAGGCAACCAGCCCTGTTTCATGCATCGCATTTGAGTCCTTTTTCCCTTTTTCTCTCTCTCTCGGCTTGTGGTTTCGGCTCGGCCTATAGCAGGCGATGCGTTATAGGTAGATCTCTTTACACAGTAACCATAGGACAAAAACAAGATGGTTCGATACAAGGCGTGGGCGATGTGGAGAGACTGTCAAGCGGTGAAACAGGGCGCCATTGGGCTACTACCGACTAAGTAATTGAGTTCATGCGCGGCCTGGGCACGGAAGCTTATTCTATGTAGTAAGGGGGAACCTTCGAGCCATCTGCCTCCTGAGAGCAAGTTTGTAGAATGAAAAAGTCTATTTGTTTAATATTAACACAGCGAACGAAAAGAAGGGACCTACGTCATGGTATCTTGCTCGGAAAATGGAGATGAAGAACTGCAAAGAAAGAAAAGAGGAGTCATGAGGGTTGCCACTGTAAGAAAACAACGCGCCCAGAATATGCCCGTGGTTTTTGCCAGTTCGTGTAAAATAATCGCAGCGCCGATAAACCTCCCATATGCATGCATTTTTTTTTGTTTTGGTTTTGCGTTGCTCCGCCCGCTTCGTTTAATCCCTGGAAATTTGCACCTGGCTGTGAACCATGATGCCGGCGCCCTGCCTGTCCTCCAGGATCTGCTTCTGGCTGTCGCTGTCGCTACGCAGACTGCCGCTCCGGGCCATGCCGGCGCGGATCTCGGTTTCATGGGCCTGCGGCGCGTACTTGTCGCTGTCGTTAGTCGAGGCACCGGCCAGGCCCTCCTCGAGCTCGTACTGCGAGTCGAACTTGTCGTAGGTGCGGCGCGCGTTGCTGGGGAAGTTTCCTCCTTTCGACGAGGCCCCGCCGTACTTCATGGGCGTCGAGCCGTCGTCGCTGGAGCCCAGGTGCAGCACCTTGCGGAACAGCGGGCGCAGCGTGCCAACGCAGCCGACAATGACACCAATGCCGTTCTCGGCGTAGCCCCAGAGCAGGATGTCGGAGATGGCATCTGCATGGCCCAGGTCAGCGCTGCTCGAAGGGGGAGACAAAAAAAGGGGGAAGCCTACAAAGATAGTCGTTGGAGTTCTGCAGGTTGACCGTGTACTTGAGGCGAATGCAGGCCGAGAGGGAGGCGCTGATCGGCGCCGTCAGCAGCGAAGACGCAATGGACGCAATGTCCAAGATGGCGACTTACAAGATGCCCAGGCTCAAAATGCATCCGACGGAGATCTTGGCGTTGCGGTTAAGCTTTACGTTCCATAGTAGCGGAATAGGCCTGCCGCGGTAAGTATGACTCGTTAGCCGTGCCCATGAGTCGCAAAGGATGCAACCGCAATCTTTAAAGAGACGTACATGGCCGCGCAGAACCAATCCGTCGCAATGTTGACCGCAGTCGTGGCGTAGTAGATGTCCGTCAGGATGATGGCGTCGTTGCACTTTCCCTCCTGCTGCGTGTTCCACGCGTACCTGTTCGAGCGTCAGCGCCGCAACCCCGCAGCCCAAGAGCACCGAAACCTACGAGACGGGCTGGCACTGGAAGATGATGTAGAGCGCCGCGATGAGGTTCATGGTGGTGAACAAGGCGGCCACCACATACTGGCTGTACACGTAGAACTTCCTCCCCGCCGCAATGCGGATCAGCTGGAACGCAATGCTAAGCTTGATCGGGATGATGGCAACGCAGTAAAAGACCTCGAACAAGAAGAACCACTACGACCGTAAGCGAGTGCACCGCCGTGCAGCTTGGAGTCGGCGCCCTTACCTTGAGGCCAATCTCCTGGTACTTTGCAAGCGCAGGGTCTTGGAATCTTTCCACGTGCACTCCGACACCATTGAAGGACGCCAGAATGCAGGCGGCCGAAAGCACGGCGAAAGGCGGCTGGCAAAGTTAGCGTCGGGCGCGGCGCAGAAGTGGGGGAGCTAAGTGTACTATAGCCGCGGTCATGCACCAGTCGTCGATGCCCCAAGCCGCCACCTTTAACCTCGTGTACACTCGCAGGGCATAGATGGTAGTGGCGAGAATGGCAATGCTGATGACGGAGGCGGCCACATGGGCCGAATTATCCAGGAACAAGGTCATGATGGAGAGAAGAGGAGGTGGTCGCCGACGGACCACCGAGAGCTTGTCGTCTGAGGGATTCACAGAAGGCGGGTTTGGTGGCGGGTCGACGGATCCAGAGCTGGGGAACAGGGAGCCGGTGGGTTTAAGCAGTTCCAGGCGAGACGGAGGGGAGGGCGGGCTGTCAGAGATGGGTGGGAACGAGCCCTGGAAGTATGAAAGACCTGGGGGTGGGCCTCGAGCTGCGCCCGTAGCGAGCGGGAGAAGGCAATGCCTGGTGGCCAAGACCAGGGCTGGGACGCTCAGACTTGTATACAGGGCCAGGGCCCGGGAGCGCTACTGTCGGTGAGGTCCTGATCCCTCAAGCAGCGGCAGAATGGGGAAATGCTCAGCGGCAGCATCTGGCGAGGGCGCAGAGGTAGCGTCATCAGGGCGACGCGGGATCTAGACGCAGTCGTGTCAAAAGGCCGGAGCAGAGGGCGAAGCGGCTCGGCCGTGGGACCCGTCTGTCTCTCTGGCTACCCTCTGCGCTGGACGGATCTTGGCGTGGAGGAAGGCCGACATGAAATTGGGGGATCTCGCCCTGCGCATAGTGGCGTGGGCACAAGCAGGCGGGTCCCGGCGGCAGGTGGATTCGTAAGAGGGTCTGTAACGACACCGGTAGGGCAAGGTGCTGCGTGCACACCCTGTCTGCCGGCAGCCTGCGATCACCGCTGGCGCCCTGGCGCTTTCGGGCAATCCCAGGGCGATCTTTCGGCTTGAGTGACCGCGACACCCCGGCGAGGCAGGACGATGGCCGTGTGCCGAGGCCAAGGCTGGCCCAGTGTGGCCGGACATTGCAAGAGCATGCGGTGGGGGAGCAGCGAGCCAGGAACAGAGGCCTCCTGAGAGCGAGAGGGGAACCTCGACCCTCGAACCAGGCGCGCGGGAAGCTGCCGCCTGCCGACTACTGCGTAGCTGCGCCGGGGGGCAATGTCCCGACGGGCGCCACTGGGTTTCGCAGCGTCCACACAGTCTCTTTGTAGAGGAGGCGCTCGGTCCGAAAACGGTCAGCCCAGGGCGTAGCCGAGAGAACGAGCCAATTGGCCTCGATGCTGTCAGCCAGACTTGTGGAACCTGGGCTGGCCCGTATGGTGGCTTCGAGGCCGGTACGGAGGCCATGCGGATGGCGGCGTGGTGCTGTGCCTGTCTCGACATGAGATTCCCAAGGCCGCGCACCAGCAGCAGTGCCCAGCGGTCCGGCCGATGCAGAGAGTAGGTAGTAGGCCAGGGTGTGATCGGCGCTCCCGCGCCCCCTAGGCATGATGCGGCAGACCAAAGGCCAGCGTCACAGGTGTGGGGCGGGAGCGACCCGAGAATGGGCGCCGTCTTGTCACTTTCCCCTCTGCGGCGCAGCGCTGCCTAGGCGCCGGTAACTTGCGGAGGAAGGAAAACGGGCCTTTTGTGTGGAATTATGCTGCCATGTGCCATGTGCCATCTGCCATGTCGGGGATTCCCATCACTGCGGCGCTGCGGCACGGCGGGAGTGACGAACCAGCGGCCTAGACGACGGCGGCCTGCAGTAGATGGGCAGACGGGCAGCTCTCATCCTTCCAGCGCGGGATCCGGGCGGCGCTGCGGGAGACGGGGCGGCTGGCTGCAGAGATGGCGAAGTCGAGGTCGAGGTCGAGGTCTTTGTCGTTGTGAAAAACAGGCTGGCGCCACAAGCGAGCCCGCGCCGCATCTCGCTCGCCCGCTCGTCGGAAATAAACGTCGATCGCGGCGCACGTCCGGCGCGAGCCCATCATCGTCGTCACCTTCCCTAGTAAGCTGCCGACTATCCGCACCCGCACCGTCCGAAGCCATCACCAGTGCTGGGAACCATCTTCCACCAGGCCCGCTCTTAGAGTGCCATCGTTGTTGCATTGCGCGGCGGGGCTGGTGGCTAGTGTACCATGTGAGACATGCAACGCTCCCAATCCCCTCTCCTCTCCGGCCCGTCAGCCCTGCGCCGCACGCTCTGTCGAAGAAGCAAAACACCACGAGATTCCCGGTGCCGCAGCGCGCCGCTTGGGTGGACCGAAGACCTCTCCACACCGAGTAAAGACGCCGTCTCGCTCAGAGCTCGAAAATCCGGCGCACGCAACCGCATCCCCGACTCCACTGATGCGTCGGCTGATGGCTACACCGACTGTGCGAGTCCGGAGCACGGCAGCCGCGGTATCGGGAAGCCAAGAGCCATGTTGCAAGGGCCTTCAAATTTTCTCTGCCGCTGAGCGAGGACCCGCCTTGCTGGCGCGAAGCCCTGGGAACACATCTGTCCATCCCATCGCCCATCCCATCGCCCATCCCGAGTGATCGGTGCCTTGGCCTGCTGTTTGCTGCCTTCAAGCTCGCCAAGCTTCCCGTCCAAGCCCAACCATCCTCGCCGTCTTCATGTAAAACCACTCATCTCTGCCTATACCAGCATCAGCACCCTGGGAAACTGTAACCGCTGCCCGTGGAGACACTTGGCTGCGCTATGGTCTATAGTCGACTTGACACCCACCCATGCACTATCTCGGTACCGCGACAGTCCAAGCCAACGTCCTGCCAAAGACCGTCCGAAGGTCCAGGCTCGATCAACGGGAGCACTAGCCATGGAGGCCTCCATCTCGCTACACAGCCACTACCAGGTCTGATGGAGGTGCATCGCGTAAGCGGACGCAATACTCTTTACGTCGCTTATTGCGAGATGCTTCCTCCTGATCACCGTGCCTGAACGAAAGGACCAATTGCGGAGAGGACGTTGGCCATCGGGACTACATGTGGGGCCGATGTACGTGGTCAAGGTGCGCTCTGTGTATTGTAGAAACACATCCACATCCAGTCGAAAACATCCCCAGCCATCCCCCACGCCGGATCGTTGGCTCTTCTTGACTTTCGTGATCGAAACGATTTCCGCGGAAGGTGATACTTGCAAGTGATCAGGCCGCTAGCGGCTCTAAACATGAGTGGTCAATCCTCGCATACCGTCAGGATACATTCAGGCCCCCATCCCTGAGTCTCAGCAGGACTTTCAATAAAAGCACCTTCCCCAAGGCCACCATATCGATGCCCAGCCATGCTGACCGTTGCTCAGTAGCTCTTCCCCCCATTAGTGCGGTCCGTCGGATCTTCGGGCATATCAACACCTCGTTACGTCCGGCGCTACCCGATCTAGGTCTGACCCTGACTTTCCTACCTCGATGCAAACAAAAAGTGGCATGACCCCACGCCCGCCGCTCACCTTCTGTTCACTCATCGTGTTGGAATCTCGACATTGCTCACCATCCCAAGGGGATCCTTCGCCCGAGTTGCCCAACGCCCCTCAAGTCCGACAATATCAGCCGACGCAAAATAAAGTGGCAGCGATAAGCTAGCGAAGCCGTACCGTTCCAATCCCTACTCTGTCTCTTGGCTCTCATACGACACAAAGCCATGTCCGGTGCTTGTTCGGGAGCAAAGCGGTCTCTGCGTGGACAAGCGATAAACCGATCAGCGAGACACGGGCGCCTGACAGAGGAGAGAGAAACCGTCGCACGCGCGAAAACACGGCCCTGATGGCGCCGCAACGGCCCTTCATCTTGCTCTTACCTCTTCCGTGCCGTTCTTCTTCCTGCGTTGCAGCGCCTCACTGGTATCAAGCCGTGCTTGATATGGAGAACGCCTTTCCTTTTCTCGTTTCTGGGTCCAACTCTAACACATCATCACCATCATCATCATCATCATCATCATTAAGACGTATGGCTAAGCCAGCATGTTGTTTCGATCATAAACAAAGCCCACCTCCCGTGATGCGTGTTAATCTCATACACTTTCCACATGAAGTAGCTTAAACCGCATTACCCCCACCCCCGGAAAAGAAAGAAAGAAAAAAAAGGACTTAATCTTTCTTCCTCAAACCAAAAACAATCAAACGAACAAACCCCACAGACATTATATACACACACACACACATATATATATACATAAGCACGCACACCAGCTAACCTAACTCCATGGCCTGATGCGCTCTCTCTCTCCCCCTCTCTCCCTCTTTTCCTTTCTCACCCCCTTCCCTGTAAGGAAAAACGTCGGGCTGCCGCATCAGCCAAAAAAAAAAAAGAAGAAGGGGAGAAAAAAAAGGTGCCTCATCATCATGAATAAAGGTTGGCAAAAAAAATAAATCATGTGTGTGCATACATGTCCGCACTAACCAGACAGACGCGCCATCGCGGTTGAACTGCTAAATATCTCAACAACAAAACCTTCTCCAAGAGAAGAAGAAGGAACCAATTAACCACCTGCCAATAGCAGCAGCAGCAGCAGGAGCAGCAGGAACACCGTCTTTCATATCAACCTCTCAAGAAACTGGCTGGGGCTTTTCCCGTGTCGTTAACAAAGAGGTCTGACTATTCTTGAAAAGAAGACCAAGAGGAGAGAAGAAGGAGGAAGAAAAAAAAAGGAAATCAACGCCATGTCCCAATGCCTCGACGGGGAAGAAAGGGGGTGATCTACAAGCTTCCAAAAAGAACACACCAAAAAAAAAAAGAAAAAGGAAAGACCCGCATCCCTCCACGGCCGGCACCACCACCAAAAGTACTACCACCAACACGCTCTTCTTCCCACCGTTTCTCTCTCTCTGTCTCTTCTCAAAACCCAAACGAATCCAACAAACTATTAGCATCCGGCTCATGGAACTGCGTCGGCGGCGGCGGCGGCGGCTTCTTCTTCTCCTTCTCCTTCTCCTTCTCCTTCTCCTTCTCGTTCGCCGCCGCATCCCCACCACCACTCCCATTGACCCCATTCCTCTTCTCCCCTTCACCTCCCTCATCCTCATCATCCTCATCCTCATCCTCGTCCTCCTCCACAACAGCCGTCCCCCCACCACTAACCCCATCAACAAAAAACCCATCCAGCGCCGACCGCATCGGCGTGGGCGTCGGCGGCAAGTCCGCCACGACCAGACTGCTCCGCCGACGCAGCAACTTCCTCGGATCGATGTCGTACGTCGCGACCGGGCTAGGCGGGCCCGACGGGAGGGCGAAACCCCCACCCCCTGCACTGCCATTATTGACCACCGACGAATGCATCGTCGCGGGGATCCCCATCGCCGGCAAGGGCGGCACGACGGGCTGCGCCTGCAAAAACTCCCACCCGCGGACGAGATCCAGCGCCAGGACGTCGCAGCCCATGCGCTCGTACAGGCGGGCGGTGTGGATCAGAAACTCCCACTCGGCGCGGGGCGCGACGGCGAGGGCGCCGCGCAGCGTCTGCAGCGAGCGGTCGCGCAGCTGGCGGTACAGGGCGACGAGGGCGGGGTCGTCGGTGAGGAAGAGGCGCGACTGCAGGCTGGGGGAGTCCGAGTCCAGGGGCGAGAGCAGTGTGGACAGCGGCGTCACGAGGGCGCGGACGGCCACGTCGCGCTTGCCGAGGTGCCAGAAGGCCCAGGTCGCGAGCCAGCGGTTGTTCTCCATGACGGCGCGGGGGAGGACGCGCTCGGTGAGGAACTTGCGGAGGACGGGCCCGTCGTCGCCTTCGTAGACGCGCGCGACGGCGATGGCGAGCTGCGTGTCGTTCATTTGGTTGGAGAGGACTGCCACGGCGTCTTGGAGGTGGTCGGCGAGGAGGAAGAAGGCGGCGGCGTATTCGAAGCGGCGTTTGCCCATCAGCGCGTATGCGTTTTTGAGCGCTGCCGTCCTCCAGCGGGCTTCGCTGAAGTTGTTCTGGAGCAGGCGGTGGGTCGAAGGTTGCTCGCGGCTCCATGTGGCCATGCGCCACAGGCCGACGAGGACCGCCTTCTTGCGCAGCGCGAGGTAGTACAAGCTGCAGTCAGTTGGGTTCTTTTCTTCCGACTTGGTGTACTCGTTGCGGGCTATCACTTCGAATTGAGCGCGCTGTGGCACTTGGTGTCAGCATCTTGCTTGCTTCTGTGAGCAGCAGTTCATCACTCACCACAGCGTTGATGTCGGTCATCCACATGAAAATGCCCGCCTCCTTTGCCTGTTTCCACAACATTCGTCCCTGGAAATGCCTGCTCACTAGATCCAACAGAATGTCCTGGCTGCCGCTGTGAAATGCCCAGGTGATCTCGCGCCAAGACAAGTGAGACTTGTCATCACTGCGCTGGCCACCCTTGTCGCGGAGATAGTGTTGCCTGAAGAAGAGCAAGAAACGACAGGCGTTGTCATCGACGCTTCTCCGGTGCTTCTCGACCGTGCCGACACACTCGACAATGTCTGCGAGGTGGAATTGCTCACGGTTGGACAGCTGTGGTACCGACTTTTTCTGGAGAAGCTCGTTCAAGCTCACAGCGACTTGCTCTGTCACGCTGGCGGGCTCGTCGTCCTCCTCGGTGAAGTCTGCGTACGATGACTGCAGCTCCTTTCGAGCAGAACCGTTCATAGTGGCCTGTGACTCCGTTAGCCGCTTGATCCGTAAACCTCTTTTGTCAGCACTTACCCCTTGATCCTCAAAGAAATCCTCAGGCGACAATCCGAGCATGGTGTCGAAAGGATCGCCTTCCGTGTAGAACTTGAGTACCTTGAAGAGGTTGATGAGGATGCGCTGCACGAGCGGCAGTTTCCCAAGAAGCACGCACTGAGCGAGCATCTGTGGATGGTAGACGGGCAGTGGACCATTGAGTCTGCTCACAAGAGTGAACAGATCCACCGCCTTCTTCCGGTGAGCTTCTCTGTGTTCAACGAGGCGCAGATCCGGAAGGACGCCATCATCGACCTCGACATGCTCGTCTTGGACAAAAAGCTGGTTTCCAGCACCGATGACCAGATTTCCACTGCCAAGCCAGACCGAATCGCCAATCGGATGCGGCGTGACCTCTCGAATGCGAACTTCTCGAATCGCCGCCCAAGATGGTCCGTGGTCGAGGTAGTTGTAGCGCAGCTGTGCGTAGATGACTACTCTGTGAGGAAAGCCGACGGCGAGGATGGACTGGTTATCCGGCGAGGAAGACCAATCGATGTCCTGGATGATGTCATGAGACTCGAAGCGCTCTTCGTGCTCCAACTGCGCGCTTCGCGTGCCCCAGATGGTGAGACCGGTCTTTTCTGCATCGACCAGCGCTGCTTTGCGGATCGATGTGCCACTGCACAGCGTCGGGTTCTCTACGCCAGTGCTTACGGTTGAGGTGAGCAGCCATTCAATCTTCTTTCGGTCTCCGCTCACTCTGGCAGTCCAGGACTTGATGACGCCAGAGGTGGTGTACGAGATTGCGACATCACGAGCGAACGTGTCCAAAAAGCCTGAGATGACAGCCCGCGTTCCAGCAGGATCGACGGGGATGACGTAGGCAAGATCTCCGCCATCGCCCAGGTCAAACCTGCACATTTCCGTGATGGAAATCTTGCCTTCGATGTTGATGGAAGACTGGCGGCGATGTAGGTGCAGGCGGGGATTCACAGGCGTCGCTTTAGGTGGTATCCTCACCTCCCAGCCAATTCCCTTCATGTCGGACGAGATGGTGGCGAGATGAACGCATCCAGTATCGGTCTCGACTTCGGGGATGAGGAGCAGGCAGAGCGGCTTGCCCTGCAGCTGGTACTCGCAGCGGGCCACCTCTTTCGCTGCTGGCGTGCGCGCGTCCCATAGCGAAATGCTTTCGTGGTGCAAGAACACGACAAAATCGCCCTCGGCAAGCAAGGCGGTCCGATGGATGTGTTCGTCGACCTGAACGGTGCTGTGCCGAGCGAGCACAGGGCCGGAATGCTTCGAGTTCTCCTGCCTCCACACAACGCCCGCGTTCTTGTCGGTCCGGGAAATCAAGGCACGTCCGCTCGCTGTGCGCACTACCTTTTTGATGGGTGCAGTATGTCCGGTCAAGATGGTTTCGCGCTCCAATCTCGTCAACTTGATGGGCGAAGGGTCGAACAACAGATCGATCTTGCCCTCCATCCACTCTATCCTTCCATCGAAGTGGTGCATGAGCAGGGTGAAGGAGCTGCCGTGAGCGTCGCCGCAGAAGGCATGGAATTGAACATTGTCCTCAGCCGGCAAGGCGTCCTTTGCAAAATGCAGCCGGAGCCCCTCGACGTGGGCGATGTTGAAGATGTTGCTCGACTTCTTGACCTTTGTGTCGACGCTCTCCAAGCCCCAGGCCGACATGTTGCCCTTGTCGTCCAGCACGACGCAGACCTCGGGGGTGCGGTTCGCGACCTCGATCAAGTGCTGCAGCGCATGGCTCTCCTCCGGGGTGCCGCCGCCGTCGGCCGCCTGCTGCACGGCGCGCTCAGTCGCAACGGCGAAGTCGGCACTGTCGATGAAGAAAGTGTAGCGGCGGCCGGAGCGTGTGGCAGGGTCGAGAGCGCGCGGCTTGATGGACTCGTGCAGGTCGACCTCGGCCCACAGCTGGAAGATCTCGGGCCCGCGGTGCTCGCCGCCCACCCACACGCGCACCTTGTTGTCGGCGCAGATGGTGTATAGCACGTTCTCGATCAGCTGCTCGCGGTGGCGCGGGCGGCGCCAGTGCAGGCCGGTGACAGTGGTCGGGTGTGGCAGGTAGGCCACGTCGAAGCGCTCCTCGACGCTGCCGAAGCTGAGGCGGTGCCATATCTTGACGAGCCGGTCGTAGGTCGAGGTGGTGGCGATGAAGGTGGCATCGTAGGAGAATTGGGCGAACTTTGCGGGAGAGGCAAGCGGCGCGGTGAAGAGGCGTTCGGACTCGTGATTGTGTGTGGAGAACAGGGTCAGGGCCGCACTCCCAACCAGCAGCTCCTCGGCGATGCCCCAGGACAGGGTGCGGATGTGGTCGTGGGGGTCGGCGAGGGTCAATGTGTGTTGTTGTGTCCACTGCGAAGGTCCATTGTCAGAGTCGGGCGGGGCAGGGCGCTCGCAGGGCGACGCACCTTGGGCTGGCCAATGTCCAGGCCGTGCGGCTTGTAGACGTAGACGGCCGTCTTGGAGGCGGCGGCGATCTTGCCCGACGACTCGTCCAGCACCACGGCCACCAAGTTCCCTTCATCTTCGGTGTAGGTCGTCTGGACGATGTGGCGCGGGCCGTCGAGGATCACGAGGGCATTGCCCGAGATGTAGGCCTGCAGCAACGACGTCAGCCGGGGGGCATTGGCGGGGGGCGGGGGGCGTCTTGCGCACGATCAGCTGCCTTCCCTCCGAGAGCCCGGTGGTCACAGCAGCGAGCTCTGCGTTGGGACGGCCGGGGAGGATGGCGCGCATGGAACGGGATGCTGGAGCTGCGAGCTCTACAGCCGGGTCGTCATGGTCCGGAGGCGGGCGGTGGGCGGAGGCGCTGGTGGTCCGGGCAGAGCTGGGGGTTTGGGGCGGGGCGGGCGGTGCTCAGGCGTGGGTGCTGTCTCGAGAGCACCAGATGGAGTTTTTGGTGCTTGGCCAGCTGTCATGGGGTGACGGCCAAACAGGCCCGTGCGATGACGACACCCCGGCCATGCAGTGCTCGCTCGGGGCATCCCACACCTCCGCAGTCCTCCGCATTCATCTGGGAGCGATAATCTTGCATTCCTAGCGCTGCTCTCACCCGCTCTGCAGCCAATCGGTGGGGCTGCCAGACCACCCCCCACCGCTTCTGACCGTTTTTTGCATCGAGCTCTATCTGAAGTCGCACGCATGCGCATGCTTTACTCGAGCTTCCACGCCTGCTTCCGCTTGCCGTCCGCCGCGCCCTCGACCTCCCACTCCACTTCGATGGCCAAGTCGCGCGTGTTCTTGCCCGCCTTCTTGTACGTCACACTGCCTGCGATTTTCTGCCCCTTCTTCAGCTCCGCTTCCTTGCCGGTGCGCTCGACGAGCAGCAGCCCGGATTCCCAGTGCGTGGGCTTGCCGCCGGGGCCCGTCGTGAAGGCGTTTCCTGGGCCCTTCCATGTCTCGGCCCGCGCGTCCGCTGGAAGCACGGCGTCGCGGGACGGCAGGAAGAAGGTGTCGAACCAGATGCACCAGCCGTCCAGCGCGCTGGCATCCTTGTCCACCTCGACCGAGAAGGTCTTGACAAACTCCAGCTCTTCGGTCGTGATGGTGTGCAGAGGGAGCTGCAAGAACTGGGCCGATTGAGAGACTGCAGAGGGAAAGATCAGTGAGCAGACGAATTCGCTCGACCCGGGCATTTCTAGACTCACCAAGCTTGTCCGTCTTCAGGCTCCTGACCCTGACGTCGTCGCGGATCTTCTCCATCATTGCGCTCATGTCGAAGCCGTACACATCGTGCCAGAAGTCGATGCTGTCGGCGATGAAGTCGTCGTCGGAGAAAGGCGCCATGTGCAGCGTGCAGTGACTCGGGACCATCAGCCCGTCGGGCTTCAGGTAGCGGTCCCGGGCCCACATGACGCTGTCGAACATGGCTTCGAAGAGCAGGCAGTAGCCCATCCATTCCGAGATGATGATGTCCACCTTGTCGACGGGGAGCGTGACCTCCTCGATCTTGCCGCGCAGGCAGGTGATCTTGTCGGTGGAGAAGCCGTTGGCGTGGCAGTTGACCACGGCCTTCTCGATCATCTCGCTGTTGTCCACGGCGATGACGTGGGCAGCGCCGGCCTTTGCGCAGAACATGGACAGGATGCCCGTGCCGCAGCCCACGTCCAGCACCGTCTTTCCGGCGAAGATGTGCTTGTTGTCGTACACAAAGTCCCTGTACGCATCAGTGCGGATGGTGTCCTTGAGCATCGTCTCGTGGATGTCTGATGGGAATTAACAGCCGGCTCGAATCAGGCACCCGAACAGCTTACCGTTGTACGAGTAGGAATCGAAGTATCCGGTATCGATGCCCCACTTGCCCTCGGGAGCCTTTGTCGATCCGGAGGGGCCCGCTTCGGCCGCCTTCGAGTCTTTGTCGTTCCAGCGCTCTTCGAGTGTTCTAGAGACGGTTTCTCTGTATTCGCTGAACTGGCTCGCCAATTGCTGGAGCTGCTCCTCGAGCTCCTTCACTCTCCGTCCCTCTTCAGACAGCGATTCTTCCTCGGTCTCATCCGACAGCTCATCCAGAGAAAAGAGCACGGCATCGTCCTCGAGCACAGGCTGCAGGTACTTGTCGTCGGCGAATGCCGATGCGTCAGACACGGCGGGGTTCTTGTTTCCGGCTTTGACTTCGCTACGAATGTAGTTCACCAGCTTGATGCTCGAGAAGAAGTCAAGGCCTTTGGCAGCGGTTAGTACCACCAAAAGATAGTTTACGCGATGTGGATGGAGCTTCCAGCACCGACAAGTCAGGGAGGACAGGTTGGATCGGATGGTATGTAGGCACGTGACCTTGAACGAGAGCACGGAGATAGAGGAGTGGAGCCGTAGGAAGGCGTGAAGAGAAGGAAAAGTACACACCCAGCTTTTTCTGAATGCCAACGAAATCGAAGCTGTACCTTTTCTTGCAATCCTCGATCATCTGCTTGACATCCGGAAAGACTTGGTCGTCGAACAGGCTGACGACGCGGATCTCCTCGACATCGGGCTCGGCATCCTCCCAGTCCTCCTCGCCGCGCATGTCCAACGGGTCCGAGGCCGTGTCCGAGGAGGCTGACGAGTGCGACATGTTTTTTTTGAATTTCTGATCCGAAGGCAATTCGGGGCGGGGGAAACAGGGCAAGGGCGCGGCGTGGCACCAAGAAAAGAAAATACGCACCTGCAGGCCTTGCAAGCGAAAATCGCCCCGCGGTCCGTGCACGATTGCTACCCAAGTCCTCACGTCCTCTCACTTCACCTCGTTCTTCAATTTCATCCATCTGTCTAGCTCCCAGCCATCGCTATTTGCCACGCACCTCTGAAGATGCAATCCCATCCGTCAAGCTATTTTCTCTCCGTTCCTCCCACCCGTCCACGTATGAAATCAGATTAGACATTACCGCCGCCGCGAAATCAAAGCCATCTCCCTCCATCCATCCATCCATCAATCAATCAAGCAAGCAAGCAAGCAAGCACCAGCCATACCCATCCCGTAATCCGCCCATCGCAAAACCCATTGCCGTTTTCCACGCTTCATCGCCGCAGGCCACCCTTTTTCCCGCCTTCACCCCGCAATCGATCCACCCAATATCCCCAACCCCATCATCCTTTCCCCTCCCCTACCCCCGGATAGCCCTGCCTAACCCACCTCATCAGCGCTCCCTCTCCCTCTCCCTTTCCCCCTCTCCCTCCAATTACTCCTCCAATTTCTCCCCCTTCCTATCCTTCTTCTTGTCCTCCTCCTCCTCCTTCATATCCTCCTCCCAAGCCCTCCTCACCGACCTCGTCACCGCCCCCTCCCTCTCCCGCGCCACCCTCTCCGTGCCCCCCACCCGCACCCCTTCCATCAACCCCTTCCAATACTCGTGCCCGTCCGGCACCGCCCGCCGCCTAATGCCGCGGCACACCTCGCACTGCGCGTAGTGGCTGCGCACCGAGTCGTCTTCGTCGTCGAGGTGCGGGAGCAGCAGGTGCGGCGGCAGGAGCTGCTGTTGCAGGGAGCGAGGCAGGTGGCGAGGGGACGCGGTGCCGGTGCCGGTGCCGGTGGGAGGGGGTGGGAGAGGAAGATGATGGGGGCGGAGATGGGGACGCTGGAGGGCGGCGGGGAAGGACGAGGCCGAGGCCGAGGCCGGGGTCGAGGTGGAAGCCGAGGCTTCGTCGCGGGCGCGGAGCGCCAGGCCCTTTGCGATGAAGAGGTTTTGGAAGTGTTCGGCTTCCGAGGGGCCGAGGTGGTGGTGGGGCGAGCGGCCGGTGGACGGAGGGGTCGGCGGCGGCGTGGAGGCGAAGCTGCCGTCGTCGGCGCCGGTGCTGGATGGGGATTCGATGGGTGGGGGGAAGAGGTCCTGTGCGATGGCGATGTGGTTGCCGTCGATGTCGTAGACGCCGTCGATCTCGTCGCGGTCGCTCATCTTTGTGTCGGCGGCGTTGTCGGCGTCGCCGTTATCCTTCTTCCCCTTCTTCTTGTCTTCGTCGTCCTCCTTGTTCTTCATGTTGTTGTTGCTGCTGCCGGGTGCGGAGCCGTTGGCGTTGGTGGGCATGAAGACGACCTGTGAGGAGCGGGTTTGGTGTCAGCGCAACCCAGGTGGACAGGGAGTGAGGTCCCAGGAAGCTGGGAGAGTGGCAGTCAGGAAGAGGAGGGAGAGGGCTTACCTGGCTGAAGTCCGTGTTCGCTGGGCACTGCGCGAGGTACTCGTCCTGTTCGTCGGCGTAGACGAAGTGCATCTCTGTCGGCCCCGCCGGTGCGCGAACAGGCACCGAGGGCACACTGTCCGGCAGTGGCATGCGGCGCAGGTTAGATCTCAGGCAGGGAAACTGCGGATCGTTCTGGTACTGCTCGTAGGGCGACAAGGGCCAAAAGCCGTCGGATGGCGGCGGGCCCTCACCGTCCAAGGCGGATGTGGTGGACGGGAGCTCGTCGGGCTCGAGGTTGTCTGCGCGGGCGCTGTGGGTCGAGACGGCCTTATCGTCATCACTGTCGTCAAGTACGATCGGGTTCTCCTCCGTGCCGTGGCTTGAATTATAACCGGCCTGAATCAGCCTCGAGAGGCGCGCTGTGACCTGGCGCGCAAAGTCTCGCATCCCCTCAATCTCGCGCTGGCGAGCCTGTTCTTTCCTATCGGCCGAGCCGAGCTGGTTTGACGACATGATTTCCTAGGATGCGCCGGTCAATATGTGAGTGTGGGCGAGGAAAGGTCTGGAGAGTCGATCTTGAGAGAGGGTTGTGTTGTCGATGGAGGCAAGCGGTCAAAGGCCGGCGATAAAAGGTTCGAGCAAGCAAGTGAACGAAGTACGGCCCCGTGCCACATAGCTTTTACAGCATGCGCAGGTACGTCACGCGACTGGCCGCTGCTTCACTTGCGCTTACCGCTACAGTGCATTGCGTGGGCATGCTTAACCACCCTCCGTCCTCCCATTAGCTCCCCCTTCCATGCACCATCACCCACCACAATCACCGCGTGCGCATCATAGGAGTGTACCTCGGCCGACAGTAGACAAACCCAAGGCCATTGAGCTTCAAGTTGCCCGCTCCGAAGCGCAAGCACACGGCAAACCGCTAGCTTCCCGATTCTTCATTGCAGAACAGCGCGCCTTCCCGTCGTTCATCTAACCGGACCTCAGCATCATTGTCACCCCCGACTCCCTTCTCTTCACCACGACCAACCGAGCTCACAAGCACTGCGCTATCGAGCATATCCATGTGCCGCCAGAACATACGGTCAAGAAAAGGGCCCTCCCTACCGCCCACGATGTTGCTTTCCTCTCAGCATAGAGCCTGCCGCAAGCAATTGCCATCGCGAATGCGCATTGCATGGCGAGTCGGCACCAACGCAAACTCTTGAATACGGGACAATCTCTCGGGATGGCTTGAGCGAAGCGGGCATGACTGCGTTGGGCACAGCGGACCGCACCAAACACCTGCTGCCCGCCCCTAACCCCCGGGTTGATACTCGTCACCTTCGTCTCCCGCGAACCACCTCATACTTCCTCTTCCTTCCCCAGTTAGCTCATCAACAACTACAGAGACGATCTTCCACATCAAGCTGCGATCCTCCAGCTTCTTTGTCCTTGTCCAACTATACCTCCGCAAGACCTTGCGAAGGTCGCGCAGCGCTTCGCTACCGCCGCCATCCCGTTCACCAGCGCCTGCTTTTGCCACGGCAGTTCGACGGATAAGCTGGGGGCAACATTTGAAACGCTGTCGAGTTCAAGCGCTGGATATTCCTCCGAGGTTGGCTCGGGCCTCGAGAGGAGGGAAGCCACTGGACCTGTGCGTACGGTTGCGGGCGATGGTTTTGATGCAGACAGGCGGGTCCGAACATGGGTCACACGAGGCTAGATGACTTGCGACGGTTTGCGATGGCCTCAGTCGATCTTGGGAGAACTCGCTCAGTTGTCAAGCAGGAAATCGCTATTACTTCTCGTCAACGGGTTCCTCCAACTGCTCTTGCAAGCCGAGTCGTGACTGGATCCGTCAGAATCCTCTTCGGAGCTCGCAGACTGTCGGCGCTTGCCGCGTCTTCATGGATCTTGGGCTTCAGAGTCAGAATCCGAACTCGACTCTGCTGAAGGGGCCGCTTAGCTCGCTTCCGATGACTTCTTTTTTGTCGTGGTTTGTCAGACTGTAGATTCGACGGATAATCATCTTCTCGATCCCTTTGGCGGAGCTTTGGGAGTCGCTTGGACGTCGTACTTTGGTTACATTCCGCTTTCTGGCTTTCGTGGGTTCGATGCTTACCTCGCCAGGTGCCCTCCGCGAGTCTGGCGTCTGACGGCGGGTGAAGATTCTGCAGGTGGGAACAGCCAGCCTCGACACAAATCACGATGTCGCTATGAGCACATGCGTCAAGGCGACGGAAGTTCTTGCCAGAAATTGGATCCGAATCTAGACCGAAGACCTAATCATCCGCTAGGAAGTCGCAAGCGCTAAAGATTGTAGGATTGTGGGGAATTGACGAAGATCTATCTGGAGCTGGGCGATCTGAAAGAAAGTTGAGGATCCTGCGGAACATTTGAGAGACCATCAGAAGCTACGTTTGAGGCAGCTGGATGAGCTGGGGTTAAGGGTAGTAATGAAGTTTATATATGTATCTGGCACATACTCCTCCATCCGGTCTTTTCAATCGAATGCGCCTGAGTGGGCCCGCACCAGCTCCCATCACTTCCACAAAGGTCTCGACTGCCATTCCATAGAAGTTTACTTAATCTAGCATCGAAGCGGTCACGTATTGTTGCCTTTTTCTAGGATGACAAGTAGGGAGCTGGGTAAAAGGGCATAGGGGAAGAGGTTTGGCGTTGCACTTGTTGTGGCTGACATAAGCACGCGCGAGGGCATACGCTTCCGTGAAGTGCCGAAAAATATGCCGCCGTGAGCTGGCGTCGACTTGATTATGAGCTAGATGAGGCCACCACTAAGAGACGGTTTCCTATCGTAGCAAAGATTCCTACAGGTGCGAAGCGGAAAAGCCAAACCGTCTTCTTCCTTGTCGCTGGACGCGAGAAATGTCTCAGTGACTGGCATTAATCCTGTTTGAGGAATAGGCTTGACCGCCGCGCTCAGTGAAGGTTTAGAGCGAGAGACTAGGTGAACCGAGGAAGGCCTTTGTGGTCCAGACGCGGCAGCTCATAAGACGACTTTTTGGCGCAGTCGGTCTGGCCGCCCGGTCTGGCCAACTGATCGAGTGCATCTATTCTGGCGCTAAAAACACCTACAAACTAGTATTATCACCGTCAAAAAGCCTTGAGGGCGACGCTTCAGGGGTTTGTAGTGGTTTATTGGCATAATTCTCCGAGGTACAGTCTGGGATGGCAACAGTGGTATCCGGTAAAGAGGATAGTTTAAACAAAGGGCACAGCTCTACGTCTGGACGCTTTTGAGACGTGGAATAAACAAAACGGAGTGAACAATGTGCCTATACTGAAAAGCCTTCCGAATAACACCAATGACTCGTGTTTGATTGGACAGACATGCAGCTCAGCAAAAGAGATGGCGTGGTACAGACCCCTCTCTTCTTACTCGCTGTTTGGCAGCTTCTCACTCTGTATGCGAACCCCTTTCTTCTGCCCGGTTGACACTTGTTGCGGACAAAATAAATGAAATATTTCGTCTACTCATTCATACTACTGCTTCTCTTTGCCCAACAGGGCGCGTCTTCACATATTCCGTTATACTCTTATCAAGTCCATACAGGTTGATGTCCGTGACTTGCGACCCACATACGACAAGACTTCCTGGCCCCGGAAACCTAGTCTGTACGGGGATGAGAGGCCGGTTGCGCTTGCTTTGCTACGCACATGCAAGATAATCTACCGAGAGCCTGCAAGTATATGGAAGCAACACCTTCTGTTTCGATAGCGCAGACGACGTGCACGGCTAGCTTGATCGGATAGGATGCCTCAAACACAAAAGACCCGAAATGTTGTTGGAGCTGTTGACAATGCGGGAGTTGGTTGGTATCGATTATTCGACAGACTTGTGCAGCTTCGGTATAGCAGCCGATTGGTCACCGTAGATCAGAAACCGGACGGCTTATCTCGATGAATGGTGATGGTGATAACCGATGAGCCGAAAGATACCAAGGGTATGCAGCGGCAGTACCCGAGGTTTGCAGAACCCAGCACCGAGATACCAACTGCAGCCCCCTGACTCTGTTGCGCAGAAGGTGGCTTGGAGGGTTCCGATTCAGACTAGCAGAAATGCGAACGGCTCGGACACGGTTAGCCTGCTTAGGTTCGTGAAAGAGCTGTTGCAGGGATTCGTGGCCTTGCATCACGTCTGTGCAAGTCTGTGCACTGGAGCAAGGAGCAGAATAACAGCGCAACACGCCGCAGGCTACGATTGTCCTTCGAATTCAATGGAATCAGACTGCGGCACCTAAGCCTTTTGACAAGCTCCAAGCTCGGCGGAATAGAAGTGGAGGCGGAACGTGGCATCAGCAGCGGCGTGATTGGTGTACACAAAAGCGCACGTAGTCCGAGAGCGGGCATTCTCCGCACTTGGCCCCGCACACCAGCAACCCCACAGACCCCTTCCCCAGATCGCCGCCCTGGCACCGCACGGCGGCATTTCTACGGCTGACCGCAGTCAATAATGTCGAACGCTTCACTGGCGTGCTAGCCGTTTATGTGCCGTGCCGTCGGAGGATACAGCTGGTGATGTTTTGTAGCCATGCGCCACGCTGCGTGTAGACAATGCCAATCGTCGGCATCACGGCCAGGACAAATGCCGGGCTCTGCCTGCCGGGCCTAGGTACAGCTGCGGAAAACGGCCGCCCGAGTCGCACGCTACTGCACCAGCGAAGCAAGCCCCGGGTCATGCCGCGGTCCAACTGCCGATGACCGTTGCGAAGCTTCCCCAGCCGTCGTGCATGTACTCTGTTCCCAAACAGTAGGCGCTGATCAGGCCCTCCACTGTGTACCTCGTCGAGCTCCATAGAGATGATCCCTCCGCTTTTGATAGCGCCCGCCCGCTCGTGGCTGGCCGCCGCCTCTTTCGCCCCCTCGCTCAGCCAATACACACGTCTTCCCGCCTGCGTAACGTCGTGCCGCGCGCCCCTCTGTCATCGGGGCCCTTCCGGATTCTGATCCTTGACCGGCCAGCCTCTTGAGCCACAATCCAATCACGCGGGGCCCCGGACTTCTCCATCTTCTTCCCCAACATGGACCTTGCGCTTAGCCGCGATACCGACTGCATATATCAAGGTCCGTTGCTCCCGCCATTCACGTCCATGGTATCCCAAGCTGTACGCTGGCGCACTTTGTTGTTTGCTGGTTGTGCCCAGTACCACGCCCCGTCAGACAGACACGTTCAGAGCCTTAATTCGATCCAATCGCATTCCTGAACGCCACCGTTCTAAGGAAACGAGAAATTGTCGGTCGCGAAGCGCGTCTCTCACTTCTTTTGAGCGCAATTGGCAACCATCAGAGCGCCATCGGTTCAAGCGAATACTGCGCCCATATTTCTCTCACAAAGGCGTCCAGGCCTGGGAGACGCTACAATTCTGCCCATCATGGAGATCAACCAGACGGAAAAAGTACGCCAGCTTGCTACACTTGCTCGAGCCAACAGCTAACGGCGTTTCAGGAACTTCACGAGATTGAGGAGGAGCTCCACATCGAGATTTTACCAGGAACGGAGATCATGCGGGATATCGGTTCGCACCATTTCGTCAAGTCGGGCGACACCACACACCGCGTGCTAGTACCGCAGCCTACGGACGACAAACATGACCCCCTCAACTGGTCTAGGTGGTGGAAAACCTCGGCCATCAGTGTCACGACCTACATCACCTTTATCCAGGGTTTCGGCCCCCTCGCCCTGGCGCCGCAGTTCGAATACTACATGGAGGACTTCCATTGCAGCTTGGCCGACGCGATCCAATTCACCGGCGTGTGCATTCTTGTCCTGGGATTCAGCAACTTCATCTGGTGAGCCTTTCTGGCCGTCCTTGGTGTTGAACAAAGGCTGACAAGAACACTGCGTCCAGGGTTCCCATCAGCACTTCCTTCGGCCGCCGCCCAGTACTCTTCTTCTCTACGCTCATCTGCTTCGCCTCGGCCATCTGGCGCGCTGAGGCCAAAAGCTACAGCAGCTTCATGGGCGCATGTGTGGTCAACGGTATCGGCGCTGGCCCAGCTGAAACAATGCAGCCCGCCATCATCGCCGACATCTTCTTCCTACACGACCGCGGAAAGTGGAACACCATGTATTGGGTCGCGTACATGGGGTCGCTGATGTGAGCCGACAGCCTCTTCTCTCCCCGCCCAGACCTTGAAAGCTGACACGTCTTTTTCAGGGTTGGCCCCATCATTTCCGGCTCCATGGCACTCCATGCCGGCTGGCGCAGCTTCTGGTGGCTCAATGCGGGCATCCTCGGGCTCGGATGCATACTGGTCGCCTTCCTCTACCCGGAAACCAAGTACCCCCGGCCGCACGAGCTGAACGCGCACACGACCGCGCCCAAGACCCTCTCCGCCACCCCCTCCGAAGAGAAGACCAACGCCACAGCCATCGAGTTCGTCAACGACAACACCAGCACCAACAACATCGCCCACATCCCCACCCAAAACACCGCCGCACCCCGCGACCTCGAAGCCACGCCGACCGCCCAACGCGACCCCTGGCTCAACCACGGCACGCCCTCGAAATCGCAATGGGCCCTGTACCAGCGCAACGCGCACCCGTGGCGCAGCATCGCGCTCTCGCTGTGGACGCCGTGGAAGCTCTTCGCCTTCCCCATCGTCGAGTTCGCCTCCTTCGTCGTCTCGTGGTCGTGCTCCTCCTTCCTCACCATCAACCTGACGCAGGCCCAAAACTTCGCCGCGCCCCCGTACCAGTTCTCGTCCGAGGTCATCGGCTTCATGAACTTCGCCATCCTCGTCGGCGCCTTCGTGGGGCTCGCCACCGCCGGCCCGCTGAGCGACTGGGTCGCTGCGAAGCTGACGGCGCGGAATGGCGGGATTAGGGAGCCCGAGATGCGTCTGCCTGCTATGCTGCCGTATGTGTTGGTTATGATATTGGGGAATGTGTGCGTCGCGGTCGGGTACGATGAGAAGTGGCATTGGGCGCCGATTGTTGTGGTGGGGTATGCGTGTGCGGGCATCCAGGTTGCTGCGCTGCCCGCCATTGCGAGCACCTATGCGGTGGACAGCTACAAGCCGGTGGCGGGGAGTCTGTTTGTGAGTATCACCGTGAATAAGAACTTGTGGGGGTACGGGTTTAGTAAGTTTATTACGCCGTGGAGTGAGGAGGCTGGGTATGTGTTTCTTCCGGAGTTTCTTGTGTGTGAGTGTGTGGTTTCTGACGACTTGATAGGTTCATCCCGCCGATCATGACGAACATGGCTTTGGTCACGTTCTTCTCGGCTTGTGGTATCGTCTTTTACTTTTATGGAAAGACGGTGCGGAGGTGGAGCAAGAACAGCAATGTGCATAAGATGGAGTAGGCAATGGTTAATGTGGTATGGTGTTACGAATCGTGGTGTTGTGCAATTAGCACTTGCGATGTCAAGACTGCGTTGACTTATGCAATAACCAATGTATACGAACGTGTAAGACAATATAAGGCCTTTAGCCAGCACTGAAAACAAGTGCGGCGTCGTACCTTTTTTCAAGTGCGATAAAACGCATTGAGACCACATGCTCCAACGTCTCAAGCATTGTTCATGTGGGCAAGAAACAGTTACTACAACCGAACCTTTTCGCGAGCTGTGCAGCAGCTCCTCATAAGAATGAACCTGAGGCCACGAACAATCAGTCTACAAGGCAGTCGAGCTGGCCAACTATCGCGCGGAGGAACCTTGGCAGTAATCTGCCCTGAGGTAGTCGCATGGGATAGACATTGTCGAGCTGACCGCAAGACTCACGGAAATGAACACTCCGTCTTTTTCCTTTTTTTTTGTTTCAAGCAACAGTGTAAACTGCGGTCAGCGCAAATGCTGGCATACGGAAGGCGTTGATTCGTTCATAGAGCAAAGAGCTCAACAGTATAATCTTCGCTAATAAATACTGAAGATGGCCGCAAGAAGCTTGGATACGTGGAGGGTCACAGGAACAGCACTGTGTCAGGTAGAACTTTTCAGAAATCCGATTTTTATAGCCCGTTATGATTGACTCGGGCTGTGTGTCATGTGTGACACCTTCATGGACTTTTGCAGGCTGACTATCCTTCGCTACCTGCTTTATGAAGATGTAATCAACCTTGCCCGCATAAGAATTCCTGGGCTCATTTTCACCTCACCAAAGAATCCAAAGCCCAAGTGATGGCCCATACGCTGTGGTTCACTTAGAACTCTTCTTGGAAGAGATGGCGCCCGCCTGGCTCTTCAGCTCATCCACCGTCCTCTTGCGCCTGGGCCACAGTCCACGATGCTTGAACCCATTCACGACGGACGAGCCATGCCAAAGCGCATTGTACTGCTCCGCAACCTCGACCCAGGTCATACCGCGCCACTCCATCTTGTCCTCCATTTCGTCCACGACCTTGTCTTCGTCCTCGTCTCCGACAAAGAAGGCCGCGACCTCCTCCGGATTCTTGCGAACCATCGTAATCAGCAAGCGCTCCAAGGGCAACAGCGGACTCAATCTTCCGCCATTGTCCAATGCCACGGAAGGCAGCTTGTCGTCAACGCCCTTCGGCATGGGCATTCCCACAATCTCCATCAGCGCCTTGCGCTCGCCATCGCTGTAGCCATCATCGAACTCGACGCCCTTGCCCACCAGGAAATCCACAACCCAGCGGTTGTACTTGCGCACCGCGCCGCCGTCGCTCCAGTCGATGTCGACGCCGTCGCGCAGGTCCGGGTGGACCAGCTTCTTGACCCTGCCAGCGGCGATCACGTCCTTCGGGATGCGACATCCGCCGCCCTCGCCCGCCTCCACGCGGTCGCGCATGAGGCTCTGCGCCATGGTCGTGATGTCCACTGGCGTCGCGGCGTCCGGGTCGCACGTCTCCTGCAGCCAGACCTTGAACGCGATGTCGGCGAGCGCGGAGCGATTGGCGCTGGAATTGCCATTCTTCTTCATCGTCATCTTGCGCTCCTCGCCGTTGGAGGAGCCGGTAGCGGTGCTGGCGGCCGTGTCGCTGACGTACTCGTACTCGTCGCTGTCCAGGCCGTCCAAGCCGATGTCCTGGCATTCGCGGGCCTTGCTGCGCGCAACGAGGTACGCGTGGTGGCCGGACGCGCGCATCTTGTCGAGGTGGCTGCGGTCGAGGTCGTCGACGTAGTAGAGGACGAGCTGCGCGTGCTGGTCGTGGACTGCGACGTGAACGTCGTCGTCGACGTCCTCATCGCTGCTGGTAGCCGGTTTGGCGCCGCCACGGCCGCTGTAGTTGCCGTAGTCGTCGAGCTTCGGCAGAGAGGTGCGGACGTGCTGGTAGCGCGCGCCGCGCACGAAGATGGGCACCGGGTGGAGGAGAGCGAAGCCGTTGGCGCCGCGGACTTCGTGCTGGTGCAGCTCCGGCTGGCCGAGGGCATCGAGGGCGCTCTTGGCGTTGGGGTCGCGGGCGGGCGCGGCGGGGTTGTTGAAGCGGGCGTTGCGCTCGTCTTGCAGGATGGCCGTCGCGATGCGGTTGAGGCGCTGGCGCTCGCCAGAGTGCCAGAGGGTGAGCACCTCGATGGTCCGGTCCGGGAAGGACCACTTGAAGAACTCCGGCACAGGCGTGGGCGGGTGAGGCAGGTTCATGATGATTGCGCCGAGGTCGGATTTGTTAGCGATCCGAGGAACCCAAGGGCCCGCGTTAGCGAATGGCGTCGTGGTGATGCTATGCGTGGGGGTGGTAAGAAGGTTGTGAAAGAAGTCTTCTTTCTCGACTCTCTGCCGTCTGAGACTGATCATCGCTCTCTTGGGGTTGTGAGCGTAGTAGATGAGCTTGAACTTTCCTTGGATGGCGTCGGAGGCTTGGTGCTTGATGAGAACGAGGTCTTCGGCGGTGATCTTGTCGCGTCCGTCGTCACTGTTGGTGTTCATGACCTCACTGGTGTTGGCGGTGATCGCACCGCGTCCGTCCTCACTGTTGGTATCCAGGGCCTCACCAGCGCTGGTGCTGTGGTTGCCCGACATGACTTTGTTTGTCGTGAAGGTTGCGGGTGGTGTGAGGTGGATGTGGATGTGGAGGTTGAGAGGATGGTGAAGGAGGGCGGGCGGCAGAAGGTTTTAAGGGCTGGAGCTGGAAGAGATGCACGCGCCAATCGTGCTACTAATTAGGAAGGGAAGGCACCCTGCCTACCTAGTCACATATTAGCATGCGCCTTCCTTAGTTGTTAGAAACCGGGGCTTGTGTTAAGGTGAGGCGCGGTGCCTCCGCGAGAGTCACAGCTGCACTTCACCTCCGGCCGTCGTAGAGCTGACACGCCGCACACAAAGCGCAGTGCTCACTGAAAGCTCTAGAATTCTTTACTCTGGAGTTGAAGACAGCCGTCAAGGTTCAGCCTGTGCGTGACACAACAGCTGGAGTCAATGTCGGATATCTTCCATTTTCTCAAGTGTTCAAGCTTCACTATCGAAGTAGTCTATGAACAATACCCCGATCCACCTATCATCCTTGCGAACAAGTACTGGAGAGTCGTCGTTACTGGGAGTGCATGCAAGTTTAACAGTAAAACCCCAGAGAGCCATGAAGCAAGTCATCTTTTACGCTCAGCAATCTCAAGCCCTGCGCTGTCATTAAACCCCCCCCATCAAGCCTCTCAGCTGCTCTAAGAGTTCAGAGCTAGTGATAGAAGCCCGTGTCATTGCCAATGTGGTCATCGCTATTGTCGTGAACGTCGTGCTGGTTGCGCATCCTGGGCATTTTGTGCGGCTCGCGCATCTTCTGGCCATCACTTACCACCCCACCATCGTCGTTTTGCTCGCTGTCAACGCTGCGCTGATCACACTTCTCGCCTTCCTTCTGGCCGTCATCCATGTCACTAACCTCGTGCTGATCGCGCTCCTCGTGTGCCTTCAGGCCATCCTTTTCCTTGTTGCCAACCTCGTCGACAACATCGTCCTGGTCGCCCTTGTCACGCACCTTTCGGCCGTCACCTCCTTTTACACTGCTACCATCTTCTTCGCCTTCCACGTTGCGCTGGTTGCGCTTCTCGGCTCCCTTCCGGCCATCCTCTCCGTCGTCGCCAATCTCAGTGCCAACATCATGCTGGTCACGCTCCTCATGCACGATCCGACCACTATCGCCGCCCTCCTCATCATCATCACCATCACGCCGTTGCCGCTTCTCGCCCGCCTGCCATCCAGCCCTACCATCAACATCGCGCTGGTCCTCTCCATCCCCACCAACGCCACCATCCTCGCCAGCATCCTCCTCCACCCCTCCCTTCCCCTTAATCTCATACACCTTCTTCCTCTTCAACCCCTCGCGATACACCTCATTCGCCAACGCGCCCTCCGTCCGCCGCGGCCTCCTCCCCTTGACGCCAGGCACCTCCCTGCCGCCCCAATACGCGTTGAAGCGCCGCGCCAGCTCGGCCATCGGACACCGCGGCCGGCACTCGAACAGCCGCCGCATCCACTCCCGCTCCGCCTGCAGATACGGCACCAGCGCCGCGCGGCGCCGGCCGCGGGCCGCCGCTTCCCCCGCCCCGTGCGTCGTCAGGAAGTGCGCTACCCAGCTCTCGAGAAGGCGCATGTGCGGGGTGGATGTGAAGTCGATGTCGGCGGGAGGGGTCGACTGGCTGGCGTCGGGGTACGTCGCCGTTTGGATGCGGGGCGTGGCGCCGGCGGCGTTGGAGACGTAGTGCAGCGTGCATTGCGCGGCTTGGTCGAGGCGCTGCGAGTCGCGCGAGATGAGGTGCCGGCCTTCGGGGACGAAGCGTGGCCGCCGGTGGAGGAGCATGAAGCCGTTGTTGCCTGGGGGACGGACGGGGGTGGTCAGCGGACGAAATTGAAAGGGCGGACGGGCGGAATGCTTGGGGGGCGCGAGGGTGGAAGTTACTTACCGGTGATGGGGATCTCGTCGTCGGTGTAGTGCTCGTGGCCTGGGAAGTGCAGGGCGCCGTACTCGGGGCTCGGCTTGACCTTTGCCCAGCTCTTCGGCGCGTGTGAGCTGGTGGGGGCGCGCGGCGGAGGGGGGAGGAAGTTGGCCCTTTGGGTGCTCATGGCCTCGCTGTTGTCGTGAGTCGTGTCCTCGGGCTTGTTTGCGGTCGAGCTCTTGTTTGTGGAAGGCTGGTCCGCGAGGAGGGTATGTGAGCTGACGGCGTTGTGGACGAGGTCACCTTCTTGACCGGCGTATGAAGCGCGGAGAAGCCTGTTGTGCAGCTCCTCGCGGAACATGTCGAACACGGGCTGATCGTCCTGCGGAAGACCCATGACGTCGTAGAGTATCTGGATGTCAGCGGCCCGCTGTTTCGGCTGGGACTCCGAATCGGGAGTGGGCGACGCGTCGGCCGCGTCGGCATTGGTCGTGTTGGCGTTCTGGCTGGTCATGGTATTGGTGTAAGAGATAAGTTTGGTCGTGACGAAAGCTAGTGAGGTGTTGGCTTGTATTAGGCTGCAGCAAAAATGGCTGGGTGCAGTAAGGTAGCCGCGTGTGTGGTGAGGTGGAGGTTTGGAGGAAGAGGCGGAGGGAGATGGGTGGTCACTTCGACACAGCGCTTGGGCCAGCATGAGATGAAGCATCTGACTGCAGAGATAGCCTCACCAGAGCTGATACTTGCTTGCCACGCTTCGCCGGGGTTCTTCCGAGCTCAGTTGCTCGCAAGCTTCCGTGGACGCCTGGCTACTGACGTATGGCTTCTGACGCCTCGCCGCACGCATACGCAGACCAGTCGTATCTCGCACAGCTCCAATATTGATAAAAGTGTAGCAATTCATTCTTGGGTATCCGATCCATCTCTGCGGACCAAGCCTGGGCTACATAAATATGACTGTTGAATAGAAATATCGAACGCATGCTGTCATGCGTCAAGTAACCGGCCACCTCCACCGAGTCATCCTCAAGAAGGCCAATATGTACGACCCAAGCAGAATCTGTAGTAATCGACTCTGTCCATCGAAACGCTTCCTCAAACACTGATCTGATCATCAACGCCAAATAGTACAAAACGAAGGTCCAAAAACAAACAACTTTTAGCAAAGAAACAAATGAAGCATGAGAAGCAACGGACCCGGCCCGTTCGAGAAAAAGGTAAAACAGAATAGAAAACAAAGAACAAAGAAATTTTGGCAAAAAACAATGCAGCTTCAGTGACGGAGAAGACTGAGGCGAAGTCGTTAAGACAAAAGAGTCCGAAGCAACGTCCAGAAGATGAAAAAGCCCGGAACGAAGTCTTGGAATGATGCCGGCGTTCCGGAGATCAGAAAGCTTGAAGTGAACTTTTGAAGTGTTGCTGACGTCCCGGAGTCATGCTGAGCAAAACGAAAAGCTGTTTCGGAAACGGAAAAGACCGATGGCGACGTCCCCAAGACGAACAAAGCTCGTAACAAATCCCCAAAGCAATGCTGACGTTCCGGAGATGAGAAAACTTCCAAAGTGGTGCCGACATCCCGGAGACGGGAAAAAGTCCAAAGTGTTGCTGACGTCCGAGAAATCAGAAAGAAATCCCCCTCTCTCTCTCCACACGCGTCGCGTCTCACGTATCCCCCCCTACCTCCTCGCCCTCAAACTCGCCGGATACAATCCACTCCGATGAATCTCGCTCTCCAACGAATGCGGCGTCCGCACGGGCCTCACGCGGCCCTCCTGCCGCTCTCCGGGCCCAACCCTCGTGCCCGCCCAGCGCGCGTTGAACATCCTCGCCTGCTCCTCGCGCGTCGGCACCGGCGTGCCGCACTCGCGTAGCTCGCGCGCCATCCGCTCGCCCAGGTCGCGCAGCCACCGCCGCTCCTCGCCCGTGAACCACGTCACGTCCGGGCGCAGCGACGCGGCGCCGTGCCGCTTCAGCACCTGGCACGTCCACCGGTTGAGGCGCGCGATGTCGGCGGGAGAGGTCCAGTCGATGGAGGGGGTGCTGGTGGTGCCGGTGGCGGCGTCGCGGCGCGGGCGTGGCGTGTAGGTGTGGGTTTGGCGGACGCCGGGCTGCGTGTTGTCCGTGTAGTGCAGGGTGAGGTGTTGGGATTGGTCGCGGCCGCGCGTGAAGCGGTGTTGCGGGTGGAGGAGGGTGAAGCCGTTGCGGCCGACGACGGGGTCGGCGAGGGTGCGGAGGGCGTTGGCGGCGGGGGTGGGGGGAGCGGGGAGACTGGTGGTGGTGGTGTTGGCGGTGCTGGTGCTGCCGCTCGTGCTGCCGTTGTTGTTGGCGCTGGCGCTGGCGCTGGCGGAGGGGAGGGTGGAGGCGGTGTTGCTGCCGCCGTTTCTCGAGGTGGTGGAGGGAACTGTGGCAGTGTTGCTGCTGCCGATGGTGTTGTTGTTGTTGCTGGCCGTGATGGCCGCGTTGTTGGCGGAGGAGGAGGAGGCCGCGGCGGTGTTGGACGAGCTGGCCTTGGTGCGGCGGCTGCTGCGGCGGAGGACGCGGGGAGAGGTGGCGGCGGCGACGGCAGCGGTCGTGGACGATGAGGCGTTGGAGTTGGGCAACTCCGCGGCCTCGATCTCGTCCCTCATGGCGCTGGCCGCAAGGCGGCGCTCGGCAATGCGCCTGCTGGCCCTGGTGGGCACGCTCGGTGGCTGTGGCTGCGGCTGCGGCTGCGGCTGCGGCGGCGGAGGAGGAGGAGGGCGAGCAGCGTTGTTGTCGTCGTTGTTGTCGGCGATCGGCCCATGGGAGGGAGGACCAGACACGCCAGCCGGGTCCCGCCGCAGCATGGCGGCCCAGTCCTCATCCCATTGACCGTCGTCGACGGCCTTGAACGGGTCGAATACGCCCTTGTTGCCCGCGTTTTCGTGGGTCTTTGTGGCCCAGCGGACGGCCCGCAACAGCGCCTCCGTAGCCTTGCCCAAGGGCTGCGGTTTGGCCGGCTTCGTGACCCTACCAGGGCCTGTGAATGATGAGTCAGCTTGTACTTCTGCAGCCATGGGTAGTGATCTTACCACCAGGGCGCCTGGCAGGGCCCGAGCCGCCGCGAGGACGGACAGCGGCACGGCGGGCGGCAGCGCGAGGAGGAGAAGGGGGCTGGTCCTCGACAGGACCAGCGCTGCGGAGAACCCTCCGGCTTGTCATTGTTGTTGTTGTTGTTGGCGTTGGTGTTGGTGTTGTTGGTGGTGGTGTTGCGGGTTGGTTGGTAGAGTTCGAGGAGTTGGAGTCTGGTGTGTACAGGACTGGGAATGCGAGGAAGTTTTGGTCGCGCTCTAGGCGCTAGCGGGCTATTGTGGTGAACACCATTGTGGCCTGTATCATTGTAGCTATTGTGTTTGACCAAGTGTTTCATATGTTTGCTGCCTAATTTCACCTGCAAGTCACTAAATGGAAGCTCTCAGAAGCTTCGCTGCCCCGGTGGAGACTGAGGTGAGCATGTCGATTACTACCTTACATCTCATGCATCACATTGAGTTCTAATGTGATCTGAACTACTTCAATGAGCAGTAGGAGCGGATATCTAGCCTCCCATATCCCATCCGCTACTTTATCTATTATGCCAGGCATCCCAGGTCCCGAATTTCAGTCATGAGCCGCAGGCCACGCAGATCCCACCCGCCTCCAAGACCATACATCTCCATGCTGGACCTCGCAGGGTCCAGTCTTTTCTCTGATGCACCGAGCCTCCCAGATCCCGTGTGCTCTCTCACTATCTACGCGTGTGCGAATGAGCCTGCAAATCCAATCCCATACACCTAACTCGCTCTCTCCAGAGTGACGCCAATTAAACCATGTCCGAGATCGCTTCCGCATCGCGTTGGGTGAACGCATTCCGAAACCATCCCATCTCCCATATCCCTTCGAAGTAATCCGGGGCGTCTCGCCGCTGCCGCAAAGGCAGTCAGCAGCCCCTACCTACTCCCCGCCCGCTCACCCATCCCCGCGGCGCGTCCCCTACCGCTTCTTCATCTTTCCTTTCCCCTTCCCCTTCCCCTTGTGCTGTGTTGTCTCAGTTGTCCCAGTGTCATTGCGCCGCGCTGCGGTGCGGGTGGCGGTAGCGGCGCGAGTCGTAGTAGCACGCGCGGAGCGGCCCGCCGTCGCGGCTCGTGCGGATTCGGTGGTAGCGGCGGGAGCGTCCGCGGCCCTGAAGTCGATCGCTCTGTGGGGCTTCGTGGACACGGCGCGTTGGGTGCGTCGATTCGCGGGCTCGTTGACCGTCTGGTCGTCGCGCGGGCGGTCGGTGGTGGTGGCGGCGGCAGCGGCGGCGGCGGCGGCGGCCTTGGATTGCGAGCGGGTGACGCGGCGCCTGTCTTGCGGCGTGGCAGTGCTCGGTGGGCTAGCTGGGTTAGTGGGTTTTGCGTTGGTGGTGGCGGAGAGACTGCTCGTGGCGGCGGCGCGGGCCTTGGGCATGGCGCCGCGGCGGGGTTGCGTCGCGAGGTCTCGGACGGCGGGTGGCTCGTCGCGGTTGCTGGCTGGCGCGGCAGTCGAGGAAGACCCAGCCTGGATCTTCGCGCCGGTGGTGGCGGGGAGAGAGTCCGCTGTCTTGCGGGCTGCTCCGGCGGCGCGGGACTTGGGCGCAGCGCGACGGCGGGTACGCTTCGCAATCTCTTCGACCGCGGCCGGCTCGCCTCGCGCGGGGCCAATGGCTTCAACTGAAACGGCACCGGCAGCGGCCTTGCTCTGGGAGCGTGTGACGCGCTTGCTGACTGACTGCGTCTCAGTGTTCTTCGATCCCGCCGCATCTTTTGCGCCGGTGACTGGCTCAGTGGCCTTGGTGCCCTGGGACTTGGGCGCAGCGCGGTGACTCTTCTCTGCGGGCGGGCTATCGAGTGCGAAAGCTCCTGACTCGGTGGTGCGAGCAGCGGTAGCGGCGGCGGGTGCGTCCGCAGCTTGCGTTGAGAACTGCGAAGTGACTGGGACATGGCTGCCAGCGGACTTGCCGGCTTGGGCCCTCAGCGCAGCGCGACGACGCTTCTTTTCCAGCTTCTCGGCGGATTTGCGGGCGGATCTAGAAGCGTCGGACTCATCGATTGGCTCGGAAAAGGTGGCGGCGGGGGTGTCCTCGGTTTGCGTTGAGGTCTGAGTGACTGGCAGCTGACTACCAGTGGGCTTGCTGGCCTGTGACTTCGGCGTAGCGAAGCGGCGACGCTTCGCCGGCTGCTCGTCGGCCTCTCTGCCCTCTCCGCCGTCAGTGGCAAGCGCCTCTGAAGCGTCGCGCTTGGAGCCGCGGAGTTGCGTGGGCGGCTCCTCGGTCGAGGAAGATCCAGCAGTGACCTCTGCATCACTCTCCTCCGGCATTGCGGAGACCTGGACGCTCTCCGGCGCAGCACTTTCAGGACCCAGAATTTCCTCCATGCGTGCAGCGAAATAAACCATCCGTGCCTCACTTATTGGTTCCCTAGTCCGATACCTTCTGTCGCTGCGGAACCTCTCGATTTTCTCCTGCCTCTTATTCGACGTCATATCGGAATGACTAGCATTTCTTGCCTCTGATCTGTCGTGCCGACCTTGCCTCTTGATAGCCGCAAGCCTGGAGTGCTTCTTGAGCTTCGCCGGGTTGAATTCGCGTCTCTTTGTGGTCTGGTTCTGTTCGACCCCTTCGGTCTGGTTGACACTGTCCCCCTCAGCCTGGTTAGCAGGCTTTGTGTTAGCCTGTGCCTCGGGGCCATCGACGCGAAGACGCTTCGCCTGCTGGCCGTCAGCATTGTCGTCAGCGCCAGCCATTTCCTCGGCCGCCCGCTTGTAGCTGGGCTTGTTGTCCGGAACATTGAGCAGCTTCTCGGGCGTGGCGCTAGTCAAATCGTTGTTTTCGGGGCCTCCGACCGGTTCCTCGCTCCTGTCCCACCGCTTTCGGAGGGGAGTAAGCTTAAACGGCTCCGTGTGCCTGTGCTTCGGAATCCTTTCCATGAACGTGGCCTGTTCCTACATGTTAACACTGCTCTTGAGCACATATAGGGGTTGTGGACTTACCTTGTTCTTATGCCACTCAAGTGCCCGAAAACACTTACGGTTCCGGTGCGCCACATTGCGTGACCAGTCCGTGGGAAGCCCGCTCTGAGGGGCTTTCTTCGGTGCATCGGGCATATACCTCGAGAAGATGACACGGGGTGACTTGTAAAACCTTCCATGCGTCTCTAAGCAGGCAGCTTCCATGCTGCTTCTTCTCAGCCAATTACCTGCCTCCCCCCTCGACATGTCGGGCCCATGGTAGGTAAGGTTTGGGGAGCGACCTTGAAGGGATCCGGAAGAGCTCATGATGAATTTCGCTGTCGCACTGTTAACATCTGATGGCTACAAGACAGATGAGGGGTTGTCTAAGGACTTACTAATACTCGATTCTGTGGATGACAAGTTGGTAGACGGTGGGTTGATGTTCATGAAATGAACACTGGAGATGTTCCGGAAGTCGCGATCGAAATGTTGTTGTCGCGAACAGAGTGGTCCAGTAAGAAGAGTGACGGGTGTAGGGGTTGTGTCGTCGACAGAGTGAAGTGGAGTGTAGAATGGCTGGAGGGCAAGGTAGGAGGAAAAGTGGGTCTACAGAACTACGACTGAACAACGCGAATGACGCGCCTAACACTGGAACAGAGCCGACTGTAGAGCTGGCCAATGAGGGCACAGCCACTTCTGATGACCTTGTTTTTACGTCTGACTAGCTACGATTGTGTGCGTACAGCTTTTTAGGACTTCCTCTCCGACGCCATTCGGGATGCAAATGCGAGCTATATATTGTATTGTAGCACACGAATATGGCTTAGCATGGGACTGGAAGGTAGATTCAGCGCTTAGACCACCTTGTAGAACGTACAAAAGTAAATGGCCAGAACAGAGGCCAGCTTTCGTAGGTCGTCAAGGAAAAGCGCCAAAAGAATAGCAGGTTCAGGGCTCCCGGTCGTTTGGTAATACGAAATGGAAGAAATCACTGTTTTACAAACAGACCGTGCTGGCGAGCATGTAACTCTGCTTTCTTGTTTCGCAGGTCAGGGAAGAAGGACTTGTTCCACCCCCTTTAGCAACCGAACCACACAGTGTTGCCGGAAAGCTAAGAGAATTTCACAATCTGAGTTTGATTAAGCTAGCAAATGTATAGATAATTAGGACCAGCATCCCTCGATACTGCAGCAAAAGAAGACAAAACAAGGCCAAGAGGGCCCAATGGAAGCCAAAGCAAGCAAAACCCCCTCAAGACACAATTAAACCATGTCCGCTAGACCTCGGCATGTACTGCGCTGGAAGCGTAACCCCGCCTCGCAGCTATTCATCCCAGCATCCATCCTCTGTCTACTCCTCGCCCTCAAGCCACTCGACCATCGCCTACTCAAGGCCCTCGACAGCCCCTCCTTCGCCTTCGCCTTCGCCTTCGTCTTCGCCTTCCCCTTCGCCTTCCCCTTCGCCCTCGCCCTCCTCCTCCTCTCCTTCTCCCTCGCCCTCGCCCTCGCCCTCATCCTCTCCATCTTCCTCTCCCTCCTCCCCCTCCCCCGCCCCTCTCCCACCACCACCACCACCACCACCCCGCTCCCTCTCCACCCTCCTCCGATGACTCCGATTCCCCACCGTAATCTCATCCCACAACCCGTACTTGCGCGCCGCCGTCTCCACCGCCCGCTCGCTCCGCGCCTGCCGCGGCATCGACAGGAACTCCCGCCCCGGCTTGCCCATCAGCACCTGCCTGTCGACCCAGTACTCGTTGAACTCGCGCACGAGCTCGCGGTTCGAGGGGCGGGGCAGCCTGCTGGCCGCGTGCCGGCGCGCTTGGTCGCGGAGCCAGGTTTTCTCGGCCGTGGTCCAGGACGTGATGGCTGAGCCGTGGTTGGGGCGGCGGTGGGGCGGGAGGAGAGGGTTGCTGATGTGTTTGGGGTTGCCGGTGGCGGCGGCGGTGGTGGCGGTCGTGTTGTTGTTGGGGGCGGGTGGGGTGGGAGTGGGGGTGTGGTCGTGGATGTGCTGCTGCTGCTGCTGCGGGATGGTGGGGGGTGCAGGCGCGGGCGCGGGCATAGGCGCGGGCATAGGCGCGGGGATAGGCGCTGGCATAGGCGCGGGCGCGGGCGGGGGGAGAGGCATGCCCATGGGCATGGGCATGGGCGTAGGCATGGGCGGCGGCGCTGCAGGGCGGTGACCGATGCCGACCGTGGGGGCGACGGGGGGCAGAGGCATGCCTGTCAGAACCGTGTGTAGGTTGTCGAGGAAGGTGGCCGTGGTGGCGAGTGAGACTTCGAAGTCTTCGGTCGCAAGCCCGAGGGACTTGGTCTTCTGGGCGATATCGTGGATGCTATTGAAGGTGGCCTCGATGTGTTCTGGATCCAGGCTAGGAGCCTGCGATGCGAGCTGATGATGGTGTACAGCGCTGGGCTGGTGTTGGTGTGCCGCGGGACCAAAGAATGACCCATTTTGAGGCGTGAAGTTGGCTGGCTGCGGATGGTAGGCCGTGTTGTTGTATGCCGTCTGCGTCAATGGGCCCACGATGTTGGTCAACTGAGGAATGTTCTCGGGACCGAGCTGACTGAATAGCGGAAATTGCGGCTGGCTCATCTCCAAAATTGTCGGACCCTGACAGATTGGGGAGTCTTCCCTAGCCTCTGGCGATTCTGCGCGTCGTTGTTCCTCTACGCGTGGCTGTACCTCTGCCCATGGCTGTACTTCTGCCCATGGCTGTACCTCAGTGCTCGGCTGTACCTCTGCCCATGGCTGCACCTCAGTGTTTGGCTGTACCTCTACCCATGGCTGTACCTCTGCGCTTGGCTGTGGCTCTGCGCTTGACTGCCCTTCTGCGCTTGGTTGTACGTTAGCAGGCTCCAAGACCCACACGCCGTACGTCGAGGGAGCAGCGGTTTGGACCTATTCAATTTCGTGTCAGTGAGCTTTGTCCTATGATCTATGGTGGTGCAAGTCTTACGTCGTCAGTCCTGAGCGGAGACGGCTGCATGCACAAGTCCCTATGCCTTCGGAAAGGAGTATACCCCTCTGCGTCTTCGCCGCGCACGTTGTGCGGGTTGCGAGGCATTTTGGAATGGTTGATGGAGGTCTGATTCTGCGCAAATAGTCTCAAGGTTGGTCGGACGAGACGGGGCGGTAGCTGCAATGCTACGTTGGTGTGTGGTAGAAGGAAGTGAGGCGGGTAGCAGAAAAGGCAGTGTGCAGAGCAAAAGCAGTGTGTGGTGCGATGGCGGCATTGCGCGCTCGCAGCCAATATTTGACCGTGCCGAATCGGTAACTGTAAGCTGCTGTTCAGGTGATCCGGAAGTCCTGCGCCGGTTGATAATTACTTAAGAGGGCTCATCGGCGTCCACTGGCGGAGATGTCTGAGACCAGTGACTTGCTGCATTAGAACGATGCGTGAGACGTCGCCTAGGATAACCGAGCTCATAACCACCAAGAACAAAACAAACCACTTAGAGCGCTATATCCCGTACGTGTAGCTTGCGGGCATGGAGGGCTACGCAATAACGGCGAAACTGGTTCGGCTAGGGGGGCTATCGTCCACCTACTTACCCACACATACCGCACATGGATTAAGAGGAAGGAAGTTTTATCTCGTGGTGCTCATCATCATTTATTCATAGTATCATGGCATTTCCTAATATTCGAGGAGTTCCTTGCAGGTTCATTTTACTTCCGGACTGGGCCTGCGATAAACAACTATATGCTTTCTCTTAATCTCGCTCTCATCTTTACCTCGACTCTAGTTCATCCTTGGCATGCCTATGCATCAGTCAAGAATTCTTTCAAAGACGATACCCAGCGCGAACGCGGTGTTGTGTCGCAGTCGACCATTTCCCGAGATAGCAGCTGTGATTGGTTGGTTTGTGTAGAGTCTCGCTAACCAGCCAATAATTTCACTCATTCGAGTGCCGTGAAAACCTATTAAACAACGAGCTATGAACATTACGTCTACGTTCATAAATTCTATCAAAACTGATTGATAAGGAAAGAACAAAGTCAATACGCATAAGGAAGCTGTAGTATATCTATCCGCTTGTCGATACGCTACAGAAGAGAAATATAATTAACGGCGCGGACGTTGGGCCTTGCAAAACACATACGCCGCCCATAAATCTTCTCATTAATCGAGCTCCGGTTACAGGAAGGCAAAAACTAGAAATAAAGAACAGCATGAAGGAAGCAGACATCTAATAGAAAGTTTGAACAATGCCGCTGTAAAACAAATGAATGAACAACAACGCGCTGGGCCGCCGACAGCCTTGTGCGATGGGTCTTCCAAGTCCCATTCGTCACTAACAGCCGCATCAATTTGATGCCAGTCTCGGTCCTCAGCTGCCTCCGGTAGAACAGAAATAGAACGTCAAGTCAAGAAACATCAAGCCAAGCGCCAACTGAGAACTCCGAACAACGCCCCCATGAAAAAGACAGAACAAAAAACTCGTCTGATTCCGCGCACAAAAAGTTCAATTGCAGTATTTTGGTATCTCTTCATTCGGAAGTGTTCGACACTTGCTACTACTATCTCATGTCTCTGCCGGCAATATGTCCTCCATGTCGCGGTAGCCACCAACCTTCAAGTCGGTCTTCAGGCCGTCATCGCGATCCTCCCATCAACAAGCCCTCGGGCCTTCACTCCTCCTCGTCCTCTTCCCCATCCTCCTCCTGCTCCTCCTGCTCCTCCTCCCCCTCCTCCTGCCGCTCCTCCCTCGCCCACCCAATCCTCTGCCTCGCCATCGCCGTATAAATCGCCTCAACCCCCCTATCCCTCCTCGGCGGCATCCTCACCCTCTCCCCCCTCGGCGTCACCCGCTCCAGCACCCTCCCCCTCCAGTGATCATTGAAATCCCCCACCAACACCTTCCTCCCCACCCCCTCCGGCCTCCCCGCTACATACGCCCTCAACCACTCGAACTCCTCCTCCGTCCACCGGCGATCCGCCATGTCGCCCCGCAGGCGCGGCGCGTCGCAGCTCCGCCGCAGCCACTGGTCCAGCCACGCGTTCAGCCGCCCCATCGTCCGCGCGTCGTGCCAGTCGAGCGTGTCGGCCGTCACGCCGGCTTTGCTGCTCGTCCACGTGTGCGTCTTGTGGACGCGGACGCCCCGGGAGTCGAGGATGGTGTAGTGCTGGGTTAGGTGGGCGCGCTGGTCGTGCCCGGTGACGAAGAGGTGCTGCGGGCCAGTTAGTTGGAAGCCGTTTTTGCCGGTGACGGCGTCGGCGCGGGTGCGGAGGTGGGGGGCGGCGGTGGTGGCAGCGGCGGTGGAGGTGGAGGTGGAGGCGGTGGGGACAGCCGACTGGGCGGTGGTGAGGGTGGCGTTGGCTGTGGTCGGGAGCGCGGCGGCCGGCTGGGCGGATGGAGCGGTGGTGTTGGCCACAGCTGAGGGGACAGCCGACTGGACTGTGGCGCTGTTCGTTGGAGTTGAGTTGGCAGCTTCTTCGCTGCCTGTGGTGGACGATTCTGCCTCCGTGGATGTGGCGGCCTTCTTGCCGCGAGCCCTTGTGCTGGTGGTCGTACCAGCAGGCTTACTGGTGGCAGCCCGGGTGCGCTTGGCCAGCGGCAACGATCCAGCCACGTTCTCTTCGTCCTTGGCTGAGCGCTTGCGCTTCTTTGCCGGTGCGCTGTCGTCGGTGCCAGTGCTAGTGGCGACCTCACCGCCAGCAGCCTTGTTGCTGCTGTTCTGGGGGTTGGTGGTAGTTTCGTCGCTCTGGTGCTGACGAATTTGGGCTGGCCGACTGCCGGCCGTGATGTCGGACCTGCTTGTGGTAGCAGCACGTGTCCGCTTGGCGACGGGGGCGTCATCGTCAAGAGTCTCCTCAGAGGCCTTCCTCTTCTTGTGGAGTACCTCGATCCTGGGCCTGTCCGAATTGAGCCTGTAGAGCCGCAGGATGATACCTGATGAGGGAGGCTTGGCCCTCAGCGAATCCATGAGCTCCTCGTCGATTGCAGCATGCGGTACACCAGCAGTCTGCGGCCGAGGTGCTGCTCCGGTGTCTTCAGCAGCCTCGTTCTCCTCTGGAGCGACCTGCTTGGGCGCATCCTTCTTGCTGACCTGCCCCGGGGTGGGTCTTACGGTGGACCGTTTGACGCCCGAGCTCAAGGGGCGGATATCGCGGCGAGGAGGCATGACTTCTCCCAAGGGCGGGAGGTTGCTGGCCTCCTGGAGGATTCTATATTTGCCCCTGGAGGTCTTCATGACGACGGAGCGCCTCACCATCGCGTCCCGGTGACGAACCTCGCGGCTGTCCTTGAACAGGAAGCTGCTCAACGGGTGGTTGCTGTAGTGTGTGGCGTGTGCGACCATCATGAGGTCAAGTTGGCAATCAAAGTCAATGCCCTACAAAGGGACCGTTAGTTTTGGCGGCGGCACGGTTTGGATCGAGTCCTTACCGCGTGGTTCATCGTCTTGAGGCATTGCTTCACATGGCGGTATCGAGCCTCGATGTCCGCAACGAACTTCGCCTCTTTCGTCTCGGCTTCCGACCGAGTGGGGGCAGACTTGCGCTGTTCTACGAGCTCGTCAGTACTATGGTACAGCTGATGTGGTGCGGGAGTAGGCTTACTGGTAACACCGGTGGGACGACCGGCAGGATGGGCGGCTGAGGTGGCTGTAGGGGAGCCACGGCTGGTGGAGTGGGCAGCGGGGCCACGGGGACGAAGGTTGGAGCTGGGAGCCATTGCGAAGGATGTTTGCGCTAGCGGAGATTAAAGCTAAAGATGGGTGGATCGTAAGATTTAATGCTGTGGAAGCTTTGGAAAGTGTAGTGTTGCTGGGCAAAGCGTGGCTTGTAGGGTGGACGTCGAGATGTTGTTGGAGGAGGGAGGGAGCGTACCGGGCGAGGCAAAGCATTTGTAGGTCAGCGCAGGCAGTGATGCAACGCGTCTGCACCCGCCGGTGACCGCAGCCGCGTGGTGGGTGACCACCGGCGCCGCGGTTTACTGTTTCGCGAGCCACTCAGTGTTCTGGCTGTGGTTGGACATCCGTTGACTTTACACCCGAAGCAGACGACGATTTCTAGAAGCTCCTGCTTCACTGCTCTGGAACAATTCTCCCAACCCTAGAGTAAGATCGCATTGGCTTTGGCATACGACTACCGAACATGCAAGATCTATATACGATGGAACCGAATAATCAATGATATATTGGACGTAGTAGCCTCATTGTAGGACTGCATGATTTTCCAGGAGTCTGAGCTATCATGACCAGCTCGCTCCATAATATTCAAAATCTATTCATCTGCACCGAACAAAGGAAGGGATAGAATCATTAAGCAAAGTTTACAGATAGCACTACTGTTTGTGGATTTGTGTTACCCAAACCAGGCAAACAATAGTCTGCCAAGCTTTGTTTATGTGCACACGTTATGGAAGGTATTAAAGACTAGCGGTTTTCGGCTCGTAGCTCTGAGAATACCAGTGGTGACTATAGCTGGAGATGTACTATACCTCTGTGGCTGATTGGGGCAGGCCCTGACGTAGGGGCTCCAGTTGGCATGGCTTCGTTTTACGCTCACAGGCATCTCGCGTTGTGTGTACTTCCATCTTCAACATTTCAGGTGGTTCCAAAGAGGTAAAACTTCTTTAGCAAATCAATGTTGCCTATTGTCTTCCTAGCAACTGTAAAGCTACAGCCGTGTTGTGATTCGGCCAAAGAACCACGAGAAGAAATAACCAAAACAGCCGTAAACACCCTCCATTCCTGTTTAGCCAAACGGCTTGTAAAGCCGCTAGAGAGAGGAGGAAGAATGCGGGGTGGTGTAGGGGCGCTTGGTGGAGCGCGATGTTACGACGCGCTGGTGGTGGGATAGGAAGGGCATCAGGGAAGCCGGCTTTGTGTCGTTCTAGATGTCGGCGTCGAAGAGGTCGAAGTCATCATCCGTGCTGAGGACGTCTTCGCCATCCGTGCTGAGGACGTCTTCGCCATCCGTGCTAAGGACGTCTTCGCCATCCGTGCTAAGGACGTCTTCGCCATCGCTAGAGGAATAGGCGCGGTCAAAGACGAACAGGTACATTAGCAATGTGACGGCCGATCGTGAGCTGATTACGTGTGCTTACGAGCATCGTCTGAGCCAAGGTCGGCATCAACACCCTCGGTAGACTTGACAGCTTCCTGACTGGCAATGAAGCGAGCCATGCTGCTTTGCGTCTGAGGCGGTAGCCATTGCATCATGTTGGCGTTGAACGAGACAGGGCGATGCCACTCATTGCCATTGCTGGGATCCAGAGCGTAATAGTTCAAGGAGAGATTGTCATCAGCGCTTGAATGGGTGGGGTAGCCAGCAGATGACGTCTTTGATCTGACGGCGAGCGTTGTCTTGTGAGGCGCCGTCTGAGTTGAGGCAGCAGCCTGGCTGGCAGAGTTGCCGGCCGTAGCAGTATGCTGGTCGTGAAGAGTGGCGGGAATTCCACCCTGTCCTCCCTCAGCGGCGGGGCCGTCGTCATGGTCATCCTTGCGCACTGTACTGAGCACGTCTTCGCCCATAACTCGGGACATCATCAGCTGGGCCGTGAGCATCTCAGCCTCGGTCGTGCGAAGAAGGTCCAAGGCTTGTGTCTTCAGAGTGTTCGCTTCCTCCAGAGAGCTGTGCGCAGGGAGAAAACCAACGCGTTGATAAGCCGAAACCACCATGTCGAGAGCTCTGCCCTCCTCTGGATTCGGCGGCACATGCGGCATGGGCCCAACGTTGCCAATTGAGTTGCGAATGTAGATATGCTTGTACAATCCAATGAACAGGAACGGACAGAAGTAGCTGCAAGGCCGGATCCTGCCGCTGCTGCCGGGCATGAAGAAGGTGAAGCTGTGGCTGTTGTTGCATGTAGCGTGGTGGACCATGAGACTGGTGAGAGCATCTGTACGTTCGCCGTCCTTGTAGACGATGGGAAGGTTGCGCTCGGTGTCCCAATTGGCCGCAATGGTGAAGCGACGGCTCTGGACGTCACCGAGGACATGTACGTACTGCTCCTCGAGCTCATCCATGATCGCTTTGATCTTGTGCCCTTGCTCCATGACGTCGGTGTCTTGGGCGCGACCGGGGAGGAGATGGTCGACAAAGACTGCTGTGAGACTGGTAAGCCACACGGGTTGCGATAGATCGAGGTGAGACTTACCGCTTTGAAAACCTGGTAGCACATCAAGCGCCGAGTTGGAGCTGGTTGTTGACATGGCGGCAGTGACAGTACAGAGTGTGTGGCTAGAGTGATGGCCTCGAAGCTGAAGAGCGTTATCGCGTAGGGCGGATGAACAACTCAGAAAGAGTGGGCGCGAGGCTGGACGGCGGGCGTTGACGATGGACGAGGGAAGAGGAACAAGCCAGCTTGGGCCAACAAAATTTGTATTGCGACTGCGCAAGTTGCAGCGCGATTCGCGTCACTTGATGCGCGGAAAAGGCACGGCGGGTGAAAGCACTGGCCATTGCGCATACTTCACTACCAGACTGCTCAACTGTCACGGATCACGCTTGCTGCCGGACTGAAAGCACAGAGAGAGCTATATTCGCATCCGTTCAGCCTTTGACTTAGTGCTTTGCGATCTTGAGAATCCCGCGTCTTTTATGTGCTTACTGATCACGTATGTCTCCTTCGGTTCTCTAAGCTCCAAGTATATATCAGAATCGACAGCTACGCATTCTGCCATCACCATGGATCAACGAACTGGACTGCGATCCGCTGTACAGTAAGAGACGATACATTGAGTCTCTCAAAAGCCGACACTATGTACTAGTAGCGTTCAACATTCGAGAATGGTTGCTGAAATCTAGATGGTTTACGACTCTATATATTGGAAGGGGAAAAGCCGAATGTTCGGTTTTGTCGAGTTTCTTTGCGATCCTAGAGTGTAGTGGCACTGACATCATTCCTTTTACGCTATTGCAAACTTCTACTCAAGTTGTCGGGCACATTTGATGGCAAAAGCGAGAATTGTGGTGTGAAGACGAACCCGGAATCAAGCCCCAAACCTCGCAGAAAAGACCCAACTACCTTCTGAAACCTGGAGAACTACTGCCTACTGAAAAGCAAAAGAAGAGGCTGAACCCCAAGTAGTCGCCGTCGCTCATCCAACCCAATTCCGTATTCTCAAACCGACTAAACCTCAGTCCCATAGTCCGCAATAAACTGCGCATCCCTGTCCTCCTTCAGCTGCTCCATCATCGCCTCAATCTCATGCAGCTCTCTGCGCCTCAAGGTGATCCACACATCATTTTCCGGCTCCGACCCTGGTGTCAGAAGCCCGATGCGCCTGCCAGCCCACCTCCGATTGTAGAGCGTCATCAGTGCCTGCGCGTCATTGTCGTAGCCCAGGTTCATCAAGTCCGCGATGCCCAGCTCCTCCGTCAATGTCCACACGTTGTGGATCTCCCTGGTGGACGCTGCCGCCAGGCGGTCGCGCTCGCGCTCGAAATCCGCGAAGTTGTTGGGAAGGAGGAGATGTTCGTTGCCGTCGTCGTCTTCGACCGGGAGGACATCGTCGCGCCTGCGATGTTTGCCCTTGTTCGGCTTGTGCTTCTCGACGGTGTGTGTTGCGCTGGTTGTGGGCTCCTCTTGCTCGACGGATGGTTCTGTTTTGATCTTTGGTTCTTTGGATTTGGGTTCCTCCTTGATCTTCGGCTGCTCCGTGGTTTTGGGTTTCACGTTGGTTTTCGGTTGCGCCTTGGGTTTCTGTACTTCCTTGGCCTTTGGTTCCTCCTTGACCTTTACTTCCTCCTTCACTTGCGGTTCTTTTTTGATGGTGTCCGGTTCGTTTTTGACCGGCAAATCCTCATCCTCCTTCACTTGCGGTTCTTTCTTGATAATCGTCCGGACCTTGATCAAGATACGTTCCTTGATTTTCTCTTTCTCCTTTCTAAATCGCTCTCTCAGCCGCCCTTTCGAGCCCTCGTCCTGTGTGTGCCGGTCGTCTGTATCGTGCTCCTTCTTCTTGACCGTCTTTGCCATCATGCACCTTGCTCGCGATGGGCCCGCCTCAACAGTATCGTGACGATGACCCGTTGACACCTTGCGCGAGTTAGCTAGTCTTCTTCAGAGGATTGTTCGTCATCGCCATCATTCCCCTCCTCGTCAGCACCCTCTTGGTATACGACAGTGGCATGTCGATTGTTACTTGACCTGAGAATCCACGACCTCGCTCCGCGGGTGTCTTGCTCACCGGTTTCGTCGCTGCTGGAGCGCGGGTCGAAGTCGAAGCCATTGGCGTTTCCTGCGTCGGCGTGGTGGGCTGCGGTGACGATCTCGCTGTTGCCAGCCGCCTGCGCATCGATGCCGGGACCTGCGGTGGTGGCGGCCGAGGTCGGGTCCACGCCAGGTCTGGCCGAGTGAGCGCGGCTGCACGACTCGCCTGGCGCGGGTTTGGGGAGACTCTCTGGCGACGTGACGTTGTCATTGTCGCGGCTTTGGGTGTTCGACGCTTCGTGGTCGTTGCCGTCGGCGGCGCTCCAGTGTTGCGTGGTGAGAGTGGAGTTGCTGGACGCCGGCGCGCGCGAGTTGATGGTGTAAGTTGAAGGGAGCTTGCCCGGGTTGCGATGGATGATTTTATGCACGCGCTCGCTGTAGGTGAGCGCAGGGTCCACGCGGTGCATGCCATATGTCGCGTGATCGTTCCGGGCGGTGGGAGTGTCACTTAAGACGGTTGTGGAAGGCAACCGAGTCAGCTCGGAGCGCTTGGTCGGCTGCGACTCCGAGGCGCATTTGGAAGGTGCAGTCTTGGTCATTGAATCAGTCTGGTTGGCCTCGTGCGCAGAGTCTTGCTTGTCAGCCAGGACAAGACCTTCCATCTTGTCGGAGAGTTTAGAAGCCTCGCCCTTTTGTTCGTCACTTCGCTCATCCGTACTGTACAGCTTGTGCGAGATCTTGAGGCCGTCCATGGGTTGCTTGGGTATGGAACCTCCATCGGAAGCGTGTTCGGGAGCTTCGTGCTGGCCTGAAAATGGGACAAGTGACTCTACAGTCACCCTACGCGCCTTGCGGATGGGTGTGACTTCGTCGGATGAGCTTGAAACTTCCTGAGTGCGACGGCGCTTTGAGGCGGAGGCACGCATGGTAGAGTATGGTGGAGTCCGGAGCTTCCTAGGAGTGCGGCGAGCTCTATCCGTGGCGGGCCTCTCTTCGTCACTGGTGTTGGCGGCTGAACGGTTGCGCTTGGAAGGAGTTGAAGCAGACTTGGAGTCGACGAGCATGTTGGTTCATGCGGAAGCTCTGTCCTGGCAGAAAATAGATTGTTTTGTGTGCTGCTTACCGCCTGGTCGCAAATTGGGGGGAAATCTTCGAGTCTCACCCTCACTGTTGAACTCAGGATCGCTAATCGCACGTGAAACCATTTCGGCGTGATTTCACTTCAGGCTGGAGCAGGATTTCTGCTCGTAGCTTCGCCGTTCTACTTTGAGGCAGCATCATCTGCTGCAGCTCGTGTCCAGGTCTTGATGGGAGTCCAAGGCAACGGAGATGGGATACTGTTTTGTTTCCTCTTCGACTACACGCGCGCAGGCTGGTGAGACTTGTTTCTAATTTCCTACTGCTACTCTGCTTATCGCCGTTGATGGTCTTGTTTCCGTCCATAATCCCATGAGCCTCAGCGAGAAACTTCTCGTGCATTTTCCTCTGGGCGCACGGCACGATAGTCCAAAAGAGTGACCTTCCCACTGTCAACGAAAGCACCTTAATACCCTTCCTCGTTGCCTGTGTCTCCTCTGCAGCCGGTTGCATCTCCACAGCTGCTGCCTTCTTTGAAGCCGGAGTCTTCTTCGGCAATGACATCTTCGCACCCGCCCTTTCCTTGCCTTCGGTAGCCAAAACCACCTCCTTCGCTTCAGCAACTTACTCCTTCCCACGCTTTCTCTCAACCTCCGCACGGTCGGTTTCCTTGATCCGCGTGAGGACTTCGCGGGTCCTTTTCCAGTGGCCGTCGGTCAGGTAACCCCGTTTGATCCGCGCCTTGATTTCATCTGACAACTCGACCACGGTGACAGAGAACACGGTTACTGGATCGAGGATCTCGGGCTCCGTCTCGGGGGGTGCCGCAGACTCATCAATGAGCCTGCTGAGAGCATCCGGAACCAGGTGAGTCTTACCTGGTCGGTAAAAGACTTTCATTCGAAATTGGGAAATGTACTGGCTCGCGGCCAGCAACTTGAGATTGAGCTTGTCGGTGGCCGAGGTCGTTTGCAAATTGTAATGCTGCGCAATGAGATCGGCGTCTTTATGTCGATGTGGACGCTTCCAAGAAGGGGATCGGGGCCCTGGTCTATCACGTAGAAGGGGATCCAGATCCCACCCTCGCGGATGGCAAGGTCCATCCCTGGACGAATGACAGGATCCAGCCGATTCTTTTCTTTTCGCAGGCCCTCAAGTCCGCCGAAATCCGCTATTGGCCCACAGAGCTGGAGGTCGCCGGTATCGTATGGACCTTGCGGAAGATCAAACATCTGATGCATGCCGGTCAGGAGGAAGATGCGTACTTTTTTACCGATCATCATGCTGCGAGATTCTAAGGAGGTGACGAGTATTGTATTGAGCTACTCGAGAGAAAGCGCTAAACACCCCCCTTGGCCATCGCACCTTCCAATACCGTCCTTAGGATTCTCCTCAAACCACCTCCCCGCCGCCTGCTCGCCCCTCTTATCCCATATATCGACCCCCAAGTCCTCAACCACGCGCCCCTCTCTCCTCTCGTCCAAACCACTCTCCCGCTCTTGCCATGTAGACCCAATTCGCGCCACGACTTTGAACGCTTCGTTCCCGAAGACCGCGAATTTCATGCCCGCTACAAGCGAGTGCGGGTACTCCTCTTCTTTTGAATGCGAGAAGCATTCTTGACCGTGTCGGCCGGCCTACGCGTGCTATTGGCGCTGTCGGGGTTGCCAGGGTGCGTACTGGACTTGGTGGTCTGCATGCTCTGGACACGGGCGCTTCTCCTAGTTGGAACTGCAGCACTGATGGCCTGAGACGCGGATGCCCTGGCCTTCTTGGCCCTGGTCGGGGCTTTCAACGTAGAGGTGGTGGAGGCTTTCCCAGTGTTCTCTCTCTTCTTCTGGGTGATATCCTGCTTCGCCTTGTTTACCATTGCGCGGATATCATTGCCAAGCTCCCGGTACATTTCAGAGCGCGGCTTGGGAGTACTCGTTGCATCGAACACGCCGGGGTTGCCTCCTTTCTCGTACTCCCACTCGTGCTCCTTGTTCCTAAGCAATGTGTTGACGGACTCTTCGCCGCCATCGGGCATGGAACCAGATTTAGCAGGCTCAGTCCTGCGCATCAGGGAATTGATAAGGCCTACATGATGTTAGTAGAGTCCTGACATTGGAAGGGTTTGATGGGGTACTTACGATCGTTGTCGCCGTGGACTTCCCGAAGGAGCCGGACCGAAACATCCGTCTCTTTGGGACTGTATCTCGACATCTTCGTAGGGCTATAGAGTATTTTTCTATTAAGCCGTAAATGCAGAGTTACCGAAGGCCGTGTGTGGAGTTGGAAATGCAAGTCTTTCGAAGATTCCGAAGTGCAGGAAAGTATCGAGCGAGGGTGAAGAAGTTTGGAGCATGGCTGGTAGACTAAAGGCTTAAAGGATGGCCGCGCAAAGGTGAATGTTCCAAGCAAGTAGTGACTGTTTCCAAGCACGTGGTCATTTCTCAAAGTGTTAACCCGTGAGATACCTTTCTTCTCAGAGTACGACGGGTGCCATTGGTCCAGACCTTCGACATAGCGTAGTTGACAAACATAGTCTACGGCGCCTACCACTTTATCTCTGTTACACCACCGCTATTTTCTAGAAAATGTGTTAATAGAGTACAATTTGGTGGCTTGGCGGATTTGGCTGCCAGCACCTCCCGTGGACTTGTCGGAAGGCTGCTTAACCGACTGGTAAGCTCCAGGAGGGGACAGCCCGGAGCCTTAACTTCCTTAAGTGGTCTGGATGCTGGGGTCTTCGAGGATGCTCCGGTCATACCGGAGAAGGCTTCCAACCAAGCTTTTGAACTGGATTCTGCTGACACGGGGCGTATGGTTGAATAGAGAGGTGGTGTCTCCATATACCCTAGAGCCGAAGGTGTGGAACGTATCTAGCAAAGAGTCATCGCTCTCCTCATTCCCTTGCACTAAGTATAAATGATATTATAATAAAGTCTGAATATGGCGCCTGGTCGAGGAGAATTTGGCAATGGAGTAGTCGTTTATATTTACTATATCGTTGCTGTCATGTAAGGTATAACAACGGAGAAAAGTGAGGCAAGTCGGCATTCCTCAAGCTTTTGTACTAATAGTGCTACGAGTAAACAGTTTGAGGGATGAGACACCAATAGAAATTACGCAAACGTATAAATATGCTTGCAAATAAGTTTTAAATTTGGACGTGTCCACTGGATAAACAAGGGTACTGCTGAAATCTTCCATATTGCGGCCATGTGGACCATAGAAAGTCCTTAACACTACTTGAATTTCCGCAGTCCTGCGTTATGTATGATTGTCCCAACGATAAGGGTAATGCACCTTCACTCGCTGTGGGTCATTTCAAAAGCGGGCAAGTTTCTACATAGCGGAATTGAACGTAATAAATTTGGTCCAGTCTCTATTGGCTATTCAATAATCTGACAGCTATTTTTATACTCAAGGAGAGCCCGCTGTGTACCTCGTTGCTGACGAGAATTTTTAGATGTGTAAGGGGTTAATGCCACTTGCTACACTACTTGCTTGAAAGTTCATAAATCAGAAGGGAAAGGAAAAAGCAAATACTACTCCGTGCCTGATTTGGCAAATATTGCAACCGCTCGCCATGCGGTTCGAGAGCTAAACAAAATCCATGACAAGAACCGCCTCCATTCTTGGTTTTCCCGTTACTCAACCTGTGTGTACCTGGCAACCCGTTATCAAACTCCTACATCAAGCTCACGGTTTCTCTGAAAACACTGTCCAAGCCAAACTTCTCGGGGCTTGCTATTCGTCCCCAAGTCCAGCACATTGGACACGGGAGAATCACAGATCCTCATCCTCCTCGACCACTTTCTCCGCTCCCATCTCATCCCCTTCCAGCCCCACTCACCCTCGACCTCGGCGCAAACCCCAACTCCCTCAGTATCCCTCCTCTCCAAAATACCATCCGTCCCAGACACATCCCTCCTTGGCCTCACCACCCCTCCCCCTCCTCCTAGAGCCTGGGGGCGCGCTCCGCATTGTCGGCCTGGTACATGTCAGAGAGCACATCAGTTTGGTTGGTATAGATCCGTTTCAGCTCTCCGGCCGTTGCAGCAGCCCTCTCCTCCACTTTCTTGTTCCTCCCGCTTCGTCTGAGAGGCCGATGGAGGGGAAGATCCGGAGACTGGTTCTGTGGATCGATGGCAGGCTGGCTTGGCTCCTTATTCATCGACTGCTCAGCGGTGCTCTGCTTGCGCACCTACTTCTTGGTGGCTTTGTTGCTACTGGTAGGAACAGGGGAAGGCGAAAGAGGTGTCTTCGAGCTGACTTTGGACTGGTCCTGTTGAACATGGCGGCGCTTTTTGGCTTGGTGCTCCTCCACCCTCGTAGCATCTTTGGTGATGCTCTGACCCTGGCTGTCACGGCCGCGCTTCTTGCCCCGATGCTCCTGACTCGTTGCCGCATCATTGGTAGTCTTCTGCTTATTTGCATTCCGTTTTTCACCGGCCCCAATGTCCTCATTGGCTTTCGTCTTCTTCAGTGAATGGAAGATGACAGCACCGGGCCTAGGCATGGAAAGCAGACCGAGCCGGTACGATCTAGTAGGATGGGTGGGAGTGTCCTGCCTGGCGGCATTGCTAGTACTGCCGGAACCTGCAATGTTATTACCAGAGGCTGCAACAACGTGATTGGGTTTCGACAAGGAATAAGAAAAAGTAGCGGCCTCTTTGTTGATCATGATCTCCTCACACTGCCGCTCTGTTGTGGTTTGGCCAGTGGTAACCCCCACACTGGTGCCAAACTCGAAAAGGGATATCAGCATGGAAGCAGCCTCTTCGTCTGTTAGGCGGCATTTAATCTGTTCCTGGATCGAGCTTGCGGTTATGGTGGCTGTAGATGGTACTAAAATGGCTGGCAGCGCAATGGCGGGCTGCTGGGCCTTGGCTATAGCCTTAGCATGCCGACCGACAGTTTGGGTCTCGATCTGCACACTGGCCCTGCCGGCCTTGGAAGGTGTCGTTAGTGTGCCAGCAGCCGCCAAGTATTTTGCTGTATGTCCACTGTGCTGCTGGGTTGAGGCTCCGATGTTGAAGGTAAGGTCGTTCGTAGGTAGTGCTGTTGATGCAGTGGCTGATGCTTTGATAGTCTGCTGGGCTTCAGAAAGAGGCTGGGCGGTCTGACTATTGCTCTGGCGGTTCTTCTGAGCGCGTGTTTGTATGATATAAACGGGCTTCTTCGTCATTGTAGGCTTCTTGCTCCTTTTGCCTCGTCCTTGGTTGACTTGCTTTCATTGTGCTGGAGGGCAGGAAGTTCCTCTTCTACAGCGATAGTGTTCTGATCCGCATCAATGTATACGTTTCTGTACAGAACCTCGGCAAACCTCTTGGGTTGCTCCGCAGCTGACGGCGCCATGGCAGCGATGTCCGCTTGTACTCCGGAGAGCACAGCACGCTTCATATGAACCATCGTAGTCTCCATGTCATCTTGGTTATCGCAGTCCGGGTTAGGCATCTGCCGCAGCACCTTCTCGACGGGTCCTGGCTGCGGGAAGGGCTCAGCACGGACGTTACTGTACTCCAACATGAAGTTCGGGTGCACCGGTCGGTTGAAGAGATGACCGACATTGGTCAGAGTGGAATTGAGGCAAATGGTGTCTGTGACCGCCAGCGTCAGTGTTGGATCACGATGCTGGGGGGAGGAAGATGAACTTACCGGACAGCGCATTTGCGCCATCAGCAGCGGACGACATGCCGCTAGCGTTCAGGGACATACTCAAGGTAACCGATTGCAATAGGACTAGATGGGCTGTGATGGTTAGGAAATGGGATCTGGTCATGCTTGGTTGCGCGTGGGAGCTTACGACGAGAAATGTTGCTGTGTGAAGAACCAGGGCCAAAGCGAGCAGGCTGTCGCTGACGCAAAGCGAATAGCGAAAGAAAGCCTTGAGAAGACGGGTTTGGCCGTTTCTGCAGTCCAAATGGCGGTTGCGGCAAAGATTTCTGCGTGTGCGCGAAGTGCTGTTGGAAAGGTGGTGGAGTTGAGGTGGAGGAAGAAGCAGAGCAGAAGAGCTGCAATCAACGAGTCCCTGCGAATCCCGATCATCAGCTGATGGTAGCACCTGCTGAGGGTGGTGTGCAGAAAGTCTCCAAGGTGAGTGTGTGTTAACTCAACATTGCGAGTGGCGAAGCGGGTGGGGCGAACTGAGCACTGGAGCTTCTCCGTGTACTTGAGCTCAGGCAATAATCGGCCACTAATTGCCCAGTATCTAGTAAACTTCATTGTCTAACCGCAGCTGGAGACTTTGAAAGTAAGTCCATAGAGGCCCCTCTAACTGTCCATAGGACGTAAAACGAGAATATCCACGCAAGTACGTAAATTCACACCTTCAAGCGCACGTCATTATCCTAAAGCTCTTGACGGAGGCGTTGAAATGTGTTGCGCCATTGTATATAGACAACCTACGAGGTGGGACATATATTGGAAAAAGGGAATACTTATCGTGTTATGGGGCGACTACTACAGTGATTATTTCCAGACTATATCGCGGCTTCTTATAGAGCAGGAAGCTCATTGATTTGCTTTCGGCTAGTGTTTGCCCACCGTAAAAACTCCTCCTAGGGTTGTGCTTTACTCTAAACCATGCCGTATGCTTCATAGGTGGCTTTCGTAGATGGGATGTCGCCTCAGCGACGGAGATTGCGGCGAAGTACTCCATAGCTTCCGTGATGACTGGGCGCATAGGGCGCTTCATGTCAACTCAGAAAGTAAATACAAGGTGTAGGTGGGGTAGGGTCTATGTCGAAAAGAGCAAAAAAAAGACATAGTTCATGAGCCATGTTTACATGCGGGCCAGAAGGTTGTAGCCCTTTACGTGTACTTAACAGGGTTCACTTATTAATCTTATTTTCACCTTTTGAACCTTTTCGTGCAATTGGCTTACATTGTTGCTATGAAAGTCCAATCCAACTCGCCCCGTACCTTTTCCATTTCCCCAAGAAAACAAGCTGTAGTGGTATATCCCGCAAAGCATCTCCCGCCCAAACCCCCAGTCCCAAGGGCCCAAACCACGCTGCATGCCCAAAACTTTCAAAGAAAAGGACCCAATCCTCCCAATTAAACATTACCCTTATCAACCCCGCCAAAACGTCTCAAGAAGCCATGCTACCCAGAATCCAGTCAAACAAAAGAGTATCCCCTCGTCGCCTACGTTCCAACCCTACTTCTCCTCACTCTTCTTTCCCGCCGCCGCCGCTGCGGCGACCTGCACTTTGTTCATCAACTCGGCCGGCATGGTCGTGATGCGTGTCCTGGCCTTCGACTTGCGCGGCGTCGGCGGCTTGAGGAACTCCAGCCCCTGCGCGCTGCCGTCCGAGACGCAACGCTGGCCACGGCCCTCGTATAAGACTTCCCGGTAGTCTTTCGCCTTGCGCTGGTGCTGGTTCTGCTTCCTCGACGAAGGGTGGTCGAGCATGGGTGGAGACATGTTGGCGCGGACGTCGGACGTCGATGAGGAGGATGACGGCGATGGCGAAGACGGTTGCGGTTGCGATTGCGGCGGTTGCGGAAGTTCTTCGAAAGCTGCGAAGCGCCTTGTGGAGATTGTGCCCAGGGGAGCAGCAGAGCGAGGAGGAGGTAGAAGACGACGACGACCGCTCTTGTTGTCACCGCTGTTGTTTCCAATAGCGCCGTTGTTCAGGCGACGTCGCTGCTCGTCGTCGTTGTCGATATCGCTAATACCTGGCCAGTAAGACGTAGTGGTACTAGCCGCCGCCGAAGAAGTGATCACCTGGCCTTCTCCCAGCTGCAAGATTGACGCAGAACGGCGCCGATCATCCTTTTGAGCTCCGACCTCCTCGCAGGCCGAGACCAAGTCACTGGCCGACTTGACGACAAAGGGGCCGGTGGCGCCGCCTAGCGCGCGACCCGTCGCCGTAGTCGCAGCCTCCGTCTCAGCCTTACCGGCGCCACGTCTAGCCCGCTTGGGCGCTGGTGTCGTCTCGTCCGAGACCTCATCCTGGTCGTGGTCGGGCTGCTTTGGTGTGCTCTTGCGCCGGCCGCGCTTGGTCGCAGCAGTAGACGTAGTGCCGTTGTTCGCACCACCATCACCACCACTCCTCCTCCTCGCAATCTCCGTCGGACTCGGCGCATCGCTGCGGCTCGACCTGCGCCGCGCCGCACGCTCGTTGCGCTCGCGCTTCTCTCTGTCCGTCTTGCTCTCACTCTTGTCCGCCTCCACGTCTTCATCCTCGTCATCCTCGTCCTCGTCCTCCGCCTTGATTAACAGTCCGTCGTAAGAATACGTGCGTCCAGGCACGCGCAGCGTCGAGAAGCGGTAGCCGCGCGTGGGCGTGGCGTCGAAGGGCATGATATTGGATGGCATCCGTGCCTCCATGTAGAGGTAGACCGGGGTGGTTGGCGAGTTGACGTACGGTGAGGTGGTGCTTTGTTCTTGCGCTTGCGTTTGCTCCTGCCCGTCGTGCTCGTGAGTCTTGTGCTGACGAGGCGGCGGGGATGGCGTCCGCACGAGCGGCTGCGACGGGCGGTCGTCGTGCTCGTGGTTCTTGTGCTGATGAGGTGGCGGGGACGGCGTGCGCATGCGTGGCTGCGACGGGCGGCGGTGCTTGGGGTGCTGGTCCATCGTTGTTGTTGTTGCGGTGGGCTTGGTGAAAGTGGGCGGGCGGTTGAGAGTGTGCGAGCAGGTGAAAGTGAGCGAGTAGGTGAAAGTGAGCGAGCGGGTAAGATTGAGCGAGAGGCTGAGAGTGAGCGACCGCGTAAGAGCGAGTAAGCCGTCGGATGGGCGGGTGCGCCGCTGTTGTTTTGCGTTTGCTGCTTGGTGAGCGTGAGTGTGTAGACGCGAGACGCGTTGTTGGAGGACGAGGGCTTACTGTTGTTGGTGGTGTTTTGATGGTTCGCGGTTGTAGAGGAAGAGGGTCTCGGGCTTAGAGAGAAGGATTAAAGGGCAGGTGCATGGACAGAAAGAGATGCGTATGGGAGCAAGATCTTTTGCAGATTGCGTTGCGAGTGCTTGGTGAGGAGATCTGGGAAGGCGGGATATGAAGCACGGAAGCGGCATGCGCACCGGGCTGCGCAATATGTGCGGCAAGCCTATCCATCGAGCTGAGGCAGCAGCGGGCGCTACAGGCTCTCTGCAAAGATTATCCGCTGGGCGGGCTGCGACCGCGACTGAAGGGTCGATCTCACTGGAGCGGTCCCTTAGGCACACCCCGGTCCGGTCATCACTTCAAGCTGGACCAGCAACGAGTTCACCGGGCAAGACACGGGAGGAACTCCGTTACTTTTATAGCAAGTTCAGTAATTCGATCTACACTGGAGTACTTTTCGCAGCCGAACGAAGGAGAATTGGAGGGCTCATGCCATGTCCGGCTCAGGACGAGATCCTTCATCATCGGCCTTCCCGTCCCTTGAAGCATGAAGAGTTAAAAGCAAAAACCCTAGTTGAGCCCAGTTTGTATTCCCAGCCCGTGGCCCAATTCCATGTACCAGGAAATTGAAAGAAAAGGAAAGATATAGGAAACAAAGAAATAAGAGATTAGAGTAAGCAACCGCTAACGGCGGTTGAATGATGAAGCCTGCAAACTTCGGGCTCATGAAATTTAGCAAAGTCAGCAATATCCACAGGGAATGGACTGAAATACTGTGCGCTGGAATGTACCCAAAGCCGACCAGTTGGTGATCCCGTGTCGACCTGCTCCAAACCCAAAGCGCTGTGCGTATCCTGAACCTGGCTGACCAAGTTGGAATAATACAACAACGTTAGACAACTTTGTTCGTGTCGTGATCCGAAAGAGCCATTGACCAGTTGTGTTGTTGTCGTTGCGTCGAGAAGCGAAGCTGAACGTGAATGAATATCGAACAAGAGAATCAAGACAGAACGAAATTTTGATGCAATTCGATCGTTGGTGCATATCCTTGCAAAGGACTTAAGGCTTTGTCAGGGCAGATCTCGACGGATGATCTGCTCGCGTGGTGGAGGAAAGCAAGCCGGATGGAAACCGGTAATGTTACAGCAAGCAGCTGCTGGTTGTTCGTGTTCCACCGCAAAGAAAACAAATGAAACAAAGGGAAGTAAAGGCACCAGTTTTCGTAGTAACAGCTTTTTGTACCCGTGAGCAGGCTAACGGTCGGTGTCGGGGCAAGTGGCCGCCGAGTGAGGCGTTTAGAGACCCCAATCTGACATGTGGGGGTTGGCGCTACCAGCCATGGCCTTGGAAAGGACCTTGGGTGTCTGCTTGCGATCGGTGAAAGGCTTGAAGATCGCGTCTTGGGGCTCTTCCGCGCTGTCGCTCTCGTCCAGGTCCTCCATCGTGACCTCAGGAGACTCGTCGCTAGACTCGTTGGCACATTCTTCTTCAACGTAGTCGTCCATCAGGATCTCCCTGTCGCTCTCGGCGAACTTGGAGAAGAGGCCATCCGCCTCCCACTGGCTGCGCAGCTCCTCGGCGCGAAGGCGGAGCTTGTGGTTGTCAATGGCGCAGGAGACGGCGTGCTCGCTGCGCTTGATGCCGAAGTGCCTGCTGACGTGGCGCGCCAGCTCGGACCGGTAGGTGGACGGGTCACGGGCGAGGCGCTCGACGAGGTAGTTCAAGGCACTGTCAGACCACTTCGTGCGTGGCTTGCGAGAGGTGATGCGGAGCTTGCGCTGACGGAACTGGGCGCGCCAGCGGTTGAGGTGGGAGATGGACGCCGGGTCGTCCCAGTTCGCCGGCGGGGCATGGATGTTCATGCGGCGTCGAATGGCGCCGTCAGGGCGGATCTCATTCTCGATGAGACAGAGGAAGCGAGCCTGGTCCTGGATGCGAGTTACGAGGCACTGCGCATTGGGCGTGCGGGTGCAGATGCGGCCCTTCACGAAGGGCACGTTGTAGCTGAGAAGGCCCGTGACTGGGAAGTGAGCACACTGCGGAACGGTGCGCTCGGCGGAGAGGTTGGCACCGCGCTTGCCGAGGATGTAGTCTTCCCTGGAGACGGTCACCGGCTGGCAGATGGTCCTGCCGCCCAGTTCGAACGTGTGAAAGGGCGTAGACAAGGCCGGAGCGTTGGGGGCGACATAGGCACCTGGAAGTGAAGGGTCCATGATCAGTCAAAGAAAGGGTTACTCGGCGCATGAATCTGACTTACCGGCCTTCTCGTCGAAGGTGAAGTTGGGGCCCTTGTAGTGCCACTTCTTTGCATGGCGGTAGGAAACACGGTTGCCGCCCCTCAGCTGACCGCAAAGACACTTGGAGTAAGGTCCAAGAGGGCCCGGGTTGACAATGTCAGCGCAAGGCTTGGACATGGGGCGAGCCGGACAGTTGAGCTTCACATCCCAGCGGACAGCCGTAGCCTCGGCCTCACTTCCAGAGACCTCGACGTCCATCTCATCTTTCAGGTCGAAGTCAGAGTCATCCTCCATACCATCATCGTCGTTGAGCATGGAGGTGAATGTCTCATAGTCCATGCTGTCATCATAGATGGTGTTGGAAGTGAGGTAGTCATGGTTGGTCGAAGGTGAGGTGAGGGCATCCAACTCGGAAGCAGAGTTGGACATGTTAGTGAAGTCTCCATCAGCATCAACCTCAGCGAGACCATCAGTGAGCCGGAAGGTGTGAAAATAGCCGGCTGGAGCAAAGCTGCGTTGCGGGACGTAGGAGGAACGCTGAGGACCCGTGCGGCCGGAATGCATGCTGCGACGGGTAGCCCGCTTCTTGACCGTAGAGTTGGGGCTGCGGGCCATTTTGGCTGAAGCAACACGAAGCTGTGCGGTTGTGGGTGAAGTTGGAGGTGAGGTGGTTGTGGTCGCGTTTGCGACACCTGGGTGGAGGAAGGGAGTCGTCAGTTGAGGTAGAGCAAAGAGAGCATAGCGGGTCATACAGAAGAGTCAATACCAATGAAGGCGAAGAGCAAAGACGTGCGGCGGGTGGGTGCAATCGCAGTGCGCAGCGGGCAAAGTTTGTGGGTGTAGAGTGTAGAAGAGAGGCGGAAGGTCAGCGCGAAGTTACGGACGTTTTAAGGGCATGCCCGCCCCGAGAGACCCTGTGCCAAGAGCGAGCGATGGTGGCCCGTGTCAACGGAGACGTGAAAGGTGCGCCCGAATGTGGTAGCCTGGAGGGTAGCGGGCGCTGCTTCGCCGCGGCGTCACTGAGCTGCACTCCCGCTGATGGACGGCGATAACGCGCGCTCGCGAGAGCTGAGTATTTCGGATGAAGGTATCCGTCGCGACTTGCAACTCGTCTTCCTTGAAGAGCGGAGAGCGAAGTCAAGAGGGCACGATATATGAGGCTCGGCGCCCGACGCGACCTCACCGCGACCCGCTCCGCGATGATGTCACTTCAGCCATGCCGCCGGCGCCGCCCACCCACTTGCTGCTGATGACAGGAGCTTTTGAGCTTGGAAAAGAACTTCTGCGGTCGCGAAGCCTGATCCCGCGCTTCCATGAAACGGTAATATAGTCAGGCGCCAGTCTCTTGCGCTCTTGGATATCCAGTTTGCTTTGATCTGGTGGTGATCACACGCAGCGCTATAAAATCTGTATAATTCTGCTCTAGGCTTTGTAGCAAGCTCTGATGTAGTGTGTTTTATCTCCATAATGAGCGGCGGTCACTGGATGTTTGCGACCATGTCACACATCCACCCCGTTCCTGACAGCAAACAGTGACCGGTCACGGAGCATTCGAGAGATCGCAGTCTAGATTCCGGCCGATTCCCCAGGTTTTTCGCTAAGTCTTTTACTTGTGAGATATCTGGAATTACGACACGATGGGTTGTCGCCTGGGGCTACTGATGAAATAAACCGCCCATTGTGACCGTCCACTGCCTATGAATCGCTGCCGATAGCTAAAGCAAAGCGCTAGGATATGCAACTCCATCTCGCCTTTACAGGCCTCTTCGCTGAAAATCTGCCGACCATCCGCTGTATGGCAGCTCTACCGAACTTTGCACCCTCATGACTGGGCTGAACGAGTGTGAAAGCTGTCCGCTACTCTCTCCCAGCAAATATTACCCTTTCCCGTACGAACCCCAGACTCTTATGCCTGCGCCATATCGCCGCGACCAAGCAAACCCTCCTCTGACAACGAAGTGGACCAAGCCCGCAAACCGATCGAGAACAGCGCACCGAGCAGCCCGGCAACGCCCGACAGCGCAAACCCATCAATGAATCACACCCTCACACCATCTTCAGCATCATCATCGTCATCATCATCATCCTCCTCCTCCTCCTCCTCGTCTTCCTCCCCCTCCGAATCCGCCACCTCCCCACCATCCTCCTCCCCCTCCTCCTCATCATCCTCCACCTCAACCACCCGCTCCTTCCCCTTCCCCTTCCCCTTCCATTTACCGCCGTCCCCGCCAACATCAGCATCACCACCACCGAACACAACCCCCCTCGCCTCCCGCCCCAACCCATACCGCTGCACCGTCTGCGTCAGCGCCGCCAGCGTGCGCCGCCGCTCCGGCCACCGCTCGCGCAGCACCGCCAGCAGCCGCGGCTTGCTGTAGCTCCCCGTGTCGCGCAGCTGCTCGACCATGGCGCCGCACACGGCGTCGAGCTCGGCGGGGGTCCATGCGAGGCGCGTTTTGCGGGGTTTGGCCGTGGACTTGGTGGCACGGGTCTGGTTGGCGGGGGGAGGGGTGGTGCTGGTGCTGGTGCTGGAGGACGCGGACGCGGTGGGCTGGGAGGTTGGAGGGGGGGTGGTTGTTGAGGGGAGAGTCGTGGCGGCGTTGCGCTTGCTGCTGCGGTCGCGGAAGCTGTGGATCCAGCGGTTGAGCTTGGTGATGGCGTTGCGGTCCGCCCAGCTCGCGGGCGGGGCGTGCATGTTCATGCGGCGGCAGCGCGCCGGCGCGTCGTCCTCGATCAGGCGGAGCTGGTACGCTTGGTCGACGTATTGGATGTAGGTGTTGATGCGGTCTTCGCCGTCGTCGGTTTCCCAGTCGTTCGCGTCTTCGGCGGGGTGGTTGTCGGCTTCGACGGGGATGCTTGCGCTGGTGTGGAGGGGCGTGGAATGCACGTTTGTGGGCTCGTGTTCGGTGGCGGCGGCAGAGTCGGAGTCGGAGTCGTTATCGTACTCGTCGGTACTGTTCTCTGGCTTGTCAAGCGCGATTGGAAGGCGCAGGCGCTGTTTGATGAAGCGTGAGCCGCGCATGAACTTCCAGTCGTCGTCGAGGACGCCGGTGATGGGGAAGTGTAGGTCGCAACGCGGCACAGAGGTTTCGGCACTCACGGCCATGGCGCTGGGACTTTCGCTTTCTGGCCAAGTTGCGCCAGGAGTGGGGCTGTCGTCAGTGTCGTGCATGGCTTCTTGCTTCCGTTTCTTATCCATGTTCAAACGTGTAGCATAGGGGACGAACGGCTGTGCGGTCCTTTGCGGGTTCTTAGCCGCCGGGTCAGTCCAGCAGCCTATGTGAGAAGATCAGTGTTAGAGACGCGAAAGTAAACAGTGGGGAGGCGGTGCTTACCGTTGTCATGATCAAAAAACGGAAGCTCATCGTTGGTGCGCAGCAGTGGGTTTGATGACCCGCAGCTGCATATCTCCTCAGCCGAGATGATTTCCTCAATTTCCGCTCTGGTCGATGCCGCTGCGAGTTGGACCTCACTTCCTGTGACAGGAACAGGTTTTTCGGGTTCATCTTCGAACACTCTGTATTCAGCATATGAAGCAGGTGGGCCACGGGGACCCGAGTTGATAGTAGTCCAGCCTGGAGCTTCAGGATTGCTCAGGACTGGTTGACGGTACCAAACTTCCTCCCGGCCATCGGGATGGATGTAGCCGCGGTCGCCGTCCAGGATGTAGCCATAATCGGGTTCGTCATGCTCGCTTCCAACATGGTCATCCTCGACGTTATCTTCGTCAGCAGTGTGTTCGTTTTCGGTGATCGGGACACCACCGTCGGATCCACCTTGAAGCGAGGATGTCTCCTCTTCGAAGTTGCTGCCTTCGACCGAGATGCTGCTGTCCGTGTCTGAATCTTCAGTGCCGAGCTCGATAGAGCCTTCCGACTCGCCGCCGGCGGGCCGCGCCGGGATGAGCGGCAAGTCACCCGAGCTGAAGCCAAGGGCAGCCGACATGACGATGAATCGTTGTGGTATGGGGATTTCTGTGACAGCAGAGCGGGTGTGCCTGTGACTTGGGCGCGGGTGGTGACGTTGTATTGTGGTGGAGGAGCGCGAGTCCGCGAAGGGTGAAAAACATCTGCGCATGAACGAATGAGCGCCATTGCGCCCGAAGCAGATTTGCGCCCTGCCGCCTGCAAAGTTGCTCTACTCCTTTGCGACAGTCAGATAGCGTCTCTCGATCACGTGCAGTGACAGCGAGGATTCCTCCGCGCGAGTGTCACGTGCCAACCTTGCTTTATGGGACCTTTGGCTTGCTTTCTACTCCATGCTGGTCTGTTGCTGATCGGAGCTTCTGTAGTGCTGTTGCGGCGATTTGACATCCCCGCCAATCCATGAGGTAGATTTCAACTTCACTCGTAGACATCAGTGGCGGTGATTCTCTGGACCTTTGAATTCGCTTCCCACAGTCGCTAATGCTTCACATGTATCTGACATGATATTCTTGGATGTCACCAGGTTGCTGCTCCAACAATTGCCCTAAATCAAAAACGAGCGTATTCCTGTTTGTCCACTTTGTGCATAAAGAGTATACCCCGCAGCAATGGAAGCAGCAATCACCACGAATATCATGTTTGGTTCTTTCAGCATTAAAGGTTTGTCTGTTTTCCAGGCCCCAAAGCGTGACGTCCCGCGCCGAGGCCGCCTCTCCTCCGAGTCCCAAGCCGTGCAGCGAGGCTATGACATCCGGCTCCAGGATCCGCGCCACCGAAGGCGTGATGCTCGCGTAGTTAACCCGCATGTCCCGCGCCGATCCTCATCCGACGGAATGCAGAGACAGGCCGCCGTTGTCCGTCGTCAGCAGCATGCTGTCGATGCTAACGTCGAACGCAGGCCATACATATGGGAGGACAGACTTTTGGTGTTCAACAACTTCTGCGTATGAAACTGCGCTAGCGCCAGACGACAGCCCCCAGTTTCGAGACCATCGAAAAAAGAAATGTTTTTGTAGCCATCAGATATGACTAACGTGCGGGCTGTTCTTCCCTTCGAAGAGCTGGCTGAGATAACATAGACATTGTTTGAAAATAAAGGCTAGGGGGGGTTAGGCTGGCGCGCACGTCTCTGAAGGGCGGGCTGAATGAAGAGAGGGGTCAGAGCCGAGGGGTCTGACTACGTCGGCTACCTGAAAGCGGAGAGTGGGGGCTGAGAACAGTAGATATTTCCGTCTGTGGCTGCAGCTGGCAGAGACGATTCCGACCCCAGCAACCAATGAGATACGTCAGCTCAAATTGGCGTCTTGTCGATGCAGGTAAGCACGATCCAGAACGTCTTAGCCGACAAATTCGGTGCTCCTATAGGCCTGTTCAACCACCCCTCATTATCGCAAAGTTAATAGTATCAAGCCACCTGCACCTAAGACGTGTGAAACGTGATCAGGCAATGCAACCTTTCAGCCTCGCGGGGCTGATTGAAATACAAGACCCGCCGCTGAGTCTGACAATGACTGCAACACTTCGACTTCCCGATTTTGAAGTTCAAGGCATTGCTGCGCAGTCATGCCGCCTTCGTTACTGAAGCGACACAAAAATAAAAGTAACTCGGGCATCCCGCCAGAGGATACTTCGGCGGGTGACGAGCGCCAGGCAGTGGCCTTGTTGCCTTCAAAAGGGGACGACGACGCTGAGACAGATTCCTCGCCTCTGGAAGAAGTGCAGAGTTTCGGCTTGTTCGAACTCTGGCCTGCAACACCAGATGGGCAGCCCTGTACCATCCAGACGGAAGTCGAGTACGTCACTCTATTTCACGTACTCTTCTCTGCAACTGCGCTGACACAAAGAAGCATTGTCGCTGTCCATGGGCTCGGTGGCGGCGCTTTCCGAACATGGACCGCAGACGAGCGTTTATGGCTACGAGACTTTTTGCCACAGACTGTACCGGAAGCCAGGATTCTGACCTTTGGATACAACTCCGCCGCTGCGTTCAGTGGCTCGGCATCTCGCATCGACGATTTTGCACTGGATTTGCTCAACAGGTTGAGGGCAAATAGGAGACGCGCCAGAATTGACTTGAAGGTATTTGGAACACCCCAAAGGCTTTCCCTTTCCTTTTGGTGTTGATTGGTCGTTAGCGAAAAACAATGTTCGTATGCCACAGTCTTGGAGGCATCGTCTTGAAACAGGTATGGGAATAAAGCACTGTTCTGATATCATGCGCTCACCAGAATGGCGCAGGCCCTCATCTTGGCTCATGCCAGAAGCGACTTGCACGGGTGGTTCACGGACTCGACTATCGGCATAATCTTCATGGGAACGCCTCATAGAGGAGCAGATGTGGCGTATTGGTCCAAAGTACTGGGCAGATTTGTCAACGTCTTCGCCGGCTCGAAAGTTCGAACGGACATCCTCCATGATCTGGAGCCCAAGTCGCAAACGCTGGGCAGACTTTGCGAGCTTTTTGTTGAACGAGCGAAGTCTCTCGCCATATACTCTTTCTACGAAAGAAGGAAGATGGCAGGCATCAATTCTCTGGTAAGCTTAAACCTATCTACGGCACTACTACAGGCTAACCAAGACAGGTTGTTGACGAGCACTCGGCCATCCTCCATCTCCCAAACGAGCGGTCCGTTCCGGTGGAGGCAGATCACCGGGAGATCTGCAAGTTCCTGACTTCGAGCAACCAGAACTACGCTCTAGTGCTAGATGCTATTTTGGACCTCGTTGAGGTGGCTACCGGACAGCAGAGCGAACATCGTACGTGAAGGCGCAGCCCTGGTGCAGGGTTGGGCATTACTCGGAGCATATCGTCTAATTGCCTGTGTATGTAGATCTGAACAAGTTTGAGGTCAGGTTTCTCCGATTCCTGGCCGCGGGCGACTGGGAATTAGTCCTGAAAACCATCAAAGACCGTTGGCGCTCCTCATCTTGCAACTGGATTACTCGCAATGCCGCATTTGATACATGGACGAAAGATTTGCAGTCCAAGTGTTTGTGGATCCACGGCCCTCCTGGATCCGGAAAGTCTGTTATGGCCAAACACCTCGTCCAATACCTGAAAGTAGTACTGGATGACCAGCCCCGCGACTCTGGATCTGTCCAAAACGTCACGTTCTTCTTTTGCGATAATAAAATTCCAGCCTTGCGGACATCTAGACACCTGCTACGCTCGATACTTGCTCAAATTTTCCAGGAAAGAGCCAACCATCACTTGTTCCAACACTTTGACTCCGAGTTGCTGGGAAAAATCGGAGAGGATGAAGTTCTCGCCACTTCGGATGAGGCGGCTTGCCCCAGGTTACTAGAAGTCTTGCTCACGCTCATCACAAAGGCCCGAGGATTCAAGTTCTGGATTGTGATCGATGCCGTCGATGAGCTGGAACCAATCGCATACAACACGGCGTTTTCCTGCCTCGAAAGGCTGCTGCAAGCGGACTCTGTTGGACGGATGAAGATTTTAATTACAGCCCGCTCGAAGATCCAATCAGAATTCCAGCAGCAGATACAGCCGGACTACATATCCATCATGGGCGAGGACACTATGCGGGACGTGGACGACTTTGTCACTGCACAGGTTGGACAGCTTTGTGCGGCCATCTCTGCCCATTTTCCAGTGTCTCAACAGCTACGTAAACAGCTGGAAGATGAAGTCCTGGATATCTCGGGTGGTAACTTCCTGCACGCCCATCTAGCTTTGGCCAATTTCTCCAGGCGCGGACTGCCACAGGTCAGGGACGAGTTCTCCAGGCGAGTCTCCAAGATGCGAAACCTCACTGCCGATCTTGGTTCGCTTTATGTCGAGGTCTTCCGGCGCATACCAGCTCACTTCATACCTGTGGCAAAATCAACTTTCAACTGTGTCCTCGCTGCGCAACAACCCTTCAGCCTGAAAGACCTCCACTTCTTCGTCACTTTGAACGAAAGACATTCCCACTTTGAACAGGTCATGGACGAGATGAACACCAGATATGCGGAGCAGCTATCCGAGTTTTGTGGCAGCATTCTAACACTGGATCTTGGGAATCGGGTGACATTCATCCACCAATCAGTTAAAGATGTTCTCATTGCCGACGATCCCTCAATCGGTATCCCTGCCTATTTTTCGACGAGTTTGGCGAACGCCCATGCTGAGTTAGCGGAAAAGTGTTTGCTCTTGCTCAGCTGGGCTCAGTTTGGGAGGCAGTCCCACAGGCTACAACTCGAAAGAAGCCTTGCCCGGATTGAGTTCCCATTCAACCTGCCATGGCGAGAGAGGGTAAAAGCATTTGTCAGCAAGGGACACATCAGATGGTTCCTTGACTTCGGATGCCCGTTTTATGCCATAAAGCATTGGATGCTACACGTTGATTCTGCCGGTCCGCAAGCACGCCGCACCAGGGACTTGTTGGGGTCTTTCATTATAGCTCCCGGCGCCCAGTACTTCCGGTTGGTTGGCAGCGTGCTGTTCTCCGATTCCGAGGCGCGGTTGCTACTTCCCAGCCGTCATTGGCAGCTGCTTGAAACATTCGAAGAGCCACCGTTGCACTTTGCGATGCAGTTTGGTGATTTTCCGGATATAATTCTGCGTCTGATACAGGCTGGGGAGGACGTGAATGAGGTCAACAAACACGGATGGACCCCGCTACACTGGGCCATTGCATTGTCCCGAACACAGTCGTTCCGCACGCTGCTTGCGAGCAGCAAGACGGACCCAAATAGAGGTAATCCCAAAGCGGACAAGCCAATTCAGGCCGCTATTTTGGCGAAACGGCCAAGCTTCGCTCTGGAGCTGCTGCAAGACTCTCGGACAGATCTCAACACACAGGGAACGAGCGGGTACACCACTCTCCATGCAGCTTTCATAGAGAAGCAGGAAGAGGTTGTCAAGTGTCTTCTTCAGGAGCATCGGAATCTCGACCTCACATTGCAGGATGACAAAGGCGTCACACCCATGGAGACGGCATTTCGCACGCGTCAGCCAGGCCATGTGATTTTAGCCCTTTTACGCCGACTCGAAAACCTCTCCAGACCTGGTAGCATCCCATCGGAGTGGAGTAACGCAAACCTGCTACAACATGCGATCGATAACGGTATATGCGATCTCGAAGCATCCATCATAGAGAAAGATCCGGGTCAAATCTTCGACGTAGATCGAGATGGGTTCAACGCGCTCACAAAGTACGCATTCCGTGGGAGGCGACAGAAAGTAGAGATGCTCTTGCAAAAGACGGACGAAGTGAATGGTTTCCGAGACACGGGGAGATACAGCCTGCTCCACCTTTGTGCTCACCAAAACTGGGAGGATCTTGTGAAGCTACTCTACACACGATACAAGGCGAAGGATGTGGAAGGGGATCACGTAGGCCGCACCATGCTGCACTGGTCGGTCGAGAATCTCTGGAGCATGGACACAGTTGACATATCAGGGAAACCTCGAGCGTGGCTAGATCGTCAGGATCGTGACGGGCTGACTGCGTTACACCTAGCGATGCTGCATCGAAACCGCGCAGCAGTGCAGAGGCTTGTTGGAAAGGGCACCGATCCCTTGATCAGCGACAAACATGGCCGCAGTGCGGTTCATATTGCGGCGGAGCAAGGCTTCACAGCAGCGCTGAGAATCCTTCTTGACGATGGTGTCATCGACCGAGGGACGGACCGGGATGGCATGACCGTCATCCATTTTCTTGCCATGTGGGAAAAGGCTCCGCTTATCGAAGAATACATCGGAAGGGGCCACTACTCGGTAAATATTCTGGACAGGCGCTTCCGCAGCCCATTGCACTACGCGGCAATATTTGGCAATCTGTCTGCAACTCGAGCGCTCCTTCTCAGCGGCGCCGACCCGCGCCAGCGGGACTCTGCTCACAAACTTCCCATTCACCTTGCCTCGCAGAGTGGCCACCAAAGTGTGGTCGAATATCTCAGTGAGAGGCAGGGCAGCACTTTGGGCGAGCTGGATGGGTTCAGACAGACCTGCCTGCAGCTCGCGATTAGAAATGGGAACCGATCACTCATCCAGCATTTGGTCAGCTCAGAGGCGATGATACACAATCGGGACATTTTTGGCAAAACGGCGTTACATCGCGCTTGTGTATTGGGTGACGCTGCCCTCGTACATCAGCTGGTCATGCTTGGAGCCGATGCGAAGCATCGCGACCATCTTGGATATGAGCCACTCGATACCGCAATTATCTGGCGTGAATGGCGCGTCGTCAATGTCCTTGTCTCTTTGATGCCTTGGGAGTATTTGTTCCAAAAGCTGTCGAGCTTCGGTCTTAGCATTGAGGAGAAGAGCTCGGAACATATCGACGATGATGTTGGAGGCCGAGAGTGCTTGGTCGAGAAACTCGTGCAATACGGCCTTTGGCTAAGTGCCTTAACCAACCCTTATCTCACTACCTGCCAGGGCGAATTCCTAAGGGAAGGTGTGCACAATGCTATGATCCCAGGTATCGCACAATATCCGAAAATATACACTGCTAGCTCAGAAAGCCGATCGCAGCACGACGACACGAGGAACAGCTCTGTAAAGGTCGGTCGATTCGTCCAAGGGCTGTAGAACTGGCACATGCTAAACGACTTTGCAGGAAAAGGATCATCGCAAGATCCCCAAGCCGAGATCACCTCAAGCCAGCCGTGCTACCGAACATGATAGAACAGATGTTGTCCATTCGAATACCCCGAGGCATAAAACTCATGGATCCTATCCCGAGCCAGGCAAAAGCAGCCACCACCACCTTACGAGTTCCCGTGACAAGCCGAAATCTCGACGTCGAGGTACGAAAGCGACGACGCAGAAAGATTCGTGCGTTGTCACTTAGCGTCAGTCTCGTGGAGGGCTACTTTGACTTAAAGATTTGGTTCCGGCTTCAATTCCATGTATAAATCCAAACTGAAACGACCATGCTTCGTAGTCTAGTAGGATAATAGGCAAAGAAGCCGAAGATTCATTCCGCCGAGCTGGCACACGCTTTTCTCTCCGCTCCTCAAACTGTTCCAAGGTGTAGTTCGTGATAGCTCTTGGCATATGCGCTGCGTCACCTCTGACGGAAGTCGACGGCAGCCAGCCGCAACGGTCGCAATGAAGCGTGTGCAAACAAGCCCCCTTGCTGCTCCAACGCGAGTCTCACGCGCCCCACCATACCGTCTTTATTCCCAAAGAACCGCTGCATCCATCCATCCACCCATTAAGCACCCGAGAACCGCTTCCCTCCCCCATCCCCTCCGACACGCCGCGCTCCCGCTCGACCACTCACAACACCCCGACTCCCCGACGTTCCCCCAAGGTTTTTTGTGGTTCCCCGCCCGCCGATCGCGCGTGTGTGATGTGGGGCCCCTCCCTCCCTAGCCAACCGGATCCCCGAGCAGCAGCTAGCTCGCTTCCGACGGAAGGGCGCGCGCGATGCCAGAGACAGCAGGAAAAAACGGCTGTTCTCCGGGAAAACCCGTCACTGGGTGAAGGGATCATCCCGTCGCGTCGCACCGTGCCGCGCTGCGCCGAGCCGTGCCGTATCGTGTCGTGCCGTGCCGCGCCCATGTGTGTGGTCGGGTCGGTGTACTTTGGGATGAGCGGTGGGTGGGTTGAGGGAAGGGGGGTTTTTTTTTTCGGGGCCGAGACCGAGGAGGGGAGGGGTGGAGTCGTTGTGTCTGTGGTATGTGTCCTGTCCCGTCATGTTTTGTAGAGGACTACAAAGTCTGCCTTCGTGGATCGATCGTGATTTTTCGGGTAGGTCGGTCGGAAATGCCTAGGTATCGCCTTCGCTGAGTGGGCGATCGTTTCGATTAGGTGGACAGGGACGGGAGGGAAGGCTGTTGGCTGGCACCGCGTAGGATCTCGTACCGCCTCAGACTCTGCTGATCGTTGGCCGGCGAGTGGGTGTGGCATGCGCATCTGTATGTAGGTCAGAACGTGTCGCCTAAATATGTTGTTTTGATGCTGCTCTGACGCGATCCCGCGACATTGCTGATGATTGCGCTGGTAGTCGTTCAAGAGGCTGTTCTTGCAATGGCCTGTGACGCCGAATCAGCTGCTCTTTTGGAGTATATAGACCCCCTCTCTTAGCAATGTGTTGATCAACCGAGGGTTGTCAGACCTCTCTTCCGCTTGGTGGGTGTTTCCACCTGTGCCTGTTGCGAATTATCGCGGCCTTGCGTCGATCCTATCCGCAAGGTTCAATCAATGCCGACAGTCCAGTTTGCGGATTATCTACCCACCTGTCCGACATGTGTCATTCAGTGCGCAAGCGAGATCAGCGCAAGAATCGGCATTGGCGCACAGGCGGTTGCGCAGCTGCGGGTGGCGAGTATTGAGTCATGGATCGGAGGCGAACGCATCGTGGACTTTGTAGTTCAAGCTCCGCGCTGTTGGCTACATGCCGAGAATGGAGCTTGCAGCTAGTCAGCTAGAAACGTGGGTTCGTAAGGAGCAGATCATAGTTGGTGCAGAGAGTGTGGTGTCGAGAGGGTGGCGGCGAAGCTTCGCAGAAGTATGGCAAAACAATTCACAAAGAAGCACAACACAGGTCAAGACGCTCACGATCCTCGTGTCCAATTACCCGAACCCCGCGGTCTAGCTACCCAAGCTACTTGATCCTCCCCCGCCACCCCCCTCATCCCAGCGCACCCCACAACCAAGCCGGCAGAACCGCCCTCTCCCTCCTCCTCCTCTCCTCCTCCTCCTCCCTTCCCCTCCGCCCCCGCCTCTCCACCTCCGCCCTATCCTCCTCCCACTCCCTCTCCCACCGCTCCCGCCTCCACCCCGCCACCCCCTCCCCCTCCACCCCCTCCCTCAACCCCAGCACGCCCCTCGCCCTAAACGCCACCTCCACCTCCTCCCCCATCCACCTCAAGCTCACCATCCTCCCCGCAAACGCCGCATTCAGCGCCTCCACGACCTCCACGTCGTGCATCCGCGTCTCCTCGCCGTCGCCCTCCTCGCCCATCAGCCCCGCGACGAACTCCCGCTCCTCCCGCGCCCACGGCCCGCGGTGCTCCCCCAGCGGATCCGCGTATCCCAGCCGCGCGAGCCAGTACCGCCACGCGCGGTTCAGCGCCTCCACCGTGCGCGCGTCGGCCCAGTCGCCGTCGCCGTTGTCGTTGTCGTTGTCGCCGCCGTTGCTGTCGCCGCCGTTGCCGCCGCCGCCGCCGGTCATCGGCCAGGTGTAGGGAAAGGGGAGGGCACGCGCGCCGGCCCGGTGCCAGAAGAGGGTGTTGTGGAGGCGGGCGTGCTGGTCGAAGGCCTGGCTAGGGCCTGTGCCCGCGCTGCCGCCGGCGTTGGTGGTGGTGGTGTTGGCGGGGCGGAGGTAGCGGCCGCCCGGGGTGAAGAGGGTGGTGTAGAAGGGCGTGGGGCCGCCGTTGCCGTTGCCGGGGGTGGTGGTGTTTGGGGCGGGGCGGAGGGTGGTGCGCTCCCAGGTGGCCTGGGCGCGGGCGTCGTCGAGCATGACGCGGAGGCATTGGATGGCCTGGGTGGGGGGCCTGGTGTTGTTGCTGCTGGTGTTGGCGGGGCTGGAGGGGGGGCTGGTGGCGCCGTGCGGCGTGTTGTTGATGATGGCGTCGACGAGGAGGTTGATGGCGGCGGCGGTGGCGCGGGGGACGTCGGAGCTGGATTGGATCAGGCTGGCCATGCTGGTCTTGATGGCTTGCGGCCCGTTGGTGTAGTATTCGATGCTGGCGGCGTGCAGGTCGCGGGCAAACTGCTGACTTTCACCGTCGAGGTGGTTGATGGCCAGCGTGAAGGCTCTGTTCAGCATCATCGTGACTCTGGTGTCCATCTCGTTCTGTGCGGCGTTCATGTTTGCGGGTGAGTTCATGGTCTGTGTCGTCTTGTTCAAGAGCACGGCTGGGTGCGGTGGTTGGTTAAATATATTTCCAGAATATCTGGGCCGAACAGCAGTCACAGGGCCAAGTGTCGGATTCGCTTGCAGCACAATCACAAGCAGGTTATCTGTCAGTTTCACTGGGGCATTGAGCCACCTTAGAGTTAGGTGAAGGCCGAGCATTTCACCCAGTAATGTTCATGCTAAACGCTCACCGCAGCTCTCTTCGCGCAGAGCAAAGTACAGCTATCTAAGTTTTGCTGCCATGATACACTGAAAACTGATGACGCTTGACCGTAAAACTGTGCCCGCGATATCACGAAAGTCGGGTCAGATATTCCAGAGGTTTCGACCGGTAGAACTCCTTTTGCCCAGCTTGGACTCTATGATGAAACACTTCAAACAAGCTGAAACACTACAAAGCTGCACAATGCCGAAGAGCGTCAACCTGTGCAGCAATATTGTGCCTGCTATGCGGCAACTGTGGTGTGGGTCGTGCAATGCGAATCCGACGGGCACCAACCGTTGAGCATCACCCGGGCGAGCCCCACGCTGCCCCTCACATCAATCACCAAATCACGTCAAAGTTAGTGAGGCGCGCTGGTGCCTAGAGTGCTCGGCTATTAGCGTCCCCCAGGTAACCTGTGGGCCTTGGCAGCTGACCAGTTTCCAACCACTGCCTCTGGGGTTACATATAAACCTCCCGTCCATGCCTCATCCTCTCCTCTTCTTCTTCTTTTCCTCATGCTCCCTCGGGCTCTTGGCTTAGGTCAAGAGCAATCTTTGCCCTCGGGCTTAGATTAACAACTCCGGCACCATGAGCCATCGTTGCTCATGGTGCCCAGGTAAGTCTCTTTCATTTTGGTACCTCACAACGGGAATAACGGGGTGTTAGGTGCCCAACACATTTCAGCTCTTTTGCTTGCGATTCATCAATGTGTGTGGGGGAGCACAAGAAAAAGCATCTTGTCGCTAGTGGCGCAGATATTTCTGCGACCAATTTTTTTTTTCGTTGATTGCCTTGGCTTGAGCAGGGCTTCAAGGAAGAACAAACAGTGAGCTGGCAGCGGCATGGATTCCTTCTGAGCGAGGTCGCGATGATTCGTGTCTTGGCAAGCGGTCTTCTCACTGGTGTTGTGTCCGCTTGTCGGCGTCAGCTGCGCCAAGCGGCTGCTGGTCGCTATTCCACTAGAAAGTATGCGCTGCTTGATGACATGATCGTACCGGTATCGCGTCACTCTACTGTGCGCTGCGCGAGCTGCTCTTGTTCATGAGGAAGACAGACCGTGGGTGTTGGTGGCGGGTGCCGCCTGAGCATGCGCAGCGCCAAAGTTCAGATCTTGCGACCGATTCCAAGCTGCCAGGCTTCGCATCTGCCATTGGCTCTCAGCGTCTTGACCTCTCTGTACTGTGAGCGCGGGGGGAGTCGTCAACTATTTATCTTGTGCCAAGTGGAGGTCCGTCTCGAATACGGGGAGTGACAGTGGCGGATGCCGCCATCCAATGCCATGTGCAGCGGCCGACAGCGAAACTCGACACCGCATGGAAAGTTGAGCCTCTGGACGGGCGTCTGCGTCGCGCGGAAACTGCGAGTGACGGGACCACCGTTGCGGAAAGACCTTGCGCACTTGCCCAGTGACGACATCCACCGACCTTCCGCCCAGCACCTCCACTCCACCAACTTCTACCAACAGCAAGCTCACTATACCCGCATCTCTTTCCCAAATAAAAGATAAACTGCAAATCATGGATCCGCCTCGCCTCAACAACCGAGCCTGCTTCCACTTCCTCCGAGCCCTCTACAACGCCGTGTCATCCAGCATCGTCATAACCGACACCGCGTTACTCACCACCACCTCCGCCAAGATCCAGGAGCTCATGATGGACGTAGTCACCCAATCCAATCTACAGATAGTAGTACCAGAACGGATGCCGGTCGTCCAGGCCGGCGGCGAGTTCGACGCCGAGTCCATCCGCATGCACGTCAAGGGCGTCATCCGCGAGAGAGTCGAGCTCCTGCTGCACGATGCGGCCACTCCCGAGGACAGTGTAAGCGCACCCGCTTCCGTCTCTTCGCACAAACAGAAGGCCTCGTGGTGGACCACGAACGCAGAGCACTTGACTAACGCTACCCTCACGCCCGCAGCGCGTCCTCTACTTCATCTGGAACAGATATCTCCGCGCCTTCATCACTGCCCAGCCCGCTGCCGCCGCTGCCGCCGCTGCCGCCGAGACCGTCGCCCAAGCCATCCAGCCCCAGCAGCCCCAGCAGCCCGAGCAGCCCCAGCAGCCCCAGCAGCCCCAGCCGACTCCGAACCTCGACGCCGACGCCGACCACAGGCACGCAGAAGTCCTGCGCCCCCAGCTCCATCGCGTCTGGGGTGAGGAGGAGGTTTCCTACCTGACAAGTCTGTTCGTGAATGACCCGCGTCTCACGTGCGCGGAGGCAACACCCATGCTCAACGAGCACTATGCGGGAAGGATGGTGGATGGGCTAACGTTCACCGAGAGGTCGGTTAATTCGGTAAGTGTTCAAGTTAATAGGAGGGCGATCAGGGATACGGCGATGAGGATTAGGATTAGTGATTGGGCGGGCCAGGTGGACGGGGACGGGGACGGAGTTCGCGGCGAGTAGCCGTGTGTCGCTTGGTTGGTTGGTTGCATTACAAGAAGCAAGATCACTTTGTTGTAAGCGGACAGGGTGGCAGGGGATATGCTATTCTTCGCTATTTTTCATTGCTGGTGCGAGCGGAACAGGTCGTCGGGCTATTGGCATCGTTAAGCACGGTCATTCGAAGATGAAGGGTCTGGATTGTGCCCTGCCTGACACAGCTTCTTTTGTTCGAAACAACTGGAAGTGGAGCGGGCTTACAGTACATACATACAATTGCAGACTCTCTTTTCTACAAGTTTCTCGTGCCAGTTATCCGGTCACAATCTCCGTGCATAGGCATAAGCAGGCCGAGATCGGTTCCTTGAACTCCTAGTGCAATGTGTGCTTTGTCCAACATCTTTCTCACGTCTTTGCCTTCAGTAGAGGAAAATCGGGACAGGTCCATTTGCTGTCTCCGTTTGAGACTGCAAAGCGGTTGGACAGCTGATGGCATTGTTCAGAAACAACCCCTAAGGATACTCCGACGAGTGATGACTGTCATACCGCTTTGTTCTTGACAGTTTCTGCTCTCAGCCATCACGGTTGTTCTAACATCTCTTGAATGGTGAGATTGTACTCGAGATGCCGCGGGGGGCCTTCTACGACCTTCGAGCATGCGCGGGAGAAAACCAGTTCAGGTGTATTTCCAGCTAGGTTTGCAACCGATTGCTCTTTCCACTCCCGCCTGCCGCAATCAGCGCCAGTGAAGTTTCAAATCCAGGTCGCAGAGTGTGTTATGCCTTCCAGAAGATTCTAACACTATCACGCGGGCGTGATTTCCTCAAACACGGACCACTGACCTACAGCCTCGCGTTGCCAGGTAAACAGCGACAGCTGACGGCCCGGCCCGTCTCTCCCCCGGTTTCCCTTCTTAAATACCCTCCTCCTCGCCTCCTCCCAAGCCTTTTCTTCTTCAGCTCTCCCTTTGCCTTTTGGCTTAGATCATGTGCAGTGGTCCTCCTTTTTGGCTTAATCGCCGGGACGTACCTACGGGTACACTTCTATTGATTAAATTGGTTTTTGGAACTCGAAGCCGGGAGCTCTGGGGGCTCCCTATCCCCTCGGCTTCACAGTGTCGCTCGTATTGCACTGCCTCGGGCTGATGCGACCCATCCTGCGGGTTGGGACTTTTTTCGTTGAGCTTCCTTCGCCTTGAGCGGGGACTTGAGGAAGGGAGTTGGATCATGCGACAGCGAAGCGAGCTTCACTTGGGCGCAGATGCAGGATGCGGCGCTGCGCTGTTCTACGCGACTACAGCCGGGCTTTTGCGTCTACCGGTTTTTTGCCACTTCAATCTTGCACGAGCAACTTTCCTCCTACTCCGCGAGTAGATGCCCCTGGGTTCAGCCGACTGCTTACTTCTGCACCAGCCAACGTCATCGCCTTCGCTGCGCATAATGATCATGCCGGCGCCTCCATCGGCGCATACCATGTGGTACGCACAAGCGCGTTCGAGCAGGAAGAGGCATTTGTCGCCCTCTCCAGCGCGTGCAAGTCTAAGCAAAGCTCCTTCCCCTGCGCCGTCTCCTCTGCGCTATCCCGTCTCCTCAATAGCCGACAAGCTCTTAGTACCCTTGAGACCCACCTTTCGGAGTGGAGTACAGCAGCAACATGACCATCCACCGCGAGAACACCCATCAGCTCCGCTCATACCGAAACAAGACCTGGGACGAGCAGCGGACAGCCTACGGCGGGTACGATGCTCTATGAGGCTCGATATCTACTATACGTTGCCACTGCCTCGTCCGCGTCTCTGCACATACTCTGACTGTTCAGCAATGCAGCTTTGCCCGTGGGTCACACAGAATGCCGTTTCCTTCGATACTGAGCTCGCAAGCAACCTCATACCGGCAACTTCTGTCGTCAATGCAGGCGCCCGAGTCACCCGTGTGCACGCCGGGAAATCCAGGCACACGTCCGCAAGTACCTTACAGCCAGACCGTAAGTGACGCGGTTGGTCCAAACACGACGTTTTCCACACGACGCGTTACACCTCCACCCCTTTCTCACGCTCCAATCTACTGAACGAAGACAGTGAGCCAGCCCCAAAGTGACTCGACACGCGTCTTCCGCCACCTGGCACAGCTCCGCCGCTTCCAACTTCGCCGCCGCACATGTTCCGTCACCCGCCTCCTCCTTGCATACCACCCATCCCCAACGTATGCCCCCGTTCCGCGACGAGGCACCGCCAACAGCACCGAGTATCGGCACGTCTCCGATGCTACACACGAAAACGAGCCGGGTCGCGCCGCGCGCGAAATGCGGAGAACGCAGCGGTGAGTGTAAGGGCGCAGGGGTTTGCAGTGCCGCCGCTGTGCTGAGAGGTTGAATTCGGCGGCGCAAGCCGGCGTGGATGGCGGTGGTAAGGCGGCTCGGGGGGGCTGAGTGCCATACTTAGCCATGGCATGCACCGTTTATTGGCTGTCGGGTAGGATCTGAAGTACGAGTGAACGCCTGAGAGACCACGAGCGGCGGGGAAGAAGTGGCGCGTTTTCTGGATGTTAGCATTCTACATGAAGGTGCTATTTGATCAAGCGTCCTCTGAAAGAGGTGATCAGGAAGAAGTGGTTAGAATGGTATAAGCATGGGGTTCAGGGTTGTCTTTTGTGTCGGCCGAAGCATTGTCCATTGGACTGTTTCTCATCCTTATCTTCTCGAGTGAAGTCCCGCAATGAAGACATGGAAAGTTGATTGCAACGATTTGATATAAGAAAGAATAGTCCCGAGAAATGATCTATAGATGACAATTCCAACGCCTTTTCCGCCTTGTATGTATCCCCCATTGTTGTCACAGTATTCCCATCATCTCGACAAACACTCGGAAAAGTGATAAGTTCTGTTCGATATCAGAGTTACTGGCCATATGATGCTCGAGACACGACTTTAGGGTCTCAATGCATGCTCTTTCCTGCCGACGACTTTAATCCTGAACTCGCTATCACTGTTTCGAGTACGAAAATTGACTTTATGGTTTCCAGACATTTTCAAGCGCTCAGCCTCAAAGCCTCGAATGCCATCGTAGAAAAGAAATGTCTCGTTGTCGGTGCGGAAGTAGAAGTTCGACCATTTCTTTTTCATACTCGGAGACTGTGCTGACACTCTAACCCGACATTGTTAGATTTAGATTGAGTACTTCTCCCGATTCGAAGGGCTGGCCGAAGTTCACCAAAGGGACACATCGTATATGCTCCCTGGCAAGGTATCAGCAGTATCAAGCCATGGCTGCTGGGTCTGATTCTGTCCGTAAGCCGCAATGTCGTTGGTAGAAGGTTGCATTGGTGTGTATGGCGTTTCGTTTGGCCGAATAGAGCTCCGACCAGCCGAAGAATCGGGATCAATCCAGACAGCTTCCCAATCCCCGGTCGAAAAAGGCTGCTGAGATCCAGCACCAGCGTCCGTCCAGGTATGATTGCTGATCTTCATGTCGAATTGATTGTTGGTGGCATCGTGCGGTGCACTCGGGGGTAAATTGATATGTTCCACGATCGGCAGCAGAGAGGATCCAGCGGTCCAATCCACTGAAGAATCCCAGCATTGCATCCCAGTATTGCCGATATCGCTGCTGCTATTCGCATTCGGAATATTGGCAGAAGAAATGTTTTTTGAATCGAGCGGCTGAGTCATAGCCGTCTCGTCGAAAGATGGTTCGGGCTGCTGACTCTGCTGGAATTGTTGCACCATGTTATCGTGGCATTGGTAGAATATCCGTGCCATCTCTTCTTTCATGGGTTCCGAGAGACCGGAGAGAAGAGGATTCTGAGTGCTGACGGCGTGAAGTTCGTTCAGTATCAGCTGCCGATGATTTTCACGAGCGTAAGCGCGGAACTCTGCGAGAGGCACTTCATCGTGGTCTTTGAACAGGGGTTTTTAGTAAGAGACCCAGGATGTGGAACATTGTATCAGGGGCAGTACGTACAAGGTGATGGTATGACCTCTTCATCGCGAAAGATGGTCCGGTACACTTCTGTCCACTTGTCTTCTTCAGGCATACCCCTAGGGGACCGTCTCTTCAACACTTTCTCAACATCCCCTCCGAAGGTGTATGCAACGTTTTGCTGAACTTGAACACACTGTTCCGCGGACCTGATGTGTTCTTCGTATAAGGCTGGAGTGTCGAAGGCGGTGTGGCATCTCGAACATTCGTATCGCTCTTCCATATGGGATCTAAGGAGATGCTCCCTATCGACAGTCAGCAATTAAAGAGAATGTTCAAAGCCCATATCATGCTCACTTCACGCGAGCGAAAGTTGGGAAGGCATGAAGACAGGATGCAGCTCGCGTTGCGCATGACGGGTATTTCTGTCTGTATGGACAAGCGAATGTTTTGCGTTTGTGTGAGGTCGCGCGCTGTGCTCGTAGGGGCTGACAGTAGTGAGTATCATGCTGCGCTGCTCAGAGTGTTGAGTATTACCGAATGTAGGGAGCGATGGACGACTTGGTTTGCCTTTTGTTCAAGGCGGGTAGCGTTACCCCTGTAAAAGTGGTAAGCCTCCATGATGCACTAGACTATAACTGCCAGATGGTGAGCAGGGCCTCAAACCTTTTATGATTTTTGGAATTCGGGCGGGTGTGAAATGTGAGAAATGCCTTTTTGGGCGAGGTTAAAGTAGTTTTATACTTGATCCCTTGACCCTAAGGCAACAAGGCCATTTTACAGACTATGTTCTAATACGTCATCTTGCACGGACAACATACCACATGATGCAAGGCGTGGTTGGAAACGCGCATTTGCGATGGAAGATCAGAGGAAAGATTGACAAGTAGCCCCACGGCTTTGCAGCGTTGCGCAATCGAGCTCTGTCCATGCACTGCATTGTTAGAATACGAAGACATATGTCGCATTTGCGACCTTGCCACTTACGCGTCCAAAAACAAGTGGTCCGTCGTCACCGGCCACGCTGACTGTGCGACCACACTGCAGCTCTGCCGTCTGACCGGTTGCCAACGCACGCAGAATAAACAGGCAGACATGAGGCTGAAAGCCTACGTGTGCATGCGATGAATCTCTGTCGCCCGGTCTGGCCGTTGTCTTGTGGCAAGATGTGCGTGGAAACAGAGGTGCTTACAGGAGGCGGAGGCTTATCCGCCAGCTCCAGCTCTCCCGCTTCCCCGCTCCCCACCTTTGCCGCCCGCCCTGCGCGGCTCAAAAAAGCAAAAACAAAAAATCCTCGACGCGACTCGGCGCGTCTCCCCCGCGTCTTCCCGCGCCTTCTCGCGTCGCGCTCCCCATGAGCCGCTGACGTCACAAACTCCAATCCCACCGTGTGGTGCCCACCCTCGCCTTGAGGACACCACACCACGCATCAGTGCCTGCCTCCACGGCTCATTCTCCCACTACCGTCCTTTCTAGATCGAGACACTACATTAGCTGTTTCGTAACGACTGTGGTAACTGCTTCCTGTATGCCACCACTCAGGGGAAAGACCCTGAACCTCGTCGACCGAGCTTTTGTACCGATGAAGAAGTCTAGCTGGAGACTTCGCCCGGAGCTTGACCCGATACTGATCAGCAAGGCTTTGCTGTGCGCAAAGCAACCATTGCACATGGACATGTCTGGGCCAATGCTAATAGATAGGTAAGTTGCTGGAAAGTGCTGGATGCGATGGGTGAGTGGGGTTGAAGTGAAGTCGGCGGTATCCATGTCCATAATTTGACACATATGATCATCTGGGCGGCGCGAACGAACCAACGTTCCCATAACGGGGAGGGAAGGGATAAGACTCAATAGCGAAAAGCCCGCAATCGATTCATCAGTCAACGATTCCCCCAGTTCCCAACGCAGCACAGTGCAGTGAAGCCAAAGAAAAAAAAGGAGCATTGAAGAGAACAAAAAAAGCCATTCACATCTCGAATTTTGGTATCTCCGATAATTAAACTGCTGCCCCCCACCACCATTTCAGCGACTTCTTCTCCTCCGCCCGTACTTTCTCCAGCCACGTCAAGCCAGCTTTCAGTGAAAAAAATAAAAACAAAAAAGAACAAAACCCCGATATTCACCGTTTCGTAGCCGACTGACTGACTGGCTGACTGACTGACTCGGCGAAAAAAAAAAACCAACATCCGCTCTCTTTCGTCTACATCCTCCTCTCCTTTCGTATTTCATATCCGCCATGCAGAGCAGCAGCAGCAAAAGAAAAAAGCATCTCATCTCTCCCATCGGAAGTAATAAGAGGGGGAAAAAAAGGAGTCCCAGCAAACTCCTGCTGCCTCCCAGAATGTTACCATAACACCCGGTATGTAAGAAAAAAAGCAAAAGGACCCTTCGGAAGAAACATTGTGTGCAATGTTGCAACGCTCATGACAAGAAAAAAGTGAAGAAAAAAACGAAATGCCGCCATGAAACGAGGAGGAAAACAGGAACTTCATCAACAATCCACTCCGAGCCTTTTTAGGTGTCGTGGTATTGTATGTATGTAATGTGAGGTGGTCGAGGCTTCTTGCCAGAGAAAATGCTCTAGGAACAAGCCTTGTAGCTCTCCATTACATCGATCGTCGCGATTGTGAGCCGCGTGTGGCGTGCAATAGTGTACAGTCCTTTCTTTTTCGTGGCGCGAGCGCTGATGTCTTTTTTTTTTCGGTTGTTTTGTTTCATGTTTTTTTCTTTACTTTGGGCATTGCGGCATCAGCATCCCCTCTTCCCCCCTCTACTTGGCCTCGGCGGCCGTGGTGCTCACACTCCTCTTTCCCCAGCCCCAGAAGCCGCCGCCGCCGCCGCCGTTGGTGCTCGCCGTGCTGTGAGAGCTACCAGGCGGCTTGGACGATGAGGTGAAGAAGCCACCATCGCTGGTCGCCGACTTTTGCGGCGTGAGGCCGCTCGTGGAGCCGCTCGAAGAGCTCGGCGTGGCCACGCCCAGCATCTTGCGCATGCTCTCGAAACGCGCGCGAAGCTCCTCGAGCTCCTGGCGCGCAACGGCCTCGGCCGTCTTCGCGTTGACCAGCTCAAGAAGGAGAGCATCGTCGCTCGACGGGTCCGGCTGCGGCGTCGACGTCAAAGCGGCATGTGCGGAGAGGGACGAGCTGCGTTTGGCGAACATGGGCGACGCCGACGTCGTGTGCGGAGTCGAGCTACGCTGCCCCGGCGTGGGCGCCATGGCCGATGTGTTGGGCGTCGGCGCGATGCGGCCGAAGCTGTTGCGGGTCTTGGTGGGAGTGCGCATGGTGTTGCTGCGTCCGAGCTTGAACTCACGGAGCCCCTTGTTCGAGTTGGACGAGGATATCGAGTCGGCCGTGTCGGAGCGGGTGAGGCTGGGCACGTCGGATTCGGAGCCCGACCACGTCGATGCCTTGCGTGCCTTTTGGTTTTCGAGCTTCAGGTCCTGGATGTGGCGCTCGAGACGCTGCTTCTCAATCATGGACGCCTGCAGCCGTTGGCGGGTTTCGTCCAGCTGGTTGCGTAGCGATGACGTCTCGGTTTCGGCGTCCAGAAGCTGCCGGGACAGCGACTGCGAGCGCGTCGTCTCGAGGTGGAGCTGCTCCTTGGAGCGGGCAAGGGATTCGCGGAGGTACTGCTTGGTCTCGAAGACGGACGAGTTGCGGCTGTGCTGCGCCTTGGCGGGGAAGCGGGTTTCGATCTTCTCGACAAGGCCCTGGAAGTCTTCGTTGGACGTCAACGAAGGCGGGGTCGACATGCGCTTGTTCTTGAGGTCGTCGATGCTGTTGAGGGGCGAGGTGCGGCGGCGCTGCGCTTTGGTCGTGGTGGTGATGCCCTTGTCCTGCTTCACGCGCTCGACGAGGCCGCGGACGACGCGGTGGTCTTCGCGGCGGTCCTCCCGTTCCTTCTGCAGCTGGGCTGCCAGGTTGGCGTGCTCGCGCTGCATCTCGCTGAGGGCGGTCAGGAGGTCCTCAATCTGGCTGTGCAGGTCCCGGTCGTGGTGCGACATCATCGTGTGCCTAACGTTGCCTGTCTTCATGGACTTGACCGACATGGCGTCGGCTGTCGATTCGCGATTAGTGAGCTCGGTCATGGCGGTGGCCGTGCTGTTGTGGCTTCTACCTGTGCTGTCCGATGCCGCCTCGACCGAGTTGAGAGTCGAGGCGATGCTCTGCTTGGAAGCCGTGCGCTTCATGAAGCTGACGGGCCGCGAAGGCTTGTCCGCAGGCGGGCTGAGCGTCGCCGTCGTGTTTCTCTTGTCCGGGCCCCAGATGCGGCCCAGGAACCTCTGCGCCGCGCTCTGCACTTCGGGGAAGAAGCCCCTGGAGACGGTCTCGTCGCTGGATTCCGCCCTGAAGCTGGACTCGAGAGCTTGGAGATGCTCGCGGGTGACGACGCTGGTGAAGCTGCAGAAGTCATTGACAAGGTCGTCGGCCGACTGCTGGTTGCAGCCATAGGGATCCCAGAGCGAGCGCGACAAAAGCAGCTGGATGACATCCTCAAACTCGGTGAAGGCCAGGAGGCGCGACTCGTTCTTGCGCATGATGGCCAGCGCAACACGCATGATGGTCTCAGAGGCGCCCTCGGCGAAGATGACGTCGTAGATGCGGAACAGCATCGGAAGCGGGCAGGTGACGGCGAAGAAAGACAAGAACCATTGCGAGAGGTAGGCAGCTTCGATGTTCATCGTCTCGAGATGGGCGTAGAGCTCGGGGATGTGCTGCATCATCAGGCGGCGGAACTGGTAGATGCGGAGGTGCAGGCCGGAGAGGTCGGGCAGGAAGCAGGAGCGGAGGTCGTAGTCTTCCATGAGGCTGTGCGCAGTCAGTACACTGCCCCTACACGCCGCAAACAATGGTGTACTTACCGGACCAGCACGCAGAAGGCCTCCTTGTCGCCCATCTGCATGAGAAGGGGCCCGACGAGGAAGCCAAGACCCTGGCAGTACCCGATCTTGTCGTCATACAAGCTGAAGCACTTGAGCACGCGACCGAGCATCTTCTGGCCCTCGCCCTCGGGGTCCCTGAACATCTCGACGCCGGGAAAGCTCCGGCCGATGTCCTTGCCGATCATGTTCTCGTACGGGCTCGATTCGTTGCACAGGCGCTCGTACTGCTCCTCGATGCCACGGTCGCGGGCGCCAGCCATGCTGACCCACGTCACGCCACGCAGAGGTGCGGGGATGCCGGCGCGGATCTTGTTGGAGGTCAGGGTGGGCAGGCGCTGGGCGGTGCCGGTGTAGTCGCGCACGAGGGCGGCCCAGAACTCGAGCTCCGTCATGGGCGGCGGCGAGGGGAGGAGGGAAAAGCGAACGCTCTCGGAGTTGTTCTGGTCCTCGACCATCTTCTTCAGCTGGTTCATCGACGGCGGCCGCGACTGGCTCCGCGAGCGGGCTTTGGACGCGGCGGACTTGGGGTCGGTGGCGATGGCCTGGTTCTCCTGCTCGAGCCGGGCGAGGAGGAGGGCGGTGCTCTGGGCGGGGGGGTCAGCATCAGTGTCTCGGTGCAGGTCAAAGAGAAGCCAACCTCGTCGGAGCGTGAATCCTGCTCGATCTGCTCTTCCTTCTTGTCCAGCTGCTCCCAATCGACCTTCTCGTCCGAGTCGGCGGAGCCGGAGCTGCCGCTGCGCGAGCGACGGCCGATGGTGGATGGTCTGCTCCTGGTCTTCTCTGCGCCGTCGTCCGGGCTCTCACATGCGGTTTTCTGTTCTTCGCCGGCGTGCTCTGCGACGTCGCTCAAGCTCGGGGCAGAGGCCCCTATCCTGCTGTCGCGCGTCTTGTTGACGGTGATCTCGGGCTTGGGCACGGCGACGGCGTCGAGGCTCTGGACGGGGTTGCCGTCGGTGGGCGACAGGGGCACGGTGACCATGGAGTCGGTGGGCAGGGGCTTGCCGCCGTCATGTTTGCGTGAGTTCTGGAAGTCGTCGACGGGAGAGTCGGCGGTCGGCGAGGTAGCTTCGTCGAGCGCCATGGTGAGGAACCGTACCTAGGCGACCACGGCGTGCAGTCGGTGGAGGTGCGGAGGAGAGCGAGGCGCTGGCGGGCGGCGTGCAAGATGATGTCGGCACGGGGATCGTGATCAAGATTAGGCGCTCTGGGCGGCGGCGGGCGGGCGGGAGGCGGCCTCGGTTTGGCGCGCGACAGGCATAAGACGACGCGGCGAGAGCAGTGCGTCGGACGCTGTTTCAGACTGAGTGGTGGGGCGCGAGGGCTGGCCAGACGCGGGTGAGGGAGGTCGCAGCGTCGCGCGGGAGGGTCAATGGCGGGCCAGGTCCGGCGAGCGGGCTGTCAGTGATGCTGGGACCGGGCGGCGGGGAGGGACACCAGCAAAACGTGGTGGAGGGCGGCAGGGAGCTCGCGGTAGCTTATCACGGGCGTGGTTCAGGAGTCGCTCTGGCGGTAGAGGCAGCAGGGATCGCCGCCAGGCATGCGCGCGGCCCCCCCACGGCGCTGATTGGCCCGGCGCGCGATGACTTTTCGCTCGCGGCCGGCTAGCAGCTCTGTTGGCTCTGTTGTGCTTTTGCCTTGGACTGCCTAGCCGCAACCATGGCGCGGGCGACAGGAGCGGTGAACAAGACACGTCCTTGCCCGCCGTCATTCACGTGTGGCCGCCGCTCTCACGCGAGCCCGGCCCCTGGCGCCTCTATTTCGACCTCCTGGCCGTCTCATTTCCGGCGCTATGCAGGGCCGCCGCCTGCTGGCCAGTCCGCTTTATCGATTGCCCGCCCTTTCGTCATCACCCTGCAGCCCAACGCCGCATGCACCTCCGGCTGCCTGCGCGAACTGCTCAGCGCCGCCGCCACTGGCCAGACGCGCCCCGTCTTCATGCGCCCCAACCTGCGGTGAGCGCTGCCGCGCAAATTCTGCAGCGAATGTTCGATCAGGCCGTTAGAACGCAGATCGTAGCGTGCTTCCCGCCTGCCGATCCCTGCTGTCTCGGCCTGTCTCCACCCGAGCGTCCATCATCCCACTGTGCCAGCCCGCCAACGCCAGATCTCCCAGCCCGCACCCGAGCTGCCTTCTAGAAGCACGCCAGCTTATTAGCGCCGCTGCTACGTAACCGGACAACGCGCTGGACCTCGAGAGCTTCCTCAACGTTGAACGCCGATGCCACTCCGATGTGGGGTGCGGGCAAGCAGGTGGGGAGCGAACTTGACGTGGCACTGGCGCACGCACCTGCCTACAGCACAGCGTCGACCACTGCAGGAACAGCCAAGCCTTCTAGACGTCTCAGTGGAGTCCAAGTCCAAGCCGTGAAGGCTGGTGAGCCGGTCTCTGGCATTCTTGTCTGCTATCCGTCATTGATTTTCACGGCACCTTGCATCAAGTGATCCATACATTGGCAGATCGCCGTCTCCGTGTCTCTGTCTTCAGATCCCACAGATGGCCAGCAACTGAGCCGGCACCATCTCTGCCAACAAGCCATCCACGGTGTCGACACCATCGACGGGCCTACGTAGTAGAGTCTTGCTTCACATGCATGTTGCATGAACAAACAAACCGACTGCCATCCTGAGATACGCTAATGAAATGAACAGGCCGGCCAAGTGCCCTTGACGAGCTAACACTCCGACGAGCTTATTCTCCCCCATAGCCCTTAGACGCAGGGACGCTGTACCCCACAAACCCACGCCGTTAGCCCGTCAGCACTATGGCTCGGGAATGTCCATCGAAGGAGCCGCGTGGTCCAAGCCTCTCTGTCTGTTGCCGTCATCGATGTCGTTGGTCGGGGTCTCGTCCACCCGCGTGCCAGAGCCCCCTATCACCCGGTCCCGCCCCCGTGCTTTGTTCCCAAATTCGCTTGCGCTAAACCGCAAGCATATGAACCGTCATCGCCATCGTCCTCGTGAAGTGTGCTGATTCAGCATTGCAGATACCCGCAAAGGCAGGACCTGCAGCAGCATAAGCAGTAGCAACATCGTCTGTTTGCTTTCCTTGAACCTTCCGAAGCCTTCTCACGTGAGCAGTCGAAGTAATAGATGTGAGCATTGAGCCTACGAATATGCACCCCGCCATGCACTTCAACTACCCACGTCCGGACGAGAGCTCACATCCGAAACCGAAAGAGAGCAAACCAACCACCAAGAAAGCGCTAAGCTCCCCATCGATTCCATGTCATCACAGCTTATTCAAGCCCCACCGAGTCCAAACCCAAGAAACCCATCGTATATCTCACCAGTTTGGTGCCAGCAGTCCACTCCAGCCCAGCGCCTACGCATCCGGGTCCTCATTCTCCGCCATCTTGACGCCCGGCGCAAACGCGTGGACCGCGCCCGCAACCGCCGCCTTGCCCCTACGCGTCCTGCCACGCATCGCATTCGGCCTAACGCAGCCTCTGCGAACCCTCTTCCGCGCCGGGCCGCCATCATAGGTCTCGTAGAACTCGTCGTCATCGTCTCCGCCATCCGAGAACCCCCACGCACACGTGCGGCAGCAGCAGAAGCGCCTACCGCGCGCACCCGTCGTCGTCGTCGTCACCATCTTCGTGCGGGCGGCGGGCCTGGCCACCGGGCGCGCGGGGAGGTGCAGCAGGCGCTGCTCGAAGGCGACGTAGGCGAAGAGCGCGAGCCAGAGGTAGTCGAGGAGCGCGAGGCGCGCGGGGTCGAGCGGGTCGGCGTGCGTGCAGAGGAACTCGGCCAGGGCCAGCGTGTCGACGACCGCGTCGCGCCAGGTGAGGTCGGCCAGGCGCGCGAGGTGCGGGTCGAGGCCGGTGAGGCCCTGCAGGCGGCTGAGGACGAAGGTGGACGCGCCGACGAGGACGCCGCAGAGGACGGCGAGGAGGATGAGGCGGAAGTCGGCGTCGTTGATGCCGAAGAGGAGTTCGGGGAGGGTGCGCATTGTGAGAGGGGTTTTTTTTGCTGGTTGCGAAGCGGTCGCGGTTGAGGTGTTGACTGTTGATGGGCGGATTGCTTGAGGGTGAGAGCTTGGATAAGATGATATCTGTGCGCTTTCGGTTGCGGAAGCCTCCGACGAGCTTGAGGATCTTGTTAGCGTATAGGCTCTGTGGGGTAGAGATGGTGCGGACTACCTGGTCGCGTCGATCGTGGAGTTGTCGGGTTGTGGTGGAGCGAGGCAGGTCTGGAAGCAAGAGCGTCTGGGTAGGACGAGACTTCACTCTCCGGTCATGCTTTGCAACTGCTACATCGCCAAGGCTCGCGGCGCCCTTCTCTCACTACGCCTCGTTAACCGAACAGGCCCGTCCGCTTTCCGTCAGAAATGCAGGAATATCTTTGTGAGGCGGAAGCCGACGTGTTGTGCTGGAGAAATGCCCCCACGTCAGACAATTCGCAAACATGGTTTCTATACAATTCCGAGCGACACATTGGATGACAGCTCCAAAATTGACGATACGCAACAGAGCCATCGAACACTGCTTTAGTGACAGTATGGCCCGTCCTTGGAATGCTTGTCCAGATGTCCGCCACCGTGTTGAAACTCGCAATCCCAGAACATCATGCAACAACTCGTCCATCACTACCCCGGCCGCAAAGCCCCATAAACATAAGGTGACTGTTTGAGGAGGCAGTTTCCATGCGTCAAGAGCCTTGCCGCTGCACTATCCCTCACTGACATCCGATGCCACCGCTCCCTCCCCCAATGAGTGCCAACGGCGACAAGACGTATACGATCCCAACAAATTTACAGTGCTCCTCAGTGTCGGACTCCAACGCACGCACGTCAGCTTCATCCCGGCCTCCTTGCCCGTCACTCCCAGCCCAGCGCCTCCGGCTCTATCGTGACCCACTTATACCTGTCCACTGTCGGCGGCAGCTAAAAGGCAGATCTGCGGTCATAGCAGGGTGGCATCAGCCACGAAGGCGGTCGGACCATGCAGTGCTGGTGCCGGAGGATGAGCGATGCGCCATCTGTCACTGGCCGCTGGTCGAGGGCCACGAAAGCAGCGCGGCCCATAACGAAGCAGATGCTCAAGTGACGGCAGAGGCAAAAGAGCCCCGGTTCTCACCCAAGCTAGCCTGTTCGTACGTGGAAAGCTCTGCCAGACTCAACCCCAGCTATGTCAATGCCGTGCTTTGAGTGTGATATACCAGATGCCCCAACGTAGAGTGCTACGCCCCTGCTGCTCGATGAGAGCCCATGTTGTGATCCAAACTCGCCGAATCGCTGTCCATAGCCATATATTTGCTTGAAGAAAGTGTCCTCCGGCCAATTGTGAGCTTCGAGCCGTCCCAAGGTTTCTCACTGGAGGGTAAGGTGACTGGCCTGGTCGGGCGGCCCGTTCGGCAGGTGAGCTTCGGTTTTGCAGAAGAAGCTCGTCGATAGGAGAGATGCCGTCCATTGGGCCCATGCTGCAAGCCTGCAAGACTCTAGGTGAGGCAGCCGCTGTTGCTGCTAACACTGTCGTCGGACCGGCCATGACACCAGCATTGTTCGTCGAGACGGCACGGCGGGCGCTGTTGAGATTGGATCTATCGCGCGCACGCCATGGTGGAATACGTGAGCGCCTCATATCCATACTTCAAAAACGCGCGCATGGAGGCAACCCACAGCATCTGGGACATCATTTGGTGACGCCGCGCGACACGCGTGTGGGCTGGCCACCAACGCGCATGCGCTCGCTGCCCGGCACGAATTTCGAGCCAAGATTGCCACTCGCCATCACAGTGGCAGCGCGGCACCATTGCCCGCCCGTGAGCAAGACGTCCCAGCCAGACGCAGATCAAGCAAGGCGTCGGCGCAAGATACTGGCGCAAGTCAAGCTATCTGGTGGGCATGCGCCAGCCACAGGCAGCGAAGACACTGAGCAGGCGGAGCTCCTCCAGCTCCTCTTAATTTAATCCTCTTCCTCGATCACCAGCTCAAGGCCAGTAAGAACGACGAAAAGAAAGTAAGTTCGCATCAGCTCCAGTCAGTGCAATAAGAGCGACACTGTGCCTCAGAACATGAGCAGTGCTCAGCGGCCCCAAGGCGGGGTCCAAAAACTGGTTTAATCAAGTAAAATGGCCCCGTAGGGCCGTTATAGAGATTAAACTATAAAGAACTTTTACTGCATAGAATCTGAGCCCGAAGGCAAAGAGAGCTGAAGAAGAAAAGAGGAGCTGGGGGCGAGGAGGAGGGGGGTTTTTATGGAGGTCCCGGAGGCAGAGGTTGATCCGGCGGCACGGGGCCAGCTGCGCGCATTGGCACAGCAACCGACCACGCTAGACCAAAATTGGAGGGCTGGTGATCACCGAGGGCCCGTGGTTGCTTCAGTTAGGCAGGAGCTACGTCATTGGTGGCCTCCGGGACTTGGTAGGTGAGCACCAGATCACGCAGAGTTCAATGCAGGCTATCATTCGGGCAAGCGCGGTGAAAGCATCATGCGTAGACGCAAGAGATAGCACACGTGCAGCTCTATGAGCGCCGTTAGGAGTAGTAGAATGGACGGCAGTGGTCGCTGAGTGAGAACACCAGAGCCATGCGTAGGCAGCCATTTCACTTGAGCGGGCTGCAGCGCGCGGCGCGCCGCGCGCCGCGCGACACCCACATCCAGAACCTGACATCTGTGTCCCGGCATGAAGACGCGTATTCACCATAGGCTGCTCCACGTATGCGCTGGCTCACCATTACAGGAATCGCGACGGCGCAGAGCTTTAGGAGTGCGACATCAGCCCACATCCTGCAAGCGCGATAGGTAGTCTGCTGACAACCGCGCTGCGCCTTCACCAATCCCCCGCATTCGATCCTCCACCGGTAAGCATGTCCTGACGCATTGTCAAACCGCAGCGACTTACAACATGACCAGAGCTCCATGAAAGGGTAGCTATGCTGGTGGCACACAGCGCGCCTGTCACCAATCTCGCAGTGTTACAGCCTCAGCCGCCCTTGACTATGCAGTAACATCGGTCTCAACACTTCACTTGCTCGCTTTGGGGGCTCAAGTGGCGCACCTGGAATACGTTTTGGTACTACACAGACACTTTCCGGGATTGAAGGCACTACGCATATCGGAACGGTGCGTTTTGCGCAACGGCGCACTCGATGTGAGGCTGATACATTGACAACTCGGCAGCACCGGGTGTCAGTCTTGTCGCAGCACTCTAGTCTTTACCGCGGGTCACGCACTCCGATGAGGGCTTTGGATCGGTTCCAGCCTTGACTTGGTACACCACAGCCTCGAGCTGACGCCGATCTGCAGACTGTCAGCGACATTGGACCTACAAACGGAGGCATGTATCAGCCCGCTGAATATCAGCCGAGGACGCTACAGGAATCGAGCCCAACCCACATTACCGCAGCTGAGGGGTGCTTTCTCTCAACAGACGTTCGATCCATGCCTACACTACAGACACTGTCCGAGAACTTTGCTCCTGCATAGAACGACTCCTTGCTCGCGATACCCAAGTCGAGAGATAAGCGGACTTCGTCAAAGACAGACACTTCCCAGAGCACGGGACTAGGTTCTCCACGTTGAGTAGCCAGAGAATCAAACACCAAAGCAGACGTCTCTCTTACCGGGTGTCGGTTTTTACTTGTGATATCAATCAGATCTCTGAACGTGGCATCGCGGTGGTCGTTCTTCGTACACGGCTGATACATACCCGAGATACTCCATCAGGATGTATTGCTTTACATAGAGCGACACTCCCTCAATCATCATTGATCCACACATTTTGGTGTCGGACTTTCAGCGGTCAAGTCGCCATCGAACCATAAAAGCCCTTTCGTACTGATAACAGCTTAAGCAATGTTGATTGCTATCAACCTTCCGACCATGGCTTTCAGTGTACCAAAAAGCCATATGCTGTAGTTCTCGTTTGGTTCATAGCAAAATGCAATCGCTGCAGGGTTCATTTTGGCTGCACGAGGGCATTGCAAGCTACAAGTGATTTTCATGGAAAGCCTGAGCGGAACCTTGTCTTTTCGTGTTTTCGTCTTGGTAGAGGGATTCAAATGCAGATTTCTGGCTTGTTCTGGCACAGTGTCTTGTGGATGGATGCTTTGTGCGAATGTTGGAATTTCAACAGGTGATTGAGAGTGCGTGAACGTGAAAATCTCTCTGAAACCCCAGCTTGGTATCCGATCGCGATATGCTCCTCTCTTTCCTTGAGGTCATTGCCGAAGCTACGGTTGAGCGGAACCAGTCGGCCATTCCATGTTGTGTTACTGGCATGGTTTCCAAGTGCAGCCAGAGGTCTGCATAGAGCTTGTCTGATTAGAAAGTTTTGCAATGAATCGCGAAGGTGTCTCAAAATCCAGTGACGTCAGTAGTTCTCGGCTGACGCAAGCTTTCGCTTCGCGATAGCTGATGGAGGGGTGGTGGCCCGGTGGGGGCGGCAGGGCCGCCGTTGTCGTTACGTGCTGCACCCCAACACAACCTCCACACCTTCACCCCCGCAACTCCAAGTACCCATCATGAACCCCGGATCCATCTAAGCGCAGATCAGCCTAGCTTGAGAAGCCTCGTCGAGCAGCCTCACTTGTAGTAGACCGTCGCCCTCCATGGATCGGACTCGACCGCCCGTCGTCCAACCATTCGTACGAACATCGGTAACGTAGAGACTTGACAACGAGTCAAATCGGCAAGGCGGACGAGGACGCGATCGCGTTCAGACTTTGAAACAAGCCAGAGGAAGGGCCACCGCGCCCGTCGTTTTAAAGCATACGCCTGCTACGTGGCCGGAGCGGACAGGACCAGACACGGACGGGCCAGGCCAATGGTGACACCATCTCTCATTGGAATCACCGAAAGCCTCAAAATAAGCTCAACGGTAAGCGTTCGTGACTGCAAGTGGACCTGCTTTGGAAGACGCTAACATCTCACCGGGGAACCCACTAGGCCGGCTTTCATACTCATTCAGAGCTCGCATGGAGTACTTGCGCCTCGATAGACACCTCTCGCTACGATCCATAGCCATTCGCCAAGAGAAACACTGTGTAGATTAAAGAGTCGAATCCCGATGAAGTACACAGATAAAAACACGTCAGCGTCGTAAGACACATTGTCGGACTGGCGGTGACTACCTAGCTCGTAGGGTTAGCCCGCACCATGCACGAAATTGCGTACAGGCGCCCTCACGCATCTGCATGGCTACCTGATGGCTTGTCCATCTATGGTTGGGCATCAACGCTGGCATTTAACAAAAGTGGTCTCCCTGATTGCGGGCCCTGGTTATCTCTCCGATGTAGGCGACGTTCGCGATGCCAACTTTGGATTGCTTTTTTGTTGGATAAAAGTAGGTATTTCCTGCCATCGTTCTTCGGGAGTAAAGATGAGCGCTTACACAGAAATCAGAGACGGGCATCGTCGCCGGCCGTCCAGATCGTCAGTCTCAACGCACTCGAATGCTGTCTCCCTTAGTCAGTCATTGTTAAGTAAAATGCCTAAAAGGAAGCGCTCAACTGATGGCTTGCAATCATAGCTACTCCACAGCCGAATCCTCAACGATTTTCTTGTCCATACAAGAAGAGGTTTGCACAATGCGAGAACCTGTTAACTCTTCCCACTTCCTGTACCCACACTTGGCCGGATGTCTCTCGCCTAAAGTAAGATCGAAAACGGAATTTCCAAAATGTTTCTAATGATTTCTTCCAGAGAGCATCTGTTTCGATGCCACGGTCGCAAATTCCAATGTGGAAGATGTCATGTGGATTTCAACAAAGACGAGGCCGCATTTGAGAATCACCGACTTCCACATCAAGTCTGTCAGCCACGGACCAACCCCTCCTTGACAGAATTTCCAAGAAGCACATGGGATGAGTTGAAAAGGAGATCTATCCATCGGAAGCCTGGAGACAGATGGCGTGATATGTACAAGATCCTCTTCCCAGATGCCTCAAACATGTCGAACATCCCGTCTCCTCGTAAGTATTTTGCGACTTCCATTATTGAGACAGGCGTTGAAAATTCAGTATGGCCTGATGATTCTTATTTTATCTAGACCATGAGAGCGCTACCGCCTATCCAGAGTTTGATACTCGACGCTTGTTGGAGACGGTCAGGACAGCACTTGAAGCATCATCCGCCCCTGAGCAATGCCACGGGGAAATAATCGACCTCGTAGAATCAGGTCTCAAGAGTCAGACGTACCAGAGTCAACAAGACACCTCACTGTACCCCGATGATCGAAACGATGGTCAATATGCCAACTTCAGTGCTCTTTCTAGAGAAGAAGGTGCAGGAGCAGCGACCCGCTCAAATGGTTCGCTATATGCCGGAGAATTCTCCGGATATGAGCATCCTCCGGGCTCCTGGACGCAACCCTCAGCCTCTGGTCTGAGCTCAGCCTCGACTCAACCTGATTCTTTCATTGATGGCACATCATCCGAACTCAATATCCCCCATTGGCCGCCTCAACAAGGCGAGCATTCGAACGCGCACACCGAGGGGTGGGAGCCTTTCGGTTTTGGTCAGTATCCTGATGCGCCACCAGCGTTTGCGGAGACATCCGTCACCAATCAGCACAGACACTCTCCACACTGCGAAGTTCAGCCTGAAGCCTATGAAGTCCAAGGCAATGGAGGTGAGCAAGGCTGGCGCGCTTATGATATTTGATTTGGAATGGGAATGTGCCAATGATCCTGGTTATTCCTTCGTTGGACTCTACAAACGGCGGCTATTAGATTGGGAATCACCCCTCTCTTTTGCTTTTGGCAATGACGATCACGTCTGTCGCTACTTCTACCATTTTGGATTCATTTGGATGAGGGTTTGGTCAATAGACACTCGCATTGGCTGGGCGGGTTCTTGCAGACAATGAAGATACATTTGGCATGCAAGCTGCTTTTGGATGCAGTCAACAGCCCGCAAGAGCAGAGCCTCGTGCTCCTGAACGCCTACGCGTGCGTCCAAGGCTGAGTCTTTGCGTCAAACCATGACGGTGGGGTCAACGCATGCAAGTCGTCGTATTCGGAAGAGCCGCGGAGGCAGCACCGGCTGCCTTCTGGCTGCCTTCTTTTAGTGTCTGCCTTGTTCCGCTGTGGACCCAAGATATGCCCTGCCGCAGCCTCGCAGCCGAGATTACGCATTCAGCTCCCACCGCAGTGTATCCACACCCATTTCGGGCATGATTGGCCAACCGGAGCCCCGCAGATCCCAGCTGAGGTCCGCATGACCAACCGCCACGCTGGCAGTGCCTCGAGTCGCGCGCGGCGTGCGGCTCCCTTACGCGGCTGCGCATCAGCACGCGAAGGTGTGCATGCATGCTGCTACGATTTCAACTTGTGAGCATCTATCCAAGCCATAAAAGTGTGGTTGTCCGCTCGCACTTTCTCAATTGACACCAACAGCATTTTTCACCTTTCCGAAGAATTTTCCAGCAGAGCCTCGTCTTCAGAACTCAATTTTTGCCTTTCCAATGTCTCGCGGGACCGTTATTGCAAAAAAAAAAACGCTAAATGCTGTAACGCACCTTGACACCTTTTTTTTTTTCACCCCCTGCTGACATCCCCATCTCTGGACGCAGAAACTGAGAGCTTTGTCAATTTCTTTATGCGCTCGTTACCGGTCCAGATACCGTGGACTAGCTCTATCTCAGCTTGCAGAAAATTCTACCGTCCGAATCTTCCCCGCCGTGAGCTTTCAGACCCACCAACGCTTTGAAGATTGCCGATCGCGGCACTAAAACATACTTCGTCGTTCAAGCGGCTCTGCCAATGCCGTCCCGCCAATGGCTTCTCATCTGGGAGGAGAAAATGCCGACGAGCTCCGGTATTTCGCAGAGCCACGATGAAGCTCTTATAGGACAACGTGAAAGAGAGAAATAGGCTGATCCCGCAAGTGAGATGGCCGTGATTCTGCAAACATCGGTCATGCTGACAACACGCAGGGCGCTTTCTAATTACATGTGTCGTATGCTCACTACTACTGTAGGAACCCTCTTGAACCAAGCGGATGACATACCGCCGGGCACTCATCTCAGGAAGACACATCGAGCGGCTTCAACTTTGTTAGGATCTCTTGTTGACTCTCACATGCGCGCTAGTGATTCCAATGACCCTGATGACAGACAAATGCCTGAATCTAGACAGTGATTCCCTTGATATGTCTCTTTTCTGCCCAATAATATAATCAGGGACATTTTATAAGTAGATACTCCTCCGTAGTTGCCGGTGGCATGCACAATCAATTGCGATGTTGTGCGAGATTCTTGGTCTTTATCAAGCTCTGAGGCTGGCAAATGCGGGCTCAGCTCGGGTTCTTTCTTCAGCTTCGAGGATGGAAATCTCAAATACCATCCATCATGTAGCGGGCCCAGATGCCCGTACCAGGGAAATCGAATACGTCATTGGGAAACTTCAGAAGAAGCGCTGAGCCACTGCACGTGCAAGGCTGTTATCCCAAAATGTTCACCGGGCTGCAGACCGCCTGGTTCGGGCGAAGCAGGCGCTCCTGTAGCATGACCGCTTGAGCGGCAACAGCGCAACCAGCCCTGATTGGGCGGTAAGTCATGCAGGATAATGCAACCCGGCGGGATGCGCTCTGATGAGTCTGCCTCGAAGACGCCGCGGTGCCAACGCAAGGACAAGGACGCAGGACATGGTAATCAAGGTGCAATGTCTGCCAGTAAAAGCTGCACACGGGTATGCACAGCCTGCACGTATGCTCCACCCAGGCGTGTGACCGCTTGACCGAACTCTCAGATGCGTATTTCCACCGACGCGCCTTTTCAGCCTCCTGATCCACACACACACAAATAAATCCGCCGCCGCCACCCGTGCGAACGATCCGATCCTACCATTACCCCGAGAAGTAATCCGCCCCTCGTCTCCGGTGGGCGCCCGCTTGTGCTATTGGAGAAGACTTGGGACGTTCGACATCATTTCAGGCCTCTACCTCACTTTGCCGTGCCTATTCCCGCCATACTTCCGACTAGTAGCCCACCATACCGCCCCTTCGGCGGCTAAGAGACCGACGGCACTCTCAGGTTGCAGCGCCGCCGCTACCCCACGTACCACGACAGGCTTGCCGCATGAACGGCCATGAGTACCCGTTTCGACCTGCAGCGCAAGGTAGTCACAGTTTAGCTCAAGGCGCACGCCGCGGCAGTTCCGACAGGCTTGCACCTCCACGCCAGCTCAGCCCCGATACCGCAGAATCGCAGCCGCGCCTCGCCTGTCCTTACTATAAGCGCGCGCCCAACCAGCCCCCCAAGCGGGCGTCTTGCATTCATCCCGGTTTTCCCAGCATCGCGCGGTTGAAGTAAGTGTTCGAGAACAATGGTGGGCATGGCCCGGTGCTAACATGACAAAGGGAGCATCTGTACCGACGTCACCAGATATTCTGCTGCGTTCGATGCAACCAACGCTTTGATACAGAAGATGAACATGACCGACACGAACGAGAGGCTCGTTCCCTCTGCTGGGACCGCGGGTACCAACGAGACTACAACGATGGGTTCGATCAGAAGCAAAGAGAACGGGTGAAGAAGAGAATGAAGGCGAGCGAGATAAATACAGACGAGAAAAAGTGGCGGGAAATCTTCCGTGTACTGTTTCCGGAGGACCAGGAGATGCCTTATACGCCCTGTAGGTTCTCCCGCTACACGTCTGTCGTCCAGCTGCGACGGATGCTGACTCTTCACAGATTGCCATGGCGCGCCTTCTTCAGAGCTGGATAACTACCACCGGTACTTCCAAGCCCATACCGACCGCGTTCTTCAGCACAGGCTCGGCTCGACCCCGAACGAGGCGATGAAGAGCCTCGTGCGCGACGTGCAAGAGCAGCTCTTCGAGGAGTTCCACGCGTTGCAAAGCGACGACGACCGCAGCTCCTGCACTTCTCGGGCCAGCACTCCAGTGAGCAGCAACGCATCTCCAGGGCCTACTTTTGACTTTGGCTTTGAGGAGGACCCGCCAATTGCCCCAGCCGATGATGGGATGCAAAACTCGGCGACGATTTTCTTCGGCGAGGTGGTCGGAGGGGAAGTGACGGTTCCCAATCCCCAGCACGTCTCGTTCCAGTACCAGAGCACTCAGACGCCTCAGATCGTTCTATCCCGGCCCTTCTCACCGGGACCCCAGGCGTGTGAACAATTCAGGCAGGTCAACAACATTGCGCACGTCAATATCGCCGGCAACTCTCACCCAGTGTCAGCCTACTACAACAGCTTCAATGGTGGGGAATCTGTTGGGAATCTCTTTCCGGTCAACCATCAGGTCCAAACAGATGTCCGCATCTCGGATCCAGACATGGATGAATGGGTAGATCCGTCGGCTACTGGTCCCAACGCCTTCGGAACCTAATCTGTCTTCTGACGTCAGCTGTTGGGCGGCTCTCTTGCGGGATCGAACACAGTTCCGAGATTCCTTACGACAATTCATGATTTTCCCTTGTCACGGCCAGCTTCATACTTTGGTTCTTGGGGGTTTCAACCAGGGTTGGTAGGTTTTTAAAAGCTATAAAGACTCGGAAAAAAATTCAACGACGGATGTGAAGCGAATGAGATTTTGGCGTCGGAGTCGGTAGTTAGCAATCAATGGACACACTAGGGACACTTGTAGCGCGATGAAGTTGTGAATAGCACCGAGCTTCTGCAGTCTCAGACCCATGGACCCGGCCGGGGAGACGGGCCCCGAGCGGCGCCGAGAAAAATGACGCAGCGGGGACGGACGGCCCTTCCTTCACCGCCTTTGCATCCACCCCGACCCTAGCTCCATATTCTCCACACCGCAACCGCCGCCGCCCTGTCAAAAAGTTCGCCCCGTCACCACCACTTCCCACAAGAAAACTCCCCTATTCTCCCACCTCATCCTCCCTCCCTCCCACCCATAACAACCACAACCACCACAACCTCAACCTCCACCACCACCACCACCACCACGATGCGCGCCTCCACCATCCTCGCCGCCGCCACCACGACGGGCCTCGGCCTGCTCCCCCCCCTCGCCGCCGCCGGCCTCCGGCCCATCCGCAAAGACATGCTCATCTCGCCTTACGCGCAGCTCCCCTTCTCCGACCTCCCGATCCGGGTCGCCGACGCCGGCGGCCACGGCTTCCAACACGTGCAGATCCCCGTCGCGTGCGCGCGGTGCTTCCCCGCGGATCCCACACGGCCGCGCAAAAACCTGCAGGACGGGGTCCTCGAATTCGACTTCCGCATCACGCGCACGCTGGGGCTCGACGGCGACGACGGCGCGCAAGTGAACGGCTTCACCGTGTCGGACGCCGCGTTCCCCGTGCGGAGCGGGGGGGATGCGAATGTGGCGGGGGCGCTGCGGTTGTTCGTCGCGGAGGAGGGGCAAGTCGCGCCGGAGGTGGCGTTGGAGGGCGACGTCGCGTTTGAGGAGGTGTGGCGGAATGCGTCGCATCTGGTGTATGGGGTGCAGTATAACATCACGAAGGTGGGGGAGGTGGTGCCGGGGGCGCCGGCGGGGTTCCGGTTGAGCTACATGCGCGCGCCGCAGAATAGCGTGTTGCGAATCGAGCAGGGGGCGGGGAATATCGAGGGCGAGAGGTACCCGTTTGAGAAGCCGGAGCTGTGGGTCGATGTTGGGACGAACGAGGAGGGCGGGGCGAGCGAGCATTTCGCGTGGCGGAAGGAGCTGGATTGGTTGAATCGCATGCACGCGGCTGTGTATCCCGGGTGGGATCAGGAGTTTGTGAACTGCAAGACGACGGCGTGCAGGGTGAACAAGATCCACACCAAGGTTACGAAGGCGTATGACGAGTGCGTCGTGCGTGTCGAGCACCCGGATCAGTTTGAGGGCGGTGTCGTGCCGCCGGGGTGTTATGTGTTGCTGGCCGGCTACTATGGCAAGCGGAACATCATGTGGGTGGGCTGCGCCGTTGTGTTCGCCATCACCCAGCTGTTGAAGAGGAACTTGGAGGGCCAGAGGAAGAAGGTCGAGCAGGAGAAGCAGCAGGAGGAGCTGGACGAGCAGATGCTGGAGAGGAACGAGGATGACATCGTGTCGTACATGATGGAGGTTGAGGCCAAGGCCAAGGGTGCTACTGGTGCGGAGCCGGCGCCCGCTGCTGTCGTCGAGGAGGAGACTGTGAAAGCGAGGAAAGGGCACCAGGCTTCGGAGGAGTAAAGCTGTTCGACGACGATGGTGTTTGGGGAAACAATTCAAAATGCAATGTATTCATTCACTTTGTCATTGGGGACTTATGAGTGGGCATGAAGGCATGTACGATCATTGAAAATAGACATAGAACTGGTTTAATACTAATACGCTCGAAGCCATAGACCAATGCTTTCATCCTTTTGCAAAATTTTCCGCCAGCCCATCCTCGCCTAGACATGTTTGAAAGCAGAACCACAATTTACATCCTCGCCTAGAAATATTTGATAGCGAAACCCAAACCCAGAACCCCCGCCTCCATACCCATCCGCATCCACCTCGCCCTTCCCCCAAAACCCTACCCCGCACCTCTCTACTCCCCCCGCATGATCCTCCTCTTCTCCAACACCCACCCCACCCCCAACAGCGCAAACATGCCCACCTCCAACTTCGCCTGCAACAACGGATCCTGCACCTCGCCCTCCCTTCCCGGCACCTCATCAAACGCCGCGACGCCCGGATAAAAATACGCGCTCCCCTGCGTGACCCAATACAAGCCGCCCAGCACCACCGCCGTCCGCAACCGCGCCAGCTGCGCCTCCCTGCGCACCGCGACCGTCGACATCGACGTCGTCGACTGATCCGCACCAGACTTGATGGTTGTTGCTTTCGTTGTTGTCGTCGTCATCACGTTATCATCATTCACGACGACGGGCGACGGCGTCCAGACGTGGTAAAGGGTGGCGAGGCCGAGCAGCAGGCCCATGGACATGGTCTGCGCGTTGTGGAACTTGGCGTGCGGCAGCCACAGCGGGTGGTAGATGTGCGTGTCGTTCCAGTCGGCGAGGTAGCAGCCCAGGCTCGTGGTGAGCCCGACGAGCGTGAGGAGGATGCGGCCCGCGGTGGGGGGCTGTATGAGGCGCGGGCTGCTGCCGGGAGAGGCCATGGTGCTTTTTTTTTTTTTGGCGCTTTCTTTGGCTTTGGCTTTTCGGGGGAGGGGGAGAAGGTCCGTGTGAGGAGAGGACGGGACGGCGTTTTCTTTCAATTACTTTGGTTGTTGGTGGTGGTGGGGGATTGCCACGTCTGGCCTCATACACTCCCTTGCTCCGGCTGCTCGGACTGCTATATATGTCGCTGTACTAGCTTGGCTAGCCTTTCCGTTTTCGACCCCTCTCTTCGGCCTCGGGCTCGGTCAGGGAAGCTTGCTAATGATCGGCGGACCGAGTCTAACTCCAAGACTCCGGGGCGGAATCTTCAGCAAGCGGATGTAAGACGGGGTGTCACAGAGCGGGGCAGGACAGCCGCTAGTCTTCTTCCGCTCGGGGCGTCGGAGAACCGTACAACGGCAGAGGCGGAATGATGATCCAATATGGGTACAGGGAAGTCGGGCAGCTTCAGCGTTTCGTTTGACAGTCGTGTATTGAGGAGAAGGGATGGTGCGCCGTATATGTATCCCAGCATCTGCTCCGCATCCTTGAGCGCATCACCTTTTCCCCCGCCCCGAACTCCGGGGCCGGGGCGGGTCCTCGTGAGTGGCCACAAACCCAATCCAGGATTGGGAGTGGATGACAGGAAGAGCCCCACTACTTGTACTGTGATCGACCAAGAACTGCAAGCGTCCGGTTCGGTTCGGACGCGCTTAGAAGGAAAGCTTTATGGATCCGAATAAATAAGGGAGCCGCAATCGCATGAACGGGGCTGAAGCGGAAAGTTTCCGTACTCAATGATTTTTCACAATACATACAGTCGGCATTCGGTGTTCGGCCGATGCTGACACGCAGTACGGCACAAAATATACAGCGACCGGAGAAGATGACATCGGTTCGGGCACGGGGTCACAAGTGCAAGAATTGCCGTGTGCATAAAAAGAGATCGACAAAGGATCTGAGACACCCTTAACCCAAGATCTGCAGGCATAAAACTTCGTAGGGAGCCAGAGAAGTGGGTAACGGGTAAGATGCTCGGAATGAGAGACGACGAGAGTTCAATTGGGTAAAAAAAAATTACTGCCATTTGGCTTTCATCATCTAGGCAGCTGGTGGTATCATACAAGCCCCGCCTAGGCATCCTCCTCTACCTCTTAGGTATCGCTAGGCAAAAGGAAATTCTAGAAGTGAGGTGAGCATGATCATCAATCCTTCGGTATTCATTCTTGGGTGCGCCGCGAAACCAACCCTGCCATTCCGGGCCCTCCCACCGGGCGCTCGACCCTTCCCAATGCCTCCCTGCCAAACGCCGAACCCGTGTCAAGTATGTCAAGTTGTAATAGTTGCTCTAGATGATTCGTGATGGAGATCTGTTTGAAGCTCTTCTGGCAAAAAGCGCGCGCACTTCACGCGCATCCGAAAACCTTCAGGAAGCCCCACAGCCCACCGGCGGCGAGAATGGGGATGGTAACGTTATCATCCCAGCCGAACAGGTCGATGGCCTCGCTAACGCTAGCCACAACCCCAGCCACGACGCTCATGGCGCCGAGAGCCAGATTGCCGGTAATGGTGCCCTGGTCGTTGCTCCATCCGAGGGATTCCTTGACCGCCGCAGGCAGGCCCAGTCGGCCCTGGAACGCAAACGCAAAGTCTCCCGAATCGATGCCCGGGTTCTGGAACTCCACGCTCGGGGCGACCCAGCCGTAGAAGGCCGCGGCCGTGATGACGCCCATGACGACGGCGGCCAAGCTGCCGGCCAAGCTCTTGCCCTGGCGCACCTTGGGTGTGTACCTGCCCCATCTCCTGCCCGCAGTGCTGGCGGCCGTGTCGCACCAGCTCAGCAGCATCACGGCCATGACGCCAATGTCCTTGGGGAAGAAGCGGAGTGCGGCCCACGCGCCCAAAAGATACCAAATGACGCCATTCCAGCCGTCGACTTCAGACTCGCGCATCAGCGCGCCCAGACACCGGATGTAGAAGCGGTTGAAGGATGGGAAGCGGTGCCGTATGACGTCGGTGGTGAAGATGGGGATGAAGAGCGAGAGGAGAACGGGGTGGATCTGCGACGGTTGCGCGTACGAGGCGTAGAGCCCGAGGGTGAGGAAGCCGATGGAGGTGTGGAGTATTTTGCGAGGGATTTCATGCCGGTGGATCTGGACACTGTTAGCTTCCCGCCGGCCGGCCACAGGCTCGCTGGGCAGAGCGAGACGTACAAAGTTCCGCCATTCCTGGTGGATGGGAATCAAGCCGAGCGGGCTTGGGCTCCGACTCAGACTGCGCCAGTATTCCTTGTTCGAGCTTGCAGTGTATGGCGAGAGATGGCCATTCGACGAGCCGTTCGGCAGAGACAGGTCCTTCCTGCTCCTGCCCGTTGTTTGCGCAGCCGCAGCGTCATGTAACCGCTTCTTGACCGGGCTTCTGCTGCGGAGACGCGAGCGCCGGCCGAGCTCGTCGGAGCCCGAGCTGCTGTCGTTCTCGTCGATGGGTGGGGGCGAAATGATTTCGGTGTTGCTGTTCATGCGGCGCGCGGCGGAGCGCGTGAAGTAGCCGCCAGCGCTGCCATTCTCCGAGGGAGTGGGCGACGGGCTGATGACGCGCGGCGTCCTGGGCACCTGCGATCGGGCTGCGACAGCCATGGCGGGATACCAGCAGGCGGAGAAAGGTGGAAGCAGAGACGGGCGGACGTAGCCGGAGAGCGACGAGGGTGCGGCGGACCAGAGGTCGGAGAGGAGTCGGCAGAAGGCTGGAATGTTGTGCGAGCCGGGTCTTGTCACAGGGTCTTGTGGCTGTGGCGAGGACACTAATGGCAGCGGCAGAAGGGTCGTCGTCGCGTTGGGGGCGCGTGTTGCCGACGCATGTTCTGTCGCGTCGGAGTCGGCGGCCAGCGTGGAGGTTTATGGGCTGAGGAAATGGAAGGCGGCGGAAGGGGCGCAACAGACGGATACAGCCAAGATTGCGAGCAGGAAGTCGGCGGCCCCGGGCAGCCTTGATTTTTTCCATTTGCGATGCTGGCCCGGCCGACTCGGATCGCACATCATCGCGCTTCCGGCCGGCCAGTCATCCGCACCGGCCTGAACCAGTCACCGCTCGCCCTGCCGCCCTGGCCTGTCGATGAATGCCCTGTTTAGACCCTGATGCGCCCGCCCACGTGCACGTGCTGTGCGCGACTCGACGCCTCCGCTTATCGATAGCTGCTGACTCGCCCTTGAATTTTTGCGCCGCCAAAGCAACTCGAGCGCATCCAAGCGCGCCGCATCCACCGGCCGCTACCAACCCTCGCCCTTCGCTCTCGCCCCTCGCCGCACCCCATCTCTCGCCATGGCTCCCGAGAAGCCGAAGAACCCCAGAGCATGGGATGCCCTCACGCCGCCGCTGTCGCAATGGGTCCTGGATGCCGTCTCCAGCATGGGCTTTGAGCGCATGACGCCCGTCCAAGCCAGCGCAATCCCGCTCTTCATGGGTTACAAGGATGTCGTCGTGGAAGCTGTAACAGGCAGCGGAAAGACCCTGTCCTTCCTGATCCCGCTTGTCGAGCGTCTTCTGCGCCTAGAGGAGCCGCTCAAGAAGCACCACGTCGGCGCCATTGTCGTCGCTCCTACAAGGTACGTCCAATCGCATCCGCCGCCGTCACTACGTTTTACTGACTGTGGACTTGCAGAGAGCTAGCAACTCAGATACACGCCGTCCTCGCATCTCTCCTTGCATTCCATGCTCCCTCTGCCGCCGCATTACAACCCCGCGACGAGACCTCGACTGGCGACGAGAAGCCCACCTTTCCCTCTTCGACCCTCAAAGTGATACCCCAGTTGCTTCTCGGTGGAAATACCACACCCGCCCAAGACCTTAGCACTTTTCTCAAAACCTCTCCCAACCTGCTCATTGCCACTCCCGGCCGACTCCTCGAACTCCTCTCCTCTCCGCATGTACACTGCCCGCAATCGTCGTTTGAGGTCCTAGTCATGGACGAGGCCGACAGATTGTTGGATCTTGGCTTCAAGGATGACCTGCAGAAGATCCTGCAGAGAGTGCCCAAGCAAAGGCGCACCGGCCTGTTTAGTGCCAGCGTGAGCGAGGCCGTGTCGCAGCTCGTTCGCGTTGGTCTGAGAAATCCGATCCGCATCGCAGTCAAGGTCAAATCCGCCTCCGGAGCCCTTGACAAGCGCACCCCGGCATCTCTGCAAATGAACTATCTTCTCACACCTCCCTCTCACAAACTCCCGGCTGTCGCAAAACTCCTCTCCACCCTCTCCCCAACTCCTCAAAAATCCATCATCTACGTCTCCACATGCGCTGGTGTCGACTACTTCCAACATGTCCTCCCCGCATTACTAACCACAGTCACCGTTGTCCCCTTACACGGAAAGCACCCCCAAAACGTGCGCGACAGAAACCTCAAGCGCTTCACCGAGAGCGTCTCCCCCACCGTGCTCCTCACCACCGACGTAGCCGCCCGCGGCCTCGACATCCCCCTCGTCGACCTCGTCATCCAAATCGACCCGCCCTCCGACCCCAAAACCTTCATCCACCGCTGCGGCCGCGCCGGCCGTGCCGGACGCCGCGGCCTGGCCGTCACCTTCCTGACGAAAGGCACCCACGAGGAGGACTACATCCCCTTCCTCGCCGTGCGGCAAACGCCCGTCACGCCCCTGACGCATCCGAGCGTCGAGACCACCGAGGCGGAGGCGCAGGAGGCGTCGCGAACCATCCGCGACCTGGTGCTCACGGACCGCGCCATCCACGACAAGGCCCAGCGCGCCTTCGTCAGCTGGGTGCAGTCGTACAGCAAGCACGCCGCGAGCAGCATCTTCCGCGTGCAGGACCTGGATTGGAAGCAGCACGGCGATGCGTGGGGGCTGCTGAAGATGCCCAAGATGCCCGAGACGAAGAAGTGGGACGGCGATTGGAAGCTGGGCATGTCGATCGATTGGGACGGTTTCAGGTTCGCGGATAAAGTCCGCGAGAAGCATCGGAGGGAGGAGGAGGCGAGGGCGAAGGAGGCGGCGGAGAACGGGACGGTGGAGGAGGAGCAGAATCAGAAGAAGCGGAAGGGCGGGAGGGACAATGCGTGGAGCGAGCAGCGGGAGGCGAAGAAGCTGAGGGAGGAGAGGAGGGAGAAGAGGCATAAGAAGAAGGAGGGGGAGAGGAAGAAGAAGTTGACCCCTGAGGAGCGGAAAAAGGAGGATGAGGTCAAGGCCATGATCGAGAAGGTCAGAGAGCAGGCCAAGATATCGAATGCGGACGATGAAGAGGAGTGGGAGGGGTTTGATTGAGGGAGGCGAAGGGGATGATTGCGGAGCAAAAAGCTCATGGACTCGCTTGATTGATACCAGCACGAGAGGCACTCAAAACGGAAGTAAAATAACAATTCATCCAATAACGCGCCCAAGCAAAGAGGTATCAAAAATCATCATCCCAGCACCCCGAACGCGCCATACGTACGTACATCCATCCCGATCCAGCAGGCCCTTTCACCCAATGCTCATCGCCAGCGAATCCACCTGCGCACCCTCCTCCCCACATCCCCCCGTATCTCCCCCCGCATGTGCTCGTTGAACCCGTACGTCAACGCGTTGGCGAACCCGACGTACTGACTGCTGCTCTGCAGCACCGCCAGCGTCTTGCTGTCGTGCCCGCTCGCCTCGATGAGCCGGTTCACCATGCCCGGCAGCCAGAGGAGCACCCACATGGTCGGATACGCGTTGAGCAGGAGCATGCGCCGGATCTCGCGCGCGACCTGGTGCGACTGCGCGGCCGCGAAGGTGGAGATCGTGGGGGAAGGGAGGGAGGCCGCCGCATGGGGGTGGGAGGGACGGTGCGCGTCCGAGGACCGAGTGCGCTCATCGCGGTGGTGGACGCGATCGGGCGGGGGCAGAGGCCAGTCGTCCCTCACTGCCGCGTCCGGTGCGACGGCCTGCTCTTCCACGTCTGCGGGCTTGGCGCGTGCGGCGAAAGTGAAGTTGGGGTTCGCGTCGAATCCGAGGACGTTGTGGGTTTGGCCTTTTTGCGTCGTCATCCGCACGTACTCCAGCTGCAGCTGATCCTTGCGATAGTCGTCGTCAACGTCAACGTCGTCGTAGTCGTCGTCGTCGTCATAGCTCGCCGCCGAGCCTTTCCTGCTTCCCATGATCTTCTCTTTGGTGGTGACGAGGAGGCCGCTGCCGTTGCTCTTCCTCCTCAACGTCGCCGTGAAGCTCGCCCTCCACGAACCGCCGGCAGAAGAAGCCGGGTTCAGCCCGGCCGTCGAGTCCTTGGCCTCGGCGTGCGTCGTCCCCGCCATCATCTGGAAGTGCTGCCGCATGTACCACCACACGTAGACGTACACGCCGATGGTGACGAACATGATGGCGAACCGCCAGCCGTGCCCCAACGCGTACCGCAGGTCGGTGCGAGAGGACGAGATCCAGCACCAGTTCCCGCTCACTGGCGCCATCGTCTGCAGGCCTGCCGCGGTGGTACCTATATCACGTGGCGGGTTAGAAAACTTGTATGTGTGCAGTCATGGATGGTATGTACATGAACAGCAACAACAACGACAACAACGCGAGAAGGGGAAACTTACTGGTGATGAGGGGGACGATCCACACGGATGCGCAGATCATGGCTTTCCTGCCGAGCGACGCGTTGGGCATGTACGTCTTGCGGGTGATGGTGAGGACCGTCACCAGAGCGATGGCGAGGATGGAGAAGTCTGCGGCCTGCAGTACGTGGTGGAAGTCAGTATCGTATCGATCGCCGTCACTGCTACTACTACCAGGTGGGCATGGGGGCATGGGGTCTGTTTTGCTCACCTGCACAGACAACTGTCCGATCCATCCGTTGAACGTGCATGCCGGGCTCGGTGAGAGACCGTGGTTTGCGACGTTTATTATACCGGATATGGAGTTGTTCAGGGAGTTGATGAATTCTGACCGGGAGCTCTGCTGTCAGCGCTGTTTGTACGATGATGGGCAGATTGTGTGTGGTGGCGGAGAGCGTACCGGCAAGCGCAAGGTTGAGAACAAGGGCATGGCGAAACGAGCGTTGCTGCTCGTGATAGACGATGTAGGAGATCAGGACGCAGGATGTGGCCACGAAAGAGAGCAGGCTTCCCACGAGGGTGACGGTCGCTATCAGCTCATTGTAGGCCATCCTGAGAGCACGACAACGCAGGGCAGCGTGGTCGTGGAAGGGGAGAAGGGGAGCGCCGTGACCAAGGCAAAGTGCGGTGCGGTGATGGTGGGGTGCGGTGGGGTGCCAGGGCTCCCAACTATTCATGTACGAAACGCACCGTTATGCATCGTCTGCTCAAACTCCATAGGGTACTAGTTTCAGGAACCGATGACGCTTGGCGTGCCTAGTCGAGATGCTAATTGAATCAGAAAAGGAACATTCCGCAAACGCGAACCCGGCAGCCACGCTCGTTTAGATGGTCAAGCTTGACTGCCGATCCACATCCCCACCGGACCGGCACGACAACCCTGAGGGGTGCGATCCCCCAGTTGCTTTGGTCATGTGAGGATCCCACCTGTACCCGACGATTCGTAAGTAGTTTCTTAGCGTTGGACGGAATCATGCAGTGGTCCGTGCCCTGGAGTGGTATGATGTATAGGGGCTCCAAAAATAGACGTTACCGTTGCTGATGTGATCCTTGGACTTACTCGCCGTTCGCTGTCACAAGGCTTGCATGAAATTGGCATCACTTTTACGGACGTAATCATGCTTGATTTCGCACAATGATTACCCTCGCAGGAGCAAACCAGTAAAGCAGTCCAACAACAGCATAGGAAAAGCCAGTTGCCAAGACTGCGGTGCCTGATTAGCGATTTCTGACACAGCCAGAAAAGCTCTCGGCACGTTACAGATCATCGAAACAGCTCCTTCCAGATGGAGCAGCTTGGTCCGCTGGGGCAAATCCGGATTCGCACATCTCCACCAAGCGAGTCGTGAACCGGATCGGCGTCTCGTTTCTGTCGGGTGGTGCAGGTATCAGACTGTTCAAATAATCGGTACGAGAATCGAAAAGAGGAGCCGAGCCCACCTGGAGCCAGATACTAAAGTATGTACGATGGAACGGCGGTCCAGGAAGCTTTATGGCAATCGCAGATTGCTCCCTTTCGCGCCAACCTATCCATGAGTCGAGCAATCCTTGTCTAAAACCAGTTCTGAATGCTCCGCCATGAGCACGACTCGACGCGAAACGGCTGGTGCCGATTCAGACGCCACGGAGTCAGAAAACTGATGTGACGACCCATCGGGCAACGCGGAGCTTGGGAATGTGACGCCCATCGTGGGCATTGTGCGAGCGATCACCCAGGATAATTTCTCCGTGCATCGCTCTGAACAGGTAACCGAGGGCAGTGATAAGGTAAGCGAGGAGGCGATTGTCGCAGGTTGCTGGACGCCTTGAATACCGCGCGAGGAAGTTTGCAAGCGTTGGTTTTGGCTTCGAACAGTGCGTGACGATCATCCGGCCCTCCCGGCGCGTGTCCACGTGGTTACGGTAGTGCGATGTAGACGCCTGAGAGCCAGCTGTGCCAAGGATGTCGCTCCAAGCATACAGCGTCAGCGCGAACAAACATACCTCATGCTTTTCTTTGAATTTTCTTTTCTAATTTTACTATATCGGAGCTACAGCTGCTCTTTCCATCTACCCTTTTTTTTTTTCCTTCAGATATGCCCTTTTCTTCTCCCCGTCTATGCTTTTCTCTTTGTGATTGCCAGACCATATCCTCGAGTTCATCCGTCCCGTAGTCCTCCACTATGACCACCAAAGAACATCTCAACTCTATGGGAAAAAAAAAAGCAAAAGCAACAAGCCAAATGCAACCCACATCTTCGCACCGTAAAACCCTCCTCAGCAACCGTTTGGACACCAATCGCATACTACTCAGCCATGTCCACATCCCCATGCACCCCCTTCTCACCCTCATCCACATCCATCTCCCCACCCTCACCTTCCTCCAAGATCCCATCCTCGTCGGCATCAAACCACAAATCTTCCTCCGCATCGTCAAAGTCATCATCCTCATCGTCCTCGGCAGCAGCACCCACACTCCCATTGCCACCCCTCACCTGGCCCAGGGCCGCCGGTAGCACCGGCCCATCAACAGCCTTGGCAAAGAACGGATGATCAGCAGCCAGCGGCTTGCCCTGGCAAACGAAGCCCATGGGCGTGTGCGCAAAGTCCTGGCCCTTGCGGCGGGCGGCGAGCCACTCGCGGATGAAGGTAAGAGGTTTGGCCGTGAAGGGAACGGCGGCATGAGCGGCCTTCGTCCTGACGACGCCATCGGATTCCTTACCGTCGTCGCCGCGACCGGCTGGTTGCGTCGGCTCGTCGACAGGTCCTGCGGGCTCGTCGTCGTCGTTGTCGTCGTCGTCGTCTTGACTGAGGCCGAGGTACTTCATCATGCCCGCGTATTCGTCGTACTCGAAGTACAGCCGGCCGGCGAAGAGGCCCAGCTCGGTGCGCAGCCATGCGGGGGCCGTCCAGTCGCGCGGCATGGGCGGGATCGAGTAGTAGGTGAGGTCGTTGAAGTGGGTCATCTTGCGGGTGACGGGCGGCGCGTAGCTGAGGAGGTGGGTGACGGGCTTCTTGGATTCGCGGAGGAGCGGGATGAGCAGCTCCACTTCTTCGGGGACGACGACCATGGCCGTGTCGGTTTCCGTGCTCCAGAGCACCCAGCTGACTTGGCGGAGGAAGTTGTCGTTCTGGCGACGGAGTTCCACCGTCTTGGCGAATTCCCTCGACACGAATAGTCTGGATGTGATGATCTTGCTGTTGATGCGATGCTTGCATCCGAGAGCCGTGCCGCGAAGGCACATGAACATATGTTCGTAGCCGAAAGAACCGCTTACAAGTCTGCCGGACTTTGCGAAGCTGGCAATGTCCTTGTGAAGGCTGGAGAATTTGATGGGTGAGAAGATCACCGGCTTCTGGACTTCACGGACGCTCTCCACCTCGTTTGCAACCTCTCTTTCTTGCTCGACTTCTTGAAGAGCTGACGCATGGACGGCGTTTCCGTCATCCTGGAATCCTTTGCGTCTGATGTCGAGCTCTTTCATCAGGCTTGCGAGCTGCGGAGAGAATGACCACGAAGGGTTGGAGGCCTTGGCCTTCGTCTTGGGCTTATACATCTGCTCTAGCGTTTGATGCTCCACCTGACGGAGCTCTTTCAGGTAGTTTTGGCGCTGCGCCATATTAGTGAGGATGTCCGGATTGTCGATTTGCGCCTGGGATCTGCGACAGAAGTCAACGCCTTGAGAGTAGTACAGCGGCTGAAGTTGCTCGAGACCGGCGCAGGTCTGCTCCAGAAGCCAACAAACGACGTCGTAGGAATCGACTGGCTTTCCCTGTTGGTCTGCGTGCCGTTGATCCAGGATGTTTTGATGGACTTCAGGAGTGGCGAAGAACACCACCGACTGCGTGGTAGCCAGCTGTCGGAGCCTCATCGCAGCTAGATTACGGTGGTCAGTAACATTCGCAAAGGAGAATCTAGCGAGGATCCGACGAACCTTGTACAGTATGATCCTTGGTCTGGCCAAGACCTAGAGTGAGTGCGCCTACGGCATCTATCGGCATCTTCAAATCCGTACCACGGGTATGCGCTTCGTCAAGGTAAATGAGACACTCGCTCAAATCCTCAGCAAACGGGCTTGCAAGCAGTGGGACCAAAGTGCCGTTGCGGTAGAGAATGAACGGCCGGTTTTCTTTGAAGAAAAGAGCCGCTTTCGCCTTGGTATCGATACGCAGCCAGCTCTTCGCGAGAGTGAAATTGTCCATTTCCAAAATCTGAGCCCCAGCGTCAATCAGGATGCAGATTCCGAGCGTGCGAAGGTTCTGCAGAAACGTCATCTCAGGGATGCGCCTGCCACGTTCATCGGCAGCAAGGATGTAACGTCGATTGCGTCGCTGCAGCAAGTACGTAATGACTTCGGCGTTGGTGTGAGAGAGACCAGGAAGGTCTTGCTGCCTTATCGTCAACGGTAGCATTGTTCGGTTGTCATTCGTTCCACTGAATCCCGTTGTCAATGGTTTGTGACGTGAGGGCATCCCGTCCGGCGAAGTCATCAGCGGGATGTCCCACCCAGAGGACTGCAGTTTGATCTTAAACTGCTTCGCGTGGGTAGGGAAAACAAAATGGTTGAGGCAGTAGTTTGCCACGACGATACTGTACCGCAGATGCTGCCAAAGCTCATGCAGTTGGGTCTCGTCGTCTACGTTGATGACATTCCATTCCCTCAGTGAACCGGGGATGTTGGGCCCGCTGTGCATCCAGCCATCATATTCGGCTGATGGATCATCTGATTTTACCACGCTCTCCAGACACTGTTGCATCTGAGAGAGCGAAAGGCCTTGGTAGTAAAAGGAAAGGCAGGTGAACAAGATGGCGACGTCGGGATGACCCCATTCGGCCTGGTCCGAGGGAACACCTTTCGCATGGTATGGGACAGCAATTGGATCCCGAGTAGGATGGAGACCATACTCCACCGACCAGCGCTTTTTGAGTGTGAGCAGAAGAAGCCTGTGAACCAAAAGACCTCTCATGTGGTGGAGGTTTTGCCGGGCGATGGGCGTGTCTGTGAACATTTTCTTGACTCGGTCCAAGGTTGCTTGATCGACAGAGGAATCCGTGAGGTATCTCCGGATGACTTGCCTATCCGTTGCAGGACAATCTTGGCACGGCAAGATTGGCGTCTTACCGCCGACGACATCGTCCACTATGTGGGTAATCAATGCCTGCTCCACGTCTTTTCTCAGAAGGAAGAAAAGAGGGAATCCCCCCGCTGATCTCGTGATGACCTCAATGCTACGAGGGAAATCGCGATGCAAGTTCCAGATGTGAGTCTCCACCAGCTTAAGCAGAGCTTCTGCTGTCTCCCATCGGTGAGGATGTCCATCAACGGAGGTTTGTTGCCCAGATGGGTAGATGAGCTGGGTACGAACTGCAAGGGTGAAGTCTGACTCGTCAAGTACATCGCGGCAGACCTTGCGCATCCATGCCTGGACTTTGACCATAGGAGCCGCTTCAGGAATGCGGTTGTCTGACAGGCGCTGTAAGCCGCTGAGCATGAACGACATTGTATGTTCCGGAAGAGCGATCATAATTCCAGCGTCCCTCATCACCTCCTTATGAATTTGCCAGAATGCTGCCGTAACCTCCGGAACGGTTTGAGTCTTGCGCGAATAGGGAACATGCCGGATCTGGCGGCCCAAGAGCCCCCCGAGCCTTCCATGTAGCAACTGGGCTGTCTGTAGAAGTAGCGCGTTCGGGACGATGATGCGCACAAGCTTTTTTGTATCTGCAAGCGCTGCAGCAACCATGGGTATAATACACGACGTCTTCCCTTGCCCCATGTTCATCTGAAGAACAGAATTGGCTCCGGAACCTGGCGAAATGGTTGCAAGCGCGACATCAACCTGTCCTGGCCGAATGAGGATGTTGGAATCGATTTCGAGCAGTAGCCAATCGGTGTTTCTAAGTGGTTGCCAATTTGTATGCCCCGAATGAGCTTGCTCTTCCTCCAACCTTTCCTTCTTGTCCTTCAAGGAAGCATCCTGCAAACGCAAGGCCCGTTGGAGATGCGTAATGGAGATTGCGAACTCCACAAGGCTCTCCTTCATGCCTGGGCCGAAGGCTGTGGACGAGATGGAGCGAATCTGCTCTAGGAGCGTTACCGTGGTGGCACAAGGCCACAGGCCGCCTGCTTTCAGCCACTTTGCTCGTGGATCATCCCGCTCCAGGCTACACAAGACTGAATCGAGTCGATCTTGCATTTGCTGGCGAGCTTGTAAAGTAGCTGCAACAAGGTGGATCTGAAGGGTCGCATCATTCGGCTGCAAAGTGTCGATGCTCAATGACTTTAGCGAGTCGATGCTTTGCTTCAGGTCGCGCGCGTATTGCTGCCTTACTGTAGATGCTGACTTTGACAGAGCTTCAACGATCTGCTCGAGATCTGCTACTTCCTGGACTGTTCTAGAAGATTTTTCTGCTTGTTGCGGGTGCTCGAGGGCTCTGTGGATATCCTCGTTGCCTGCACGGAAAGACTGTGGTGACTCAAAGCTGCTCTCCGCAATTCGCGGCGAGGAAGTGAGCTCATCCAGTTTCCTCTTTGGTGTGGGGCGAACAGACTTGCGCAGCAGGTCTTTGGAAAGCGAAGGGATTTCATCGCCACGATGGCCAAGGGAAAAGACTTGCGCGTCTTCGGAAGGGAATTCCATCTGCGTGGAGACATGGGCCTTGTTGTGATCGAGGATCTCCTGCACCTGCTTGACGTAGTGATACAACTCAAAATTCTGAAAAAGCCGCAGCCACTCCGGCTTGATGATCTCGAAAGCCTGAGCAGCTCTCAGTAAGGGAAAGGATTCCAGTGACAGCTCAGCAAGAGTCGGTTCGGCACAAGGCCACTGCTCGAAGAGAATATTGGCGAAGGCTTCGCACTGCTTCTCTACCTTGTCCTCGTGGGCTTCCCTCTCCAGCTGCAGCTTCCTCCGAATTTTCCCTGAATACCTGGCATCGCTTTCGGAGCGATGAATATCAGTGTAAGCTGAGGCAAAAGGTCGAATGAGCCCCACGAGGTAAGCTACAGTAGGGATGTCGCCTTTGTGAAACTGAGAGTAGGAGAGCCATTTGGGAGGCTCCAACCTTTTCAACCGTTCCGATATCGCGAAAGCAACAAGGGTGCGAACTACTTCCATGTTCGCATTGTGCTTGAAAGACAGCGTACCGAGCATGAAGCTGAGACTGTACACTTGATCATGTGATGCCCTGCGACAGAAGTCGACCAAAGAACCCCAGTGGTGCCCAAATTGAAGATCTAACTGATCACTCAAAAGGATTCGGTCAAATGTCTGGCCATGCCCCTGGATGACCGGCCACTGTTGCAGGATAGAGCCAAGTCTCGCAGTTGTCGGAAGCCGGGGAGACCACCTTGTCAGGAGCTTGACGGCATCGAACACGTTTTGGCGTCGGTTCGTGTGATGAAGTCTGTCCCGGGCTACATAAGTGTTATCCGACGAGCTGAGTTGTTCTACTCCGCCATCACTGGTGCGTTCATGTAGCTGCCTGTGGTTGATGCTACGTCGAAGCAAGTGCGGGTCGATCTCTCGGAATGGAGGGTCCTCAGCAGTTGCATCAATGAATTTGCGCAGTTCACAGGATCTCCGGTAAATGGTTTCCACCAGCGGAAGGAATTCGTCTCGTTGGATCGTGATCGGTAGATCAACATTCCAGTGAACCGTCTGCATTTTCTGCAGACCTTCAGGGTAGTACTCCCTGTTTGGCGGAATGCTAGCTATCGAGAGAAGACATGATAGCGGTCCCTGCTGCAAGGGTGTCCATGGCTGACAGCTTCCGGAACGTAGCAGGTGCAAAGCTTCCTCGGTACCAGTTCGGCCAGTAAGAGGATCCGGCAGGATTGCAGACGTGAATGCATGCAACTGAGCTCTGAAGTACAGCAGCCACGGCTCTGCAGGGCAATCGAGTCGACCGAGAACCGTGTTGATTGCGTACTTGGCATACTTTCCGTTCGGCAGAACCTTGACTGCCACGTGGAACTTGTTGCGATGGTACGAGAGCGGCCCCAAGGGTACAATAACGCTACGGTTCTGGACGTTGACTGGATCACGAAGAACCAGCTTGCTGTTGAGTCCGTACCAGGTGCCAGCATCCTGATCTGGATCGATCTCCGCTCTGAGCTCACGGCATTGAAGGCAACGCCTTCTGTTCACGAAGAAGGCGAGTTCCAGGCGCCTCAGTTCGACGGACAGCGGGCTGGATCTTGGCTGGTAGACGGTCAGCGCCTGTGGGTGTTCAAAGTATTCGAACATGGCTGCAACTTGGCGAAATAGTTGACTGTGTGGATCGACCAACCGGCTGCCTCGGCGAGAAGCAATGTGGGTCTTCATATTGATGCACCAGTCGCCCGGCCTCCGTCTCCATTTGTCAGAGACTGGACGGATGTCGAGCAAGCCATTGGTCAGGTCCAACCAATGAACACAGTTGTCTACCAGGGCTGCCGGCAGGTCGTACTCTGTTTTGTGGAAGAAAGTACTCCGGGGAATGTGTTCGAGGATCCTCTCTCCAAGCTCACGATCCCACTTCCTAGCGCGTATGATCAACTTCTCGTTGCGAAATCCGATATGGATTTGGTGGCCGTTCTCAGGAAATGCCAATTTGTACTCCATTCCATAGAGCTCAGACGGGTAGATCAGCAAATTCTGTTGGCCGAACAGTTCACGTAAGACCAGCGAATTGCGATGCTCGGTAGGGAGCCTTCCCAAAGGTTGATTATCAATCAGAAGATGCCCTTCGAGAATGTCGTAATGGACCGTCTGTCGTCTGCTCTGTTCTCCGCCTACGAATGTGAGCTGGGCTGTCCACTCGTCAAAACCGTCGAGAAACTCTACGTCCGAACAAGTCCTCAAGGTTGATCCCGGCACAGACTGCCAGATGTTGTCAATCGCAGTGATCAAGCCTTCGGGGTTTTCCTCGATTGATCGACGGACTAAGGATTTCAGTCGGTGGCTCATCTTGAGGTCCCGCATGAGAGCATGCTGCAACACCGTTGGCAATGTTTCTGGGTCGCTGATCATGTTGTCCTGTAGAGTAATGGAGGATTCAACGAAGAATTGGAGGACCGCAGATGAAAGGGTCTCGTGGTGGCTATCCTCGCAATATGGTGAGAAAGTCCGCCGACAGAGAAGAGCCGCCCAAATGGCATACCGCGAGCATCGGCGAGAGCTTTCAGCGTCAGTCGCCTTTTGGATTTCTGAGCGTAGCTGGCAAATCCAGGAATGAGTAACATGCCGGACTTGATCAAGCAAAACCAATGCATCACGGGCGGATTCCTGGCAGCCCAAGGCAATCAAGCGTAGGAGCAGAGTAATGAGCATCCCCATGCTATTCGTCTCCCTCCAATTCGTGGACGTCATCTCGACGCGGGTTCGGATTTGATCGAGTAGCCTTTCGCAAAACGAAGCGTCACGAAAGACCTGGTGAATGGTTCGAAGGGGATCATTTCCATGAGCCGGGCCGGCTTGCGACGAGAGCTGGGAAACAGCCAAGGAAGCCCCTTCTGCGCCGAAATTCATGTTTGATGACGCGAGCTCAAGAAGTATGACAGGCCATCTACAGTGCTTCCCGGAGAACAGGCTCTGGAAGGCCATGTACTCATGCGAGCTGAGACCTCGTGGGCAGCGGGTTTGGCTGGCGATGATTTCGTTTGATTGAGGGCCTTTTCCATCCGGTGCAAACGGGAGCTGTGACAGAAGCGAAGAGAAAGGAGATTCGGAGGGAATCTTCACCTGACAATGATGTGCGAAGGCCGGCGTCCCTTGCTCCGAACCAGGCCAGGACATGGTCGCGCTGTCGAAGTACTCAAATCGCAGCGGGTTGCGCAAACAGACGATGTCCAGAGTTGCTGGGAAATAGACGTTGCGGTAATGAGTACCGAGAAAGGACTTTGTCTTGGATGCCAACGTGATTCCAGGTGCGTACGGGCCTACGAATTGCTCCAAGGGTCCATACTTCTGGATCAGCAAACGAGGTTCAGGGCGCTGTGTCAAGTGCGAACGAGCCAGAGTCCCAAGGATTCTCCAAGTGGCATCGCGGTAAGCTGCCAAGACAGGGCCGCAGCCCAGCTCAAAGACGACAGCATTGGCTTGTACAGAGTCTTCGGGAAGAAAGTGCTCGTGCGCTCCTATGAACATCTTCCTCGCTCGCCTTTGCAGAAAGCATTTTGCGCAGCCCCGATCATCGTGTTCTCTGAGAAAGCCATCGTCAAAGAAGGCACACGACGTTTCGGCGATGCGCTGCTGCAGCTTCTCATACTCTTGACTAAGAGTGATGAACTCTTGTTCTTTTGCAGCGCGAGCTTCTTCGGAGGCATGTTCGATTCGCTCACGAAGCTCGTGAAGACCTAGAGTATCCGACTCGTTGTAGAAGCGGTCTGAGAAACAGCCGGAGTCTGGGTAATCAAACATGGTTCTGTTGGTGAATTTGCTTTTCTCCTGTCTGAAGCGAAGCCAGGACTGGATATCCTGCAATCTCTTCATGTCGGAGAATCGTGGAAGCTGAAGGACGTCAAGGGCGTCGGGCGACATTCCCGGGGAAAAGGCTAGGAGCAAGCCGTACATGTCTGTGGCGGCCCGGTCCAAGGTGACCCACAGTTGCATTATCGTCAGGATCATGATGCTCATCTGCTCTGGGTTACCATCGTACGTGGAAGAGACCATATCAAAGTAATCGTTGATGTTCCCACACGCTTCGATGCATATTTTGCCAAGAGGTAACGACTGATCGATGGCAGAAGCCTGTTCGACTTCCAGTTCGAAGCGACTCAAGGACATGCAGCGCTTTGCCAATGGCCTCATGTTCTGATTGGCAGCGTTCATGTTGAATTTGTACGGGCCCATGGGCCTCTGATCCATAAGTTCAGGGTTCCTCAAAATGTGGTGCAAGGTGGGGCGAGACCTCGGTAGGGCGAGCGTCAGGTTGTCTGCATTCGCATAGCGTGGGAGGGGTTTGATGGGTCTCTTGATGCCGCGTTTCAAGTCTTCCCATGCGTCGACGACATGTTGGTTTGCTTCCTGCAATGCCGTCTGGAACGTCGAATTCAGGGAAGCGAAGGCAAGGTCGTAGTGGATGCGGGTTTCTGGAGAAGCGCGGACTTTGGCCATCTCCAGCTTTGCAAGCCGGCGGGCTAGCTTAGCCCTCAAAGTGGTGATGTTTTGCAGGTCGAGGTAGCACAGGGCGTCTTGGAGTAGCTGCGCGAGTGCAGCGCACATGAGGAATTTGTAGCGCAGTCTGCCGACCTCGCCACCGTGCTTGATGGCCAAGTATCTTGCGAGGCCAACGCGCAATACTAGCCAGAATGGTAGTCGGCGCCAAGGGACCTCTGCTCCACGCCCCCAGCAGACGTCATCACGCACACGTTTGCGCAGTAGGGGTGTGGCGAAGCGGCGACCGTGCGCTTCGAGCACAGTCATGAGCAGCGACGATATCATCGCAGGGTCGGTCGTGTCGCGGATCTCGACGGTAGAAGAACGGGCTTTGTATGCACGCGCAGCAAAGCTGTTGATGGACTCGACGCTACATTGGGCCAAAAAGCCGGCGAGGCTGTCTTGGAAGTCGTGGTTGGCAAATGTCGAGTGCGGCACGGCGACAGCGCTGCCTGGGAAGTCCCACTCTAAAGCAGCCTGAGTGGCTAGCACATCTTCGGAGCGGGGCGAGGCTTCAAAGGCTTCGAAAACGACTTCGTGGCCATGATTGCTGTGGGTCGAGGTTGTCAGTTTGGTGAGACAGGACAGTTGCGCTCGCAAGAGCAGACTCACCTGTAGATGCGGCGAATGAGGAGGCCAGCGTTCTGCTCTCCAATGTGTAGGATTAGGAAAGCATCGGGCTTGAGCTCGCGCAGCTCTTGGATCAGAGGCTGCTTGTCGATCTTGCTGTTGAAGTTGAGGGTCTTGACGGCGTTGAGTGCGCGGGTGAGATTGTCCCAGTCGAAGTAGTCGTTCACCGTCGTCGACTCCCGAAGGAGGCGGCAGGCGCCAATCAGACGGTCTGTGATGGCGGTCTGGATGTGAGTGAGGTCCTCGTCGCGTATGCTTGGGAGCTGAGCGGGCAGGACGATATGATTGAATTGCGCCTCTAGCAGGTGCGCTGCGGAGCTCATTGCGCCAGATGCAGGCAGTGCGACGGTGAAGAAGACGGTGGCAGTGGGATGGAGAGGAAGCGCAAAGAAGTGGAAGGTGTTGAGGGTAAGTGTGAGCGGGCGCAGGCCAACTATAAGCGGGCGCAGGCCACGTGAGAGCGGGCGGTGAGGCAACCACGCAGCCTCCGCGAAGAAGAAGTTGGTAGTAGGATGGAGAGGAAGCGCGAAGAAGTGGAAAGGTGTTGAGAGTTAAGTGTGAGCGGGCGCCGGCCAAGTGAGAGCGGGCGGCGAGGCAACCACGCAGCCTCCGTGAAGAAGAAGGTGGCAGTAGGATGAAGAGGAAGTGCGACGGTGAAGAAGAAGATAGTAGTAGGATGGAGAGGAAGTGCGAAGAAGTGGAAAAGTGTTGAGATTTAAGTGTGAGCGGGCGTAGTGAGAGCGGGTGGCGAGGCAACCACGCAGCCTCCCGTTTTGGCATCAACCCGCCGGCTAAGGGTCGGTCACGCAGTGCGACGGTGAAGAAGAAGGTGGCAGAAGGATGGAGAGGAGAAGTGGAAAGGTGTTAAGGGTAAGTGTGAGCGGGCGCAGGCCAAGTGAGAGCGGGCAGCGAGGCAACCACACAGCCTCCCAATTTGGCATCAACCCTCTGACTAAAGGTCGGTCACATATTGCGCCGCCGCTGTCTTGTCGGCGCGCTCTGATTCCTCGGGTTGAAGAGGGCATTAGCAGGTGAAGGGTTGGCTTCAGAAGTCGATACCCATTGCCCAGCTCACAGCACGTATAGTGCGATGCTCCGACAGCGCCTGCGCGTCATGTAAACACCCAACTTCCACATCACCCGTTTACCAGGTGATGATGAAGCACATCACTGCAATCAGCTCGGAAGGCGGCAGGATGGGAGTTCGCAACGCGCTCAGGGATCATCCACCAAACCCGGCAGCTTGCCAGCATCACTTACTGGCATATGCCTTGCTCTTTCTGGAAAGATGTTGAAGTCTCTTGTTGCCACAAATGTAGATGGAAGACGATATGCGAGCGAGACGGAAATCTATCTAAGGAGAGCTACAATGAAGTATGCAGTCACTTGCCTGCGCTTACCAAACGCGGAAACAAGAGAGAAAACACCTCTGCGCCAGATGAAGGATGCGCCCGTTGCGGCAGCAGTTCAGGTGCCCAATTAATGACTCTGCCTCACTCGCGACCTGATGATCGAGGAATGCCATCATGGAGCTCAGAGGGGGAGTGCATAAGGTGACGTTTCAAGCCGTCCAGCTTCCGAGTGCCGATGGAGGGAGGGGAAACAGATGTACTGTGAGGGGTGTGAGAGGAGAGAGAGAGAGAGGTGAGCAGCTCGCCAGTCTACTTGAGCGCCTCGGCTGAACGATTGACCGCCACGCCCACTAAGCAGGGGGCTTTTCCGTGGGGCGCGCGTGTCTCTTCACATCACTCACTTTCAGCATCAGCAGCTTCTTCTGTATCTTTTTCAGATGCGCATTGCCTAGTAAGGAGCTGGCGATTCATGGCGTCAGACGAACGAGTCATCGCCGCAGCTCATCTTGCAGTACTTGGATCGTCGCAACTCGATATCGCTCCGCGACCTCGACTTCCCTCTGCATTTCCCGCGCCCAACTCGCTCGCGCTTCGTCTCCCGCATGTTTCAGCTGAGCCAGAACCCTCGCCCTCGTGTCTCCTGCACACGTCGCGCCTTCCAGGCCCTTGGCCAGAAGCTCGGCGCTGCGTTGTTCTACACCGGCGATCATTCTGGCAAGTCGGCAGAGTGTCACCATGTTGTGCAAGACGTGCATCTGACGATTCCGCTGCAGTCTGGGTCCGCTGGTGCTCCATCAGCCAAATCTGCAAGTTGGACATTGCCGACAATCCCAAGGCCTACCTCACTTCTCCAGCTTTGTGCGCACTCTCATCGCCATCCACATCGGACTCATAGTCGTCGTCGTCCGCTTCATCGCTTTGCTCCCCGATTGACTCGTCCTCGGATTCGTCTGTCGCGGTCCGGTCTCCGTCCGAGTCAGCATCTGGAAGCTTTAGCAAACTTCAGACCCCGTCATCGTGTACTCCTGCTCACATACAAGCATTTTCCCACTGCACCTTTCCAAACGGGATGTCTCCCACTTTGACTTTCAAACTGCCAGACAGGACTCCCCCGCTCATGCTTTTCATCGACGTCCGGAATCTTGCCCGTAACTGCGAGAAGTGCGTCTGCGAGCTGTTCAACACAGCCCAGCTATCTGCTTTCTCCAGCTTTTCTGTGACGTTCAAGACGTCGAGGCGACATTGAAGGAGGGCCGCGAGAGGAGTGAGCAAATCGTCATATTGGACCTGGCCTGCCGCTGATTGAGGAGAATAGGGCGTGTCAACCGCCCCAAGGCTCTCGGTGCTGGGGTGAACGACAAGCCGCAGCCACGAAGCGGCGCGCAACTCGGGACTCATGACTGCCATGTTGGTGAATGTGAGCTGTGAAGACGGTTTGAGAAATTTTGATGCCCAAGAAGTGGCTCCAACTGAAGGTAAGACGCTCCCATTTATCCAATCCAACTAGTCACGTCTTCGGCTGCCCTGACATGGACCGAATCCCCACAGCATGACAATTCCTGTGCGCAGCGACACAAACATCCGTGACGGAAGACTGCATGATGCCGACATCATGTTGCCTTCGGTGCCAAGGTGCTGCAAAGGTTCACGAGTGCACGATCCCAAAGGAAGCATCCAGCGTCTGCTTCAAGATCACTTGCTCAGCCCACAATGCTATAGCTACAGGGGCTCTCGCTAATCGAGTGCGTTGCAGCCCTGCCTGCATGTGTCTATCGCGCCATCAGCGATGCGGAATCGCCCTCTGACGAATAGGCATTGCCAGCACATCCCAGCCACGTTATGCGGTACCACCACGACGATCACATTGGATGCGAACACCGCGCACGGACAGCGCCACACGAGGTTCCCAGGAACAATGCGTCGAGCGCCCTATTGAACTTCTCGGGCATTAATATTGACGGCGCCTCTCATGACTTTTAAGACCTTAAGTGCGCCATATGCGTTCGTCGCCGAACCACGACCAAACTGGCCTTACACTTTCACCTCTTTGTCTTCATTGCCACCCTCCATTGCCTCCGAACCGAATGTGGGCCGTCGCTATCTTGCAACTCGATACTGGCCGGGATCTTCGCGGTAGTCGCTGTCTCACTGAGCCTCCTGCAGCATGCAAGTTGGGTTGCGTCGGCTTATTTCCACCCCACGTCTGGGCAGCGGCATGTGGCATGCAAACCACGGCGGCCTTCCTCTACCATCTGCGGCTCGTCGATGGCTCGGGCCGGTCCCTTTTCCAGTTTGAGAACACAGAGCATCGATCACGTTCCGATGGGCCTCCTTGCCGCCGACAAGGCCGCGTCGCCATTCCCACAAGCGAAGTCTGGACATGGCGTTGGAATTCTGCCGTGCGGATCCTGGCATGGCTCATGGTTGTTTGCATCTACTTCAATCACGAACGCCCCTGCAACGGCTTTGCCGATCTGAGTTACACGACTTTCGGTGGCAACTAGCTATGCCTTGGTCTCATCATGGGCGCTACAAACGTCTGCTGTGGTAACTTGGGTTGCTGATGGAATTACCACAATGCCCAGCAGATGATTCAGATTCACCTGACGTACTGGCAAAAGCCGCTGATACCAGAAATCCCGTGAAGGATTCTTGGAAGTCAGGTAGCACGCCAGCTCATCGCCATGTACTCCAGCAGCCGGTTCCCATTCGAGCTCATCCCACATGAAGACCACGAAGGCGAGGATGCAGAATCCCGAGTCGTGTTCGCAGCTTAGCGGCCAGTTGCCTCGCTTCGTGGATTGCATGTCGGATATTCAAAGGGCTGCTGCCGCCGCTAAGCGCCCTCAGCTGCGCCCTCTTGTCGCACAGTCACGCAAACGCGCCTTACCCTTCCCTACTCACCGTTCCACACGCGGACGCTTGTCCGTTCTCCGCGCGCGCTGCTTTGGCGCCCCCATTTTGCCATACGCACTCGGCCCCGCGCGGGGCACTGCCTCTGTGCCACCCTTGCGTTATCAGCATGCGGCGTGCCCGCAGATCCCCGTCTACCTCCATCCTTGCACCTCACATCTCAGTTGGAGCACTTCCACCTGCCGCTTGTCGTCGTCGCCCGTCATTCGTCTGGTCGCTTGTCTGTACGACGCGGTCGAAATGCCTCCGCGTGAACCTGGACCAGGCACTTGCGGGTAAGTTCCGCTTCGCCCTCTGCCGCCGCATCCGCTGTCTACGAGCGTCGCACGAAAAAAACGCCCAGGATACTGCAGCCAGCCGTCTTTTGACCCTATCCGAACTTCACGTCATTGCTCCTGCACCTTTGAATGACAGCTGGATCCCCGTTCAGGTAAGCCACGAATCGACTGATTGGCTATTTTCCAATGTCTCCCTTGCATGTCGCCATACGACTTGGAGACGATATAGAAGCGATCTGGACCTAACAGAAATAGGTCAGCTGCTACACTCCAGAATACAATCGTGCGGAACACGAGAATGGGGTAATCAGCGTGTCTTATTCCCGTCTCGTTTTTCACTGTGAATTTGCTCGTTGACTAAAAGCGAGAGCAGGGACAGTGGTGGCACAGAAGGAAGAAGCAGCCTCATCAGTGTCCCAGCCATCAATGTCAGGCATTCATGCATGGAGACAGCAGCATCACAAACGCGTGAGTTCTTCTTTTGCCATTACTTTCATCCTCAACTTACTGCAACACCGACATTCACAGCACTGTTATGTTTCAGGAACCGCCCCAAAATGGTCTCACTTTCCCTCTTACCCATGGCAGTAGACCACACCACCCGTTCTACTCCATCCCCCCATTCAATTCGGCCTGGCCCTGTCGTACGCATCCTCGTATTCAAGTGCTGCATCCATGTATCCTGGATCAACCGTGTTCATTGCAGCCCGCCGCACCTGCCACGTGGTTCCTGCCTCCATCTCGGTCATCATTCTCAGCGCGACCTTGGACATGATCGTGTGAATGCGTCGGTTCGTCTTCACATTACCCGTCTTGCCATCTCAGACGCCCCTGCGGGAGGAGAGTAAACATAAATGATGCAGTCCCCCGGCTTCCTGCGACGCAAGCGCCGCGGCCTCGTCTCACTCACAGCCCGGTCACTTACGGCAGCAGCGGCTCCGACATGGGGCAAGAGAAATGGAGGTACCTGGCCTCATGCGCCGAGATCACGTCCGCGTGGGTCGTTTCGCATACGCCCGCCCGCACGCACCTCCTTGCTCGCGCCCCCCGTCGCTGCCGCCGCCGCCGCCGCCTTCCCCGACTCGTACCCACATCTCCCACTGCGTCATCATCGTTCTTCCTCCTTCTCCTTCCCCCCTCTCCCCTCCTCTCCACATGAACCCCGCTTTCCATCAACGGCCTTATGCTGGGTTGTATTGTGGGAATTATTGGGGATGGGTGTGTGTGTGATCGGTTCGAGAAGTGCGGTGCGCTACTGGATTCTGATAGTCGGAAAATAGAGGTGAATTGTTGATTAGATTACGTGGCAAAAATAAGAATGAAACTCCAGCTACTTCTTCGAGGATGCACGGGGCCGAGATCTCCGGTCGAGGGTGTGATTGACCAAGGTGCTTTGCAGCCTTGGGCGTTGTCCAGACACAAGAAACAACCCCGATCTCGACCAGTACCAATGAACCAGAGGCAACTCCTTTGCGCATCTCTTCATGGTACCTTCGATGCAACAAGACTTACTAAATGACTTTTTGAGTATCATCTACCTAAGCCCATGGCCACCTGGATCACTACCAGCATGTTGTCGGCCATGCATGTCGCCGAAAAGTCGGCCGCAGCGAGCTCAAAGCCTCCTTCACAAACGCCTCACTTTGATCCTTCTGCTATGATACTCTACTCCTATTCAGACACGAACATTTTCTACTTTATCTGGCCCGCGGTTTCGCCCGCTCCATTATCGTATCGCCCGCCGTATGGCGCTGTACAGCCGAAGGCGCGCCACGATGCCCATGTAGGCGGCCAAGTGGCGGACTTTGTGCGCTTGTTGGTAGTGTTGTACGCGCGAGCTGGATGCATTGTGCTCTGGGCGCCGGAGATGCGGGGGTGGAGACGCAATGCGCAGTATGCTGTCAATGCGGTGAGGTGGAAGAACGTGATGTTGGTGGAATGGCATAAAACTGGAGGATAAACTTCTTTATTTGGATTTTGGCTTCTTCGATGGAAAGCTTAGTTGTGGCTCGAAGACTTTACTAGCACACCTTGCGTTCAAGCATGAGGTATGATTTCAAAGCTGTATCAAATCAGAGCTTATGTGATGCGGCGAAGCTCAACTGAACATCAGACGCTACTTAGTACATTGACAAACTTTCAATTTATCGTGATCCTCAACTGCCAGTGCTCATGGGTTCATGTGGATGAAGCTAACCATATAAGTAGAGAGATTCGTCGCAAGCAAGACAGGATAAAGCAGAAAGAAATCTATTTGATCCATAGAGGAACCGTGGTATCTCTGACCGCCAAGCACACTTTAGCTCTTTCCTGGTAACCGTCTAAAATTCTCAAAGGAGCTCAGCGGTTATCAAAGTCTGGCCTAAGCAGTTTCTCGCACAAGTTCTTCAGACGAGAATCCTGCGACCCTTCTCCAAGTCCTCCTGCTCCTTGAGGAGCTGCGCACGCCTACTCTTGACCGAGGGCTCCTCGCCAGCAACCTCCTCGAGCTGTTCGGGTGACATCTGACTGACAAACGCGGGCGAGAACAGCTTCAGCGGAGTTTTGGGGCCGCTGATGAGACGGTACATGGCTCCCTGCATGACAAGGTTGTCAACGACACGCTTGCGAGCGACTTTGTAGTACGACTTGAGAATGTCGTGGAGGTCTTGGACAGTATGCTCCTTGTTGCTCATGGAATGGGTCTGGACAAGATCGTCCACGCGCACGACAGCGTTGCCATAGTCATCTTTCGTGGACTTGGCCGCGGCCATCTCGCGCATGCGCTTCTGCCGACTGAAGACCGTCAGCAAAAGTTATGAATTCGCGGCATCGCCGAAACACTAGCTGAACTTACCATTTCTCCAGGTTGTCGTTGAAGTAGTGGTTCAGGGTGACTGGCGTACCCTTGCGTTCCACGTCCAGGATGAACTGTACCTGTTGAAATGCCTTGTTGTAACGACCAAGCAGACGGTCTGCCAGCCTCACACTCAGACGGTGGTATGTGTCGTCATCCGGACAGACATGGCGGAGTAGGTTGTTGATGAAAGCATCAGTCAGGCAAGCAACGTCGGAAATGTATCCCATGGCCAGGCAGTCCCACTTCTGTGTCTGAGCCTTCATCGTCGTAGCAAGAAGCGACGGATCAAAGTTGCCCAGCTCGAAACCACGACTCTTCATGAACGTGTCCATGAGCCATCTCAAAATGTCAGACTGCTTCGGAATGGCTAGCTCAGTGTTCTCGTGAAGTAGATCAGATAGGCCGTTGTCGTGTCCGTCGGATTCAACCCTCCTGGAGCAACCGCCGTCGACCTTGACTTCTTCGCCATCTACTTTGTCGGTATCCGAAGAGTGGGGGTTTTCCTGAGAATCATCATTGTCATCTTCCTCGCCACCAGCGTCAAACTGGAAAGTATGACCGAAGCGGTCAAAATCTCCCGAGAGGGTTTCGTTGCGTGCCACAACTATCGTAGCAATCCTAAGTTTCTCGCAAGCGAAGTAGTCATCAACATACTTCGCCTCGAGAGCCTGAGTTGCGAGGTCCTGGAAGCGCGTCGCGATGTCTATGAGATAGCTGGACTGGTCTGCGGGTGTCTCACGCGCCGGGCCTATCTGTTCAAGTGCCTTCTTGACCGCCTTCAGCTTTCCGTTGAGCTCAAGCTTGACCTGCAAATGGAAAGAAAAGTTAGCAGAGCTGCGACATATTCCCCCCTTAGATAGCACTGGCCTTGGGGAACTCGCGGCGGATATGAGCAGCGAGAATGGCCTGCAGACGCTCTCTCAGCGCCCCAACGCCGAGACGATCCATAGGGAGGCTACTCCAAGGTGCAACAGTCTTGAAGAAGGTTGTTTCCTCGGTGTAGCGATCGAAAGCAGGGTTCAGGATATCTTGCTGTCCTGGGTTCTTGACAATGCACCATCCGAGCTTCAGCTGGTGAGAGCGGCCCTCGACCATGTCGGCCACCGTCCTTTCAGCACCCTTGTCGACTAGGTCAGGCTTGGTCAAGACGCCCAAAGTCCTCTGGCCATCTGGATCGACCTCTTCGGCCATCTCGAGGATGAGCTGGGTGGCAACGTCGACGTTTGCAGGGACGACAGTGAGCATGACGGAGCGGGGATTCTTCATATAGGCAAGCACCATGTCCTTGACGAACTCTTTGTCTTCCTTGGTGGTGACATCCTTGGTGACGCGCTGGAAGATGCCGGGCACATCAATGACAGTGAGGTGCTCCTGGTCCGGGCCGGCGACCTCGATGCTCAAGACATCCGAGGAGAACGTCTTTGTCCTATCGATTCCCATGACATCTTGAACCTCGCGCATGATGGCAGCGAATGCCGGCTGGTCGATAACCGGGAGATTGGTCTTCTTCCAGGCGCGTACAGCATTGATGTGGTCCTCGCTCGCATCCTTGCCTGGAAGAACTGACACCGAGACAGACGGCGTCGGCGAGCGACGGAAGGAAATCTGCGTAGCGAAACGCGTGCAGAGGCCGCTATCGCGGGGGAATGGAAGCCTTGTGAGGCCCTCAAGGACGGAAGACTTGCCGGAGGACTGGTCGCCAACGACAACTATCTGTGGGAGGGCGATGTGGTGACCGACATTGCACGCGAACCTGGATGAATTGTTCACGTGGTCAGGCGTGTTTGATGAGTATGGAAATGAGGTTGACGTACAGTCTGTCAATCTTGGACAGCATGGAGGGGTCCGCCAGGGCGGACGTGGTACGCGCCATTGCGAAAGTGGAGTTGAGGAGGAAGGTATGGCCCACGAAGAGTGGGAGGAGAAGAAGAAGAAGGGAAATGGTGGTGGAGAACGGAGGACCCTAGAAAAATTATTTCGAGTTGTGCGGAATCTGCGCGGGTGGTGGTCACAACTGACGGAACGGGAAGGCTCTGCAGAGCTGGCAATCAGTGAGAGTCCTTGCGGGTACCGCCTTGCACCGACGAAAAGTCTACTTAGGCGTCTTTATACGTGCATCCCTCAGCTCGTTGCCTTGGGATTGTGGCTTTGCAGCGGCGTTTGCTTGCAGGCCATGTCTTGGCCGCTCTGTGCCGCATCATGCAGTCTGCCTTGCCGCATCGTCTTCTGCACGCATTAACCATCACGATAGAAGCCTAAAGAATAGTGGAGACAGTAATCTGATAAGCGCAATGAGCCCATGCGTGGCTCTCAACTGCGTGTCGGCTTTGCTCATTCCTGATATCTCTCTGTAAACTCGTTCTGTTCATGTTTGTTTTGCAGTGAGCCCAAAGCTGGCTTGCCTAATGCGACATGACCACTAGCAGACAATGAGACCGAGCCGCGCGCCTAAGCTTGTTTGCTCAGCCTCCAAACAAGGCTGCATTTTCCTCAGCAGATTGGAGGAACCTGCTGTACCTTGCATTCCACATGCTCGGAGATGTTTCCGGGTGTATCTGGATCAGGTAGTGTTCAGAGAATGCAAGGCCGAAGATTGGCAGCCTTCCAGAGTCCAAGCCTTCATACTCCCGGCTGTCGGCCTGTCTGTAGCCGTGATAGGACCACGTTCCTGGTCACCCGCGCCGCACGCGTACCAACCAACGCCGCAGCAGCCTGCACCGCCACAGCAGATAGCCGCCCACGATGCCATCCCGCCATGCCCTACGAATGACCATCAAGGGACCCCACGTACCTCGAAACCTGGACTCAGCACCCCCCGCCCCCAACTTCGACCACCTCCCCCAAGTCCTCGACCAGCCAGCCACCGCGCAGCACCGCTTCCCGCCCATCCACCCTCTTCTCGAACCGAAAAAAAAATAGGGGAAAAAGAAAAAGGAAAAGCACAAGGCAAAGCGCCCCAACCACGACAGTCCACGACACACTACACGACACACGCCCGTCCCCACGCTCGCCCGTCCGCCTTCCCAACGCCGTTAGCGCTTCTCTCCCCATCCCCCTCCCCCTTCCACCCGTCCGCCGTCTTCCGTCCCCCCTTTTAGCGCCGGACAGGCGCGGAAACGCGCGCAAACCAAACGCACGAGCCACCACCACCACCCCGGAAAAGAAGAAGAAAATCCCTTATCAACCCAACGTCCCGCCGCCCGAAAAAGGTAATGCTTTGCACCAAGCTTCCGGTTGATAAGACACGTAGGTATGTACCTATGCGGACGGGGGCTTGCGGCTTCTGTGTGGATCGAACACGGTACCTCCGAGATACTTGCCCCCCGTGCGTAGGTAGGTTGTGATGTGATGCAGGCGGGCTGTTTGTGGTGGCTGAAGTGGGCTTCAGGATGGTTGGGTGAGTGTTGGTGATGGGAGTTTCGGCGATTGTGCGGGTGTGGGGGGATGCGGACCTGGCGCTCTGCCAAGTGAGCCAGAGCTGCTGATTGGGCAAACGGTGGGGGAGGGGCGTGGTGAAGGGATGGGATTGTCTTTTTGGTGACTGGTGGTGGGAGGGGGTGGAGTTGTCTGTTTGTTTGGCATGGCTATGGTGTTTGAAGACGGGGTTCTCGTGTCCTGGCGTTGTGGCCGCCGCTGCATTTTCTCGGACAGTGTGTGCTTGCGGTGAGTGCGTGGCAAGACGCCTTGAGGCCGCGGTGGACTGTTGCAGCTTCAATCTTTCTATAATGTATGAGCCTAAAGTATAGATTCTCTGAGGCGAACGTGCCCAGTTAATCTAGTCGTGGCATTGAACTACTCAAATACGGTGCAATGTTCTGCAAGACCGATGTGGGAAGACCTTATCATGTCGCACCTTATTGTGAAGCGGTCGGAGGTGTGAAAGACAAAGCATGCCACTCGTTTGCCATCAATACCGTCACTCTAAATATCCTCCCGATATCTCAGTTGCATATCGGCGGAGTCATAGGCCCTTGAATGATCGAGTTCCATTTCTAGGTTGAGACTATTGAACAAAAATTTCACAAACCGATGACCACTCGAATCAACAGCAGTGTACAATTCATCAAACAATGGCCTCACTGGTCACATCGGCGCAGAGCGGGGATGCATCAACGCCTCCTCCGTCAATCAGGACCAAGATCGCAAAAATATAAAGCATCAGGGTAGAACTGCGCAAGGATTGCATACAACGTAGAACGCAGAGTACATCTTCTTCGTCGCCTTACCTTTCAATTCCTGCCCGCGAATATCCCCATGATAATCAAGAAGGGGGAGGCAAAGCATCACTGCCACGTTTCAAGGCCTTCTCCTTACGACTGGTTGCGTCTATCCCATATGGATGGGCGCAACTTTCTTCCTAGCAAACACCTACCAAAACAGCTTGAGCATGAGCATTTATCATCTTAGGGACAGCTGCTAAAGCAGAGCATTTTTTGATTGTCTTCATATACGCAATCTCCAAACGACTCTTACACAACATCACCAAAGATGCCTCAGGATCCTGGTTCTAAGGTCGCAAAGGTGTATGACTGGCCGCATGGCCCAATGGCAAGGCGCTTGACTACGAATCAAGAGATTCCAGGTTCGACCCCTGGTGTGGTCATTTCTTTTTGTCCTGTTGCGGCATCGTGAATAGGTTGTGCCGTGGGTGGTGGTGGAGAAGAAGAATAATTTTTTTTTCGAGTCAATGGTGGCTTTCGGCGGGTCGTCGGCCTTTTTAATCGGCCTTTCTGATCGGGGGCTGGATGGTGGCTGGACCCGGAGATGACTCGGCAGGGTTTGCGGATCGACGAAGAGAAGGGAAGGAGGTAGGAGGGAAGGAGAGATGGAAGGGCGGACGGAAGGACGGAAGGAGGGAGGGAGGGAGGGAGGGAGAGAAGGGAGCGGAGCCAACGGTTTATTGATTTTCGGGCAGCGAAAACAAAATCAAAAGACTGGCGGGAAGCCGCAGAGGAAATAGCAAGGCGGCTTAATAGGGGGAGTGAGAAGCGCCGACGAGAGCGGGGCCTACCTACCGGTCTCTTTTTATGTCGGCTAACGGTCCGAAGATAGCGCAAGAGGAGTGGAAACGCTGTGATGTGCCGCGTGGGTGCCTTATGTAGCATGGAGGATCGCGATCTTCGGGTACTTACCACAAGTGCCAAGCGCGGGAACGAGACGGGTGATTGAGGTGGGAGGATCTGGAGCAGTCTCTGAATCAGAGTCGAAAGACCCGAGACCAGAAGGCCAGCCACAGGAGTCCTCCCGGTTCCGATTACCGGCAGTTGCGCGTTTGCGCCAGAACCGGGTACATGGACCCTGTAAAAGCGATAACCGATGGTGCCCAACTGCGAGGCCAGACAAGCGCGGCAGCCGCGCTGAAGCTGTCAGCAGAAGAAAAAGGAGGATCGCCACGGTTTGAGAGCCCGTGTCGTGTCGTCATTGACATGCTGGGCAGCGTCCGCAGAGGCGTTCTCACCTGATCAATGGCTCGAACATGCGCGTTTGACGGGCCCGGCGGATCCCAGGATTCATAAGATGATTATCTGGATGGGGTGATATCCCATTGGCGACGATCCGCTGCATAACGTTCCGGCGATTGCAGCTTCCGTCCGCGCCTTCTCCGCATCCTCTCAGATCTTGTCGAAATGCGTAAATCCGGTGTCCTGGCCTCTCGCGACGGCGGCGCAGATCCCGATGGCACGCCGTGCCCAGCCGCTCCACTACAACCCTCAAGATGAACCCACGACCATCGGATTGTGTGGAGATGATCCCAAGAAAGGTCGATGAAGAAGGAGAACCCCATTATATCCTCGAGTCCGCACCCAACCACCTGTTCTGAATCGCGTCCGTTTACCGCCCCATCAGCACATCCACCGCAATCGCGTATGCCTCGTCCCTGGCCTTCTCCTGCACGCTCCCAGGCGCCGCACGCTTGTCCCATGCGTGATTGCACCGCTCAAACCTCTTCTTGACCACCCTCGCCTCCCTGGTCTCCTCGATCTTCGCCGCCAGCGCCTCGGCCTCCGGAGCCAGCCCGTCGTATGCACCGGTCAGCACCGCGACAGTCGTGCCCGCAAAGTTGCCCGGCTCCGCACGGGCGGGGCTGATGCGCGGGTCACTCGGATGCACGCCGGGCGGGATATAACACTCGTCGAAGAAGCTCGCGATCCTGGCCGGAATGGGCTGGCCGGTGGGATCCGGCGCCTTCTTCGCGGCGGGCTCGATGGTCAGGTCGGCGGGCGGGTAGAAGGCGAGGCAGGCGCTGAAGGTGGCCGGAGGGAAGCTCGCGGGCAGGGCGCCGGCGCAGACGAGGGCGAGGTTGGCGCCCGCGCTGAAGCCGGAGAGGGAGAGGCGGGCGGCATCGTAGAGGGCCGGGTTGGCGAGCACGTACTTGACGGCGTCCTCGGCATCGTGAACGGCGGCGGGGAAGGGGTGCTCGGGCGCGAGTCGGTATTGGATGTCGAGCACCGTGTACGGCGTCTTCGCGGCGATCAGCGTGCAGAAGAAGTCGTCGGTGCCGTGCTGCGGCAGGACGAAGCCGGAGCCGTGGAAGTTGACGAGAACGGCCGTCGGCGTGGACGGGCTGCTGGCGTGGGCGGAGGAGCGGTACACGTGCGCCTTGATGGTGCGTCGCGCGTCGCGCGAGGGGATGTGCAGCACGCTGGCGCTGGGCGAGATGGCGGGGGTGCCTTGTCGCAGCCTCAGGAGAAAGCGGAGGAGCGTGACGGTCGCTTTTAGCCGCAAGTAGGTGAGGAAGCGCCACATGTTGGGTGTCATCTAGCCACCACGCGTCAATGTGCAGAGGCGGGGTGGTGATGGTGTGTGCGTGTGGTGACGGTGTAACGTGAGGACGAGCAATAATGGTCGGGTTGGCTGCTCCGTTCGGCTGCTCACCTGGCAAGCATGGAACGGCGCTGCCGGACCCACCCGGAGTTCGTCGGGGTTGTGCCGCTGTGCGGCAACCGAAGGTATCGCCAGAGGTATAAACGGTTTAGCCCGGTCATGAGTGACCGTCTCTTCACTGCAGCGAGCTTAGCTTTCCACCCAATGACTAATGCACCACATCGATTCGTGACACCATCCCATGCAATTTCAGCCATGCCAAGCGAACGTTCCTCAGCCAAGCTTGCCGACATTGGAGGGTAGTGGGCATATCTCACCCGAGCATGTCGAGCACATGGCCTGGAAGAGAATCGAGAACGCATGACAAATGGTCAGCACCTGTGAGAATACACAGGAAATGAAGACTGGGGTGACCCGAATCGCGACTTTGCTTTGGCCGCCGACAAATGAGCTGACTGAACCATACCCTCAGGGATCAAGCATGCCAGCAACAGCAGAATCAGACAAAGCTGACGACTGACGAGGCTGCTGGGACCAGATCAGACTGGCAATCAGAAGTGTAGATGTGATAGAGGGTCGCAACCGAGCCAGTCAAGGTTCTTGCCGGCTCCGCGTCGCTTTGGGTCAGGTTTGCATGCTTCCAGGCTCCACACACCACCACGACTCCTGTCTTACGGCATTGAATCCGCTTTATTAACCTACCGCGCAGGGAAGGTGTGCAACACCGCCGGCTAGCTCCCGCCACAGCACCCTGCATCACCAATAAATGCTGCCTGGCCCGGTCGATCGTGATGTTTTGCCCTTTGTGTGTTACATTGAGGCTCGTCATTTTGATGAGTTGGATCAGACCCGAGGTATGAATGGCGGACAAATTCCATCCAAGGGTGGCCTTTTGGCGTCTCTGTTTCGCTACAAGTGTGCCACAATGCAGTCAGATGAGCTGAGAAAATGGCTCTTGGCCACAGCCTCCGATGCCTAGTGAGGCGGCATCTGGTAACAATCGTCGATGTCAATGCCTCGCTGTATCAGTCACGGCTCCCGGAAAGGCTCCGGCGAAAGCGTTGCCACGCGTATGGTAGACCTTGGCCTTGCAATCTGGTCGCTAAGCCATTCAATGTGCTGACTTGTGCGTAATCTGGGCTGTGGCCGGCGCCAGGGTCAGGGCATCGCACTGCTGCATGGCGACCATTTTGGTAGAAGTGGCTTGGGAGTACTGGCCTCATGCACCCAGGCTTCTGGATCTGTGGCGGCTTGGGCAGAAATTACAGTTACTTCATTTCTCTCGCGCCGGCTGGGACACCAGAACACGACCTGAGCAAAATCCTGCTATCCTCAATCCGATTAATAGGCGTCCCCGGGGCCTCCGCCTCGTATTTTTCCAGCCATCATGTCTGAGGAAGACTCTGCATGGTAGGAGAGCAAGGGTCGTGCACGTCTGCACCCTCTCCAGACTCGTGAAGCAATAGAGTTAGGGCTCTGATCCGTTTTCGTGGGGTAGCCCGGCCATCCGTACCCCATCAATCAGTCGGAAGCTATGTGAGTGTCCCAATTCAACAGTATCACCGACGAGTCCACGCGGACCGTCTCTCCCAGCTGGCCGGCCCAACGTCCCCAATCTGCGGGGCGAAAAGGTCGACGGCGTTGCGCCAGGAGCGTCGCTAGCATATGTAAGACACTGAATTTGGTTAGGGGCTCGCACGACGGATGCAGGCCTCCTGGCATCAGACATCAACTTAGATTAGCGGGGAACTGGGCCCGGCTGCATGCACCATGTCTTCCTGGTAGTTACAGCAAAGATGCTGTGTAGTCTGAACGTTAAGTACGAGCAGGATCGAAATGGACCGTATGCGAAGGATCGAGGAGCCAAAGTTGTCGTTTTGCCAAAAGCGGAGCGAATGTGCCTGCTTGTTCCGGTCTTTCTTCTTTTTATCTTCTGTGCAGCCAGGCTTTGGAGAATACATATACATATATGTATATATTAACAAGACTGGTGAAATCGAAGACTAGACGGTGATAGTGGTGAGTAATGTGCAATCATGCAGTCAATTGGCGAATGGACGGTAGGAGTGCATGCAAGGAGCAGAAGAGGAAGAGTAGCATACGGAAGAACAGTGCGGAGAAGTCAATCCAATGGCCGGACAAGGAGCTTGTCGTGCAGGGGCAGGCCAGGAGAGGCTCCGGCCGTGCAATGCACAGCACCAATGGGATGCTGCGCGAGGCAGTTTGCTACTCTGCTGTGCGGCACTAGGGCTTGCAGTAGATATAACGCGCAGAGTGCCAGAGCGGAACCAATAAAGGCGACCCACATGGAGCTTGGGTTCGAGGCTGCTTTGATGCTTCATTAAAAGGTCAGGGCGCTGGACAGAGTCGGGAAATGGACTCGAGTCAGGAAAATGACCCCTTGACCTCACCGACATGCCGCGGCCATGAATCTAGGACGTCTTGGCCGGTGGCAAGCAGAAGGTCGTCCCAGGCAGTGGATGAACGGATAAGGAAAGCCGGGCGATGGGCAGTGCAGGAAGACGTGGAAGTGCACTGCCGCAGCTATCATGGCGAGTAATTGAAGCATGTCTCTGCAGCGTAGCCGTATCCGGAGAGCCCCCCGGCGCTTAAAGGGTGGTTAAAGTTTGGGGGAGGTCGGATGGCAGCTAGAGCACGCTAGGGCGACTGCTTGCCATGGCGGCGAGGCCTTTCCTCACAGACAGCGCGGCTTCCAGTCGCTTTCTACCGCGCTTCCCAGCCGACAAGTAGTGTGTTTGAGAGGTGATTAAACTCGGCGGAGTATGGTAAACGACCCGGTCTGGACAACTGGCTGACGCGGTGGTCTCAGGCGTGTAGAGCTCGGACAGAGGCCGGCAAATGGGATACGGCTCCTGGAGGGGAGAATGGAGGGCAATGGGCTGAAGCTGAAACCCAGGTCGAGTCGAATGCCGAAGTGAGGGCCCGACGATCCGGCTTGCACAGCATTGAGCAGGTGTTCAGCGCGGGAGCAGTGGCGACGGGGGCGGTGTGGCGGAGCGGAAGCCATGGACGCTGGACAGCGGACAGCAGCGAGACCTGCCTCATCCGGCGCCGACGGGGGCGGAGGAGGGCGCGGGAGCTGGTGGCGTGGGCTGGGTGGG